GTAACACAAGACAAGTAGGACTGCCGTCGACAACGACCTGCAGTATCAGAGAGGTTAAGGTATAGATCCAGTCCGTGCACTACCGTCGACAACGACCTGCAGTGGGTGGAAGGATGGTGGTGAGTCCGTGCACTGCCGTCGACAACGACCTGCAGTGGGTGCTGAGTGGGTGGAAGGATGGCAAGGTGGTGGGAGTTCGAGTCAGAAAGATCTGTGTCACACGGTGTCACAGGCAACGTGATCATGCTGTAATCGTACACATCATCCTCCGCAGGGAAAAAGCGGGAGTTGGACGATGAAGCTAACGAGTCGGTGTAGAGCGTTGAAGAAGAGTCGGATATGGAGGAAGCGGAGGAGGCTGTAAATGCGTCGTAGGCCTTGTCGCGTTCTTGTTTAGAGTGCTGCATCACATAAAGGTTTTAAGCCCTTCGTGGGCCTCCATGTGCTGCTGTCGACGACGACATGCAGCGCAAGCGTTGAGTCCACGTGCTGCCGTCGACAACGACCTGCAGCAGAGTTGAGTGGATTGGGAGTGAAGGTCGAGAGAAGGGGGGTACGCTCGACAGACTGGACGGCTCGTTTAGATAGGAAAGAGTGGTCTCGAGTAGTGGAGGGTTGCGCAATGAGGGGAGGTCATCTTTGCCGTCGCGAATGTCTTGCACAGTAGTGTTGACTAGAATATCCTAGAGAGAAGATTCGGGTTGAGCTACTTAGTAGGAAGCCAAATATGTAAGAACGCACTTTGTCTCGCTCATCGACAAAAACGAGCTTGAGCGCATAGTTCTGCTCGCTGACGAAACCTCAGGCGACACCCATGCAAGCTCCTCATCCTCAAAGTAGGCCCGGGTGCTTAGAAGAGAGAATTAGCCAGGAAACAAAACGAGCCGGAGAGTGAAACGGCGACAAACCTTTGTGTGAACACAAATAACTGAGGACCGAGAAATAGAATGATTCTCCGCCGGCTGACGCTGCTTATCGGCTTCATGGAGAACGGCACGAAATAGAAATGACCTCGCTGCATCCCGCCTGCCAAGTGTCCAACCACTGGGTGAGTTTTCCATTGCAGTTGCGGAGAACGATCTCGTAGTTGACATCACCCAACTCCATTCTCATGCCAGGTGGCAGCATGACGAACGCGCTCATCTTCGGGGAGCATCCAAGACCAGCTGCCATCGACAACGACCTGCAGCAGAGTTGAGGGAATTGGGTTGGGAGGCGAAGATCAGAAGAAGTTGGGGCAAGACGTGACACTTGTCATCACGCCGATCAACTCTCTTCACTTCTCGATTTTTCCTCGACACAAACGACCAACGATCCAACACATCTACCCTTGCGACCTTCTCACTCGCCCCCACTATCGTTGTCTCGAATTCACGCACACGCAACCACCAACCCAAACACTCTGACGTTGTCGTCCAGTGTTTCGACCCTGTTCCGCGACCCAACGAACAACGCAACTACCAGCCCAAACACTCTGACGTTGTCGTCCAGTGTTACGAATACAAGCAACGTTTTGAATACAAGCAAAGCTTCAAATACAAGCAACAACTGAGTCAACAATGACTTCCGCAGATCTTCGTTTGGCGAAATTTCGTCTAGTCCCACTTGCGTCACTTGAAAAGCATGAGATCCCTCCTGTACGTTCAAGCGTTTGGAATTTTCCTTTTCTATAAGACTAATTATCCCTTGTAGCCTACAAACGAGTTCAACGGTCTGGTCTATAACCGGCATGCGATTTATATGGCGTTCAACGCTGACCGAGAATTCATTACTCGGATCCCTACTGCTCAAGAGCGTCCCGCGTTCACATTCTCGAGTACTCCCCCTGATGGCAACGAAATTACTTGGGTTAACCCCGACTATCCACACACCATGCTATTACCGAGCCGTCGAATATTCCGTGGCCCTCTCCTCCATTGTCTAGATGTTTCTCGTCGAACGCTGCCTGTTATTAGTCGGAAAGTTCTAGTAAAACAGCGGGATAGCACCATACCGCCAACAACTGAGCTGCGATGGGAGCTCGAACCGAAACTTTGCAGTAGTTGGGCGCGGGCTGAAGGATTCTTTCGCGATGTCTTTCGCTGGGTGACGAGAAAAACAGAGCAGCGTTTCCCCTCCAAATTCAAAGGCCATTTACCCTTTATGCCTGTCGAGAAGCGATATAGCGACCAAGTTTGAGACTGAAATTCTCCTTGTTGAAACTGCCCTTCAAGCCCGCGATCACTTTGCGCCTCTGATCGCGACAATCGTATTGCGACTGCTATTTCTCCAGGCCATCGGAGAGCCTTGGCGTGCGGATATCGTCCAAGAGCTCAAAATACATCCACAATTGAGGGACGAGCTTGGCAACATATATGAAGACTGCGTCAGATTCTGTGTTGGTGGAATTCTCGACTACACGACGCCCGAGGCCATTGCAAAAGCGCGTCCAATGGAATGGATGCTAGAGCTCATCTTCAAGTACCGAATTCGTGTACCGCTGTTTATTTCCTTCTCACCGTCGACACTCCAATTGTTTCTACTGTCGGCTCCAATCAAATCGTTGCATTTGTACATTGACAAGACGGATCTTGAGCACGTTCAGAAGAGCTCGTTCATGGAATGGGTGTATGTTAACCCAAATATTCGTATTCATGGGGTCTTGCGCAATTGGGACTACAAGGGCCCAGTCATCACCCGCTCACATCCACCGGTTATTCCAGGGAGTGGACAAAAGCCTGATGAAACCTACATCGAGTTTTTCGCTCGTAGAGAGAAGGAGAACCAGCGGACTTTAGCGTCTCAGCAGAAAAACGCCAAAAACGTCAAGGCAATACAGAGCCGAATTGATCGCGAGAAGGCAGCATTAAAGGCTATAGACCCTCCCAAGAAGGGCCAGGTGTTTGTATGGGAAGACACGGATGATGATAAATTCTTTATTCGTAAACCTCTAACTCGTGGCGAAGCGAGTGATATTTGGTACGATTTCCATCCCAAGCAACGTCGATACGATGCATTCCGACAAGAGTGGGATCTATGTGAGCCTTTGGCTCCGACTGAAGTCTCCCCTCGCTATCTAGACGAGCTTGAAGATGACCTCAATGACCCCAACCATAGCGTCTTCTTCCCCCCCACTACTGCTCTGAAGCCAGATGAAAGACAAAGCCTCCCACCTCTTCCCGAGCTTCCTCAGCATATCCGTGATATCTTTGCAGAGCCAGCAAAAGCTTTCGAGAATATCACAGAGTATTACAGCAAGAATGGTGGACATGAAGAAGACATACCCGAGTACGATGATGCCATACGCAAGCAGGAAGAATTCCCTGGGGCCCCTGTCAACGATCACCAACCGCTTCTTCCCTGGTTTGGTCTGATAGAGTCATCCACAGCTATCGGAGATTTGCTTGACGTGAACAAGTCTCTCAAGGCTCTTGGAGATGACACCGCCAAACCTCCTAAAGACAATGCCAGGGCTCTCTTATATGCCCTTCTAAAGGCTGAGTCATTGCAAGATGTTCCCGAATCATTGTATGACCTTCGCAATCCTGACTCCGATGTCTGGCCCGGACGTGGAATCAATGTCAAGTATATACGACAAACTGATTGCCCGAGATATGAGCAAGACGTTTTTGTTCTCGAACCGTACGAGCAAGGGTCGAAGAGCATTCACAAAATTGTTGTTTTTGATGCTGTGATTGTCACCTTTGTCTTGCGAACTGGTTCAAATGACATGGAGGATATCATTGGTTGTTTGGTGGAGCTCGGAGTACAATTCCACCTTGCTGTTGAAGGATACGCTCCACGATACTGGTACCCTCCTCGCCCATTCGTGCAGAGTTTGGGTTCTCGCAAGGAAGACTATCGGCCTCATCCAGTTGAATTCGATCATTATGAACACCGACGCAACGACTTTCTACATTCTCCTCGGGGTATACTTGCTCTCTACCGAGGTGGGATCATTGCCCCGCATTGCGCGTCAGATATTAGAATATCCCGAATCGATGGTGATGTCTGATGGTGTTGATATCCAGTCTGCAGATGCACGAATCTGTCTTCCGGATAGTGATCATGCTCTGTACTACCATTGCCTAACACCGGAAGAAGAAGACCTGATTTGTGGAACATATTGGATTGAAATGGGTTTGTTTTCTATTTTGCTTGACAACTACAACATATTGACTTGTGTTTATAGAGCAACAAGATTGCATAACCGGAAAGCACCAAGCCAAGTTTGTGTCGTGGTGGCCCTTACCTGGTGCATTCTCAACGTGTGGTTTGAATATTGGATACTGGACACGGAATTGTGAATCATGGTATCAGCAACAGGTCCACAACGCAAAGCAAGGAAAGGCACTCTTGAGGAATTCTGGGGGATGGACACAGGACATTCGGTTTGTTAGAGCACCACTTCAGATCTATCGGAAGCAGAAAGAGTTTAGCTTAAAGTACTTGATATCTCAACAGTGGGTAGCATAATAGTAAAAGAATTATTGTACATACTAAGAAATACATTATCTCTGTCGTACCGCCGGACCCGTTAGTCATGTGATTCCGCACACTGTCATCACATGGTTGCTATCACAAGCACATGACCCAATGATTGCAAATAGCATAGCCACTATTTGCAATCACTTGGGCCAAAATGTCCTGATTTCCAGTTTTTCTGGACCTAAAACTCTTGTACAACACCCTTGTACATGACCTTCTGGATAAAAAGTGACAACCAGTCCCCAGCTATCTGCCTGTGGCATAAACAGAAGGGAAACAGGTAAAGCCAACCAGATAAAGAGCAAGTCACTTCATTCGTCCTCCTCCGCCCTCCCTCCCCCTATTCCCACTCCTCTCGTCCGTCCCATCCTCCTCTTTCTTTCTCCTTCCAACGCATGATGACCGAGTGGTTAAGGTGTAAGCCTTGAATAATCAATAGCTTATGGGCTATGCCCGCGTAGGTTCGAACCCTGCTCATGTCGCTTTTTGACCAAGCCAGTGATTTTATTAGGAATAACCTGGTTGGTTGTAGTTTATGTTGCTGCCCGTTCCAGCCATGTGGTCGTCTTCCAGACCTTGGGCCCAATCATCACACTGTGCTCGTCGTCATGTCAAAGCAATCGCATTCTACAAACTAAGACACGTATTCCCATTGACCTGGGGCGGGTTTCTCTGCTAATGGCTCCCATCTAAGTTGTTCGTTGTCAGAAACAAGTTAGAACACGAAATTGGGCACACGTACGCTTTCCAATCTACCATTTGTGCAGCAAGCTTTAATTCGTCCACGGCAATGAGCAGCGACTCCTCTATCATGCCCTCTCCTAATCCCTTCTCTACGGCAGCTATATCTGCATCAGCCGCCTTCACGATGTTGAGTTTGTTTTGGATGAGGGCTTCCGTCGCCTGGCGATACGCTGACGTCTCCGGAATCCGTGCAAGGTGAGTTAACGTGTTTTCATAGGTGTTGGTGAGGGCAGGAATGGGGTTCGGGTGGACCGCGAGGCCAGTGAGGCCGGTGGACGACCGGATGGCTTGGTAGAGTGGCCGACTGAAACGAAGCATAGCAGAAACGGGCTCGTGACTTCGAACATTTTTCGTTTCTTGCCTCTCGCGATGGCAGCAATACCACTTTTACCACCATTATTCGCTCGTCCATGGCGACTACGTGCATTTGCTGCCGTCCCTACACTTCTCGCCTCCGTTCGTGAATGGAGAATACCATCACTGCTTGAACTATTTCCGCCTATAACACTTGCAGTCCCGAAGAAAAAGGTTTCGCACTCGAGGAAGGCAATGCGGCAGGCAAACAAGGGGCTAAAGGACAAGCAGAGTGCGTCGCGCTATCTATTCTCTCTGATAGATCCTCTAAGCTACTGCTTCTAGACATTGTGAGCTGTCCTGGGTGTGGGGAACCAAAGCTCGCTCATCAACTTTGTCCCAACTGCTATTCGTTCCTCAAAAGGATGTGGAAATCCGCACCCATAGAGCAACCAGAGAAGATGTAGAGACGTTTGTATGATCCCGGAGTAACTGTACTCCGTTTATAAGACTTTCATGGACTTGTTTCCCTCATTTGTGTGAACCGTCATGTTGGCTTCCCCATTCACTCGGACTAGCATCTTCCTTCGTTCTGCAAGCACCATGGCTCCTCGCGGCCTCAGCGCAATCCTCCAGAAAAACCCAGACGATGTTGTCATTACTTTCGCTAAGCGCTCTGCTATGGGTCGCGCGAAGAAAGGCCAATTGAAGGACACGACCGTTGATGAACTTCTCCATGCGTTGTTCAAGGTTCTAAAACCCCTTCCTTCCTCTACGTGTCGTTTGCTCAACTACTTCAGACAACTCTAGAGAAAACTAAACTTGACCCTTCCAAGATTGACGACATTTGTGTTGGTCCGTCTTGTCGGCCTTCTCCAGTTTCCCTTTACTCGACACCTAGTATTTAGGAACCTGTCATCCACCCTCGCCTCTCTATGTGTCAAGGGCCGCAGCACTAGCTGCCGGTATTCCCAACCATGTTCCGATATCCACTGTGAACCGTTTATGCTCCTCTGGCCTCATGGCAATTCGCAGCATCGCTCATGCGATCCAAGCCGGAGAGACTTCCATTGGGCTTGCTGTTGGTGTCGACAGCATGTCTTTACAGTCAGTCTCTCTGCTCAAAAATAAATCACAATCCGAATGCCCTCCAGTCCGCGTCCAACACCTCAGATCTCTGATATTGTTGACCAGAATGTGGAGGCTCACGATTGCATCCAGGCAAGTATTGGATTAGTCACCCTATATACGTTTAACGGTCATTTCAGCCAATGGGCTGGACCTCCGAAATGGTTGCGGAAACGTACAAGGTTTCGCGAGAAACTCAGGATAAGTTCGCCCTCATCTCACATACTCGGGCTAGCGAGGTTAGCTGTGTTCGGTGATGGACGAATGTAATTTCTGACCGTATTCACCACAGGCTCAATCTAAGGGTGTCTTCGCCGACGAGATTCTTCCCCTCGAATTCAAAGGCCAGATTGTGTCTGTCGACGATACCATTCGGCCTGGCGTAACAGCAGAATCACTTGCTGGGTTGAAACCAGTATTCGCAGATTGGGGCCATGCCTCGACGACTGCTGGAAATGCTAGTGGTGTGGGAGACGGTGCAGCGATCTGCATTTTGACCACAAGGGCGCGTGCTGAACGAGAAGGGATGGAAATTATCGGTAAATGGGTGGCAAGTTCTGTCGTCAGTGTCGAGCCACGATATATGGGTATTGCCCCCATCTATGCCATTCCAAGAGTTCTGGAGCAAGTCGGATTGAAGAAGGAAGACATTGATGTTTACGAGGCTGGTGCACTTTCTTATTCTATTTGGCTCAACTGACAAGGAAAATAGATCAACGAGGCCTTCGCGTCGCAGTTTGCCTACTGCGTAGAGGAGCTTGGAATCCCAATAGAGAAGATTAACCCCAAGTAAGTCAACTCACAGTCAGACAAGACTCGGAATGATTCATAAAATGCATAGCGGAGGCGCAATTGCGGTCTCGCATCCGCTCGGAATGAGTAGGTCGTAGATCGAGGACGAGAATGGAAATTGACTCTTTGCTAGCTGGCGTTCGCCAAGTGGTGACCGGACTCGCCGAGTTGAAGCGTAAAAACGCGTCTCTGCTTTGCACTTCAATGTGTGTTGGGAGTGGAATGGGAGCAGCAGGTATATTTGTGAATGAAGCACGTAGTGGAAGCAAATTGTGATTATAATTTACGAATTGCTACGAAGGAAAACCTGAAAAGGTTGTGAGCAAACTTTGTTGACCCAGTTGACTGAGAGAAAAAGAATTCTCAGCAAGTCGTTTATGTCAATGGTCCACGCCTATTTTGGTTGGCGTGGCCCAATTAAACTAAGAGGTGCCAATGGTTGCAATACCGCAAGCTCGTCATTGGAGGATGGGATGGAAAACAACTCACTTGAAAGTCGGGAGGTTGGAGTGTCACAAATAGTGTAACGCGCATCCGTGACTAGTCAGTCCATCACTCTAGCTCTCTACCGGCACCGTAAAATTTCGCTTGTTGTTATCTTGCTCTAACACCCTCAAGACCCACCTACAAAATGGCCACTCAGATCTCCAAAAAGCGCAAATTCGTCGCCGATGGTGTTTTCCGCGCCGAGCTCAACGAATTCTTCACCCGCGAACTCGCTGAAGAGGGCTACTCTGGTTGCGACGTCCGTGTAACCCACGCTCGCACTGAGGTGAGGGACACCCTTTTCCTTGATTTTAGGCTCTCACATTCCTTTGTAGATCATCATCCGTGCTACCCACACCCAAGAAGTCCTTGGTGAAAAGGGCCGCCGCATTCGCGAGCTCACTGCCCTCGTTACCAAGCGCTTCAAGTTCCCTGAGAATTCTCTCGAACTCTATGCCGAGAAAGTTCAGTACCGTGGTCTCTCCGCTATCGCTCAATGCGAGAGTTTGCGATACAAGCTACTTGGCGGTCTTGCCGTCCGTCGGTGCGTACAATGGCTTTTGGTCCGGCATCCTACTCATGTCTCTCTCTAATAGTGCATGCTATGGTGTCCTTCGCTTCGTTATGGAGTCTGGCGCCAAGGGTTGCGAGGTCGTCGTTTCTGGCAAACTTCGTGCCGCCCGTGCCAAATCGATGAAGTTCACCGACGGCTTCATGATCCATTCCGGTCAGCCCGCTGTCGACTTTGTTGACTTTGCTGTCCGCCACGTCCTGCTGCGACAGGGTGTGCTGGGTATCAAAGTCAAAATGTGTGTTTTATCTTGTAGCATTGATAAGATTGCTAACTTCAATTCTAGCATGAAAGGAACCGACCCTGAAGGCCAAATGGGTCCTCGCAAACCCCTTCCTGACTCAGTCACCATTCTCGAGCCCCCCGTCGACAAGCAAGTCACTGAGCCCACCTCTGAGCAACGGGAGCCTGTCGCCGTTGCACCGCCAGTTGCTGAGGATGCTTATGCTGCTCCTGCTCAAGACTACCAGCCCCAGGAGTCGTTTGAGCAACCCGTATTCTGATAGCTTTACTCCATTCTGTATCCTTCCACCAAGAAAAACAAAGGTTTTTTGGATGATGATGACATGATACGGTCACGCGTTATTTACCTGGACCCTGAATCAACTCAAAGTTTATTTCAACGGCCATGTCCACAGGTATGCAGCCGGAGAGTCAGAAGTGCAGACATAACGCGCAACAGAACAACTGAAGCAGATTCTCCGTGATCTTCAAGAAATTGCTCCCAATAAAGTCCAGAGAGTTCTGGCAGCACGCGGCATTTCTGGCCTCGACGCGCTTTTGGAGGGAGACGAAATCACTTTTGCGTTATTTGACGAAAAGGATGAGATATTTCGCTGTCCTGACTGCGGCTGGGAGCTCGAAGAAGGCGGCTGTTGTGGACGTGAATATGAACCGGTAAGGCTACTAATGCTTAACTCCTATTCTTTGTGTCGACGCGTTTCAGGGGCCGTGGCAAGAATATCCCTACGAGGGCATCCATGAGCACCCAGATCGTTTGTTGTCTTCACGGGAATCGACGCCACTCCCCAATCCTGATTTCGAAACTGGCCATCTTGGACCCACTGTGCCTGCGATGTACCAAGAGCGGCGGGAAGAATACGACGAGCTTCGTAAACGCGGTGCCACGCGACTAATGTGCGAAACCTTCAATCTCGAGTTTTCAGAAGAGACTGGCATTGTTGCGTGGGCAGACGGAGACCTCTACACTGAATTTGCGGGGCCATCGATGCAGAAAGGCGACTTCTGGAAAATCATGCTTGGACGCTGCGTTGAGTTGGACGACGACGACCTCGATGGCTCTCAGTTTATCGAGACGCTGGTAGAAGAAACACTGGTGCAACCCGCGGCCATCGAAACTTGCTCTTTGTATTGGGAAACGGTGGAAGAGTCGCCTGGCATTTGGGTTACCCGTCCCAACGAATCGCTCACGGAAGCCCAGCAACAAGAGGCAGTGGTGGTTGCTGAATACTCGACAAGCGATGACGACGAGGAATTGGAAATTTCAGAGGTCGATCTGCCACTGCCAATTGAGGAAGAGCAACTTGAAGAGGCCCCAATCAAGATGGAAGAGGATGTAACACTTGGATCAGTGGATTCAAACGATCCCGAAGTCGAATCAGACTGCTACTCCTCCATGTCTGACACCGAGGAAGAAGATGATGACGATTCGGACTTTGATGCCATATCAAGTGAGGAGGATGATGAAGACTTGGAACGAGAAGGCTCATATATTGCCCAAGAGTTACAATAGGAAAATGTCCGATAGGTCTAGTCGCTACATTGTTGTGTATTAATGTGATATAGAGTATTCTTTTTCAACGTAGCGTTCATTTGGACGCCTTCACGTGGAGCTTGGCAAGAGAGATGACAACGGGGACACCGTAGAATGCGTACGCAACCCACACCACTGTCACTTATTAGATCATTTAGCCAAATAGCAGTAGAAGAACGAACTCGTAAAAGCATTGCCCATGTTGGCAATGACTTGCGGTCCGTTGGCTCCTTGGAGAGCGATGCTCTGGTTGAAGTCGCTGGCTGCCTTGGCGAACCATAGGCGCAGAAAGAGGAAGGACGTGATGCCTAAGCGATGTTCAGCACCAACCAAACCAAATCAAAAGATAGCGAACCCAGAATGAAGCCAATAACACCGACCAACGTAGAACCACGTTGGAAGCCGGGCTTGTCCAGAGCAGCAGACATTTTCTCCCCGAACTTTTGACGGAAGGAGGTAAGGGTGAATGTGATGAAGAAGATGACGGAAAACACGATTGCGATGCCCACAAAAATGGGGGTCGCCTCGTTCGGGGCAGCCAAAAGCAATCGAGGAGCAGCGGAGGGCAATACAGAAAGGTCATAAACCGGGTTGAATGAAGGTGCCGAGCAAGTTATAGGTGCGTCATTCTTTGGTCGCGAGCAAGAGCCTGTTGGAGGTGAATCAAGTGTTGAAAAAAAAGACGATAGACATACCCAGTGTGCCAAGGTACACTGTTGGCCCATCTATCGATTGGGATGTGTTTTTAACCAACACTGTCGACGGCGTAACCGTTAACAGCGCGACTTTGTCTTGCAAAACCAAAACTGGAGCAAGGAAGACCAGCAGCGAGAGGACGATTGCAGTTAGGGTGACGACTGGGGCAAGGTAAAGTGTGGTGGCTTTAGAGATTCCGGTGATCATGGCGTGAAGAAAAGAATGGCCGTCTAGCGGAGTGCAAAGAGTGGTGGTCGTGAAAAGACAGTGGGGGTCGTGAAATGAGTAGAGGGATTGGATGATCAAACGCCTCTTTTATAAGGAGAGAAGACAATGAATGCCGTGAAGAAGCATTGTATTGAAGGCGTGGTCTTGGCCAAAAACAAGGATGCCTATTGTGAGCTCCATTTCTTGAGCTGTCAAAGTACAATGGACTTGTTGGGAGGGACGAATCTTGGGGCGGCTTTCGTTGACAACCGCCAAATCTCGTCGGGGAGCGCGAGAAATGTAATTTTGACTGATTGGGCGTCGTAAAAACTGGGTACTAATAGTCGCAGGGTGGCAGTATGTAGTTGGAGGTATCCGCCAGCGTGTCACAATCGGGTCACACAGACTCATTCCGAACGGCATGGGCGAAAAAATGCCAACCGTTATCGAACTACCTGAAGAGCTCAAGACTCTTACAGACCTCATACAGAACGAGCCGACATGCTTTTCTACTGCTGGCAGCACCGCTGTCGGAGCTGCTGCCTTGCGAGCTACGAAATTTGTCTTTGACCTCTGTGTGCATGTTTCCTACTCTTCTTTTGCTTGTCTTATGCCGATAATCCAGCCCTATCGTCTGAAGCTGAATCCAGACCACTCGTTGCTGAATTTCTAGCATCTCTTGCGCCGTCAGAAGCGCCTGAAACGCGGTCACAAGCCTCCAAAAAGCGAAAACGCGACCAGAGTCCATCACCCCCACCGCCCGCTTCATTCGAGGCAACACCGATATCTGCATTATATACAGACGGAATGGATGACGAGCAGGTGTGGGCGCAACTCGATCTGCGATTGAAGAATGTGTGTGACATGCTTGACTTTGCGTTGGAAGCCGATTCGCCCGACTCTGAAGACGAGCAAGCGAATGAGGATGTTGACGAAGGCATGCTTGAGGAGATGGCAGCTTTCGAAAATGGCGACTTCGACGTGGAAGACTCTGAAGAGGATTCCGACTTGGAGTCAGAAGAACAAAGTTCAGAAGGAGAGGCTGACTTGGGAGAAGGCATTGCCTCTCTTAGAGACCCTTCTTCTGACGAAGAGCTTGAACAGTCACGTCCCAAACGCCGCAAAAAAGCATCATCAGAGCTCGATGATGACTTTTTCGATCTTGCAACATTCAACGCAGAAACTGAGGAGGCAGAGGCTAGGACAGTGTCGAAAGGCGGCCTCGGCGTCGAAGACTCCGATGACGATGAACTTATTGATCTTTTTGCACCCGTGGATCAAGAGAATTTCGACGAGGAGGACGAGGAAAACGCTGGTTGTAAGTTTCAATACCAGAGTTCATGTTGATACCAACTTGGATCCCTCTAGCTCTCTTCTACAAGGACTTCTTCGAGCCGCCTCGAACCACACAGAAACCGCCAGCATCTCCAAAAAAGGCTGGTTCTGTACGTTTTCACGATGAAGTTCGCGTCAAAACCATCAAACCTCAAGGCAAAAACTTGCCTCTAAATTCTCTCGAGCTTGAAGGAGAAGAAGGGGATGACGACGAAGAGGACGACGACGATCTCGGTGAAGAGAGCGGTCAAGAGGGAGAGGACCAGGAGAGTGATAGCGAGAGTGAAAGTGAAGAGAGATTGGAGAGTGATGAGGATTCTGAAGAAGAGAGTGTCGAACGGCTCAAAAACGACCTTTTCGCGGAAGAAAATGATGAGCCACCGCCCTCAGATCTCTCAACTCATGAACGACGTCTGGCTGAACTTCGTGAACAGATCTCAAGTTTTGAGGCTGAAAACGTCGGCCCTAAAGACTGGGTTGTCATGGGCGAAGCAGGTGCTCGGTCCCGACCACAGAACTCGCTTCTCGAGGAAGATCTCGAATATGAGCGCGTTATGAAAGCTGTTCCCGTCGTCACGGAAGAAAAGGTTCAGGCATTAGAGGACAAAATCAAAGCACGAATCTTAGAGGGCCGTTTCGACGATGTTGTGCGCATTCGGCCAATGGACGACAAACCATTTTTACCGTCTCGCTTCTTCGAGTTGCAAGATACCAAATCCACTCAATCACTGGCTCAGATTTACGAGGCGGACTATGTCGCTGCTCAAACCGGCACTTCTGTTGACGACCGCGATGGAAAACTCAAGAAAGAACACGCAGAGATCGAAAACCTCTGGGAGAGCATATCCGCAAAGCTAGATGCCCTTTGCAACGCCCATTTCGTTCCGAAGCAGGTACGTATATCTCTCTATGTCGTATTCTTGTCTTACGCCCATTCCATAGCCCAAGGCAACGATAACATCCATTGCCAATGTGTCTACAGCGACGATGGAGTCGGCTCTTCCAACAACCAAGTCTGTGACCTCGATGCTGGCTCCAGAAGAAGTATTCGCGACTTCATCATCGGACCTTCGTGCACGGGACGAGCTCACTCCCCAGGAAAAGAAGGCGCTGCATAACAAGCAGAAGAAGTTGAGAAAGAAGAGTCGCGACAAGTTGGAACAGAGTGTTGACAAATACGCCAAGAAGGTTAAGGGCGTCAAAAAACAAAAACAGGCGGCATTGGCGAGCGTTGTGAAGAGTGGCAAAGGAGTGACTGTCGTCGGCAAGCCTCAGAAGGGTTCGGGAAAGAATGTGAAGAAGGGAAAGTCGTGACCGGAGCCATATTTAGGGACTTTTGATGTAACACCCTCCGTTTCCATCTTTGAAACCGAGCCACCATGTCGTTCTTCAGACGCAAGGACAACAACCAGTCGATGATCCCGCCAACTCAGGATGGCAACAGCACCTCCCCTAGGCCAGCTCGTGGCAGCGCTAATACCTATGTGCGCAGTCGGGACGGTGATTCGTTTGGCACCGACTCCTACTCGTCAGACAAAACCAAAGTCGACTACAACGACAGAAAGACCAACTATGGTGACAATGACAGGAAGGCGGATTATGGCGACAGTGGGGCAAACTATCGGGACAAGTACAACCGAAACAACGGTGTTGGCGACGTCTACTCCCGAGGCGGTGCTACTCTCGACGAAGATCGGGCTGCTTTGTTTTCTGGCTACAACGCAGAGAAGCGTACTGGCGCTGGCTCTGGCCGATTCTTCGATGGACCCAAATTGGATCGCGAGCCAGCGCCTGGAGAGGAGAATGAGGAGGATGTTGAAGGCATCAAGAAACAGACGAGATACGTAAAGCAGGAGAGCGCCAATTCCACTAGAAATGCGCTTCGTCTTGCCCGAGAAGCAGAGGAGACGGCTCGCAATACTCTTAACCGTCTCGGCAGTCAGTCGGGTGAGTTGTCTCTAGATTGACTAAGCTCTGTCTCATCTCTCTTTCTCAGAACGTCTCGCAAACACTGAGCGTCACCTGGACATCTCCAAGGGCCATTCCCAAAAGGCCGATGACAGGACTGACGAGCTGAACCAACTTAATCGGTCTATTTTCCGGCCTGTCATTGTGTTCAACAAGGATGGCAAGCGTGCTGCGCAAGAAGCCAAGGTGAATGCTCGCTATGAAGAAGAGCGGGCGTCACGAGAACAGGCGGCTATGGAGACTCGAGAATCGCACAACAGAATTGGTCGTGCTCAGACTTATGGACGTGATGACGAAGAAGGACGAGATGAGTTGATGGGTGGTGGTGGTGGTCGGAGCCGCTTCAGAACTGATGCTCAGAACAATGCCCGCAAGGAGCAACGCAAGCGCTATCAATTCGAGGCGACTGCCTCGGATGATGAGATCGAGGATGAAATTGACGACAACTTGGACGAAATTGGTGATGCAGCAAAGAGGCTCAAGGCTCTTGGCCTTGCAATGGGACAGGAATTGGACACCCAGATCCAACGTATCGACCGTATCGACCAGAAGACCGTCAATCTCGACAACAGAATCAACCGCAACACCGAGCGCGTTCGTTCAATTTCTGTCCTCCAACGGTCTACTGAAATGCATTTCCACAGCTCAAGAAAGTCAAGTAAACGCCGAATTAGCTGTACAGTCTTTGTTACAATCTCAAATGGAATCTATTTATTTACACGTGGTCAAAACTGTCTTGTCTCTGACCGCCAATGTGTACGGGTTGCTAGCACAGATGGACTCTGGGAGAACGGTCTCTGCCGGGACGTCCTTGAACGAGAGATGGTAAAATATTCTCCTCTTTGACACCGGCCCATTTCACGGTTGAACAGGGAAAGTCTTGTGGAAGCCCAAACAAGTTGGTGTGGCGTCAACCTTGTTTGGCAATGATCCTCAACTATTCATAGCCCTCTTCAAACAATCAACCGATGAAAATGCTTCCCTACTCAAACGAATCACTGAACTGGAGCGCGAATTAAGCGTATGGAAACACGCACTTACGAAAGCCGATGAAGAACAGGCAACGCTCAAAGGAACGATCACAAAACTTGAACAAGTAGTCGGCTCAATCCATGTAAGTCTAAGCACTGGCCACACCTATTATCTTCGAACTCAAGACAGAGCGACAATTTCCTTCTGCTCTGTCTCATCGATGGCGACGGCAATATATTCTCCGAAGAATTGCTAACTCAAGGTCACAACGGCGGACGGCAAGCGGCGATGCGTCTCAAACAGGGAATCACGGACTACGCCCGGGGCGTGGACCCACAGTTTTCTCGTGCGACAGTCTGGCTGACTGTGTTCTGCAACCTCACGGGGTTGACTGAAACGCTGACTAGCCAGAACCAGCTCTGCACCCGCGAACAATTTGCCGCATTCGTGTCAGGATTCAACCAATCGGCCCCTTTGTTTTCGATGGTGGACGTGGGGCAGGGGAAGGAGGCTGCTGATACAAAAATTAAAGAGTACCTCCGAATTTTCTCGCCTTTTGCACAGGCCCCATTGGTTTTCTTTGGAGGTACTTGTCATAGCGTTGATTCAGCCATAAAATGACTCTCTGCTCATTAGGCTCGCATGATAATGGCTACACAGCTGCAGTAGCGTCACTCGAAAACGAAGGCTTGTTGCACAAGCTTGTTGTGCTTCGCGGCTACAAAGATGATATTGCCCGAGAACTCAAGAAATTCCAACTGCAAGAACTGAATATTGACGGCGTGTTCATGGAACACAAGATCCCAACTTATATTTTTCCCCGTAAACCTCTGACAGTCGTCCCGCCGACGGCCAGTCTTCCCGAATATACGAGTCCATACCCAAGGCCGGCCAGCCCGCGGAAGGGTCCACCAATGACACCCACTGCTACAGAAAGTAAAACACCTCGTTACCTGATACCTGGTATTGTCCGTGTTTTTCCGAAGGCATTGGATACTTTTCACTTATTACGTTGTCATTCTAGCCTCTCCATAAACGTGAATATTGGTCTTATTTTCTATCCCACAACTAACTGGGGGTATCTTAGAAAGCCCAACGCCGTGCACCTTTTATTACCTTGCCCAATGTCGACAAGGGACGCGCTGCACGTTTGGCCACGACTACATATTAACTCCCGATAACTTGGCTGAATTGCGCGACTACGCGAAGAAAGCACCATGTCCAGTCCTAAATCGAAGTAAGTCACATCGAGCTATGCAAAGTGTACTAGCCTCCTCATAACATCCAAAAGATCAAATGTGTCAAGCAGGAGACACTTGCCTCTTTGGGCATGTATGCCCTCGAGGCGAAAGCTGCAACTATCATCAAAGAGTGCGTTTTACAGCCACACTTTCTTGGGATTTTTTAAAAATAAAAACCAGAGTACTTGCAAATTCGTGGGAGGTACTACGCGCCTTCTTTTCCTGCCTGCGACACCTGCTGACGAGTAGTACAGTCTCAATGCACACCACCTCCGATATGCCGGCAGACGAGGCTCGGTTTAATAGGTCTCCTACTTTCTCGTGAAAGGTTTCAAGTGACAGGAATAAATTCCGGAAATAAATGAAAATCGTGTCAGTCGTAGATTTTAATTTTGAGTTTGATGGTATCAGAACGGGGTTGCTTTTGTTCGTCGACTACTCGCCCCGTCCATATTCCCTTCCCCAGGCGCATTTCAGGACGTTTCGCGTCAGTTGACGCGTAAAAAACAAACACCAATGGTCTCAGCATACGAAAAGCAACGGCTGGCCAACATTGAGCGCAACAAAGCATTGCTAATCAGTCTAGGTACAACCCTGCTTACCAGTCGCCCTCTGCTTACTCTCCTAGGTCTCGACAAACCCATATTCGAACCTACCGAAGTAAAACGCGTCGAAAATGTGAAAACGACGAAAAAGAGGAAAGCGGTCGAGCAACTTGAGCCCGACTCGGACGCAAAACCGAAAGTGGCACGTACGGAGGAGGCCTCAGTCAGTGCTGGGCCTCTCCGTCGAAGCGCTCGTAACTCTGGGAAAACCATCGACTATAAGTCTGAAAAGCTGGTCAGCTCGCCAGTTTCTCTCTCGGCGTCGCGAATATCAGACAACTGTGGGCCTCAGGGTCGCGAAGAAGGTGCTAAGCGACTCCATGACCCGTAAGAGACTTTTTTAAAAACCTTTTTCTTAGCCTGGGGCTTATGTTGTGTTCAGAAAAACCTATGGATCTATTCCTGGCGTTGCTGTTGGGACATGGTGGGATATGAGGTCTGCCTGTAGTGCAGACGCGATCCACGCGTGCGTGAAACTCTCTCTCTCTTTTGTCAGCCCATGCTTACAGCCAATAGGCCCTACGTTGCAGGTATCGCTCCAGGGAAGCAAGGTATGCAGTCTGTTAGTTTGGTTTTCGTTTTGACCCAGCAATATTCCCTCAGGCGCGTACAGCGTCGCTCTGAGCGGAGGATACGCTGATGATGTCGACTATGGGTACGCGTTGTACGTGCCAATTATCCACCTATTTTTGCTTTGCTTAGGTCAGCAGCACCTACACCGGCTCTGGAGGGAGGGATCTCAAAGGTACCCAGTCCAATCCTAAAAACTTGAGAACGGCACCCCAGTCATCAGACCAGTCGTTTGACAATACTGTAAGCTTCCATTTCCAGGTCTAGCGCGTCGTGCTAACCAAGACATCAGTTCAATCGAGCGCTAAAAGTTCTCTTTCCCTTTCTGCCCTTGACCGTCGATTCCTGAGATTGTGTTCAGGTGTCTTGTGAAACCAAAAAGCCAGTACGCGTTATTCGCGGCTTCAAGCTAAAATCTCCATATGCACCATATGAAGGGTCGGTTCGTTCCTCTTTGTTGCAGCGTATGGCTCAACGCTTTGGCAGGTATCGTTATGATGGTTTGTATTGCGTCGAAAAGGTTGCTTTCTTTCGCTTGAACTCTACTTCCCCATTGACACCGGACAAAGGCCTGGCTTGAGAAAGGCATGGAAGGATTCATGGTTTGCAAATTTGCTTTCAAAGTGCGTCTTCCAATGTCTTGTGGCCGGAGAACTAACTTGGAGTTCATGATCAGCGACTTGCTCATCAGCCTCCCCTTCCCCGCCGCGCCAAAGACGACGACGGTCCAAACCCGCAAACGGAAGAATCAGAGGCTGTAGACGAGGATGAATAGTGCAGATGTACAACACAAAAGAACGAATAAGATAAGATTACGACGAGCAAAAGAGTAGAGGGTATGGCAACATGTTGTACACTGGGTTGAGTTGAGCTTCTCCAGTCCTGTCAATATCGTACAGTCCGCCTATAACGCATCCTCCGGGTCCCAACGACTGATTCTTTCGAGAGGCTTGTAAAAGTAATTCTTGAATTTTTTGGTTTCTGCTCGCTTCGCAGGCCTGATGCTAACGAAAAGTTGGGCACGGTCCTGATCTGGGTCGCGTTCGGATTGGTAAAACCACTGTTCTTCGGAGACTCTTTCAGAATCATCATCCTTGGACGACATGAGCGACAGATGACATGAAAGAAAACGTCACGCACTGATGTCTCACGTTCCACCTTCCCAAAGACTCCGCTGCCTCCAGCGGCTACAGTGCCTGATTCGAGAATACGCTCCATGAGTTCCAGACATTCCTCTTCCGTGCCCCGACTTTTTACAGAGGGATAACTCTGCATGATACTTTTGAACAGCGCTGATGTTGGCAATGAAGATGCACGTGAAGTTGCTAAACACTCGATAAGCATTCCACATAGTTCAGGATCAATTTCAGGCTGAGGCCTAAGGTGACGTTCAGTAACACTTTAGTTCCCAGCAGCATTTGGACACTGACGATGCACGAGATTTCTTGCTTTTGTTTCTCTGTTCTGACCGCGAGGATTTTGGTTTCGAATCTCGTGACTCTCTTCGTCTTGATTTTGTGTCTCTTGAGCGAGTATTGGACGACCCGCCTGCCCGCGATGCGATTGTAGAATCGACAGTGCGTGCCTTTTTGGCCTTGCGCGTATCAACTTTGGATGCCGATTGAGCAACCCGTTTCTTTCCCTTGTCTGCAGTTTCATTCTTCGCCTTGCCATCCCTTGAAGGTTCAGACTCGGTCGACTCATCGCGCGATTCTTCGTGAGATGTTACAGAGACCTTAATCAGCATCGGGATATCCAAGTCTGAAAGCACATGATCGTCGACTTTTGCTGACTGGACTAACGACTCGGGTTCTTTCGCTGGAATGGAGGGAGAAGTTTCGGCCACAATGACATCAACTGGGCTTTCTTGACTCTCAGCCGATGTGGCAGCCTGTTAAAATCTTGAGCGAGAGTTTGAGGATAAGGAAGGAGACTTACAAGTAGCCCGAGCCCAATATCCGTATCTTCAGTTGGTTGTTGGACCATCTCATCATCAGTTAACAAATCCATGTCGTGGTCACCCGCTATAGAGGACGGTGGCAGCGACAGTGGCGAGAGTGGCCCTGGAACAGAGAGCGGAGAGACAGATCCGACCATGGGAGAAACGGATAGGGAAATGGGCGACAGGATAGGTGAACTGTGAGAAAGGATGGGCGACGAGGAAGGTGGGAGTTGTGGTTCAGATGAAGCTTCGCGCTGAGAGGCTACTGTCGGGGCAGGCTCTGAGATATTTCGCTGTACTGGGACAGCAGAAGGGGCAGGAGATGGTGTTGGAGATGTCGTTCGAGCAGCAAGCCGTAAAACTGCATGACGGGGTAATGGGTCACTTTTCCACCGACCACGTTCGGCTGATATGTTAAAACGAATGTGCGAGTTGTAGAAGTAGGAGTGCTGTGGCTCATCATCGCTGTCGGTGAGAAACTCGTCCTCGTCCTGCATTACTTCTGGCTCAGAAGAAGCGTAATATTCGGTCGAATGGTGTTCTTCATCGTCACTTGGGGCTGCAAAGAGAGATCGGAAAGAAGGCAATGAGATTTTGGAATCGACTGGGGGATCCCATGAAAGCCTATAGTCGTCCTTGGATACGGGTGAACTGGGACTCTGAATGCGAGGGAGGGCGTAGTGAGGGAGAGATGGTGTCGACAATGTATGCTCCGACACTGGGGACGAAGACATGGCTGACTGTCGCCAGTCGTGGTCGTGCATGGACGGAGGGAAAGGGTAGAAGTAAAGGGTAAATGGTGGTCGAGACCAAAGTGTTTGTTTGTTTACTCCCAGAATCATGGCACGTGCAACGTCGAGAATCACTCCTCGACAAATATTTCGTCTATAACCCTACGAAACAGTTCCTGATCTAATTCCACAGGTGTACTTGTACGACTTGCCCTCCACAATCTCCAAACCCCACGGATCGTTTCCTTCAAACCGTCATTTTCGCTACTGACGACGGTCGCTGAGTCTTCCTCATCAACACGTCCAGCCAAAACTATCTCCAATCGATCCGACAGAGACTCGGTTATTGGATCGGTAGCTGGGTGCATTTCTGCATACGAAAATGCGATAGGAACCTCCTTTTCTGGAGCGGGTGATGGGATGAGAGAATCAGCAGTCCCTCCATAGCGGTCATACTGTGCCCAGTAATCCGACTCGCCCTGCTCCTCCTGAAAAGTTTCACGTCTTTCTTCGGCTTCTTCTCCGTATGAATCCCAGTATGAATCGGGCGTGTCCTCTGTCTCTTCCAAAACTCTCAGCTCGACTGGAGAATCGAAGGCCCCGCCCGGAAAGGGCATCAGTGCAACGTTGTTGAACTTCCAGTCACCCTCATGCCTGAATACCAGACGTAGGGTGGGGGAGACTTCGACGTGAGCAAGTTGAGCGTCGTCAGCAGTGTAACGAATGTTGAAACTGCAACGGTTGTCCAAGCGTGTGGATTGTAGAGCAATCAATGCTTCTGCTACACGTTTATCATCATCGGAGGGCCATGCAAGATATGGCGGGCCATCCTGGGCCGTCAAGTCAAGGCATGAATGGCGGAAAGCGAGTGCTTTGGCGAGCAGATGAGGGGGAATTGTTTGGATAGAAGGGATTATATAATGTAGGAGTATGGCAACTGTCGATGGTTCCAAGGGCGAGGCCATCGAAACCGTCTTCACTGGTTAGTGGTGGTGAGAGACTGGAAGTGGGAGGTCCGGAAGGAGAGAAGCATGGCTGCATGCTAGATCGCAGGTCACATCGTGTGACACGGCCAAGCTCTTTTCCTAATCTCCGCAATGAAGAGTCTCTGGAGTCTACCCATCCTCCTTCTCGCTAGTCTTGTCGCCGCCCAAAACGTGCCAAGAATAGCATTCAGAATGATAGTTACTGACACAACCCCAGAACTCCTCGAATGTACCTTCAAACATCGTCACCGTTATAACTTCTCTCTCCACTTCGGTTGGCCTTGCCTCTGGACGAGTACCGACAACAACAACTATAACTGTTCTTATCACGTCGACCATCCAGCCACAATCTTCTGGTCCCGCCCAAAATTCGGGTTCAAACCAGTCGTCAGGTGCAGCCTCCTCCACAACGCGTGCTAATCTCCCGACCGGCTCGGCCGCTCAGGCCACCAATGTTGCGCCGTCACCTGCGAGTATATTCTATACCGTTTCTCATCCGTTCTTATTCTTTCTACTAGGGTGGTTCGGGTGGCAGTTATGGACCGCCAGACGGCTATATTAGCTCAGCTCAACGACCACAGTGGAATTTAGTCGTAGCTGGCGGTGGATTAGTAGCTGCTGCAGGCATTCTAGCGCTTTAGACCCCTCACTCGGACTCTGTAGCCAGAGCAATGGACTATGCATATATTACTACTCGCAAAGTTGTCACAATAATAATGACTTCATTACGTCGCTTGTTTCACACCACCAAGAGCATTCGTTCTATTATGGCTAACACAATGGAACCTCAAAGTAAAAGGGCTAAGCTAGACCAGAAAAAGGTCGAACCCCAGTTCACAGCGACTGCGAATCCAACTAATCAAACAGCAGATTGGCACCCACTCAGGTCTGTTGTTCAACGGACAGCTCAGTAGCAATGATATATTCAACTTCGTCAAGGCACATTCCACTGTGATGAAGCATTGGCCGTTTTCCTTCTCCGCAACACCGACAAATACAAGAACTCCGGTTGGTCCCAAGTTGATTACGGTTGTTGATTTACTGACACAGCCCAGAGGTAACACGGACGCGAGATCCAGCAGTATTGGCAACATGCGATATTGTAGTGGATGTCGGCGCTGTTTACGACGAGTCTCGCAATCTCTTCGACCACCATCAACGCGGTTTCACTGAGGTTTTCGGTCATGGATTCGAGACCAAGCTCTCGTCTGCCGGTCTCATCTACAAGTTTGGTTGGCTTTCGGCATCTTTGCATGGGTGTTTATGCGTCTCCTTAGGCATTTTGGGAAAGAGATTGTGGCAAACAAGACCCAACTCTCCATAGACGACAACAAGGTCAACACTTTATGGCTAAAAATTTATGAAGTAGGAAGCCTGATTCCCGCGTTCTGGTCGATGGACTGAGTGCTACTTCCAGCAATTCATTGAAGCCATAGATGCCATCGACAATGGCATTTCTCAATATCCTTCTGACCTAAAACCGCGATATAAGAGTAACACCCACCTTGGAAGTCGCGTCGCGTCCCTCAACCCTGCCTGGAACCAACCAATCAGTTCAGAGATACTTGATGTAAGTCTTCAGCGAGTGACCATATCTTGTCAACTGATGTATTCCAGGCCCAATTCGAGAAGGCCTCTTTACTCACTGGCGAGGAGTTCCTCTCCAAATTGAACTTCTACGCCAATGCTTGGCTTCCTGCCCGCGACCTATTGACCTCTGCAATCGCAACTAGCAAAAATACTGATCCCAGTGGCAAAATAATTGTCTTGGACCAGTTTTTACCGTGGAAGGTATAGGCCTTCCCCTTGGCTCGAAGTTCAACTGACTCCTTTAGGAACATCTCTTCGACTTGGAAGGTGAACAGCAAGTTCCCCCAGGTCAAGCGATCTACATCGTCTACCCAGACGATAGTGGCAGTTGGCGGGTGCAAGCCGTCCCCCTATCATCTGACAGCTTTGAGAGTAGGAAGGCATTACCTGAGGCTTGGAGAGGACTACGGGATGACACTTTGTCGGAAGCTTCAGGCATTGAAGGGGGCATATTCGTCCATGCATCGGGTTTCATTGGGGGTATGCCCATATCTGATCTTTCTGGCGTATTACTCACGCTTTGCGGTAGGAAATAAAACGAAGGAAGGGGCGCTGAAACTCGCGCAAACGGCGCTCACCATGTAATTTTACTCTGAAACGCTGACATTGCTGCCTACTGGTTACAACGTTCCCGTTGAAAAGCAACATGTGTGAAACACAAGGAGGCTCTTAGCTTCTCAATGCGCCACCGTCTTCGATACAAGAGACCCATTCCGACCCGACTTTTCAGGCTGCGACGTATGTCGGCTTCCAGCGCCTATTACCATCCCATTCTCTTCTCTTTAATGTGCCTCTGTGGCTTAGCCGAAATGGGTCTAACGGCATTCCTGGTGAATGCGGGAAACGCACACGGAACATGGCCAACTCCACGATATCATTCATTGCTGCTTTTGCTTTTGTTCTGCGCTGCGTGGACGGTCTTCTTCAGCTCTGCTTACATCCTTTGGCTGGCGGACAACAAGCAACATATACTGGCCAACGTAGCCAGCTCAATCATCTGGTTGGGTGTTACTCTTGTCCTATGGGTGCGTCGCCTGATACAACTTGTTGAAATATTCATCTTAGGGCTATGTAGGGGGTTGGTGCAGGAATTTTACACTTCACAAGAGGTGGAGGCAATTGCCCCAATTCTGCCCCGATCTCTCGGTTTGTTCACTCATCGATCCGTCCAAAGCATGAACTCACGGCGCCTGAGCAGGTGTAGGCAGTCGTTGACCGTTGAGAGCTTAGCATGGGTGGAGACAGGGGTCGTATTTCTAACTCTTTGCTGGACGATCACTACGACCATTGTGAGACGAGATACTCTAGACTCGCGGAGGATAGTCTAGACCAGATTGTTTAATTTATTTTTATGCGGCACGCCAGAAGATGCCTTATTCGGGTATGTCGGTAGTTATGATCGAGTCGTGTGAGTGTTACTCCACGACTAGCATCTGCTCGTTGACTTGAGCCATGGTGCGCGAAACGAGTGAACATCGCCAGTCTCGTTGCGACATTCTCATCGAAGCTGGGGAACAAGACGGCCTACAATTCCTCTCTGATACCGATTCAGTGACTTCCAGTGTCCAAGTTGCACGACCCTCACCCAGGCTCAGCGCCAAACATCGAGCTTTCATCATCCGAACAATTGCCTTATTTTGCGCTTGCTGGTCGGTCTTGCTCGTTCAAACTCAGCCATGCTAATGAGACCGTCAGGCTCAGCGTTGGGAGTCACTAGTATGCATGCGACTATCCTTATAACTCCATCTAATCGACAACAATTAGTGCATCATATGTATTAGGACCGCTGAAAAGCCGTATTTCAAGGTGCGCCTGGCCTCGTTCACTGCTGTGGTCGTTGACTGAACATTCTCGCAGAGATTTGAAAACCGGCCATGCGGAATATGGACTGCTGATTTCTGCACTGTCATTAAACAGGTGCGACGCAGACAATACCGAGTAGAACACCCGCACTAAAATTTCGACCAGCACATGGACACCGCTTGTGGGAGGACTATTAGCAGGTACATTGGGGACAGTGAGTAGCTGCTCCTGAGATGGTTATTTTTCATTCGCGGTCACGTGATGGAAAGGATAACCTTCACGTCGCTGCTTTACTGATGAAAATAACAGACTTTGACGAGTATTCTTGCAACTGGAATTGTCTTTATCGGCACCTCATTCTTGCTCATTGGTGATATCTGGAGTGATGTGCGGGTAATGGCTCTCGGTCTGTTTCTTTTCGGTCTTGGGGTGAGCCCTGTCGCAGTGTGTGAGTGGTATCAGAATCAGGGTGCCTATCTTTGTCTTGACGCATATAATTTAGGCCAAGAAACTATCATCGTTCGGTTCTTCAAAAGCCATGGACTCGGTGTCTCTATGGCCTTCGGGCTCGTTGCGGGCAAAGGAGCCTCCTTTGTGTCTGCACGCACATCATATCCTCTTACTCAGAAGTTCGGTCCTCGCGCCCCATTCTATGTCGCCACATTTTTGGCCTTCATGTCTGTTGTGATCAACCTGGCATATATCGCTGCGTCTAGATGGCTTATTGATGGAGCTGGTGCCGAACTTGAGGCTATCGACATTAATGAAGAAGCTCGTCGTCGTTCTACCCTCAATATATCACAAGCACAAGCATTAGAGAAAGTTGCCGCAAAACGTCGTGTCCATCTGAAGGAAATTACCAAGCTCGGTGACGTTTTCTGGGCGTATGTTGCTCCCCTCTTTCTACTGCTTGATACGTTCCTAATACGACACCCAGTTATATTGCTACCAACCTATTGTGTGGCTGCATATGGGCCCCGTTCACACATCTTGCCGCGAATATTATCGAACTACGCTACCACTTGTCAGAACGCGACGCTGCCAACACGGCATCATATGTCCTTGTTGGAAGCATATTGTGCGTTGATTGTCTCATCCGTCATGCGACTAAAAATATGGCAGCCTCTATCCAATTTGTGGTGCCATCGTCGACAGGTTCAAAAGAAAGCCCATAGTTGTTTGGTTGTTGCTACTTTCATCCGCCTTCACTTTAGGCGCATATACTTGGCTTGCTCTGCCTCCGAGCACCACAGGGACGGCCAAACCAGCGATTGCTGCCTTCGGATTCGGGCATGGCTTCTCACCACGTAACGCACCTATTGCGGGTATTTCCTAGCGTTGGTCTGACCTCTTTTACAGTTCTCCTTGTCCTTCTGGTGCCCAAGATCGTGCCGGTCAAGTACATATCGACAGCCCTGGGAGCCCACAAGAGTGTTAGTTCTTTCCGCACAACCTTCCGTATGGTCTTACAATGAGTTCAGCTGGAGCAAACTGGTTCCACGATTTTCCAAACGTTGGCCGGCCTCGGAATGGACAAGGCAAAAAGAGAGAATCGTTCATCTACACAAGGCATTATAAATGCGTTTCTCTTCCTCAACATCCTCCAAATGCTTAGTATTCTCGTCGTTGCCTATCTTCAACATCGACGAGAAGCTCATTCCATCCGCTCGTCGAACGCTAACATCCGCACCGGTATACCTACTGACTCGAGTCAGCCATTACTATCTGGCTCCGAGAATACCCGACGATATAGCTCAATATCACGCATCTTGTCGGACAACGATGTCTCTCCTAGTGAAACGCGCAGGGGTCGAGTTTTTGCCAGTATATCTGCGACTCTCATATTCTCAGCATGGGCTCTCTTCTTATCCGTTGCTTGGATCAAGTTAGGACGGCATAAATAAGCTTGTAGCACTGTATCAAATAAATATTCACAATGTAATGAAATGATGGCTCAGATTAGATAAGTTCGACATCAGTTGCATCACGAGATCACTGACTAGTGTGACGCATTGAGTGTGACTCTAGTGTGATCATAAAACTCTTTCGGTACGATACTTCGTGGTCGTTGAGCTCCTACTCATCCATTCCAGCCGCAAGATGGGCGCATACAAATATATTGGGGAACTCTACAAGAAGAAGCAGTCGGATGTTCTGCGCTTCCTCCTTCGCGTTCGGTGCGTCCAAGATTTGTTACTGCCTTGAGATCTTACCTGAAGCTCCTCCAGTTGCTGGGAGTACCGTCAACTGAACGTCATCCACCGGGCCTCCCGACCCTCCCGCCCCGACAAAGCCCGCCGACTCGGTTACAAGGCCAAGCAAGGCTACGTCGTTTATCGTATCCGGGTCCGTCGCGGCAACCGCAAAAAGCCTGTCCCCAAGGGTGCTACCTACGGCAAGCCCGTTCGCCAGGGTGTCAACCACCTCAAATTCCAGCGTGGTCTGCGTTCCACTGCTGAAGAGCGTGTTGGCAGGCGATGCGGAAATCTTCGTGTTCTCAACTCCTACTGGATCAACCAGGATGGTGTCTACAAGTACTACGAAGTCATCCTCGTCGACCCTAACCACAAGGCGGTATGCCGATTACTATTGCTTTGGGAGCATTCTCACTCACGTTGTATTTCTTTTTTCTTTTAGATTCGGAAAGACCCCAGGATCAACTGGATCGCCAAGCCTGTCCACAAGCGTCGCGAGGCGCGTGGTCTTACCAGCATCGGAAAGCAGGTTAGCCTCGATTATTTTCTATCTCCATTCATCGCTCACTCATTCTTAGAACCGTGGGTTGGGCAAGGGCAGTCGCTACAACCATACTCCGGCGCGGTCCACCTGGAAAAAGCACAACACCCTCAGCTTGCGTCGTTACCGTTGATTTACTTTGTCATTTTTACGCACTATGTTCTGCTATGCCATGGCTTTGCATGCACATTTCATTTTGCTGAGTTCGTGTGAATTTGTTGCTCGGCTATCAAACAAGCAAAGGTTGACGGACGATTTCGGCGTGTTGTGGAACCTGGAGCTTTCTTACGACTTTCATGAACCTCTATTGTTACGATCTCCTCATCCTCCTTATTGCTGCAACCGAACCAGCGCTCGCCTCTCCGTTTTCGTCGCTGGCTCGGTTTTGGCCGCGTTTCTCAGCTCAGAGTCTTGCAACAAATTCAACCACAACTAACTCTACCACCCCATCGGCCTTTATTTGGCTTCCCCAGGACGAGTACTCGGGGAAAACCTTCTTCGAGTTTGTCGAGTTACCAGACGTGTTGCTCTGATGACCAAGTTATACGCAGTCGCTTCGAATTCTACACCGGGCCTGACCCGACACGGTGCGTTGAAATCGAAGCCGCGTTTGAATTGGGCCTCACGTGTTGTTCTTTCGGCGTAGAGGAACTGTGAAGTATGTACGCGTCTTGGAACAATTTTCGTTCAGTAACCCGATCGCGTCAGTTATGTCAACTCGAGTGTCGCGTTCAACAATAGTCTGGCGTACTTTGAAGCAGCCAACAACACTGTGGTCATGAAAGGCGACGACACAACGTGGCTTCCAGAGGGCCAGAATCGGTCCAGGTTGGTACTATCATCCTTGACTTGGCGGGAAACTTGAACCAATCCAGTGTGCGTATTTCGAGCATTGCTCAGTACAACACTGGCCTCTTCATCTTGGACCTCAATCAGGCTCCGTGGGGCTGCGGTGTTTGGCCCGCCTTCTGTAAGCATTCGTCCTCAATGCAGTAATGTTGCCTCATTAGAACGTAGGGACAGGTCAATAATTCCTTGGGTCTGCTATAAGTCACCACTAATCTGCGAATAGTCGGAGGCGGACAGTGGCCATATGTCTGCACTTTTCTACTTCCTTTGGTTTCACGCCTCTTATTTCCGTTAGACTGGGGAAATAGATATCATCGAGGGAGTTCATGATAACGAGCATAACCAAGTAACATGGCATACTGGGCCAGGTTCTGCTCTCCAACCTTCTTTGGGAAAATCACTCACTCACTCTCTTTCTTCAGGATGCACCCTTTCGCTGGAATCGAATTACACTGGAAGCGTTGTCGTGCGTTTATAGGCAATCCGTCCGACGACCCTTCTAACCTTCTTCCCAGACAGACAACAAGGGAGTGCCGAACCTCGATTGCGACGGCAATCTGAACGGAAATGCCGGATGTGGCATCACAGAATGGAGCAAGGCGTCATATGGACCTTTCTTCGCTGCCTCAGGCGGCGGGGTCTTCGCCATGAAATGGGACGAAACTGGAATCGCAGTCTGTAAGTTACTCGTTCGACTGGGAGACGGCTCATTTACCGCTGTTAGGGTCATTCTGTTCGTTGGCTCCCGCTTTTGACTACTGAGCTTGCGAGCAGTAAAACCTTTCAGATCGCTCGGCCATACCAGGGGACATTACTAAAGGAGATCCAAACCCTGCTAATTGGGGGACGCCTGTGGCATCGCTCGCTCCCGCAACCTGCGATCCGATTGCTTTCTTTGTAAACCACTCGATTATATTTGGTACGTCTGTCTTTACTGCCACCTTGACACTACTCATGACTGGTATAGACATCACATTCTGTGGTAGGCTTTGAAAAAAAAATTCTACGCTGAACTGAATATCATATGCTCCCTTAGGTGACTGGGCAGGAAATTCGTATGCCACGTCTGGCTGTCCTGGCTCATGTTCGACTAGGCTGATGGATCCTTCTAATTTTGTGGTATGAAGCACCCTTGCATCCTACATTGCTTTCCAACCGAATACAGAACGCTTCATGGAGCATCAACTCGTTGAAGGTTTATAAGAAGCAGATCATCAACGGGCGTATTTCTGCTGCCCTCGCTATCGAGCCGAATTGGACAATATTGGGCGCAATCGTGCTATCGCTTGTACTTGGATACTAAAATAAATAGAGTCCAACTCTCTCTCACGGTCTACCAGGTAAAAGAAATGAGTTGCGAGTGATGGAGATGACATTGGGGTCTGCAGTGTCAATGTTCAAGCAAGAACTGGAGTAAGGATGACCTGAGCTAGACAGCGCGCTGATTGAGGGGGCTCGGTACAACGTGAGAGAGGACAACCGCTGCTTCAGCCCGCTGACACGGCTGAGCATGCCTCCCAGACCCTTTCCGTGTTTAGAAACAGCCACGCTAGGTGTCTCGGTGGGAGGATCACTATGAGCAGTGATACTTCGTTGGCGACGGTTAGGAGCAAGGGCCGAGGACGGGACCTTGTCGATATGTGGGGTCGGCGAGGTTATGGGAAGAACAACATCCACCATGGACATGTTTGATGTGTTGTTGGAAATGTTTGAAGGTTTTCTCCCGAGCTTTCGCGCGGCGAGTAGAGCACGCCAATCGTCCGTGTAAAGCATTGATGTTTTGGCACGCGGGAAGGATGTGCCATTGGGAGCAACTTCCTCGCTCGGTGCTTTGTCTACCTTCAAGACCAAGGGCACAACGGGTACTGGGGGTAACTCGGTCCTATCCTCTGGTGCATAAGAGGCTTGCGAATAGACAGATACCACGCTGGTGGCCATCGAATGCCTCTCTAATTTCGAGTTATTCCTGCGAACAGGCGGGGCCCGTTTTCGCCTGGCACTTGGGGTCCGACTGCGAAAAGAGTACGTCGACGAAAAATGAGAATAGATCGAATAAATGGATTTCACTTCTTCATCCTCGTCTTCTGTGTCGTTTGCAACACCGTCGCCAGCATGGAATGAAAGACGAGACGGCGGAGAACGTGGCTCTTCCTGCCATGCAAACTCGGCTTGATATAACGAATTCCGGTCTTTGGAATGACTTGGCGAGTGGGCTTCACTAGTGAGAGTCTCCGACGAAGCTTTCACGTAGTGGCTTTCCATGACGTGTTCGATCTTGGAATCCAGGACTAAAATATCCAGAGCTGGTGTGAATGGTGGGGTGGATGACGAAGGGGAAAGAGAAGGAGGGGTTGGCATAGGTGATATAAGGAGTGAAGAAGCGGTGGATAAGGACCGCGAATGGATCGTTGATTTCTCGCTAGATGTACCGAAAGAACTGGGGGTATATGGGGGTGTCGGGAGTGGCGAAATTATGGGAGACATCATAGACAAGTTGTCCAATATCAAGTTTAGATCGTCTGGCGTTGTTTCAGTTCTTTCTGGCACCCAAGTCGAGATTTTCACTGGCGGAGGCCGGCGTGTCGATCGCGGAGGGAGCAGGGGAGGGGGAAGGCCGCTAGTGTTGGCCATTCGAGGAGACGAAACGAGTGGTGATTTCTTGTTGAATGGAATTGACGCGAAAGCCAAATGATCTGAAGGCGGCTTGGTCTGAAAGCTGGAATGAACGACTCTGGACGATGCCTGAGGAGGTGGTCCCGTCCTGGTAGAAAGCAGAGGCGGGGTTGGAGGGGCATGGTACTGCCTGATTGAGAGCTCGCCGTCAGCGACACTCCCGTCGACTGTTCTGCGAGCTGTAGTTGACACCCCGACTGATATAGGCGTTGATTTCGTTTCGATGAGAGCATTGCCAACATCTGATAAAGACGAAAATAGTCAATTATCAGGCCAAGCCACAAGGAAAGCAGACCTTGGGCATGAGCGTCCACACGCCTTGTTACAGTTACATCCTTGGAATTGCTGGAAATATTGGGAACAGGTGTGCGGCTTGACAGAAGCCATTCTGATGAGCTCCGGGTAGATGAGATGTCTGGTCAAGCGAGATGAGTGGGGATCGTTCATCCGTGTCCTTTTAACCCACCTTCTGTTGGCAGGAAATCATTGCTGCCCATCATAACAAGGCCTTCCCCTCGCTGGGTATTTGTGTCTGTTCTTCGTGTGAGCTAGTCGATTGCATGCATGCCAACACAAGGATACGTTTTATAGGTTGACTCTTGTGATTGCTGCGCAAGCCGAGGAAGCCTTTTAGTTTCTTTGGAGGTGGGTAATCCTCCAGGGACGAAATTGAAGAAAGTGGTGACCATTGTGATCGCGGGAGAGATTCTATTACGCGAGGAGTTGAAGCAAAAGGATCGATATTCCAGACAACTTCGGGTCCTTCTTCGGGTGGCGTAGGCAGAGGAATTGGCAGAGCCGTGATAGGGAGTTCAGACAACCTTTTTGAAGTGGACTTCTTGGAAGGAATGCGGGACAATGAAATAGATTTTGAAGGAGCCAGCACCAGATTGGCGGAGGAAGAAAACGAACGACCATGTCTCGCAACATATACGTTTGATCCAGAATACCGCGAAGTTGGTGATTTGTCATTGTAACCGATCCTGTCCAGCAAGGAAGGATCAGATGCAGTTGTCCGTAATTTCGCAGGACTCGGAGGTGGAGCCGAGGTCGCCACCAGACTGCCCTGCTGGTTCACAGTCTTTTTAGCCTCAGGCATATAAACTGCCTGTCGAAAGTCAGTCAAGGTTGATGAAGACTGGCATCTAGCAGGAGGGCGTGGAATAGTGCACAAGGCACTAGGCGATGGTAGAGAGTAATTATGCATATGTCGTTTTGTCGGAGAGCGATTCGTGGGTGGGCTGGTATTCGACATGTCAGCGGGATGGTATAGAGTTATGGATACGATGCCGGATGAGTTGCGCCAGTCAGCTAAGACGACCATAGCGGCGTTTTTATCGGACGGAGGGAAACAGACTATCTGCACTGGTCCGAGAGAGGTTGCGAGTCGGAAGCTGCTTTCAATGTCGCACTACTTAGTAGCCCTAAAGTTCAGACCTGCCGCCTGTGGAGCGTCTTGTGCTTGGGATTACACCGGAATTCGAGAGGTGGAACATGCTATGATCAATGCGCGCATTTGCCAGCAACTCTGGATTCAATTTCCAAGTGATAAAACAACCAGATGTTCAAGTTTTGGAAGTGGGTAGACTGGTCAGGCCTCTGGCTTGATGCGAAGTGTCGCTCGTGGACCATGATAGGAAGATAACAAGGCAAGTTTGAGTTGGTTCAACTTCAAATATGATAATGATCGTATCAAGATGTCCAGTGACTACTCGCTACCGTATAACTACAACCTCACTTTCCAGCTACGGTCCTCTAAGGCCATGTCATGTATATCTGACGGTTCCGAAAAGCTGGCTTGAAGTGGAGTGATACTAGCCCAACCTAAAGTAGTAGGCTGAGCAAAGCTACAGGTACAAAACAGTGAATGCGAAACCTTTCATCATGGCATAACCATCGGAACCCACAGGAACATCCGACTCGGCAGGTTGGATGAGACTGTCCATTGATGGTGCAAATTTGAATGAAAGAGGCCCACCATCATTGGCGGGGACGGTTTTGAACAGACGCCCGTAATGGTTGCGCCACATGAAGGTCCATGCAACCTTGAGTCCTTCGTCTGAGAGCAGACCCTCCACCAAGGGTATGTTGACATTATAGAGGTCAGCGGATTTAAAGCTGCTATCGTCTGATACAAGCCGCGTTATTATGTCGCAAGCCAGCTGGTGAGCAGGTGGGGCAAAGGTAGGAGGTGTAGGGTGGATAACGGTGCCATAAGAGACAGCAATTGCACGGGTTTTGGCTAACGCAGCATCAAGAGCCGCGCCGAGTGTGCCTGAAGACAAGGCAAATGCCGCTGGTAGTCGTATAAAGATGATGCAGGCAAATTGATGAAGTAATGAGATGTACCCGATGTCTGCAGAGGGATCAGTAGTGCGCTTGTTAAATCCAGCATAGCCCACATTCCGACCAAGGTTAGGCCCCGAGATCTGATGTTGGACGCGTTGGTCAGTTGCTTTTGGGAAACTGAGAGCATACAACAAGGTCAATCTGGCTCGGAAAGAGATTGTGTAACGCGACATTGACACAAGTACTCGGTGTCTCGAGAGTAGATAAGCTCATCATTCAACAACGAGTGAAAGAAATACCCCATCAAGAAGGATCCATTCAGCAAACTCATCGCCTTGGAGGGGACGAGAGGTCGAGGAGTATTCTCCTTCCAGGCCATTTGATGCTGTGAGTTATCAAATAAGATAGACCACAGCGACAAAACTTTGGAGACCATACCTTTTGTTGGATAGAAATACTTGCCTCGCGTTATCTCGGTGATGTGAAAGCCAAGAGAGTCATTTAGAGCAGGCCCGAAAGTGATCGCTAGATATTGTACCTTTTCCTAGTAGTATGAGGGTGGATTACAAGAAGCAGACTGGGCTGTACCGATCCAAGATTTCTGAGAAGAGGGAATTACAACATGAACTTTGTCCACCCAGTCCAACGCGAGGAGTTTGTCATAAAAGGAGGCAAGATAAGGGGATGCTGGTCCAGGAGGTCCGTCATCATTGGTAAGAAGAAGGCGTTTGCGCTGGCCGAGGGTCATTCTCTTTGTTGGTTGAGACGATCGAGTAGGATTGATTTTGTTTGTGACAGGCGTGACTTGCTATAAGCAAGCTTTTATGAGCACACACTGCGTTTGTGGTAAACACAAACGTTTGTACCCGGAGAGTCCAGCTTCCACAAGATGAACCCACCAGCGATGTCTGTTTCTTTGTTTTTTCTTCGTGATAAAGCTCATGCCAACTTTAATTGCACAGACCTACCCCCTTGACTATAAAAATCGAGGACCATCTACCGTTCTCCCCCGCTCTCCAGGAACCTTCTTTCAAATTCCCTCCTTCTCCAACACAACCCAAATTGACCGAACGTGGCCGCCGATCCGCTCCTTCTGAATCACATCCTCGTCGAGCCCATTCTCGTCGACGAGATACGCCTTATAGTGCGACATCCATGTCTTCTCGGACACGGCGAACGCGTCCTGAACCTACTCAGCTCTTCGCTCTAAAAAAACTGTACAACATCAACCCTTCGCCCAGTATCGAAGAGAGAACCACTCTCGCTCTCGAGATCGGCATGTAATTCAGAGAGACACAAATTTCTGGCTTATGACTGTGGCAGGCATGGATGTTTCAAAAGTAACCAACTACTTTCGGAACCAGCGGCAGTCAACCCGAAAGAAAAAGAGCAACGCGCGAAGTGACGAAGAATATACGGACGGTGGTTCAACGTCAACATCGCGGGCATGCACTCCTTCACTAGTTATCAGACGACGTGGTTCAAGGCGTATCACTGCTGGGACACATTCTAGTGACGATGAAGAGCAAGAAGAAGGCGAAGAAGCGGTTACACCTCCACCTTTGTCAACACCTCAAATCTGGATTGCTGACGCTCTGCATGAAGCCAGGACTCTGATGGCTGTCCAGGAGTGCGATCCAGGTCTTGCAGCGGATGCTTTGCTCCTTCTGGAGTTCCAAGCGACATGTCAATATTAGTTTACTTGTGAGTTACTCCCCCCGCGGACCTCCCTTCAGCTAAAATTCCCTAGAATCGTATTGTCCTCCTACTTGTTCGACCTATTAAAAGATGGTTTTTCAAACCTTCTCCATGTTGTGCAGTTGTACAATAGTATAGCCTTACAAAATCTGAATATCCACTCAACATCTTGTGTCTGACTTTTTTTTATTTCGTAACGCGTGACGTCTAGTCTGGACTACTCCCAACAACTTCAGATGCAGGCGGCCCAGTCGGGAGCTCCGTATCCCCCCGGAGACGATTCTACAATATTGACCACCGTCTCTGCCGACCTCGACAAGCTCAGAGCGGCAACAACAGTTCGGAAATCAGTTTCGGTCGACTCTTTCGCCAATTATTCCCGGGATGCCACTACCCGACCCACTCGAGGTCATACATCGTCTGCGGCTGAACCACCACGAGGTCTCATCATGCCCAGTCGAAATCCGGTCCAAATTACCAGCAGAAATCGGGGAGCCAGCGTCTCTTCTACGCAATATGACCCCTCGGTAGATTCCGATGTCGAACGTGATGCTTTCCATGAGCGATACACTGCGACGGAGAATAGCAAGCTTCGAGGCGGAGACCTTCCACTTCCACCAAGAACAACAACTCTCAGTTCGACTTCCAGCATGTCCAGCATCATCAGCGCCTCCACGACTTCAAGCACCGAAGATGGCATCCATATTCGACAAGTACCACGGCCACCCGCAACATCCAGAGCCCGTAGTGGAAGTCTCGGCGTATACCCTTCCGCCAAGTATAGCCATATCAATACCCGGTTGGCCGAGGTGTGTTCCTTTTCTTCACCGAACAACATTATGCTCACTCTTTTGAAGCTTCGGCCTGCAGCTCAAGACACACTCACTCTTCTCGTTGTTGGCGCAGCGAAGTGCGGCAAATCCGTTATCGTGAAGAAGGGCCTCAAGGACTATGGCCTTTCCGAGCCCGTCAACCACTCTTTCCAAGTGCAATCCAACTACTTCTCTTCCAACTGTGAGTTACCGGCGCGGAACTACCCATCAACTCTGACACGGCCCCACAGATAGTCTTCGTGTCGGTCGCATCCGAGATGGGGTTGACGAGTATCCTTTGCATGTTATTGAGGCAGAGGTCTCAAAGGTTGCGTTGGAGGACGCTGTGTGGCCAGAGGGCTCTCCCACTATCGACGGTGTTATCATGTGTTATGATGCCTCGGACGCCGACTCATTTTTGCCAGTCGAAGGACTGCTTCGTATGTCCTCTTGTGTTTTTCGTGGCTTCATGCTCATTTTTTCAAGGCCGTTTCCGATCCATGATGATACCAACACTTGTTCTCGCCTGCAAGTCGGACTTAGACCGGCGGGTGGACCCACAAGGAGCGGCAGCGGATTTCTTGCAACTGTATGACAATGGCCTAGTCGAAGTCTCGAACGTCCAAGAATCAGGAAAGAAAAAGATGCGACAGGCTTTCGAGTGGTTGATCAAAGCCGTGTTCCGTGGACGACGTCGGTGACCTTTTCTGCATCCATTCCATGTCTTCATCTGCTTTATTATAGACTCGAGTCGCAGTGAATCTGACCTCGACTACCGCAATCCTGCTTCACCCGTCTTACTGATTTCACCACCGCCCTGGGAAATATCAAGAACAGTTACTCCGGCGGCCTCTTCGTCGTCGATGAGTACGCTTTCCCATCACGGCGCTTCATCACGGCTGTCAAACCCTCCATTGCCCACAATACCCGCTTCACGTTCTCCCACTGTTCCCAACTCCCCCACCCGAGCCCGCTCGACGGGCGACCTTCTCTCTGAGCATGAGAAGTCCCGAACAAGAGACTGGCAACTTGACAAAGACTCCGGCACCATCACAAGAACTAGCTCTAATTCAGTGTCATCATTGCAAAAGCCGCCACAAACTGCTATCGAGCCCGTCTTCGACCCTCCGCCAATTCCTAAGGAGACAAAGGAGAAGGAAGCGAGTAGTAGACCGTGGGCCACTCTTGACGAGCTTTTGGACAAATTGTTGTTCTTGGCCGTAAGCGGCGATGGTGAGCAGTAGCCGTAGTCACTTCTTTCTCTCCATACTAACTTGATTCATAGATCCAACTTACATAACCCATTTTCTCCTCACATACCGGCGGTTTGCAAGCCCAAGAAGTGTTCTGTTAGCTATGCAACTACGGCTTCGACAATTAGACCAACCTTCTGGTGACCCCATGTTTGCTTGTTTTGCCCAGATGAGGTAGGCAGTCTCTCTTCGTTCATTCAAAGATTGATTTCCGTAGAATATGCCATTTATTGGAAGAATGGATAAGAGACTATCCATACGACTTCAAGGTCCGCGGTACACCCAGCGCCCTGTCTGCCCTTTTCAAATCCATTACCTCCAAAACCTACCTTCTCCATTATGGCGCCGATTTTCTTCCTTTCCATGAGCTACTTCCGAACTTGGTCGACAAGGATGCCGCTTGGGCTCTGACACCTGATTATCCCGAAGACGAGAGCGACTATGATGATGACGAGAAGAGCGCTGTTCTCACGCTCGGCAGTACCCATAGCTCTGATCCAGAACTCCCAGCTGCAGCTCGGTCTCCCTCCAGTAAAGTCAAGACTCCTGCTACCTCCAGAGAACGCAAAGGAAGCATCCCGTTTTCCGCCAAGCTCATCAGCGCGCCGCCTGCTCTCAACGGACCAGGTCCATCGGACAACTCAGAGGCAAACTATCGGTCGACATTGAAGGACCTCCTGAAACTCGCATCAGATGTTAATGCCCTCGAGTCCGAGGATATTGCCCAAGAAATTACGCGACTGGAAGCTAAATTGTTCTTGGATATCGAGGTATGGTTATTGCGGTTGCAGCGTCAGTCAGTCATCTGACGGTGTCCATTAGCCCAGGCATTGGTTGCGGTACACTTTTGTGTCAGGCAAGAAGGATCCAGCAACTGATTCAATCGCTCGGTTCAACGACTTCTCTAACCATCTAGCTGTCTGGTCAGTCTAAAATTATCTTTTGACCCTTGTTCCTCATGCGGGTTATAGGGTGGTTTCGATGATTCTATGTCATGACAAGCACAAGATGCGGGCCAAACAGATCGAAAAGATGGTTGAAATTGCCCAGAAGTTGCGGGGTCTTAACAACTACGCTGCACTGCGAGCGTTTGTCGCCGGGATCAACCATTCAACATTTCCTGGCGATCCAACCATGGAACATTTCAAAGCCAAATCGCCAGACCAGGCCAAGAACTTGCAATCATGGGATGTGTTACTTCAACAAATTCGGTCGCATCGGGCATATCGTCTAGCCCTGCGAAATACGAAAGGCGCATGCATCCCAGCTTTGTAAGCTGTTTGCGACACGATTGACATTCGTTTTATTCTGATGTGATTGCGCATAGGGAGGTTCATGTGTCAGACCTTATTCGAGCGCATGAAGCTAATGACGACACGAACCCTTCAGACCCCAATAAGATCCATTGGGGCAAATTCAACATGATGGGTCGCTTCATTAGCAGCACGACCCAATGTCAAGCTCAATGTCGAGCCGTTTCCGACTATTCCTTCAATCCACGGCCACATATCACAGAGATGCTCCTTGCCCAATGCCTGATGTCAGAAGAGGTAAGCAGCCGTTGTCCATGCAACAAGTGATTGACTGGCTACTTCAGATGCAAAAGTCGCGTATAGCGCTCCCCGACTCAGACTTTGTCGATGGACCCAGCCCTTCGCGTGTTCCGCCCACGCAGCCAAGCTCGACTTTGGCTCCGAAAGACATCAACAAGATGCGGAAAATTTTCTCGTGGTGAAGGGAGTCTTTGGCTGGCCATCTACTCTCGGTTGTAATGCCACGATTGCTTTTATACCTGCAATGTAAGCTGTAGTAGTACACATTTGTAACTCGTTTCGGTGGATTTTATGTGACAAGTGTGTGATTTCTATATGGAGCTAATTTTTACTCTCAATGGACGACTACATTTTGACCATCGACTCGGATGTTGAAGACAGTGGACCAACCACAAAAAGCAAAGACGATGCCGACCTCGACCCTGACTTCGTGTTTGATCTCTCGGGGGACCCGTATGTGGATATTGGAGATGCCGCTGGGTTAGTTGACCTAGTGAAGGAGGGACGGAAACCAGAGCCTATATCGGTTGAGGACATCATTGCTCGACGAAAGCAGGGTGTAAAGAGGAAAAGAGACGAAGATGAGTCGGAGTCGGATTCGGAAGCCAGCGAACTGCAAGAGGAAGATGAGGATGAAGAGAGCGATCCACTAGCAACCTCTGATGAAGAGAGTAACGCTGATTTACCCTCAGACGAGGATGGCCCAAGTGACCGAGGAGAGGATGATGAAGACGAGTCAGAAGAAGAAACTCAGGCTGAAAAAGAGAGGAAGGCTGCTTTCTTTGCGAGCGACGAAGGTGCAACAACGCAAGAACACTCGTCATTTCTTTCCATGAACCTTTCGCGGCCACTGCTCAAAGCACTCACCAACCTTGGTTTTGCTAAACCAACACCGATTCAAGCTGCCACTATTCCTGTCGCGCTATTAGGGAAAGATGTTGTTGGAGGTGCAGTGACAGGCTCTGGCAAGACTGCGGCTTTTATTATTCCCATGATTGAGCGACTCCTATATCGTCAAAAAGGCGCAAGAGCTGCTGCTACGCGCTGTCTTGTTCTTGTACCAACGCGAGAGTTGGCCCAACAGTGTGTCGAAGTCGGCAGAAAACTCGCTGCCCATACAGACATCCAATTCTGCCTCGTTGTCGGTACGTTTGAAAGCAATTTCGTCGTCTTCTTACTGATACCAGAGCGTCAGGTGGGCTATCTGTCAAGTCTCAGGAAGTTGCATTGCGGAATCGACCAGACGTAGTGATTGCGACTCCTGGGCGGCTTATTGACCATATCCACAACTCTCCCTCTTTCACTCTGGATACGCTCGATGTACTCGTCCTCGATGAAGCTGACAGGATGCTGTCTGACGGATTTGCGGACGAATTGGCGGAAATCATCAAGTCCTGCCCGAAATCTCGGCAGACGATGCTGTTTTCTGCGACGATGACTGACTCGGTCGACGAGCTTGTCAAAATGTCCCTAAACAAACCTGTTAGGCTTTTCGTGGATCCCAAACGAAGCATCGCTCGGGGACTTGTTCAGGAATTCGTTCGTGTACGTGCTGGCAAAGAGGCAGAACGATCCGCACTTCTTGTTACCTTGTGTAAGAGAACGTTCAAAGGCAACGTCATAATATTCCTACGCAGCAAGAAGCTAGCTCATCAAATGCGCATTGTCTTTGGACTGCTGGACATGAAATGTGAGGAGCTACATGGTGATCTCACTCAAGAGCAGGTGCTAATTTCAAATTTAATGTTGTCGAGCGTCTCTTACCTTCCCCAGCGGCTTACCGCCCTCCAGCGATTCCGCGATGGTCATGTTGACTATCTTATGGCGACGGATCTGGCTTCACGAGGGCTCGATATCAAGGGTGTAGAAACGGTCATCAACTATGATATGCCTGGCCAACTCGCTCAGTATCTTCATCGAGTAGGACGAACTGCGCGGGCCGGAAAGAAGGGGCGGTAAGGGTTATTTCGTTCCTTGCAAATGTCATTTCTAACGTTCACAGATCTGTCACTCTTGTTGGTGAAGCTGATCGTAAAATGCTCAAAGCTGCCATCAAGCACGGGTCAGAGACGGATCAAGTTCGACACAGAATTTTACCAGCAGACGCAGTCGCAAGATGGACTGAGAGGCTAGACGAACTCAAAGACGAGATAGCGGAGATATTGGGAGAGGAGAAGGAAGAAAAACAGCTGCGCCAAGCTGAAATGGAGCTGAAAAAAGGACAAAACATTATTGAGCACGAAGCCGAAATATATTCGCGTCCAGCGCGTACCTGGTTCCAAACAGGGAAAGAGAAGGCGAAGGCTGAGGGTATGCTTCTCAACTGTCCTATGCGTTTTTTTTCTAAAATACCCGGGCAGCTCTGAGTAAGCAGCAACATGAAGCGGGCACAACAAATAGCAGCAAACAGCACTCTCAAATACCTTCGGCCAGCGAAAAGGTGAGTTGGAGGTTCTGTGCCAACTCGGCTCTAATAGGGTCTGTATAGCCCAAACGCGATAAATTTTCGGGTCTTACTCGTCGGGCCAAACGGCGAAAGCTGGCAATGGAGGATGACAAGGAGTTTGGTGATGCAAAGGAGACGGCAGCTGCAATTCGTTCTGCAAAGAAAAGCGGTCGGCCCACTAAAATTGGCTTGCCAGAAGCCCGCCCATCAAGTAAGAAACCAAAAAATAAGAAGCGGCCTGTGCGAACTGGCGCTGGGTTCGAACGGGATACGGACAAAAGGAGGAGTGCTGGAGAAGGTATCCGAGCCAAAAAGGGAGACGCCATCGGCAAAAAGCTAAAAAGAGGCAAAACGACATGAGTAGATACTTAGCCTGTGACACGATGTGACGTTACGCGCCTTGTGGTTCGGAACGATGAGTAGCTTTTCGTCGTTGGCGACTGTTCGTCTGCCGTCGGTCTGTCGACTCCTTGAATCTGCATGTTGCCCTGACAAGGACCTATTGGTTTTGGTTTCTCGTCTTGGTGGTCGAGATCGTATCAGCCTCTGGAAAATGAATGGCGCGAAAGCTTGGGAAGTCGATGTTGCAGCTGACAACAACTCAAGCGATCATGTTGTTGGCCTTGCTTGGAGTCCAGATGGTACTCACTCTCATGTCTCTATTTCTGACTTTCACTGTTGTTCAGGACAAAGCATTGCTGTAGTTCATGACCCTCCTCGGGTAACCCTTCATTCCCTTCAGGATGGCCATGAAGAACGCACTCTCTCAATTCCAACAAGTGACCGTGTGAAGAACGTCTGGTGGTTTCGCGCAGAAAAGACTGTCGAAGTCAAAGCCGTACCTGATATCCTCAAAAGAAATGGATTGATAGTACGCCCTTTTGCTTTGCTACTCCGAGGTCTTGACCGGTTTGCAGCCAGGATCATCGCACTCGATTCTCAAGACATTACCCCTCCTTGATAGTCTCCAAGAAGATTCGCAAAAGCTCACGTTAGCAATTTATTCGTACTCGACACTATAATAACCATTTTTAGTGCGACCGATTTATTTGCCTTTCAAGGGTCACATACGAAGTCGAACCAGAAGACACCTCTCCCAGAGGTGATCAATACCTGGCCCATCTTAGATTCCGATCCTGCAGTCGCCTCGATGAGCTCCAGAGTAAAGCCAGTCGATTCAACCAATAAGCATTTGGATGTCCCGGATGAAGCCAACCTGGATAGTATTTTGGTCGTGACAGACGATTCTGGTCGGGCCCATTTCTTTCTTGACGGAAGCTATAACCTCGGGGCAATCCACCTGGGCGCAAATATTTCCATTCCTTCGCTTTCCAAAGTCCCACAAGAACCCGATTTCATCGTTCATGTCCAGTCCGCTGCTCATGATCTTTCCTCGACTCCCCTCTCTCCGCGCTACCTCAAATTACCCATGCTGAAGCAACGTTATGTCCGCGACATGGCTAGATTATCCACAACGTCACGAGAACTCGTCTGGTATTGCATGCGTGTGGTTAAAGAAATGCGAGTTGCCTGGTTTGGATCAGAAAATCTTAGTGGAGCTAGGGAAATTGGGCCTCAATTCATACGTTCACTGGAGAACAGGCAAACCGAGCACTTCGGTCGTGCGTCATGTCACCATCGCTACGACACAGTCGTTTTTAACGACCAGCAGAGCAAGAGCCGACGGCAATACTTGATCTAACATACCTTCTTCTGACGAGGCGCGGCTCTGAGTCGCTGAACGACTTCCTTGGCAGTGGTGACCAGATGAGCGAACGGGCATGTAATCGTAACTTGACATCAATTCCTGGGAGTCTGACGAACCTTTTGTTAGGGTATTCAAAAATGGGAGTCCTCGATGACAGAGGCTTTGACAAAGCTACGAGACTACTCGGAGAAGCGAGTGGCTCCAGCGTGTCAAAGATTGCATCTTGTCCTTGAAGAGGCCCTCGGTTGGTCGATGTTGTGAGTCCACGCCTTTCATTCACCTACCGGAAAACTCATATATTGTTGGTCTCAATACTCTCCCTTTCAATTGCAAACAACAGAGATTCAGATGTGTATTGAACTAGCGGGAAGAGCAATTTTCATTGCGACATGGCTGGCAGCTATTGCGCGTCGGGAACTTTTCAGATTCAAGGAATTCATCACGTGGCTTCGTGATGGTGCGTTGATGCTCGTTTGTTTTCCGTCATTCAGTGGATTTCATAGCGATATCGTTTACCACATTAACCGGTGACTTCCAGTATCAGCATCGTCACGATACACTAGAAGTTAACAACTACTTGACCGCTGGCTTGGTCGTCAGCTCCATCGACAAATGGTTCATGGGTCCAGTTCCACAATTCAATCCTCAAGATTTCGGAGTTCTTGCTGGAGTGCCTGATTTAAGATCTGCCCTCGACCGAGTCTACACTCCGCTGGACCCAGCCGCTGCACGTTGCTTCCTTGTATTCACTGTTCTCCGCGGCTGATCAACTGCGCTGCTAGATCGCGTCACAAAATGACCTGAATCATTTGGACCGAAATTTGGATGCTTTAATACAGGAAATAGCCACCAGATGCCAACGAATATTCGACCGTGCAGCGGGGGCGACATCACGGTATGCTTCAATTTCGGCCCAACAAAGCCAGGCGACAGCAGCGAGGCTTCCCCAAATGGCCATTCGTGAGCGGATGATTTCAGAGGTGAGTCCAAACGGAAGTCTAGTGTCACTTAGTAAGCCACGCGTTCAGGATAGTGGCTTTGTTGAATATCTCGTTTCGCACACCCGAGCGGAATCGTCAGATCGGACATTGTGTAAGCTGATTCTCTCTCTCTTCTACGTGGCGACTACTACTACAAAGTCCACCAGTGTGTTTAGCGCGACTACGCTTCGATGGTGATACTTCGCACAAGCCCTCCGTCGGCGTTGTGCTTCTGGATGGAACTCTTCCTGGAGAAGGCAAGGCAGTAATCGTCGATGCCCAGTTCTTCGACGACCAGTTACTCGTGGTTGTCTACCGCGTTTCAGGTATGGAGTTAAATCTCAACTGTTGTTTGCGACTGGATGCCACCATAGACGTGCCATTCATGGCGACGGTGGGTTACAGTGAACTAGACTATGAAGAATTGGATCCAGAAGGGTATACGACGCGCGAAGATGTGATGCAGCGAGCCCTTGAAATGGAACAAGGCCAAGTAAGTTTCAACCACCAATACCATCGGACTTGCGCCGAATTTCTTTGTGTAGCTTGCTCCGATACCGATTAAGGAACAGCGACGGTTGGTCCACGGGGCTGGGGCTGTGTCGCTGGCATTAAATGGGCGTGTAGGGAGGAGAGTGGCTTGCCTACTTGATGGCGCGGGGACTAACATGGAAATGCTCGATTTGGAGACCGATCAAGTAGAGGAGGATGAAGTTGAAGAATAGTCGAAATCGAGATGTAGTCTCGTTCCTGTCTAACAGCCAAAACTTTCGAAGCTCAAAAAAACGCCACAGCAAGGTATCACCCGCCCTCGTGGCTAAGCTGCTTTGACTGGACCTTCTTGCTCCATGCTTTCTTTATAAAAACCCGTTGATGACATCCGTCCACTCGAATCCCCACCATAGAACTCTTATTTCATCGCCACATAATCACCGAAGCAACCTTGTCCACAACCAGATGCCAAAGAGCATACCACAGACAGAAGAGGCTCGACAGGCAGAAGCCCAGGTCGGTTCATGTCACTGGCTGAAAACACAGCAAACTACCCAGACGACACGCTAGATGCGAAAGAAAAAGAACGCGGAAGCCCAGGCAAATTTTCGCAGGCGAAGGGCGACTTATATCTCGACGCTGGAAGAAACTGGTCAGTAGGCGCCCACAGACACCCACAATGCTCAACTCCATCACCCACAGTCACAAACCTTGAAAGCGTTGTTATCCAGCTGCAAGAGACGAGTCGCGATGCCCGGGTGGAAGTGCAGGTACGTCTGTAGGGCATAGCAGCGTGGTTGATGGGTTCAACAGCAGTTGAAGGAATTGAGGCAACAAAACGCCAACTTACGACACGAGTTCCGAGAGCGAGAAAAGTTTTGGCGAGGCCTGTGGCAGTCACGCAAGACGACTGAAGGGGACGAGTTGCCGGCTGGTCTCAACAATAACCTCCATTCCTATACTCCAGAGGGAATTGCCTATCGCTCGGCTGATGATCCCAGCATTTGTAACGGCCAATATACCCCCGCACCGCCTCATGGCTACCACTCTCCGTATCCCACAAATGAAACCTCTTCTCCAACCCAACGCGCTGCCAAATTCAACCCATATTCGTATTCGATTTCCCATCGTGACCACTCTTGGACTACTGGCGGTGACTCAGCAACAACACACAGTGGATCTCCAACTTTGGCGTCGCCGTCCGATCTGTCCTTGCCGTTTTCTGCTGCTCGATATGGCGAAGAGTCAAAGCCTGTGCTCGATGGAGCGCAATATGGCTTTCCCGCGAGTCGGTCCATCTCTCCAACAAGTACTGCTGTTGCCAGTGCCCCCACTCCATTTCAGTTCACGACTGATTTCGATTTCCACCGACAGTCCAGCACCAGCGAAATCTCGCTCTCTGGCCCGGGAAGCGATGCCGTGCGCTACAGACTGGGCAACCGGCGGCCAGACTCCATTCTCCCTCCGCTGATGGAAAGTGAACGAGAAAGAGAATCGTCTCGTCTCACTCTACCAGCGGACTCTGTTGCTTCGCGGACAGCTTCTCCCAAATTGTCGGCCACGGTTGCAATGCTCAAGGCACAAACATCTGGAGGGTCGAGAAGAACACGGACCCGCAACAGAAAGCTGCCTGACGCTCGCAAGATTGCTGAAGTAGAGAGCCTGAGTGATGTGGAGACACGACCGTCTAAACGACAGCGGACGGGGACAGAAGAGGATTAGGCGTGGGGTAGTGCGATTAGGGTCTCTCGCTTTCTTTCTGAACTTAGGACATTGTAAATATCAGATTGTCGTAGTGTGTAGTATAGTCAACGTTGTAGTATCTTGCTATCTTGGAGCTGTCATTCGATTGACTTTCGGAACTGCGACGTCCCAAGGACCACGAATTTCACTGCAACAAATGAGAACTTTGGCGCGGGGATCAATCAGTCAGACACACTTTTTGAATTTCTGAGCCCAAACCAGGACCGCCGGAGCGAGGAAGGTGAGGCTTAATTGCAACACGATATAAACTCCGATGACTGGGCGGAGAAATGGGAAAGCAACGATGATCGAAGCTATAAACAAGACGACGGTGAATGCGACTTGAAGCCTGGCGTGATACGACTACATCGGCATAAGGAGCAAGGCCAGGTCAATTTCCAACTCCACGCACTGCTAAACGGTGGCGTAACCGAGGAAACAGAGCAAAGGTTTGAACCGAAAATAAAATCAACGCGAACACAGCAAGATCGTTGGATAGACGCGATGCAAGTACAACCGATGCCGAAATGGCAGCATTCATAGACAAAACTGAGGTAAGCCTGTTCTGGAACGGTCAACCGCTGGCTTATAGTTTTGAGATATGGTCGACCTCTCTCCGCGCAGTGAAGTTGCACTATAATCTGCGAGAAGGGCGTTGAGTGCAAACAGAATTGCTGATAATGCCCAAATTGAGTCGGACGAGGTTGCTGCAGTGAGCGTGCGCAACACCGGCGAAAGGGACATGAGCGCCAAGAAAATCAGAATCGACGACTTGACTGCCTTGACGCCTGTGGATGATGCCGTGGTTGGTGACAAGAATATCGGAACAGAGCTTACGGTTAGCGCGTCGATGAGCCGTGGCAACCACCTTTCGCTCAAGAAGCTCCCAAAGTAAATATCCGACCAAGAAGCAACTGACAGACACCCAGACAAGCAGGTGTGCATCTAGCTGATTCTCTCTGAGACGCACAAAGACAGCTATAAATACGAAAATGGTGGCGAGATGCTGGGTGATTGCGCAAGAAAGCAGAACAAGCGGCCAATATGTGTATGGTCGAAAGTTGTCTATATCAGTTTCAGGTCAAAGACCGCGCTTGAGTGGGGGGCTGGAGTGGTACCATTGCGACGCAGGAACAACAAGAAGGACTGAGGGTCAAAATAATTGTCAGGTTGAGGTTTTCGATGCCATAGATATTCCATGCGATGGTGGTCGAAAGCAAGCTCAAGACAACGTAAACTAGCATCAATCCCACTATCTCCTTCGTTGAATACTTAACGACAGTCAATTGGACAAGGACTCACCACAAGCCTCTCCTCCTGTCGTGGCTCCGGCTGTAGTCGGGAAGAAGCATTTGCTGCGGCTTTGGCGGCCAAAGCGCCGTTGTTTGGTGTCCCTCGTTTCTTGCTCTACCGAAACTCTGAGTTCAAGCTTCACAACGAGAAGAAGGAGGGTACGGCATCGAGTCTGGCTTCCGCTGCTTGCAAAGCTGCAGCTCGTGGGTTGTTTGGTCGAGTGTCATCCGCAGCCCCCAGGACAGTATGTCCACCTTATTGTGTGAGCGCGAATTCAGAGAGGAGCGGTTTGCTACCTGAATAATTCGATTCGCCCTTGGAGCATAGGGAACCCATGGTGATGGATCAGACCAAGAGAGTAGTGTACACGGGAAGAAAATACAATTTACTGTGGATTAATGACTGGGGCATATTCGCTCGTCGTCCCCCTCCTCAAACTTCTCAGGGCAATAGGTGCGCCAGGCGTCCAGGCATCCCACCACCTTCTTCCTGCCTCCCAGGGTAGCTGTGGCTCAGTGAAACCTGCTTTCACCATCCTGCTCTTGATCCCCGCGCCAAGCAACAATCCAAACACAGTCAAAAGGAAAATTGTAACAACCAACTGGTCTCGAGGAGAGTCCCGCTCTATATATATTCACATAAGAGACTGGCCGAAATCGAAGAGCATTGGACACGTACGAAAGCAGCGTGCCTCAACATCGCCTTCTTTTCCAGTCGCAGTATCAGGATTTGTGTCGCCCAGAGACGCGCCATGACACATTGGCAAGTTCTGGTTCAGACACCATTGCTTAGTGCACGAAAGACAAGGCTGGGATGGGTTGTCAGGAATTTCGAGCGGCAATATTGAATAATTGGCGGCAAAGCAGATGCCTGACCGCGTTATTATGAGTAACAGTGATTGCAGCATGATAGCGCACCCACATTTACAGAAGTTGGTAGCTTCCCATTTATGCAGTGCGGCGTAGGACGACGAAACAAAGCTGCAAATCAAGAGCAATAACCAGACGACTCGGACGAGTGTCGAAGACATAGAGTAACGCGCCTGTCACACCACATAATGTCTGCCGAGTTCGACGATGTGCTCACTAACCAGCCAGTGGTTATCGACAACGCAAGTCGTCTGTCTGATTATTATTCTCCAACTCAATAGCACTCAGGGCTCGGGTACGATCAAGGCAGGGTTCGCCGGCCAGGACCAGCCAAAATGTTTCTTTCCCTCTTTGTACGTGTAACGGCCAATTGTCGAACGGCTGCTGACGCGCCCTTGTTAGTGTGGGTCGACCTAAACACTTCCGAATCATGGCCGGCGCGTTAGAAGGGGATCACTTCATTGGAAAGAAGGCTGACGCATACCGAGGGCTGCTGAAAATTAAGTATCCGATGGAGCATGGCATTGTAACGGACTGGGACGACATGGAGCGCATATGGTCCCATATCTACAGTGAAGAACTGGGTACCCTTAGCGAGGAGGTTAGTTAGTCGAACTATCGTTTCTCTCGTCTCATTCTAATCCAAACAGCATCCTGTCCTCTTGACCGAAGCACCTCTCAATCCTCGCAGTAACCGCGAACTTGCCGCTCAAATCTTTTTTGACACTTTCAATGTACCCGCACTCCACATGTCTGTCCAAGCCGTATTATCATTGTGGGCGTTTTCACAATATGCAGTATTGCTTGCCTCATATCAGTCTAGATACTCTTCTGGAAGGACAACGGGCATTGTTATCGACTCTGGAGACGGTGTAACGCATGCTGTCCCCGTGTTTGAAGGTTTCTCAATGCCGCATGCTATCCGTCGCGTGGACCTTGCGGGAAGGTTGTTTTTCTACTTGGACTACGGATCCAGCCAACTAACTTGGGAGCGTGCATAGAGACGTGACGGATTACTTACAACTCTTGCTCCGCAAATCAGGGCACCACCTCTATACGACTGCAGAACGCGAAGTTGTGCGGGCCATCAAAGAAAAATGTTGCTATGTCGCTCTCAACCCGACAAAGGAAGAGAAAGAGGCTCAGGGACGAACTGAAGAATTCCGACTGCCCGATGGAAACGTGGTTCAGGTACGCCAGCGGGTTGGATTCGCCACAGGATCTAATCGACCAACAGTTGGGCAACGAACGCTTCCGCGCCCCAGAAATCCTGTTTAATCCCGAAATAATAGGGCAGGAATATGCAGGAGTTCATCAAGTTGTCGTTGACTCAATAAATCGCGTCGATCTCGATTTGAGGAAGGGCTTATACTCGAATATCGTGTTGAGTGGCGGTAGCACGCTTTGTCGAGGTGGGTCTAGTGTTGAGAACCAACTCGACTCTTTTCTGACCAGGCACAGGGTTCGGTGATCGTCTGCTGAATGAGGTCAAGAAAACTGCACTCAAAGACGTCAAGATCAGAATATATGCTCCCCCAGAAAGAAAGTACTCGACTTGGATCGGTGGGTCGATTCTGGCCGGTCTAAATACATTCAAGAAGGTGCGGGTATTCAACGCATTGCTTGCTTCTCCAACCCTTTCTTTGCTCAGATGTGGGTATCGGCCGAGGAGTACCAGGAAGACCCAGAAATCATCCACAAGAAGGCTGGATTCTGAGCTGTAGAGTTATTCACCACGCACTTATGATACCCTTTGTAGTATTATTCTCGCAGTTATAATGTCGCATATGATGGCTCGGAAGGGCATAAAGCATGGATTTCATGGTAACATACAGAGTGCCCAAGTTTTTCGACGTAGCCCGCCACCGCAAAACATCCACCAACAAGTTTACTTCTTCTTGGGGGCTTCCGACGCCTTGGCCTTTTTGGTACCACGGAACTGATAATTCGCAGCAAATAGTCAGAATGAAGCAAAGGCTTATGAATGGAGCATCGCACCTTCTTAGCACGATTCTTGCGCTCCTTCCGCAGTTTGCGCGACGCCTTGTCGGCCTTAGCCATGAGACCAGCCTAGTTGGAAACAAAAAGCAATAAGCAAAAATAGAAGGATCAGATCAGGGAGAGGGTGCTTACACGACGCAAACGGTATTTGGGCTCGAATTTTTTCTGGGACGCCTCGTCGTCGTAGATCAGAGCAAAGCCGGTACTCCTCCCGCCACCAAATTGTGTTCGGAAACCAAAGGTCACTACGCGGCTCTTCTCAGTCTTGTAGAGGGACGCAAGTTTCTCCGATAGTTCATCCTTGGAGACGTTCGGGCGGTTGGGGTGCAGGACGTCGAGAACGAATTGACGCCGGGCCAAGAGTCGGTTGGTGATGAATTTGCGGGTACGGAGGGTAACTGGTGCTGAGCTATCGGCCTAAATCCAGCAAGATATATAAGCGATTGTAGAGGACCAAAACCGCGCGAGTGCATACCATCTTGAGGGGCGGGCTGGTTTAGATGTTTAGTTGGACGGGCAGCAGCGAGGGCAGCAGTAGGTACACACTTGGATAATTGTCGCCGTCGGGAGTGAAAAGAAGAAGCTGTACAGTCGTGACAGCACGTGACATAGCATCATGTCAACCCCGGCCTCGTTTGCCTCGTTTGCAGCCTATGTCCGTCCTCCATCTTCTCTGCTTCTTGGCATTCACATTTAGCCTTAGACCCCGCCTCCTGATGACCAATCCGCGCCTCCTCCAACCCGTCCTTGGTTTCCTACCCAAACCACAACCTCGTATCAATCGGGCGGCATCCCCACCTTCGGAGCTTCGTCTTCCAACACGATAGAAGAGGCTGAGTCCCAGCAAAATCAATGGGAAACTCGACATGGTCTTCGGGTCGATCTTCTTGCTGCTCTTGCCTACTTGTTTGGTCCTATCTCTGCACTGGCACTCCTCATTGTCGAGACTCAGAATGACTACGTTCGCTTCCATGGTACGCGACTAAACTCAACATATTCGCTCAAACTCATTCGACATCTGTAAAGCATACCAGTCCGCTTTGCTGACCACACCACTCGTTCTCATCCGAATACTTGCCTCACTCCTACAATTTCCCAACTGGATGCGCACTTTGCTGACCTTGGTCTTGGTTGGTTTAGAGATCTACATGGCGTATGTTTTTTCGTCTATTCTTTCAGTGGTCTCTCATATCTGCTCAGCATTCGAGCGTATATCGACGCCTCTCAGAATAGTCTTGCTCGTTTTGAGTTGCCTTATGTGGGTCCCATTGCTGCAAGATGGCTCGAGGAAGAGTAAACCCGAATTTTAAATTATTTATTTATTCCGCATGTAGCATCTTTTATAATCGACGCATTTTTTCCCCCATGATATCAGCTCGCTCTAGTTTGGTTGGCTAGTTATATAATACAATGTGGGTGGTGGTATAGTAATGTTGGCTACAGATTATCGGGGTATCAGTGTGTCGCAGTATCAAGTTTTTACAGACAGAGAAGTTTGCCCAATGCCGCACCAAGCAGAGACACACTCAAGTTGCACAGTGACTCCAGAACACCACCGAGGCCCAGCTGATCAAGGAGGTCGACAACGTAGTTGACAAGGCAGTCGACTGTTACTCGGGTCAGGTTTAGAATGTCGTCGATGATGCACTTGATCTCGTAGACGACTATGCAAGGTATCAGCGTGAAGAAAGGAAGCACCGAATAGGCAACTCACTCGGTCCCAAGACAGGTCCCAGGCCAGGAATGTTGTCGACCATGACATAGATACTCCTCAAGGCGTCCTTGTTCGCGTTGACAATGTCGTGAAGTGCTTGTTCAAGTCCGTTCGTTTCGTCATAGCACTGATTACCAGCACCGCGCATCCCAGATACGTATTCTTTAAACTCAGAATAGTTGTCGCGGAAGCCAGTCGCAGACTCTACACATTGTTGCTGGAAGGCGAGATCGGCAGCTCGACGAGCGTGGGTCTTGGATTGCTTGGCGAGTTGCTCTGAAGAGGAAATAGGTTGGTTGGAGCAAGGCGAGATGAAGAAAATACGCACTCAAGGTAGTAGCGTGTTGCTTCGCCGTATCTGCATAACCACGGATGCGTTGTTCTACTTCGTTGGACTTGGGTGATGATGACGAGGCGGCGAGCTGAGCATTCTTGGGCTTGGTCGCGACACGAACAGCGAGATTAGAGTTGGACGAGTTGGTGACTGTCGTTGAGCCGCGAAGAGGTGACGCGAGAGCAGTGCTGGCTGGCGAGAAACCCGTAAGGGCGAGCAGGGCAGTCGCGTAGAGGGCAAAGAGCAAGCTGCGAGCGAAAGAGGGCATGTCTTCGGTTGAATCGCGAGGTGGTGGGTGGTGATGGTTTGCGGAAGAGAAGCAGCGAACGCGTTACGTCACAACTTAGAGGGCTTAAATATGCGGCTTCATCTGTGTGACGTCACGGTGCACACAAAATCATCTGACCGTTGTTTCTTCTAAAGTCAAGAGCAAAGTAAGTATATATGTAGTAGTGTCCAAGTGTCGCAACCAATGTCAATAATGACGGTCCGAGAGTAGAGGATTGTCCATAAGGGAGGAAGGCCCAAAGAATGGAGTGAGTAACGAGAGGTTTGTCAGGAGATGACGCGGAGTGTTTCTATGGTTCGTGTATAGGTCTGTGCGGTAGTGAAGGTGATCAAACGCGAATGCAGCTCTGGCGGTCGTTCGCCAATTTGAAACCTAAGGTGCAGGAAAAGACTATTTGCGCGTCAAAATCCATTTCAATTCGATCAAACCGAAATCAAGCAACATACCAGCGCAACGACCTTGTTCGCAACCAACGCTTTTTACCCCAGGGATAGCCGTGCAATCTTGACCTTGTCCGAGTGATGCACACCCACCGCAAGATTTGAGCTCAGCATCCGTATCAATGCACTCGTAATCCTGGACTGAACCGGGAAGGGGGCAGGCGTCCAAACCGGCGGGGCAAAGCGGTGAAGACCGCTTGTGCTGACTGTGACGCTTGCGATAACCGCCGTGGCTACCACCACCAGAAGGGTGTGCTGGAGGCGGTGACGGTGGCGAAGGAGGAGTTGGCAGACACATGTACAAGTTTGGATACCAAGTCCAACCATCGCGACACTGGGGAGGGGGTTGGTTGGGAGGAGGGGGATGAGCTGGTGTGCAACATCCTAGCCCAGTATTCCAGTAGTGTGATGTGGGCGGGCAATCATGGCCTTTGGGGGGAGACGGTGGTTTCGGGATACCACCGTGCGGAAGACAGCAAGTTTTGGCTCCATACCTGGTAGTTTTCCTCCATCAAACACGACTGTAGAAAAAAAAAAATGACGGACCAGAACTCGTTACTTTTGCAACTTTGACTGCTGCGAGCAACACTAGCAGAAGCAATACCAGCGAAAATAACGAGGGCAGCAGCGAAACGAGAGATTAAGGTCATGGTGGTCGTGTTGGGTATGAAAGAGCGACTAAGGTATTAGACTGACACGAGGGAAGAAACAGAAACAACAAACCCGGGCAAGTGACCATTTATACGGTGATTGGCACCATGCGAAAATTTTTCCAAACATCACCACGGCATCAAGAACAATACCATGCCACATGTTCCTATCTGGGACACTCGATGCTCAAACGCCAGCTTTAGTCTGCTTCCATCTAATTTCCAGCGGATGGACAGAAATTCCAGCGTCACCAAGCCTTTGATCAAGGGTCGTAGATCAGACACGGCCAAAAATAAACTCCAATAAGGGTCATTAAACATTTGAAGAAGTTCTTGTGTACAAAGGATGCGATAAAGCCTTGTAATTCTTGGTATGTAGTTCAGCTGCCTCTCTAATCTCCACGTGATTGCCCATACCTCACAAAACAGACTGGGCCTTCTGGAGTGCCCGCGCTGCAAAATACCGCACATCCGCATCCTGATCGTTTTTCTGGTGTTCAAGACAAGGCACGATTCGTGTTTGAACGAACTCGTGGCCAGTGGGCGTGTTACCGTAAGCCAGAGCTAGAACCTCCAACGACTTCGAAACATTGAAACGAATGTTGGGAATAGCGTCGGATGCCAACAGTAGCAAGGGATCAATAATCTCGCTGCCGACAATGTCCAAGGTGAGTGACGGAGCAATTGTCTAGACAACTTCTCAGCATGCGACATATGATCGTCAAAACCCGCACCGTGATGGCCTGAACAGTAGTCATTCTAAACAAGTAGTTGGGATGCTGACCCATGCCCATAATCTTCGGCACAATTTGAACTTTTGCCCATTCGACTCCAAAAACCTCGGTGAGTTTCTTGAGGTTTACCGTGGCAGCTTCTCGGATACTGAAAACAGTGTCGCCAAGCCACGACATACAAAGGTTACCCAGTTGTTCATCGAAGAAGGGTTTTCCCAGTTGGTTAGCGAGTAATGGTATATACTCGATGATAGCCTGGCGCACGCGCCAGGACTTGTCTTCTGCGAGTTCCACGATGGCAGGCAAGAGCGTTTCCGATAAGAGTTCGATGCCGATCACTATGAGCGTGAATGAAAATTAGAAAGATGACCGACAACGAAAAAGACTGACCGTCGTTAACAGTCTCCAATTTGCTGATGATGTTCAATCGCACTTCAGGGAAGTCGTCTTTGAGGAGATGTAGGAAGAGGGGAAGGAGGTGTTCAATAGTCGAGTCTTTGCCCAGCAAAGGTGCTAAGCCACTGATCTGGTTCGCCAAAGCAGCGCGGACATGTTGCGACGAGTCTTGAGACATATCGCGAACGCAAGGTACAATACGGGCCAAGATGACGTCTTTGTCGAGGAGCTTAGAGAAACCTGGAAACGGTCCGTTAGTCGACTATAAATAGGAGAACTCCACATGCCAGGAATTTGGCCAGCAGCCGCGGTTCGGACTTCTGCTTCGTTATCCTTCAATAGTTGCACGTATTGGGCAGTCAGCTCTTCTCGCACCAACTCCGCACCGACTGCATCGGCGAGCTAGATTAAGTCATGAGGTAGTCTATAGCAGTTGGGTTTTCAAATAGGTACCTCATTGAAATGGGTCGCAGCCATGTACCGCACGCGCCAGCTTTTATCACCAATACTTTGTCGAATCTGTTTGGAGAGTTGCTCCTTGACTTCAGCTGGAGAAAGACGTTTGGCTAGAGCAATCAAATCCTCGACGGTAAGTAGTCTGACCGAGTCCTGGTCGTCGGATTGGAGTCTGCGGTATATGGGGAGGCCATCGGACAAGACGTGTTGTGGAGAAAAGTGGGCGAGCAGAGCCTAAAGAGATGAGAAGGCGAAGCAAGTGAATAAAAGACGCACCCCTAGCCATTTAGCTGCCGCCCTGCGGACCATGGGTGTGTCGTCCGACCCTAATGCAACATAACTCTTGCGAAGGTCGTCCTGGACTGCGGTAGACACCTTGGCGTAGACGGCGGGATAGAGAGCAGCAGATGATGTCCGTGATGTGAACCATTCTCCTTGAGAAAGACGTTTCAGGAGGGGGATGTAGTATTCTTCTATTTGAGCCTGTGAAAGGACAGCGGCAATTTTGGTGATGGACTCTGCAGCCTGAGACAAGATGAGGGGAAAGATAGTGAGAGTAGAAGGAGACTGACTTTATCTCTAACGAGAGTCTCTTCAACGGCGGAGAGATTCTCGAGTGGACCGAGTAAAAGATGGGCAAATTCTTTGCCACCAATATACCCCTCGAAGCCACGACCAAGCACTTCCGCCAGTGCCAGTAGAACCTCGTCTTCATCGTCAACAGAGTCTTGTAGGAAAGGAACGAGTTCTTCACGTGCCCGATCCGGCCCAAGAGCAAGAGCGATGGTGGGCACGCTGTGAATGGCGTTGAGGCGTAGTTGCACATCCTCTGAACGAAGTTCGTCCATGAGAATGGCTATCGGAGCAATCTGGTCTCATCAGCATAGTGTGTCTATGGTAAAATAGCCCACAAACATCGTCGCCTGAATCCATGGCTGTAGTAGGTGACAATTCGCGTTTTGGGTATCGTTAGCTCGTGACGCATCAACTCGTCCTTCGATGGAGATCAACCTCAAACACCCACAAGCAGGTCTTTCAGTCGCTCATATTTTCCTTTCTTACCATTCAATAGGGCTCCTCTACCCAGATCTTACTATATGGCGCCACCGTTGTTTCTTGGAAAAGTGCCTCACAACTCAATTCTCAGTTAACAGAGCGGTTGTTTGTCTCGGCTTCCTCCGCTCGTGACGGCAGCAAGCCTGTCAGAGGCGGTATTCCAGTTGTCTTCCCGTGTTTTGGACCCCCGACCCATGAAGAACATGCGAACCTCGCTCAGGTAGGCGTAGAATCGCTTCATATCACATCTTATCAGTTCAGCATGGCTTTGCACGAAGCTCTATCTGGGCCTGGGATGGTACGATTCGTAATACGGACGACAAAGTATCAGTCACCTTAAGTATGGCGATGGTTGTTCACTCTTATCTTTCTCCAACTCCTTCTTCAGCTCTCGAGCCGACGGCCGCTATTCGCGACAAATATTCACGTCCTTTCCGTCTGAGCTACATTGTAACACTCGGCCAATACGATCTCTCGACCGAGTTGCACGTTACCAACCCTTCAACTTCCACCGTCTATCCTCCCGACAATCTTGAATTCCAAGCTCTCTTCCACAACTACATTCTTGTCCCCTCCTCCAATGAGGTGCTCGTAACCCCCCTCAAAGATATCACGTACTACGACAAGACTGAGGCGACTTCTGAAGGCAAAGCGACGCCCAAGAAAGAGACCAGAGCCGGTGTCGACGTCAAGGGTTTTACAGATTCAGTCTACGAAGACGCCCCCCAGAATTATGACGTTACATGGCCTGGCGGAGGTTTGGAAATCAAGACTTCCAATCTTAAAGGTGCTTATCATGCTGCGTTTGGGCTTCGATCTGACATTTAGTAGATGTTGTAGTCTGGAATCCGCAAGCCGAAGCAGGAGCTAAAATAGGCGACATGGAGAAGGGAGGTTGGGAGCGGTTTGTCTGTTGTGAACCGGGCCATGTCCGTGGTTTTGCGTCTATCGCGCCAGGACTTAGCTGGGTCGGGAAACAGACGATATCTGTGATTCATAATGCACGTCGGCATCAGTGAGTGGACGTTCAGTGATAAGAAGATCACCAATAAAACAAGTCTGTAAAGAGCTCTGTAGAGGGTATGAATTACTAGAAGTGTGACACGATCACATGTCATCAAACGCGCTTTGCTTCTACCACCATCCTCTGTTGACTTTTTGGGACCCATGGACGAATGACTTGCGTAATGCAAGTCCAAATTAATAATGTCTTGTTTCTCTATGCCTTTTACCAGTACGCTCACGATCAGTAGATTGATCATTATCTTGCACCACCCAGCGCACTCGACGATGCAGACAATTTCTCTGCTGTACCCGTTATCCGAATATTCGGACCATCTTCTCTCGGCCAAAAGTGTTGTGTCCATATCCATCAAGTAATGCCAGCCATACTATAACCTGTGTCTAGCTTACCCCAATGACAGGTTTATCCTTATTTCTATGTCGAATATATTGACTCACTCAAGAGTCCTCGAAAAGGTTCGCCTTTCGTTTGCTTTGCCTCTCAGCTTAGATGTACCCCTCAGTCAATCGTTACATCACGAAGCTAACAAAATCCCTCAATCTCGCAATTGCTCTTTCGTTTAAGAAAGACCTTAACGTTGCTCAGAAACAGGCCTACATCCGTGCCATAATATTGGTCAAAGGTGCGTGTTAAAAGTTCAGTTCTGTCAACTGGGCTGACAGTTGTACAAGGAGTGCCCTTCTATGGCTTTCACTCGTCTTACAAGCCCTTTCTGAAAATTTACCTCCTTAATCCTGGGTTGCTGAATCGGGCCGTCACTATTCTTCGCTCGGGGCTCGTTCTTTCCACTCGGTTCCGTATATTCGAGAGTCACATAAACTTCCCTCTACAATTTATGGTTGACTTTGGTCTCGAAGGATGTGGGTGGCTTGAACTTGGCGAGGTTTTGAAGCGTGGCGAAGATGACGGCAGACAAACCTCTCCCATTGGAATATCTTCCCTCTATCGTGCTACCAATATGCCACTCGAATTTGATGCCACTGCCTTCCAGATCTTGAATCGTCAACGTATTGTCTCCCGCAACCTGCATCACAAGCTCCAAATTCCAGCCCCTCCTCTTCCTCCAGAGCCACTTGTGCTTGGTGTACGCGAACTCTGGGAGGACGAACGTAAGCGCCGTCGTGCGCGCGGTCTGGATCCTACTCCGGATATACCCGTCGACCCAAGCGACTCTGCTCGAACACCCCGCGGTGAATGGGTATCAGAACTAAGGTGGTGGGAAGAAATTAGGCATCGAATCGAGAGGGAAAGAATGCTCGAACCTCTTACAGTGCTTCAGCATGCTTGGGAAGACTGGGCGTTGACCGTCTTTAGTAGTGTTGAAGCTCTATGGCGGCAGACCCATCGAAATTCTCAACTCGCCGGCTTTGAATCAAATGCCGAATATGACGAAGTTGAAACTGAGATGAGTATGACAGCTGAGCAAATCACCCGACTTGTCGCAGATGAGGCGGCACTCGAGAAAGATTTAGAACGCGGGGACTCACCAGAACCAGACCTAGAAGAGGGGGAAGAAGCCGAATTCGATGAAGAGGAGGTTGCAGACGCTGAAGAAGCTTCATCGTACTTGATTTATTTACTCCATCCTCTAAAATTCTAATCTTTAGACAGTCCAGCAAGTTCTACAGACCCTTTCAACGAAGATGAAGACGAGCTAAACCAAAATCGATCGGGTGCCTTTTCCGAAGGAGGGTTGGTGCTATCTAGGTGAATTTACGCGATACCGTATGTTTCACACGTTAACAACACTTAGTCCTCCCAATTTGGATGAATACATAGACTTTGATGAACCTACTACACCGACTCGGTGAGCTCTTACTCCGTGAAAACAAATTATCTCTCTCTTATGTCAACGCAGTTCACGGGCTCCGGATAGACAGATTATCGGAACATCTCCCGCGTCAGCAGCCAGGTAGGGGGATGACACTGGCTTTTTCGCATGAACTGAATCATCTTCAGTGACTACAATTCTGAATACTCACCGCTTCATCCTCCTTCCAAACGACGCCGCCTCGATGTCGACCTCATCGGGGGCTCCGTAGCTTATTTGGTGTCACACAACGCCATGACGATAAAAACCAAACCAAAGCCGATCGGTAAAAACTGTTTTGAATACTCGCCCGCACCGCCCACAACTCAAAGGCTGCTTACGACTCTCGATACGTACCAGGTCGCTAGCAAAGTATACCAGCGTCCGCACTACAGCAACGATAACGATGTTCAGCGACCCAGAATATATGGCGGACTGACGTATCATGTTTTGGGGAATCCCAATTCTCTGGTGTCCTTAACGGACTGGGTCCACAATGAAACAGAAAATCCACTATTGCATTCTTCAAATCTGCCTGTCTCAAGCGGTTGGGAGTACGCTGGAAGCCCTCCGAGTGCTCGTCAAACCAAAAAATGGCTCCTACAAGAAGGCTCTGCGCTGCGAGCTATTGGAAGCTTGGGACAGCGCCAGTCTCAGGGGAGTACTGGTCATCTCACCGTTGAAGTTTTTTTTTACCGATGAGCAACAGATCGAAGGTCCATCCCTCAAAAACATCTATGGGCTGAAGAGTATGCCGCTCGATGGTGCAACATCTGTTCGTGGCACACCAAGCATGTCTGTCCTCTCGCTGGAAATATTTGGTTCAGCAGCTGCTTCACCTTGCGAATCTTATCTAATGATTGACAGTTTCGTGTGAGAATATCCCCGTTCCGGCCCGAGACCCGATTGTTGCGGCGAGTATCGCGTTTCGAGACGGAGATGCAAGTGATACCTTTTCGAAAGTCATATTTACTCGTGGTACACACCAGGCACCTTCCCTGGGGCGGCGCGAAGTTCAAGGTGTTTCCACTGAGCTGGAACTTATCAACGCGATAATTGACACAATTCTCGACCGCGATCCTGACATTCTGGTGGGATGGGAAGTCCAAGACTCTTCTTGGGGGTATCTTGATGAACGCAGTCGTGTGTTGGAGCTCAGCTTGGTCTCCCTGATTTCGCGAACCTTGAACCAAACTGAACGATCTGGAAACAATGACCAATGGTCTTCGAGGCAAAATTCGTCATTCAAGGTTTCTGGACGTCATGTATTGAACCTCTGGCGTGTTATGAGATCAGAAATCACGCTCAATGCCTACACCTTCGAGAATGTCGCGTTTCATTGTCTTGGTAGACGGTATGTAGACTCAATAAAGCTCCAATTGTGCTGACAATACCAATAGTATTCCCCACTTCAACCAACTCACAATGAAACGCTGGCTCGGAGATCCTTCACCAGAACGTAGAACCCGTGTCTACTCTCAACTAGCCCAACGTTGCGAGATCAACCTCGATATCTTGGAGAAAACCGAAGTCGTAACGAAAACAGCGTGAGTTATTTAAGCACCTGATTAACGAAGCTCAATTGGACAAGCGAATTTGCTCGAGTGTTTGGAGTGGAATGGTTCTCTGTGCTCAGTCGTGGCTCTCAATTCAAGGGTACGTGACATGATTCTTGTTTTCGACGCTGAGTGTCGTATATCTAGTGGAGAGTTTCATGTTCCGAATTGCGAAGCCGGAGAACTTTATGCTTCTCTCTCCAAGCAAAGATGATGTGTGTTTTCTACAAGTTTGTGGCCTGTTGGTGAACATGCTGTGGACAGGTTGGAAGACAGAATGCAGCTGAGGCAATGCCACTCATTCTCGAGCCACAATCAACGTTCTATACCAACCCAGTGCTTGTCCTGGACTGTGAGCATCCAAAAATCATGCCGGAGACGACTGATATGCAGTTTAGTCCAGTCATTGTACCCATCAATCATGATTGCTGAGAATGTGGGTCTATCTCATCTTATCAGGTATCTTATCTTATCTTCGTGAATAGTATTGCTATTCAACCTTTGTGGGTCGAATCAAAGAATTCCAGGGACGTCAAAAGTTTGGAGTTGACCCAGACCTCAAACTCAGTCCGGGTCTTGTCGAGTCATTGTATGACCATATAACTGGTGTGTCCTTATTCGTGCTTCGCTGTCGTTTGATCATGTTCTTGTAGTCAGCCCAACAGGAATGATGTTTGTGAAGCCCGAGGTTCGCAAGGGGCTTTTGGGCCGGATGCTCACAGAACTCCTCGACACCCGCGTTATGGTTAAACATGCCATGAAAGGGGCCGGGAGCGACAAAGTTTGTCTTCTCTTCTCCTTGACGGGTAACTATAATCCAAATCTAGGCGCTAAAAAAAGTCCTTGACGCTCGTCAGCTTGGACTCAAGTACATCGCTAACGTAAGTGTTCTTGGACATTCATCGTCGTCTAGTAATGCTCCCAAATAGGTCACGTATGGATACACTAGTGCAACGTTCTCTGGACGCATGCCAGCTGTTGAGATAGCTGACAGGTAAACTGTTGGATTTGGCAGGCATATAGTATGCTTGACTGATTTGTTTTAGCATCGTACAAAGTGGACGGGAAACCCTAGAAAAGGTTCCTCTGCTGCTCAATGTCGTTCAATCAGCCAACATCTGCAGGCAATTTCTGTGATCAACTCGGAGCAGCGATGGGGTGCGGAGGTGGTTTACGGCGACACGGACTCGGTCTTTGTGTTAGTCCTATCTGGTGTCGGGTCAATTTCTTCACGTTTTGTAGTCATCTCCCAGGCAAGACCAAAGACCAAGCATTCCGCATCGGATATGAGATGTCAGAACGAATTACTTCTATGTGGGTTAGGCAATTATACGCGTTCGTTTCTGAATATCCAATAGGAATCCGGCTCCTGTCAAACTCAAGTTCGAAAAGGCATGTTGCGATCACCCGTTCTTCTCCCCACTTACTCTTTCCAAAGGTCTACCTTCCCAGTGTTCTGCTAGCGAAGGTTCGTTCTGTCACCACTCTTGACCGCTTTCCAAACTCGACAGAAACGTTATGTTGGCTACCGATATGATCAACCTGATGATGTGCAGCCGATATTTGATGCTAAAGGTATCGAGACGGTCCGCCGCGATGGTGTTCCCGCACAGAAAAAAATGACGGAAGCCGTCCTGCAGTAACTTTGTCTCAAAACTCTATGATAGCGGCTAATGAGGCTTGTAGCATGCTATTTCGCACCCAAGATTTGAGCAAAATTAAAGATTATTGCGTCAGGTATTCACCAACTACTCGTACTCTTCTCGAGCGCTTATAGACTTAGAGATCATGGCAAAGGATTCTTGAGGGTAAAGTCACCATCGAGGACTTTATTTTTGCCAGTCAGTATTCCTCCTTGATCCAAGCGGAAAGATTGACTGAAAGTCACGCAGAAGAAGTTCGTTTGGGAGGCTACAGGTTCATAAATTCATGATAGAACGACTACGAGCACTTATCTAAACGCAGTGACAAAGCTCCTCCACCTCCTGGTGCAGTTGTTGCAGCCCGAGAAGCTTTGACAGGACGAGGAGAAACCCAATACAAAGAACGTGTCCGATATGTGATTTGTCATGGACCAGGACGACTAGTCGACAGAGCTTATACGCCCCAAGAGGTCATCAACAATAGGCAAGCCCAAAATCTGTCTTGCGCGAGGCGTTGACATGACCCAGAAACCTCCGTCTGGATGGCGAGTACTATATTTCCAGAGTATTGATACCGCCGCTGGATAGGATTCTGAGCTTAGCAGGCGCCGATGTTCGGAAATGGTACGAAGACATGCCCAAAGCTTACGTCTACACGGAAGCTGCTATGTCACCAACCAAGGCAAAACCCAGACCCGATTATACCAACCAGCTCATCGACGAGAATTTTTACCGGACTCAATGTCTGGCATGCGAGGCCCCGTCGGATGATGGTAAGGGGAATATTTGTGGCTCTGTTGAAGCTGACGACGGGTCAAGACATATGCGACGAGTGTTGGCAAAATCCAGAGGTGGCTATGCCACAGGTCCTGACCAAGATACGGAGAGGTGAAGCTCGCCTATTGGACATTGCGCGGATTTGCGCTTCCTGTTCAAGGACGCCGTTGGGAGAACCAATTGAGTGCGACTCGTTGGACTGTTCGTGGTTTTACGCGAGAAAGAAAGCAGAAGCACGCCTAGATTTTCTCGAGGCCATACAGAATGTCACTTTTGAATAATTTACCAAGAATAATCACACAGTCTGATACGGAGCCGTGGTAGCTGCTGGAGGCTGTGACGGTGGTGGTGCTGGATGCGCAGTGGGCATTGACGGCGCAGCTCGTGGTGGTCTTTCCTCGTCCAGGTTCTGATAACCGTTGCCCACTGCGCCAAAACTACCAGGCATGCTGTCCCAAACTAAGAGCAGCATTGTTTGAGAAATAGTGTCCAAAAGTTTGCAGAAGCTCACCAGTTGCTCCACCCAGATCTCCTCCACGAATATTCAAGCCAGAGAATTGTCCACCTCGTTGACGAAGAGCTAAGGAGACCAATAAGCATATGAATATGAGCAATCCGAGGTTGGCTCACCAAGTCCAAAAGCAAAGAAAGTGGGCACCTTGAGCAAAAGTTGCAATACGGTCAATAGTCGAATAAACACATTCTGTTATCCTGTTACCACAAGGCTACCTCGCTAGAGAGAGTAGCGCACCTGCGAGTTGCTCGTCATCCAGATGATGTCGAAGACGATAGAGCCCCCCAACAGTCCAGCAAACTAGTTTGCAGACTTTGCGTCAGCATCCAGAGACGTGTAGTCAACGGCATACGGTCTGAGAAGCTTGATTGTCCGAGTTCATATTGGCATCTTGCTGCTGGGCCAACGACCCAAAGAGCATGATAGGAAGGTTATATGGCGGGGCTTGGAATGGAGAAGTAACGAATGAAAGTGCCTATATGATATGTTCAGCAGAGAAAGTTCTGGGAAATAGACTTCTTACTGTGAGCCCAAGCAGAAGCTTGGACGGGTCGAGGTTCTGAACGTAGTCCATGGCGCTGAGCCGTTAACGCGTCCTGAGAGAAGAGTGTGGGTTTCTCACGGTCACGGCATCTTCTCCTATGGACGCGTTCGACACAATCTTTCCCGCTGATTCGGTTGAGTTCTGTCCGCATCCAACGGCTGATAACATTTTCGTTTGCGGAACATACTACCTCGATGCCTCCGCTCCCCATGGACCCACTCAAAAGCGAACTGGCCAATGTCTTCTATTTCGCATCGACCAAGATCACAAAGTGTACGCGTCCTCTATTCATTTCCTCAAATCCTGACTTCTGGTAGAAACAAATTGCAAGGAATTGACTTGCCCGCAGTCCCAGATATGAAATGGTTGGTGATGACTTTCGGTTTCCTGTCCTCTAGAACCTTGTAGGCGCCATCACCCTTCAGACGCACCACTGCTGGCGATCGCAGACTCAGAAGGGAACATCTCCCTTCACGAATTGCAAGAGGTGGCTCCATCCAAACACGCTCCCTCAACTTGAGCTGAATTCTCTGCCGTCAGTCGCAACTGCAAAGCCATTCCTCTGTAGCCTGTGCACCCTCCGATGTCCTTTGTTTGTCGTTGGATTGGTCAAACCGTCGTAATACGAGGTGATGTGGGATGCCGGCAAAGAGGATATGCACCCTTAACACCCGCAGCCCTGACACCTCTCTCGTCGTCTCTCTCTCCAATGGGTCTCTTTGTCTTCTTCGGCTAGACGACCAAGGGTCCAGCTCTGGCTTACGGATCCTGGACACCTGGCATGCGCATGATTTTGAGCCATGGATTGCTGCTTGGGATTACTGGGACATGAATTCAATATTTTCCGGTGGGACTCGGAACTATTTCTCAGTGTGGGCTACGCGTTGAGCGTTTAATAGGTGGTGATGATATGATTCTGAAGATATGGGATGTAAGACAAGGTTTTACGAGCCCAGTTCGCACGAACAAAAGGTTTTTGGTGATTGGAATTTGTGTGTTCATTTGACCCCTTGGTAGATTCGAGGCAGGTGTTACAACCATTCAGAGCAATCCCCATGCCGAACACATCCTGGCTGTCGGAAGGCTCGTCTTTCTGTGGTGCATTTCGTTTGGAAGTTTTATCGCCTTCCAGTTATGACAACACAGTCCGGGTGTTTGACAAACGCAAACTGCTTGCTCCATTTGCCCAGGTCGATGTTGGCGGTGGCGCCTGGCGAGTCAAATGGCATCCATCGTCAAGTCGGAAAGACGACCTTCTCGTTGCCTGCATGCACGATGGGTTCAAAGTAGTCCGTCTGGCTGGTGAAAGTGGTCAAGTCATCAAACGCTTTGATCAGCATTCCTCGTTGGCCTATGGAGTTGACTGGTCGTTTGCTGCTGACCAAGGAGAGACGATGATAGCTAGTTGCTCTTTCTATGATCATACTCTACATTTATGGTCTGGGTGATACACTATTACTCTCCTCGGAACGCGTCCGAACATTACTGTTTCGCCAAAGAATTACATCGGGCCCCCGAACGATGAAACGCAGACCCCATCGTGACAAGCCACGAAGAACGTGAGGATAATGGCTGGCCGCAGTCATCAACGAGGAAAGAGAAAGGATGAATGTGAGCCTAAGACCACGTTAAAAACTTGGTTGTTATCATGGTTCACTTTGCATACCGTTCTGCCAATTGCAACTTCCAGCTCTGGCTGCGGATCCATCTTCGAGGCAACCACGCTCTCAAAGCTTTGGGTAGCACATAGAGAGCCATCTCTCCTCTTCTGCGCCCGTTTTCGATCCAAATGCTGCTACCACATACCATGCACCCGGCCAGGATGCAACCCAGTTCAGAGTCCCAGAAGTCGTGGGAGACCGATGGGAGCATGCGAGCGACCACTAATGTCCGCGTAACGCAAACACTGAACCAAAAGCTACTCAGGAAGGTGCTGAGGAACATGGCACTTCGTAGAGCACCAAAGAGCGACTGAAGAATCCGCTTGGGATCAAGAAGAGCACGTGGTCGACTCAAAAGGATTGGGAGAAATTGTACCTGTGATAAATGAGCGGAACCAGGAATCACAAGCCGTTTGACTAACGGGAAGGTATATCGCGACTGCTTCAAAAAAGGCTTTAACTCCACGCAGGGAGGCATTGGCGGTGCAACTGGCTTCGAGGCCTAGATTTGACCCAACATGCCCGTGAACCATCTGGAGAAGTTTTGTCGACTTGATAATAGCGAAAGCAGGGAAGTAGCATACCTCACATGGAATGCCGCCGATTCCAACGCGATTGCTAATACCAAGACGCTTCCATGCATCGTTGGCCTGAGCTCCTCCATAAGCCGGCAGATGAGATGGGTCACCCCAGACAGACGGGTATCCCAAATCACGGGCATAGGAGGTAAGTAGATCGGGTTTATGGGAAACACCTTTCCGATATGACCAAGTCCGAGAACGGAGACCGCGAAGTGCCTCCAGCAGACGAGGGTCGACTCCAGCAAGCGCGTTAATCCACTTGACGTATGAGCGAGGTAGTCTGAAACCATAATGAGTTCGACGAACAAGACAATGCAGTGCATACCTCTCCGGTTCGTAGAAAAAACACCACATAATCCTTGAGTGAGGTTGAGTTTAGACAACTTGAACGGAAAAGAAGGTCATCGGACCTTGCGCTGCAAGCCCAAAAGACTAGCGAATCGATTTGCATTCGCATAGAAGCGCGCTTCGCAATGGCCGCCAAGTGTTGAGGGGAAAGGAGGGCGGGTTTGGCGTCACTTTCTCTCCGACTCCCAGATCGGCGAGCAACGAATGACTGAACCCCAGCATCCAGTGCGCGGACAAGTAAGAGAAGAGTTAGATCAAGCGTCCGCGATGCAGATTCGTCATGGGAAGAGGATTTGACCCTCGTAGAGCGACGTCGACCGGCCTGGAGTAGAAGTAGACCCACTGTCGATGAAACGACGTTGGATATGAATGTCTTTTGAGCGGCGGAGAGTTTCGAAGAAACCCATTGCTTCAGTTTGGTGAATTCTACTCTGTCGGATGACGTTTCATCTAATGTCCTCCACGCTTCTCTCAAGAATGACCCTCCACCGACTGCCGTTGTGACAGCAAACGCGAAGCCAGTGTAATGAAGTTCGCGGTATAACACGTGCTTGAGCGGCTTTTTCGAGGAGTTGGTAAGGAATGGCAGAAGGGAAGGGAAAAGGGAGAGGAATGCCGCCAGCGAATAGGTACGGATAGAAACTTGCAATGGATGTGCTGCATTTTGGGGAACTAGAGAAACTAGTCTTTCGATGTGTTCCGACAGCAGTCTGCCTTGCCCCGTTTCCCTGGGCGGCATTCGCGTTAGATTGGATGCCGCGTCGTAATGGTCGTCTACAGAGTTGTGCAAAGACCGAACATGTGAAAAAGTCAATTACGTAATTAAGTGTAACTCCAGAATTCGATCTGCGTTCCCAAAGATAACCCGTCCACTCCCACTGTTTCCAGCATTTGTCGGAACCGTGTCCGCGATTCAGGGTATACAAATGATTGGAGAATCTTCTCGCCCTAGGCACATTCGTCAACCGTGAAAGACGTGGTCGAGAAAACGATACTTGCATGACTTTGAAGAGTAGGCAAAATATTGTCGATGGGAGGAGCTGGTAGTGTTGACGACCGAGGTTCCGTTGGAGGTATTTCCAGAAACGCAGCGTCTTCATCCTCGGTCCACTGCCTCTTTTTGTCCTTGGGAGGCTGAGGCTCTGGAAGGCCAAGCCATTGCTGCCACAACTCGAGCAGGCGACCATCGGTTCTGGCAGACTTGCTTATCCTACGATATTTCTCGTAATTTTGCTCGGCGTCCATGTCCAGCCATATTTGGATCAGGGAATCCTCCAGGTTCATCTCTTCTTCAGAAAGAGAGCCAAGAACAGAAGTATGGAGTGATGATGCGACGGAAATGCGACTGCGTGGGTCAATGGATGTCTGAGGGGTATTGGGACTGGAGTTTTCGGGGGACTTGACGAGGTCCTGGTCTCTGCCCTTTGCAGGACGGACCATCAGCCGAAGCCATTTTCGACGTCTAACCCAACTAAAGGGTCCTGCTTCGGGATGCCAATGGTGTTTACGGAAATACCAGTTATATTGAAATCCGTCAGGTTGCATGTCTCCGTCGCGCATGTCGACCATCCAAGGCGACTGCCACTGCCATGAGCCGTCTGGGAGCGGGTAGTTGGCGAAAGACACATCAGGTTGTTTCGAACGACTCCCGGATGCACCAGGAATCGTGAACGGGCTGGGGTCGATGGGTAGAAGTGAGAAATCGGAGAAATACGCAGTTGAGAAAAACTTGAGACTTTGGCGGTGGAAATTAGGGCTTTGAGTGGACAGAGCAATGTATGAGCGCACCCCCCGTTGATTCTCGTACAGTATTACCCAGCGGTACTCTTCTTCTTCTGATTCGTAGGGTGTGAAGTCAACATCGATGAGTGGGTCGGAGTCAACAGTGGGTAATGCGGCGACAGAGACGTCGAGTGGCTGGGTAACGGGTGGCGGATTTCGTTTGCGGGAACGGAGAAGATTAAAGCGCGTCCTTGAGGACTTTAGATGAGTTTGAGCTTCAAGTTGAGGGTCATAGCGAGTGGTTGGTAGCTGGAGCGTCATGGAAGGAGCGAAAGGGGTTCATACTACGTCACAACTTTCTTTCTACATAACCATGATGATGCGTCGGTTCTTTTCGTCTTTGTCCCGCTGCTCTTCGTGCTCTCGCCCGCTAGCGACACGGCTACCAGCATGTAATCAGTGTGGGTGGATCTCACCAATACCCTCCTCAATCGGCTTCCATGAGCTATTCTCCCTCCCTGCGCGTCCTAATCCATTCGTTGTCGACCACAATCTCCTGAAACGGCGATTCCGAGAAGCTCAAGCAGCTTGCCATCCGGATTCGTGGACTTCTAAGGGTCAAGTGCGTACGAAGACTTGAATCGGAACCAACGACTCTGAAAGAAGTCGTAGAACAAACAAGACATCGCTCAAAGCTTATCCTCACGGTTGAACGAGGCCTACAATACCCTTGCTAATCCGCTGCGACGTGCGGAATATATACTTGAACAAAATGGCTTCCCCATTTCGGAGACTGACCAGGTTGACGATGTCGAACTCATCATGGATGTAATGCAAACTCGCGAAAGCATCGAAGAGGCCTCCAACAACCAAATTCTATCAGAAATTATGGACATAAACTCCCGTCAGTCAATCTTCAGGTTTCGACGCGTGTGTTGACTCGCCGAACAGAGAAGATTACGCAGACTGTTATGGAGTTAGAAGAGGCTGTTGGTCGAGAGGCTTGGCCAACGGTCAAGGACGCTGCTATCCGTTTGAGGTATCTTGAAAGTATTGAGAGTGCTGGGAAGGGGAAATTAGAACAAATGTAGAAATAGGTAGAAATAAAGCGAGTGTGACATGTAGTCGTTCAAATTTTTTAGACTTGTTTGTCTCTACATGCTGTCCCGCCTTGGTACTTGCGCTTTGATGCAAGCAAAGCGGGCAGCATCTACTGCTGTTAGACCTCGAAAAGTACCCCGTCTCAACGATCCATCCTCCTCCGTTGGCTCTGTCGAGCCGGCCTCCTCATTAAAAATGCCTCCTTCTTCATCCTCTCGCCGACCCCGAAAAGAAACCCCTCGCATTGGCCGTGGTCCCAAACTTCCTCTACATCCAGGACCAATACACGACAAACAACTAATTCTGAATGAATATAACACCCCAGCCAAGCCTATCGCTCCCAAACATGTTGACACCCCAAGGAACTCGGTCAACAACTTTGCCGTTCAACTCCTTGGTACTGTGCCGAAATACGACAGCGTCGCTGGTTTGCTGAATGGTATCCCAAACTGGCGGTGTGTTGTTCTACACACAATCCATTTTCCAGTATTTGACCCGTCGTAGAACAACAGTGAAAATCGAAACCAACCCTCCCATTGTTGGAGTGGGTGATAACCAAACGAAATCCGAGTCAATACTACTCGCTGCCCTGTCTGCTGCCTTACAGATACATCGCATGGGAATTGTACGCCTTTCAGTCATTTTCCTTTGTTGAGCTCAACATCTCTGGTAGCTGGACAACCCTCCCAAGATAAAGCCCGCGGTAGCGACCAGTGTCACTTTATCCGACTCGACCACGGCAACCTACGAGCAGGCCCGCACCTTCATGGACTATTATTGCCGTCGATTTGGTTTCGCAAAGCCAGAAGTCACTTTTGAGGAGAAAAAGGGCGGATGGGAGGCTTTCCTTGATGTTGGAGGGCGCAGAATTGGAATTGGGAAGGCCGTGAGCAAGAAGAATGCTCAGGTTGCCTGCTATCTGGATGTCACAGCCTACCTAGAGGGCTGCGACCATGACCTTTGGAAAACCTATCTGGAAGCGTCTCACGCTGGAACCGCATTAGGCATGGCACCCAGTGTCTATTTCGAGATGAGCGATCGACTCGATGATGACATTCGCGATTTATGCGCTGATGTCAAGCAGAGTCAACTTTATCGGCGTCGACCCGCAGTCGCCAATGAATCTCTCATACCTAGTTCTACCCTATCTTATCAACCACCTCCCCGTGTCGAACGTCGACTCCCGAATCCAGTCATGCTCGCCGAAAAATCAGCCAAGCTCCAACAACGACGTGAAGCCTATCTCAGCGAACCTCGACTCGAAACAATAAGGAACCAGCGGAAATCTCTCCCAGTTTATAGCCGAGCAGAGGATGTCCTCGCCCACATCAACGAAAACGAAGTTACAATTTGCATGGCAGCGACTGGCTCAGGAAAAACTACCCAAATTCCACAGCTCATTCTCGACAGTTTTATTGAACGTGGAGAAGGCGCATCGTGTAATGTTGTTTGTACCCAGCCACGCCGTCTTGCGGCACTTAGTGTCGCCGACCGAGTCGCAAAGGAGCGAGGAGAGTCTCTAGGTCAATCCGTGGGGTACCAAGTTCGATTCGAGGCCAAACTCCCTGAAGAACATGGCGCCATCACATTCTGCACGACTGGAGTTTTTCTCAAACGGATGCAATCTAGCTTAGCGGGCGACAATCGTTTTGAGGGTCGCTCGTTGGATGATGTCACCCACGTGGTGGTAGACGAAGTTCACGAGCGAGATGTTGACACGGACATTCTGCTTGTGGTGTTGAAGCAGATGATGGAGGATCGCAAGAAGCGGAAAATTCCCCTGAAGATCATCCTCATGAGTGCTACGATTGACCCATCGCTTTTCCAACAATACTTCCCTGATGAACACGGTCGGCCCGCTCCAGTCATCGAGGTTCCTGGTCGCTCATTCCCCGTCACCAAACATTTTATGGAAGACTTCATGCCTGCCATCCTGAAGGGCCCTGCGTCTTGGATTATGCGAGAACCCGCTGTAGCCAAGTATGTCGAGAAAGAAACATCCATGACAAACCCTTCCGGTCACGAAGAAGAACTAGATCTTCCTCCCCAGCTGGTGGCAGCTACTGTGGCTCATGTTCTCCAACTCACCGACTCTGGTCATGTCCTCGTATTTTTGCCTGGTTGGGATGATATTATTGCTGTCCAAAAAGTTTTGCAAAACCCCTTCGGTCCCTTGGGCGCCGACTTCAACGATCCTTCTCAATATTCTCTCCATCTTCTCCACTCCAGCATTCCGTTGGCAGAGCAACAGGTCATATTTGACCCTCCTCCAACTGGGGTGCGCCGCATTATCCTATCGACCAACATCGCGGAAACCTCCGTCACGATTCCTGATGTTGTGTATGTCGTGGATACCGCCAAGATCAAAGAGCAGAGATACGACCCTCAGCGTCACATGTCATCCCTCGTCTCAGCGTGGGTGGGCACATCGAATCTGAATCAACGGGCCGGACGAGCCGGACGCCATCGTCCCGGCGAATATTACGGGCTATTGGGTAGTGCTCATGCACAAGCCCTGCATGCTTACCAAACTGTGGAAATGAAGCGAGTTGACTTGAGTAATGTTGTTATGCATGTCAAGGCGCTCAACTTCCCCGGCATGTCAGTCGAGGAGGTTTTAGCTGATTGCATCGAACCCCCAATGCCAGATCGAGTCGCCGCTGCAATGAAAGATTTGAAAATGGTCGGGGCATTGGATGCGCAGAAGAACCTAACCTCCCTTGGCCGCGTACTTCTCCAGATTCCTGTTGATGTCCAGCTTGGTCGTCTTGTTCTTTATGGCTGTTTCTTCCGCTGCCTCGATCAGGCTTTGACTTTGGCGGCCATCTTATCGAACCGAGATGCTTTCATGTCGCCGATGCATCTCAAGGTGGAGGCTGCAAAGGCAAAACTGTCATGGACCAGTCAGCAGTTCCGTTCGGATGCCCTTGCTGGACTGAATGCTTTCAACATTTGGTGGGGGTATCAATCCAAGGGGGAGTACATGACCGCCAACCGATTCTGCTCGGATAACTTCTTGTCAAAACCAACTCTCCTGATGATCCAAAAAATCAAAGTTCATTTACTGCAGTCCCTCTTCCGCGCTGGTGTCATCGACGTTTCCGCTGGTGGCATGGCTTCAGGATCGCTTGGGACAAGGAATGTTCAAGTCCCGCCTGCGCTCAACGTCAATGGTGACTCGCAAGCTTTATTAGCAGCGTTGATAGCCATTGCATCTCAACCCAAGTTTGCGATTCGGACCGGAGAAAAATCTTTCCGCACCGCACAGGACAAGGTTCGTTTCTCTTCTTGGTCGTGAAGCACGTGTCTTGATCCTTCTCTCAGCTTGTCTTCATCCACCCATCGAGCGTCAACAATAGGAAACACACAGCGTCAGAGACTCGCGAAGAAAAACAACTCTTTGCTTACATGGAAAAACGACAAAACGCGACAATATCTTCAACCCCACAAACAAATCTGGTCACCACAACACGGTTGGACCCTTTGACCTATATGCTCTTTGGAGCCTATAAACTGGAAGTGGCACAGCGTGGACTTGAATGCGACGGCTGGCTTCCTATTGTCGGTAACGTCGATGCTTTGGACGACGTGCAGCGACTCAAAACACTGATGGAATCAAGTATGCTCCGGGTTTTCGAGGGAATCTCTATGACACGACGGCGTTCTCGCCGTAACCACCTACCAATACTACCAAGAGAAGAGGAAGCCGAGTCGGAGATGGACGATGATGAAACTCGAGATCTCTCACTCTCTAAAGAGGAAATTAAGGAGTTCGACCTGTTAACGCGGGACATCGTTCGTATCTTGAACCAGTATAGTGAAGAGAGGGGAGGCTCACAGTCTCGACAATCTTCCAGGCCAGCAACTCCGTATGGAAGGCCTGGCTCCGGCATTGCTACACCTATTTCTCTTTCGCGGCCGTCAACACCTAACCGCGGGCGCTTTATGCCTTTCTCATAGACTATAAACGACTAGCTAATTCACCACTGTATTTTAGTACCATATTTACCACCACTGAGACCTATAGATGATTTCATGATTCGGCTTACGTGGTGATGTCAAGTCCAGTTTGGTTTCGCCCACCATGGCGTCCAATATGCGTGGGCTCACGCAGGTGGGGGATGCACTCTCGGTCAAACATTGGCTTAGAAAGCCCCTAGTTCATTGCCGACATCCGAAGTGCCCGAGTGCGCGAACTAGAGGAAAAGCGAATCAACAAGGAAATGGCTAACATTCGCAAGAAATTCAAGGGTGACACTCGCGCTTGCATAGGTTCCTTTCTTTAATCCAGCCTTCAGACGGCAATTTGGATGGATACCAAAAGAAGAAGTGCGTACAATTCACTCGTCGACGTCAATGCGTTCTAACAGGGCACTTAGATATGTAGCCAAGGTCATCTTTACCTACATTCTTGGCTATAAAGTCGACGTTGGCCATATGGAAGCTGTGAATCTGATTTCGAGCCCCAAGTATAGCGAGAAACAAATTGTGTGTCGTGCTCTCCTCTTCTCTCCACAAGATCTCATCTTTCTATAGGGCTACCTTGCGGTAACATTGTTAATGCACGAAAACTCCGATTTTCTGCGCTTGGTGGTCAACTCGATACGAAAGGACTTGGACTCCAACAATGAGGTCGACAACTGCCTCGCTTTACACGCCATCGCCAACGTAGGCGGAAGTGAAATGGCCGAGGCTCTGGCAGAAGACGTTCATCGTCTACTGATCTCACCGTGAGGATGTTGGCGAAATAAATTACTGTCGCTGACGCATTGCAGCACGTCTCAGAGTTTTGTGAAGAAGAAAGCCGCCTTGACGTTGCTTCGACTGTACCGCAAACATCCTGATGTGATTCCGGCGGCTGAATGGGCATTGCGTATCATTTCTATCATGGATGATGAGGACTTGGTAGACGATCTCTCCTCCTCAATTAGTGCAACTGAATCTTTCTTAGGGAGTCGTTGTGTGTGTTACAAGTTTAGTCATGGCTTTGGCTCAGGACCATCTCACGCCATATGCGGTGTGCTATACCAAGGCCGTTGATCGCTTGCGCAAGGTCCGCCAACATATTTATCTATTCACACCCACTGACAATTTTCTAGCTCGTAGTTGAGCACGAATATGCAGCCACCTATGCATATTATAAAGTGCCTTCTCCGTGGCTACAGGTTAAGCTGTTACGACTTCTTCAATATTACCCACCGCCGGGTGAGTGGTCATCATCGCCATGAAACTTTGAGTCCAACTGAAGCTTAAGAGGACCCAAGTATCCAAGAGGCTCTTCACGAGGTGCTGACCACTATCATGAACAACAGCTCCGAACCTTCTCGCAACGTTCAACACAACAATGCCCAACATGCCGTGTTATTCGAAGCTATCAGTCTCGCCATTCATATTGACACCAATTCACCTCTGGTCGGCACAGCGGCTGTTCTTCTCGCTCGTTTCATCTCGTCAAAGGAAACCAATGTTCGATACCTTGGCCTTGACACGATGGCTCATCTGGCGGCACGAGCCGACTCGCTAGCCCCAATTAAAAAGCAGCAGAACATCATCATTTTGTCCTTGAGAGATAAGGACATTTCGGTTCGACGACGGGCACTCGACCTACTGTACAGCATGTGCGACGTGGATAACTCTGAGCTCATTGTTGGGGAACTGTTGAGGTATTTGGCGGTCGCTGATTACGCGTTACGAGAGGAAATGGTCCTCAAAATTGCAATCTTGACCGAGAAATACGCTACGTCCTATAAATGGTACATCGACACCATCCTTCAGCTAATCAGCTCTGCTGGGGACCATGTTGGAGACGAAGTTTGGTATCGGGTCGTTCAAATCGTTACCAACACAGAAGACCTCCAGGAGTATGCCGCCAGGGTTGTTTTCGAGCACCTGAAACAGCCCTCCAATCACGAGAGCTTGGTCAAAGTTGGCGGTGAGTTGCTCCAAACTTGCAGTTCACAATAGCATTGAACATCTTTCCAGGCTATATACTGGGCGAATATGGACATCTCATTGCCAATGAACCCGGATATAGTCCCATCGACCAATTTCGTGTTCTTCATAACAAGTCTCAATACTGTGTGGCCGCGACGCGGTCATTACTCCTTTCCACTTACATCAAATGGGTCAACGTCTTCCCCGAAATCAAACCTCAATTAGTGACCATATTTGAGCGCTATCGCCACGTTTTAGATGCCGAGCTCCAGCAAAGGGCCTGCGAGTTCTATGCTCTTGCCCAACGACCAGAAGATGACGAATTGTTGCAAAATGTGTGCGAGGAGATGCCGCCTTTCCCTCCTCGAGTCAGTGCTCTGTTGGGTCGCCTCAATCAAAAACAGGGTGATACGAATGACAAGCGCACTTGGGTCCATGGAGGGAAAGAGATGAACCTCGACAGGGAGGCCGCGAAGAAGAAAACGTTGACTGACAACAATTCTTCATCGGCATCTGAAGCACAAGACATAATGAGTTCCTTGACAGGGCTCCAAATAACTCCAAGCCAACCCGAGCCCTCAGAAGATGTCATGCCTCGAGTCGCAGTCGGGCCAAACATCGATCGTTGGTTCGATAAGCTGACTTGGAATGCTGAGGGCGTCCTTTATGAGGATGTCCAGATCCAAATCGGTGTCAAATCACGATACCAAGGCCACATTGGCCAGCTTGCCGTCTACCTCGGCAATAAGATACCCTCTCCATTGACTTCCTTCACTGCGTCCATTCACGTCAGTGATCCAGAAGCATTATCTGTTACGTTCACGAAAATACCGCCAAGCACCATCGCACCACGAACACAAATGCAGCAACTCTTACAAGTCGAATGCAAGAAGATGTTCACCACGCCACCAGTTCTCAGTTTGTCTTTCCTAGCTGGCTCCCATCAAACCCTCTCCATCCGCCTTCCCATCGTCATAACCAAGTTCTTCGAGCATGTCAAACTTGGGGCCAACGACTTTTTTGAAAGATGGAAAATCATTGGGGGACCCCCACGCGAGGCCCAACAAGTATTCCCCATCGAACTGGACACTGTTGGACAACTTGACCTTCCCAAATACCGACAAGTGCTTACTGGCCATCGGCTCAATGTGCTCGAAGAAATCGACCCAAATCCTAATAACAATGTCGCCGCTGGTATACTGAACATGGCTGTCGAAGGCAAGGTTGGGTGTCTTTTACGCCTAGAACCTAATCGAGAAGCCAAGGTTTGTCCTCTTCTGATGTTGAGACGGCCCACAGCTCATCTTGTTGCAGCTTTGTCGCGTGACTGTCAGAAGTACATCAGAGGAGGTTGCTAAAGAGGTGCTCAAGCTTGTCACAAAACCTTTACAAGTTAGTCCATCATAGCCCGATGTTGTATTAGATAGCTGCTAGGTATTACAGATACGTGTACAACAGAACATTTGTCATCAGTTAGTAAGAACAACAATGAGGGTATTGAATAGAATATTATCGACGCCACATTCGCAAAAGACCGCGTTTCTTCTTGTCGTCGGAGTCCGGGGGTATCTAAGACGCCAGCAGCTGACGCAGGGTTAGCCTTTGCGTAAGGAATAGAGTCTGTAGAAGGTGATTTGAGATGGTTGCGCCGTAGTCGACTCTCGTCCCAGTTTGAGGGAGGATGTGATGGGCTCGATGGGTCAGCCAATTGTCGACGTGAGGCATAAGTGGGGTCTGAGGGTGATGGCGCAGTCGAGGGTCTCCCAGTTGATTTACGAGACCGTCTCGGTGCGGACGTAACAGGCGAGCCAGACATAGAAAGCGATGGCGAGTGCTCAGCTCGCCTCCGCTCTGAAGATATGCGTGTGGCAAGTTGGCTTACGCGCTGAAGAGCAGCTTCCTCCACTTCAAAGCAACGCGAACAAAACTCGTTCAGCGGCCTGTCCGAGGGATCGTTGGGTTTGGCGCGAGCATGATAGTCACGTGAGTTCCGGATCACGGCAGACGTAATGATCGCCAACTGTTTCGGGATGTCCGGAATCAGAGGCATTGGAATCGATTCTCGGCTGAGAGCAGGCATGCGTGCTGTGCGATGGCGGAGTGCATTTACCACTGCAAGGCGTTCATGCCGCTCAGATGGATCTTCCGAGCTCCACCCATATGTTTCGCTTGATGAGATCAGTTATTGCCAAAGTAACGGGTGAAAATCCACTAACCTCTCTGCTATCCGACTGGGACTCGAGACCACGAGAATATAGTCGATCATCCCGGCACGGCTGTCGTTGAGAAAATCTTTGACGCCCCTCATGTGCTCTTCTTTTTGGACCGTCTGTATGTGATGTTCGTCGATAAATAAAGGGTGCTCAGATTGAGACTTACCGCGTTGAGATTGGCGAGACTTTGGATCACCTTTGCGATGAGAGTCAGGCTGCGTTGAACTGGGACACTCGGCATGCCTAGTACACTGGGGTCAGAAGAGCCTTATGAAAATAAAGCGAACTGACCGGGACACAATCCAAACAGGTGGGGGTGCAGAATAGCAGGCACAATAAACCGTAGGAAGCAGAAAGCTGAGACGCTTTGCCATGGTAGTTCCCGGCTATCCTGATTGTTTGTTTCTTTGATCCTATATCGTTTCTCGACGAGTTTTCGAATGGTCTCAAACAAATGGCGCATTTCACTACCAATAAATGAGCATCAAGAAACACCTGTCGAAACTTGACTCACGTTGGACATTCTGTTCTGACCGAGTAGATCTGATTCCAAAACTCTTGTGACCAATGAATCAGTAGATCCAAGCTGCGCTCGATGTCCTTGGGGCCCTTTCCACTCCGAACGGGATCGACCTCGATAGCGACTTTTTCGGCACAAAGTCGCCGCAGGACTTGACCAATACTAGCTTCTAGGAACGGTTTGCCATACCAATTCATGCAAGCCTCCATGACTTTGGTGAAGATAGTGTTGCCCCGGAATATAGTTTGATGGGCTGATACGCGTTCACGGTCAAGGCTCATGCAGAAGGAACAGACGACTTACACGACGGCGTCCCTTCAACTTCTCGGGCGGCGATCTCCTGCACTTGTGCAATAAGATTGCCCTTTGCCACTGCGATCGAGATAAGTTGGTGAGAAATGGTCTTGAGCTTGAATTTTGATTCAAAGTCGGTCATCCACTCGAGGAAATTGCGTGTGTTGAATGTCTAAGAGAACGTTAGTGAGATAAAAGCGCAGTATCGAAAAGGTATACTGACCTGGAGTAGCTTGGAATACGCGTCAAGAGGTAGAATGATTTCTCTGCGAAGACATAAGACAGGACTCAACCCAAACATTGCACTCACTCGTCAACCCTGATCTTCAAACGAATATCGCCCACTTGGAGGTCACTGACGGTAGGTCCTTGGTGAAGAACAGGGAACCATCCTTCAACAGACTCTCCTCGTCGGAAGTTGGCTAGTGTAACCCTCACTGACCCGAGTAAAGTCGGTTTGAACAGTTTCTTTTCCTTCCAGACAAGGACCTCCAGAGTATCGAACGGAGGCAAGTCTGTGAACGTGAAGTTTTCATGCCAGTCTGGGGAGCCGATGCCTTTCTTGAGGGTTGTACGGCCACATAGCATGCTGTTAAAATGGATTTCACACGAGACGTCCATTAAATCGACTGCTTCTCCCTCCACGGCATTCTCGGGGTTGCCACTGATGATAGCAGCATTGGTACTAGTGCCTAGGTCCATAAGACGCGTGTTACCGAGATTTCTTGCTTGGATAACGGTTAGTTCGACTTGTCTCCACATGCGGTAGGAACCGCCGTCTTGTGGAAAGAGAAGACGACCATAAATCTCGGGTACAGCATAAGACCGGAGAAGACCAAGCCAGGTGCTGCAAGTTTCCGAATTCGCGAATTGCAGGTAGACAGGCTCGCCAGCGTGATTCGTATTCGACATCCAGCGCTGAGACCTGAAGCAGATGAGGACAGCGAAGAGATCTCGGTGAAAGCAACGTACCCGATGGAATATATGCCCAAGCAGTCTTTGCGGAAGAACAGAGAAGGGTCGGCAAGACGAATGTCTGTGTGATTCAAGAGATGGATGTAGAGTGTCTGATAGAGTATCGTTTCCTGAAAGACGTCAACACTGTTGAATAGATGGCTTCATTCACCCACGTCGACGTAAATGTTCAGCAGACATCGGCTGCCTTCTTCGCTAAGCTTGCAAGTTGCTGACCGCCACTGTCCTGCCCCAGAAGCTCCACGCGCCAGGGTAAGCCAGCTCGTCTTTTCTGGAGGACCTGTTGGGCTGAAAAAGAGGAAAGTTGGTGTTGCTTACCCTTGAGCCTCTTGTCGTCGGATCCCAAATTCTGCCTGACGGAATCCCGTTTATCAGTTTTGCGTTTTGTTGGAATGGGCGGCTAACTCGACGTAAGCAAACAACCATCTTCAATGGTAAGATAACCTTGCGGAGAGCTATCCCAGCTGCGGTGGACACGTAGATTTCCGCCGAAACCAGGTGCTCGCTCATGGTGGTGGTTGCAAGCAAAGATTGTGGCACAGTTCTAATATCCGCATTTGACAATAATGTCTGATGGTCGACATCACCACAACTTCAATGCTCAAAGCCAACAGTCAAATTAACCAGCCGCTACATTAGCCGTTTGCTCTACGTGTGCTCTATTTTTCTACTCGCTTTTGACTCTGAATGATGTGTCAACACAAACCAAGAAACAAGAAAAGAATCGAACAGACGTTTTCCCATTGGCGTGTCCGTTGGCAACACCGTTCGTATGCGACTTTGCAGGTTTCTTCTTGTAGGTTTGCAAGTAGAAGTTGATGAAGAGGCCGAGGTACGATGTCAAGAGGCCACATCCGAACAACGCAGCCGTTTCCGAACCCTCGCAGTTGGCGATGGAAGGCAGAGTGCCTTGGTAGTAAGTAGCCGCGTAATGGTTGTATGCTGATCCATTCTCTTTAGTTCGATATGCCGTTCAAAGGTGGAACAACTAACTCCCAAAGTAGACAACGAAAAGGTCGATTACAAACTGGATTATTTGCATCGTAGTGAGGTACTTTTTCCACTGCCAATATCGTCAGTCAGCCGTAAAGCATCCTCCATGTGCAACATACCCAGATTTTGGCACCCCCCGCGGTTGCATAGTAGTAGTAATCTGTGAAGAGGAGGTCGGAGGTAGAGCGCGTTGCAGGTGACGAGACTGACACATTATAACATGGACACCTAGATTCAAGGTGATGACGGTCCAAGACTAAAGGCTCATTAAACGAGTTCGCAGAGGGGGGGACATGTCGTACGATGCTAGTTTTGCCGACAAGTTGTGAATAGCACAAAAGCGCGGTCGCAGAGTGGTGGAACACGTGTAAGAAAGCTGCAGTACGATTTAGACATCGAAAGAAAGGATGATATCGCGTACCGAGTGGCTTTTTCTTGAATGCAAGAAAAACGGTATCTATCAGTTCAAGGTATTTGAAGTAATAATTGATGATGTAGTAGAACTCCATTCGCTGTGCATTGTTTAGAATGAAGAAGGAGGGGGATATAAAGTTGCTGGACGCACTGGGGTCCATGAATTCGCGTGACACATGGCATTGAAAAGTCCGTCGCGCCACATGATGGGCACAATTTCCTCAAGCATAAGGGCGAGCAGGAGAAGACTACCCGAGCTGAGGACAACATTGTGTATTTGGAAGAGTGTGTTGAGCCTCTGTGGTGGGTGGTTTTTCATGGCAGCCTGGATGCCAAAGATGGTGACGAGGTAACCCAGAAGGGTACCAACGACGATGGGAGTTGTCGACAACGGCGTCTCATTGGGAATGAACGAATAAAGATGAGGAGGTAGGCGGTATGGGATGACAGCGAGCAGAGTATCGGCGAGCATGGTGGCGAAACCAGAAAGGTCTGATCAAACCCCAAGTGTTTTTTATCCGTGGACAAGGATCAGCAGCATGTGACATGTGAAAAAGGGCACGGGTCACACCATGTCACACCCGAGTTTTCAAGTATCAGCGTACTTGAGGTGAATGAGAGCAAGATGAAGCCGTGAAAGAGTTCCGCAGTCATCCGCAGTCGAATGCTATATGTACATGTAAAATTTTCTGCTACGTGAGCACGATAAATGGCTTTTTTGATCCTTCAACAAGTCGCACTCCTTCCCCAGCCAGAGGCATTTGTTTCAGCAACTCTAGTGCTTCGGAGAAGTCGGAGGAGCCCCAACATAGTATGGCTCGGGATGAGGAATGAGGAATCAATGAGTATGAGGCCGAAATCTATCACTAGTAAGTAAACATCATGGCACTTGCTTGAAGCTTACACAAGAAGCATTCAGTGCTTGACAAAGGTCATGGATGAAGACCAGGAAGGTCTGTTTTAGTTGGTTAAGGTCTTGTAAATCGATGCCTGAGTTAGGTCAGTACAACGATTAAAAACTAGCAGGGTGTTAGTCTGACAAGAGGTCGACCAAGTCGGTACGGCGCAATATAGACGAAGGTGTGAGTTATTTTGTGAGCGCAGAACATATTCTCGGAAAGAGTCGACGGCATCCCGTGGACTTCCGAGCTAGAGAGTTGTTAGAAATGTTGGGCTATAGGAGGGAGTAGTTGGGGTGTGCCTCGAGAACGGACACCTGGGCTGGGAAGGTCATGGTGGTCTGAATCGACTGGCAATGGGGATGAACGAGTCTGGCCTCGTTCTTTTTATATGCAGTATTCTAGTCGAGAGCATGAGGCCTTGCTCAGTTGGATCCGGCATGTACGTCAGAAATGATTTGTTGATCCCATGTCGTCGCGAATCTGATGATTGAGCGCGTCACTCTGTCTCTCTCCTCTACAACGACGACGTTCTCAGCTGGTTCTCACTTTCCACGACGATGTGGTGGCTTGATCCTGGAAAGGAGGTCCTACATGTCCTCTTCAATCGGATCCTTGCTCCATATGTCGAGAATTTAGATATGAACCAGGTCAACTATGGAATTGGCCAAGGTGCGTCATATGTCTGCTGAGTATTCCTATCTTGTAATTCATCTTCTGCAGGCAAGCTGACACTCCGTAATCTTCGGCTCAAGAAAGGCGCGCTTGACAAGTTCAGATTACCAGTCGACGTTCAAGAAGGTAAGAAGCATAGTAGTTCATCGTCTGACATTGGTTTTTCATTCCGGCTGGAGGTTATCTCGGAAAGTTCACACTATCACTTCACTGGATGAATCTGGGCAACCAGCCCGTCGAGATCATGGTCGAAGACGTTTACCTTCTTGTCGTGCCGTCTCCACAATCAAACATCGACGTGCAAGAGGGAGAAAGTCGCGCGCAAGCTATCAAAATGGAGCGCCTAGAAAACGCCGAACTACTCCATATGCGTGGTCAAGCTGAATCAACTGACGATTCGCCTCAATCTCAGGGTCTAATCCAGTCACTCATCGCTAAAATTATCAACAATGTTCAAATCACGGTCAAGAACATTCATATCCGATACGAGGACAAATTTAGCGTCCCCAAGGCACGTAAGCATTCGCGCTTTACCTGAGTACTAACTCCGTCTAGCATCCTTTCGCTGCCGGCATTACACTTGCTGGCTTTACAGCCGTGTCGGTCAATGGGAGGTGGCAACCAGCTTTCATAGAGAGTACTGCTGGTGCAATTCACAAAGTAGGTATCCAGAACACTGTAAAAGCATGGCACTCACCTGACTCAGCTAGCCAAACTTGAATCGTTGGCCGTCTATTTCGACACCGATTCACCCAGTCTCGCCGGTCTCCCGCCTGCGGAAGCAATCAAGAAGTTTTCTGCGCTCGTCCGTTAAGCTTGTCGTTTGTTTTGATCAAGCCACTCAGAAGTGAACCAGATTTCGACCAGTTCCGAAGATAAAAACCATCAATTTATCCTCACACCTGTTTCGGGAGAAGGCAGAGTGCGTTGATCAGGAGCGTCCTACCTCTCTTGACCTGTAAACAGATCATGATGAACCACAAGTACGACAAGAACACTCCTCAATTCGACGTCCAGCTGCTTTTCCAAGAAATTGGTGTTTCTCTGGATGATAAACAGTACCGCGACATCATCTCTCTCGTCGACATGTACCATGTCTATATGCGAAAACACCAAGTTAATGTTCATGGTCTGTCCAAAACCTGATCTGATACCTGTTCTAGTATCGCAAGTTTTACCCCAACGACACACAACTCGTCGAAAACCCTGCGCGGGCACGACTATTCTATGCCGGGACTGCTATACTCGAAGGCGTGCGAGAGCGACGCCGCAAATGGACCTGGACGTATTTTGCCGAGCGTCGCGATGATAGAACCAAGTATGTTGACTTATTTCAACAGAAATCTCTCAACAACTTGGCGGGAACCGTAAGAATAGTCCCCGAAATATACGTGCTCTGACCCTCGTAGGATGTGCAAACTTTCGAAGCACTAGAGAATAAACTGTCCTACGAGGATATTCGATTTTACAGATCGATTGCACGGTCACGGCTGCGCAAGGACATGGCCCTTCGAAAGCGGCTAGAGGATAGTCGAAACAAAGCACAACCGGCGAAGCAAGGATGGGGTACATGGTTGTGGGGCTCATCCACCTCGGAAAGTCAAGAAGACCCCGCCTTTGGAGGACCTATGACGGAAGAGCAACGAAAGCAGCTCTATGATGTCCTTGACTATGACGAGAAGTCGGCACTAGCAGATGCACTTTCTGCCCCGCGCGACTCGATGAAAGCACGCATTGTTGCGAAATTGAACAAAGGCTCATTTGCACTCAAGAGTCTTTCAAAAGACAAATCAGCAACAGACATCATATCCATCGTATTCGATGTTTTCCAGGCCAATGTCATCCAACGACCGGACAACCTGGAAGCATCGGTTTCCCTTGGAGGCTTCGGCGTCTTCGATGGGACTACAGCGAATACGCTTTACCCCCAGATTGTAGAAGTCAAGGATCCAAGTGGCCGAATTCAAGGCGACTATGGAATCCAGATTGAGGGCGTTGAACGGAACATGCAAGACCCCTTCCTATTCGTCAAATTCGAACACAATCCGCTAGATGGGCGTGCGGATAATGCGCTGATCGTTCGAATGCGACACATGTCCATCATCTACCACAAAGGCTATGTTGAAGCGATCTACAAGTTTTTTTGCCCCTGCAAGTCAGCTGGAGTCTGTAGAGGCCCTATTGGTACGTGACTTGCTTAGAAATCCGATTTGTGCCTTATCTAGCGATAGAGTGCGGCAAGTGAGACCCTCGAAGGATTGAGGAAGGAGACTCGCGCGGGACTCGAATATGCATTACAAACTCACAAGACCATCGATATTCAAATGGACCTCAAGGCTCCAGTCATCATTGTGCCGGAGAAGTATGTGCGCATCGACGAAAGCAAAGACGCGCTAACCTGCTCGCAGCATCACTACGCATCAATGCAAACATCTTATCATCGACGCTGGCCACATTGCAATTGAGAGCAATCTGGCTGACCCACAAGCAATCCGCGATATTCACTTGAAGCGCAACAAGCAGTACAGCGATGAGGACTATAAACATCTAGAGAGCCTCTGCTATGATAGGTTCTCACTTCGACTTGAAGCAGCACAGGTATAGTAGACGATATTTTTTTTCACTTTGCTTACATAATTGTAGTTCGTGCTAGGCAACGACCTCAAGTCTTGTCAAGATGCCCTCACATCCGACGCGAAAGACACACTGCATTTGTTGGAACGAATCAACATTGATCTTGAAATCCAAAACTCGATTGTTCCCAACGCCTTTAACCTCGCTCGTTTCAAGGTTGCAGGCCACCTCCCTTCTCTCCGAGTCAACCTGTCCGATACCAAATACAAAACTCTCATGCGTTTAATCGACGTTTGTATCCCAAAATTCGGCAACGATACTTCACCGACTCCTCCACCATTACCTAAAACTGTGTCCAGCGCATTCCAGCTTCCTTCCGTGTTCGGTCCTACCAGCGGCGAGTATCATGTTGAAGAAGATGAAGAAACGGAGGACAAAGAGGAGGAAGATGATGATGCTTTCTTTGAAGCAACAGATGGTTCTCCACAAGTAGGCATTGCATCACCCTCAAAGCCATTACTAACTGGTTGTACAGCGACCCGAAATTCATCAACATATCTTCGAACTCAATTTCCGCGTTGACAACCTGCAAGCTTCACTTTCGAAGTCTACTCATGATGGCATTGAGAAACCATTGGGAGAAGTTGAGCTTAAACGGTTTGCTCTAATGTTTGCCTTGGCAAAGTTCGATATGAAGGTGGATGTAAACCTTCAGTATGTTGCTTTTCTGCTTTATTTCGAATACTGACGAGTCAAGGGCCTTGGCCATGAATGTGGTCCAGCCAGGGGCTCAACCTATTAAATTCGTCTCGTCTCCCGAGTCTGACCTTCTCGAGGACAAAGATCTTCTTAGCCTCACTTATCGGCGCGTACAGAAAGAATCTCCAGAGTTCCTCACAGTGTACGAGGGAATTGATCAAAGCGTCGACATCCAGCTTTCTACGTTCGTATTCCGCGCTGCACCAGAACCGGTCGTCGCATTATACGATTTCATTATGACCACCTTCGTGCCCAAACCAGCACCCCAAGAGCATATCCAAGCTACACCAGAAACAGAAGTCGTCCTGCAGGCTGCTCCCGGAAAAATACGCGTGCTTGTCAAACTGGCAAGTGTTCAAGGTAAATCACATGATCGCGTTCCTGTCTATCATTGATTGATTGCCAGTCACCTTGATCCATGGAACGATTAGCCTGGCAACTTTGTCGCTTTCCACAGCGGATGTTGCGGTTCTTGTTCTTCCAAAGACTTTGCAAGTCACGGGAAGACTAGGGAGTCTGGCGTTGAGTAATGACTCATCTGCTCATCCCGTGCAAGACGAATTCAGTCAGATTGTCTCGATTGAAGGCCAAAACTTCGCCAATTTCCGATATCAGACGTTCGATCCAGAGGACGATAGTTATGTTGGTATCAACTCTTCCGTGTACCTTGCTGCAGCGTCAGTCAAGCTTCATTACCTGGAATCCCCCCTCCACGAGATCTTTCTGTTCATGCAACGGCTTGCCAAGCTAAAAGGGCTATATGACGCGGCGACACAAGTCGCTGTCCAAAGGGCCTCCGAAATTGAACGCATGCAGTTTGAAGTCTCCGTCAAATCGCCCATCATAGTCTTTCCGTCCGACCCCGCGAGTTCGCGGGACACTCTGGTGTTGAGACTAGGCGAAATCACCGCCAAAAACGCATATGAAGACGTGGTCAACCGAGTCACCGCAGGCCTTACCGGCATTCAGCTCGTCTCTAATCTCCATCTTGTCAGAGATGATGAGTTCGCAACCCTGAAGATTGTGGATGATATCGACGTCAAGGCGACCGTTGTTCAAACAAGTGGTATAAACAGGCAAGATAATCGTGACTTGCCCGATGTACAGGTGAGCTTCAGCAAAAGCAAACTTGAGTACAGCTAATGACACCTAGATTTCCGTCAATATTTCAGATGTTCGCTTGCACCTTACTCAAGTCCAGTATATTTTGCTCATTGGACTCTTGAAATCCGTTCCGAGAGTATTTGCCACTGGGGCGGACGCTCCGCCTTCGGTACAACCGCCCCCCTCGACGAAACCTACATCCCTAGCAACACAGGTACAAGTCGACTTGCAGCCAGAATTAAAACTCATCGACTCTACCACTGGATCACGGCCCTGGACTTCGTTGGATTTATTGGTCTCGGTCGATACTGTGAAGCTGCATCTATATGACGCTTTCGCGTTACAAGCAGCTGATCTCAAACAACACGGCATTGCTCGCTTCGCCCTGAACAACAATACTTTGCGGTTTAAAATGCTCTCAAATGGGTCTGGGGAAGCTCAAGTTGTACTCAAGTCTTTCACAGTTGGCAATACTAGACCTGGCTCGTCGAAATTCCGCGAGATCATTCCTGCCGCCCAACACGATCGAAACCAATTTATGGTGTTGTATACGATGTCTGGCGGAGTGAATCCAACCGCTTTGGCAGTCCTCACCGTCGACTCGCCACAGGTCATCTTTGCTGTGGATCCCCTTGTTGCTCTTATGCGTTTCTTTACCAGCGCATTTATGCCCGGCGTATCTGCAGAGGACGAAGGGACGACGCCAGCACCTCAAGCCCAGGCCAACGCTGTCGAGTCTCAAAGCTCACTTGACTTCCGAGTAGATCTTCATGATCTCTCGGTCAGCATATTGGAGAATGATGCCGATGTTGAGTCTCCGGCCATGAAGTTGACGATCAGTCAAGTTCTTCTATCACAACAGGCAGGTGAACCATTCTAAAGTTGTGTTGAGAACTTACACCATAAAGGGTATCCTTGCATTGACTGTCAACCGCCTTGGAATGTCTCTGGTTCGCATGGGAAAGCCGGATGAGAGCGTGAGGTTCTTGGACGACTTCGACATGACCTTCTCTCTCGATAACCGTTCAGCGTCCGATCAACAGATGACAAGCATTGAGGTTTCAGCTAAGCCTATCGTGTTTCGTGCATCATATCGCGATATCAACATGATTATGACAATTGTCAACAAAGCTATTGAGCTTTCCAACGAATCACAAGATAGACCAACTGCTTTGGTCAATGCTTCCGCTCAATCAGTGCGCCCCTCTCAAACTCGCGCTGCGACATACAAGCAACCGGTCGGGAAGGCCCGCGTGCTCATGTCGAAAGAAATGGTACTTATTTCTCGCTTGTCTTCATCGATGAGACTGAAAGATGGGCAGCTAAAAGGTTCATTCGACGGCTTCCGTTTGATCCTCATTGGAGATATGCACGAACAACCTATGCTGCATTTGAAAATCAAACCTTTCATCATCGGTGCAAAAGATTGGTCAGGCGAGGTATGGATCCCAGTTTCCCAGTCGAACCATGGTGGTTAATCAGGATATGCAGCTTCAAGCCACGACTACGATGGCGAGCCAGATCAGCTATTGGAATCTGACCAATTCCCACTGGGAGCCCCGTGAGTAAAATGGACGATATTCTTTGAAATGGCTTATACGTCTCAGTCATCGACCCATGGACCTTCACTACGTCGGTAACTCGCATCCGATGCCCCACTTGCAACCAATTCTAACTATTCTAATTCAGATAACCAGGAGTCCGTCAAACGCAATGAGTCTGACACTTTCCTCCCGCGAAAGACTTGATCTCAACCTTACAACCACGTTTGCTGAGCTAGCTGTCACTACCTTCAATATGTGGTCCAAACAAGGCGATTTTGTCCTGCAGAAAGCACGAGGAAGTTATGCGCCATACCGCATCAATAACAGCACCGGCTCACCCATCTTTGTATGGGCTGATACGGATGGCAATGCCAGTGCCAAAGATGTTCCAGCTGTCAAAATTCCACACAGCGAAATAGTGGATTGGCGATTTGACGATTGGAAAACAATGCGAGAGGTTGTACTGTCTGTGTGTGCGAGTTCTGCTCTTACTGAGTCCATCGTAGCACTTGTCTTCAGCACAGCATAACATCGGCCTACAGATCGACGGCAAGCCTTGGGATCAGCTTCGTAGCATTCCTGTGGACAGGGAGGGAGAGTATATCTACACGCTGCGGTCGCGGACGGAACGGCATTCTCATCGCCTGCTTGTTGAAGTGAAGGTGATCGACACGGTCAAAGTTGTCACGTTCAGGTCGACCTACAAAGTGGAGAACCTGACTCTTTACCCGATCGAGTTAACATTGGTGGATGACAATGGCCCTGTCCAAGGCGTACAGAAAATCGCTCCCGGCGATCATTACTCTCTCCCTGTTGGTGACGCTGTTACTATGAACAAGATTCGGATCCAGCCAGATCGTAGGTTACTCAAAAGTCTTTGATCTCATCGTTAATGCTTGGACAGAGGGCTTTGGTTACAAGTGGTGTTCGGCAATTCATTGGGAAGATTTGATGGCTAAACGCAATCTTACCATCAAATGTGCTCACACAGATGCCCGAGAAGCCGCCTTTAGGTTCCAAGCATGGGTACAAACGGACACAGACGCGTCTTCTGCACGGTAGGTAAAGTCACGTGACTCTCTTTTCTTTCTGATTGCCTCTAGTAAATACCCGAAAATGACCTTGAAACTACGGGCGCCAATTGAGCTTGAAAATTTGCTCCCTTACAATCTCGAATATCGAATTTATGACAAGGATACTGATCAGAATTGGAGAAGTTATCTTCGTCAAGGCGGCGTGATGCCCGTTCACTCTGTTGAACTCTCCCATCTTGTTTTGCTGAATATCGAGATCCAAGACACTGTGTTCAAGCCTAGTGACTTTGCCATCGTCAACACCAATCAGCATTCCGATTTCGATATCGAAAAGCGATTGTCTTTGCGGGACGCGAATGACCGCAAGTTAGATCTGAGACTTAACTATGTGTATGCACTCTTAACCTTCCAGACCTTAACTCACCTTGATCAGACGATATCCAGAATCTGGAGGGGCATTCAAGGTCCAAATTTACAGTCCCTATGTCGTCATCAACAAGATGGGTTTGCCATATGCGGTCCGATCGCGTTCCGGTCGGACCGGGTCTCCTCAAGATGTTGCGGGAGAGACTCGTCCAGGTTATTCACGCTCATAAAAATCTTCACTCCAAATCTCACTTGCTGTTGTAGATGTTTTGGTCACAACGGCACCCTTCCGTGCGCTCTAATTTCTTCTTCGTTCATATTTATTCTAATCTCGATCCTTTTTGTTTTTAGTTCTGTCCCATCCAAGCGACAAAGGACATGAATATGTCTTCCGAGTTGCTGACTCAGTTTGGTCGAGAGTCTTTAGCTTCGAAGCCCCTTCAGCGGAAACACAACTAGTAGCTGCTTCTCAGAAGCAAAAGACCGACGAGGTTCACGTCGGGATCTCTTGGACAGAAGGTCTGGGGAAGTATAAACTTAGCAAAGTCATTACTTTGGCCCCTCGCTTCATCATCAAGAACAACCTTTCTGAAGCTATATCATTCCGCGAGCATGGCGTAGCTCCTCGAGATCGCTCCGCGGTAAAACCCGGTCAACGTTGTCCTCTTCATTTCCTGCGCGCCGATCAAGAGCACTTGTTGACAATCGCCTATTCTGGCCTCAACACGCAATGGTAAATGCTCATCTGATGTGTCATTGCACTGCTAACCTTGCATAGGTCACCTCCCATAAGAATTGAAGACATTGGGACCGTTCATTTTCGATTACGCTCGCCCAGTCGCGAAGACAATCCCATTGAGCTTATCCGAGCGGACATCAAAATTGACGGTTCAACAATTCTAGTGAATTTCTCAGCAGCAGGGGACGCTTGGCCTTTTACGATTGAAAATGACAGCGATTATGTGGCCTTTGTGTCCCAGAAGGTGCATTTATTGGAACAACATGGGAAGACGGACCAACTGCTTTTTAGGATCCTTACGCTGACGCCGCTGAGTCATCACCCCGGCCTCAGACGAGCAACACATCTGGTCGACCGTCCGTTGTGTACACAGTAGATCCCCGGTCGACTCTTCCATACGCGTGGGATTTTCCAGCAGCCGACGAAAAGAAGATTCAACTTTCAATCAATGGCTTCCGCCGGATCGTGGACGTCATGGAAATAGGAGATCTTGTGCCTTTTAAGTTCAATGTGCGATGTCGCCCAAAATCATGCTGGCTGACTAACCTGGATTCTAGGACGGCCAACGAAATAGAGTTGTATCTCTCGATGTCCGCGCGGAGGGTCAACGACAAGTTCTGCGTATAAGCAACTACGTTGCCGAACTTAGCGTCTATAAACCTAAGAGGAACAACACTCTGACGCTCTCAAGACAGGACACTATGTCAACAGAAGGCTTCGATGCAATTGCTGATGAGTCTCTGCCAACTCTTGCTTTCACCATTGATTTCGCTGGGATCGGTATATCCCTTGTCAACAAGAGAATCGAAGTCATCTATGTGTCCATGAATGCTCTCAAATTCGAGTATACGAGTAGCGCTGTCGCCCATGCAGTCAGTCTATCTTGTGGCACGCTTCAAATTGACAACCAACTCCACGACGCATTATATCCCGTCATTCTCCAACCCACACCTATTCCAAAGCGGTCAAACGGCAGCACAGCCGCGCTCCCGACCGTGCAAGCCTCAATAATCTGGCTCAAAGACCAGGCTCATGGAGTTTTGTTCATCAAATACTGCTCCATCTTGCTGCAAGCTCTGACAATCGAGGCCGACGAAGATTTGCTGTTTTCAATCTATGATCTAACCAAAATCAAAGGAGCTTCTTGGGAAGAAGGCGTGCCAGAGTATGCCCTCAAACATTTCGCTCTCAAGATCGTCCACTGACCAACTTTTTAGTGTACTTATTCCTGCCGAAGAAGAAATGCGCGAGACAATAGCCGCCGAGTCCACACCTGGAGCCGACCTTTACTTCGAAGTTCTCGAGCTTCAACCAATCAAGTTGTCACTATCATTCATGCGCACTGAACGAGTGAGCGCAGAGGAAAAGTAGGTTTTTTCTGAGTACTTGCCGCAAGTTTGAAGCTGGGAAACAGGCTCAGTATCCGGAATCCATTGGCGGTCGTGATCAACGCGATCACGATGGCCGTGGGTAACATCAATGATGCGCCGCTGGAAATGAACGCACTGGCCATCAAAGACATGCGCCTGACGATGCCTGAGCTGCAAACTCGTATCACGATGCACTATCGGCAAGACCTCATTCGCCAACTCTATCGAATCCTCGGTTCAGCCGATTTCATTGGCAATCCAGTTGGTTTGTTCACCAACGTGAGCTCTGGAGTGTTGGATGTCTTCTACGAGCCATTCAATGGTGTCGTACATGGCAACAACAAGGAACTTGGGATCGGGATAGCCAAGGGTGCTGCGAGCTTTGTCAAGAAGACCGTGTTCGGCCTCAGCGACAGCATGACCAAATTCACCAGCAGTGTGGGCAAAGGCATGATACTGAGGTTACCTTTCTTCAAACCATCAACTTAACCTTAACAGGTCTATCTGCGGCCACCTTCGACTCGGAGTATCAAACGCGTCGCAGGTTAACTCAACGACGAAATAAACCGCGCCATGCCATGTACGGAGCACCAGTTGGTGCTATTTGTTCCACTAACTCGGTGCTAGATATGGTGTCACGGCTGGCGGGGAAGCATTTGCAAGCAGCGTGGCCAGTGCGATGGAAGGTGTCCTGGTGAGTACAAGTTGAAGCCTTTCTAGATCTGTGCTTGATATTGTTTCTCCAGATGAAGCCTATCGAAGGCGCTGAATCAGAAGGCGCTGTTGGGTTCTTCAAGGGCGTTGGCAAAGGCCTCGTTGGGTAAGACCTCTTGCTTGATGCAGCTGTCATCGCTCTGACAATCGTTCAAGTGCTGTTACCAAGCCGGTTGTCGGTGTTTTTGATCTGGCTTCCAATGTCTCTGAAGGTATCTGAGAAATGAATTATCCTCCTCGTATTGAAAACATCTGTAGGCATTCGAAACACTACCACTGTGTTTGATGGTCCTGCACGGGATCGTGTTCGACTAGTACGTAATCGTTAGCGGTTGGTGGATTTTGCTCATTTCTTTTCTGATAGCCAAGGCACATATCCTCAGACGGCGTACTTCGAGTAAGACTTCATTCTACCCAACGAATACAACTCAACTCGAGCAGCCATACGATGCGCGAGCCGCCACAGGCCAGTATTGGCTTCGCGATCTCGACAATGGAACCTTCCGCCAAGAAGTGTACGTTGCACACATCAGTGAGTGTCTTACCTCCCCCGCCTGTTCTTCTTCTAATGGCATGCCAAACAAGACACTCCTGGCGGCGACAACGTTGTCCTGCTGACAACAAGTCGCGTGCTCTCATTCTGGTCACGGAAGCTGCGCCTCGACTGGGAGCTGCCGTTTTCGCAGGTGCAGGGTGTGAGCGTGGAAGACACTGGGATACGCTTTGCGCACAAATCGGGCCGAGAAAGCGACAAATTTGTGTTCATCCAAGACAAGTCGTCAAGTAGCTGGTTCTTTGCCCAGGTTGCGAATGTTGTCAAAACTTACAACTCGAGGAGACGGCAAGATATTTAAAAAAGTGGACTATAGCGGATTGTAACCTGTAACACGATTGTATTTGCTTGAATTGAATTGTAGCCCTGGAACTTGACCTTATTTGTCTGAAAAAAAGGTTGAATTCTCGAATTGGAGCAATAATTTTCCGAATACAATCAGATCAGTAGCGTAATAATGATTTCCAAATGCAAATGAATGGCAAAAGTGGGAAGAAAATATTGACGAGATAAGTGTAAAAATGAACGGACGAGATGATGAACGAAATGAGGATATCGCTATTAATTCTCTACGCGCTGGAACCCAGCACTGGTCGGTGTCGTCTCCTGGCCCCCAACGACAGTCGCAGTGCTCACGACCCGGTCACGGGACGGGTAAACGCCAAACTCCTCCGAAGGCAAGGGGCTTGTGCGCTGGTGTTGATGATCCTCGTCTTCCTGGCTGCTCTGGCTGTACGCGCTCTGGAAATCCGAGTCATCGTCTGTTGTCAACTGGGACGGTGTCCGGCTGGCGCTCCGCCCACGTGACTTGGGTTGGATTTCCGGCACAGGTGAAAGTGTGCTCGAGTTCAATGCCGCCGATGGTGCGTGCTCTAGAGTGTTGTTGTCAGCAGCAGCTGCAGACTGTTGGTCCTCCGACTCTGCTGGCTTGATTAGGATTGTCCGCGGGTATTGTTGGGAATCGTCATGAATGGTTTTGGTGGAGGAGGCGGTGCTGCTGCGAGTTCTGCCCTTTGTGACCGTACGATTGGCTGAACGCGCTGGTCTACCATGCCGAGCTCGACTAGAAGTGGTCTCAGAGGTATCTCCCTCGCTCTCCCGGCCAGCCGAGGGACGCTTGCGATGAGTGCGACGGTCATTGGCCAGAGCGGTTTCCAACTTTGATTCACGTAAGCTCAGGAAAATACTTATTCCACGAGGAATTTCATACCTTCTGTTGGATCTCAAGCACCTTCTGGGCAATCCGGTCGCTCTTCATGCTGATATTTTCGTCCACCGCAATCATGCCGTCCTGCTGCAAATCGGCCTCGGTAGCGGAGAAACGCTTGTTGCGCGGCGAAGCAGGCGTTTCCTCCTCCTCCGGAATCGTCTCCGTCTGTTTGTTGTTGACAGGGGCTGATGCCTCATATTCTTCAGCGAGAGTCGACTCAGTTCCGAACGAGCGAAGCGGGCGCTTCGTTTCGCTCTCGCGACGTGAGCGTGATGTGGCACGGCTGCTGGGCAATGAGCTTGCGCGGGAACTTGGGCGAGAGCTGGAGTAGTCAGACTCAATATCTACCGCCATTGAGGCCAATGCCCGCTCGATTTGAGCCTCGACCTGCAACTGTTGTCAGTTATTAACGGAGTCACTGGGCAGACACATACTTCGGCAACCATCTCAACTCGCTCCTGTTCCATTCTATCCATTGTCTCCCGCATACGGTCAAGTTCAGACATGGCCTCTCGGTGAGCTGCCTCCGTGTCCTTCAGTTCTGTGCAGAGGAAAGAAAGCTTTCAGCTCCAAGTACAAATAAATCAGGACCACATACGAGTTTGAAGACGCGTTTTTTCTGCAGACGTCAAAGTAACAATACCGGACAACCGCTTGGTTTCCCGTTGCTCCTTGTTGATCTTGGAGCGAAGTTGGGTGGCCTCCGCACTCAATTTTTCAGCGTATTGCTCAAAGGTGACAAACTTCTGTGTCCAAAGCTCGCTCTCGGTCATGAGGTAGTTGAGTCTCCGAGACAGACGGCCAATCTTGGTCTCCAAATCATCACGAGCGTCAACAAAGGCAGTTGCGCGCTTCCGGATAGAGAGCTGAATATGTTGTTCGGCAGCTGTGAGTTCAGCTGGTCGCTTGGGAGTACCAAACGAGCTGATGCGTTTGAGGAACGATGGCTTCTTCGCTTTCGACTGCAAAACCATATCGAACGCCTGGATGACGCGGGTCGAATTCCACCACTCGGGAGGCTGAATTTGCTCTGCCACCGCCGCAGAGGAAGCACCTCGCTTCGCTTGGATCTTGCATACAGGGCGGAAACGGCCCGCCGGGAAAGCCTCTTTGAATTCACTGATTACGCGATAAGATAAGATTGACAGCACGTCACATTGTGACTCGCCTTGGGATGGAGTGATCCGGGTGGTAATGCGAGTCGAAAGCAGCCAGCAGCTTCTGTCGGTACTTTTCGCGCTGTTGCTTGACTGAAACAGCGCCGGCGGGCGGAGAAGGGCAGCTCCTAAAGAAAAACATGGGTAAATTTAGCCAACCAAGTCAATAAGACGCCATACAAGTAGTTGATGTCCCTGTTAATATCAGAACAAGTAGACAGAAGAGAAAGAAAAACTCACAGATCGACCACACAAACTTCAGGGGCAGGTCTCACGCTGTAACGGGCTTCGGTGGCCAAGCCCATAATCCAAGGCCCGGGGTCCTCAACATAGATTTTCGCATCTCGAGAGTGAACAGCAGGGAGTGCGATGCCATTCCAGCCTCGGAGTTCAACGAGATACTTGGTAGTTGCCACCGCAATGCCCAGCATGGCTGGATGACGAGAGACAAAGATAACCCTGCCTGTTGGCGCCAGAGCAATCTAGTTGCATGTTTGAGCACGATGATTCCCTGTAGTAGGCCCGATAAGCGACGTACCTCGCAAATGGTAAGGATATTGTCGATGCTCAGACATTTGAACAAGGGCCACATCGTAAAATTGATGTCAACCAGACCACGGCCAAAGTCGAGACCTCCTGGGAAGCGTGCAATCACTTCGAGACTTGCTTCGCCTTCAGTTTGAGGACTAGCGTCCAACTTAATCAGGTCTCCAGGTCGTGGCGCGGGGTGAGCGAGGATCTTTGAAATTTGACTGGAAAAAAAATTGGATAAACAGACGAAATTGTGTGGGTTGATTTACTGACAGTGTGTGTGATTGAACATCCTTGCTGAAGCGGGCCCACGACAGAGTCAGGTAATCGCGCATTAGGTCATAGACCGGGTGTTTCGAGACGAGTGCTGGGAGCGCGTGTTAGAATGGATAAGAGATAGAGGGAGGGGGGAGAAACGCACTGAGCGCATAAGGAAGCCAAAAGACTGTGTCTCCAGGGAGGAAAAGGGTGCTTTCTCCGGGGCCATGGCCAGCTGTGCTTGCAACTTCATACTCGCTTTCACTAGCGCCACCGGCGTCAGTTTCTCCGTCAGTGTCAACATCGGTCCAGGGACCTCGGGTGCCTCTCCGGACACGTCGGCGAGCGACAAGCGAGGGGTCTTCGCCAGCCACATCAGCGCGCAGAGTTTTCAGTCTCGACGCTACGGCCGATTGGGCCGACTCTTTTCGGGAACGGCCGGCTTCTAAAGTTCGGCGAATGGCAGTACTGCGCTCAGCGTCAGCATGAGACCAGACGGTCAGGCACACGCCGTGATATGTGACCGTGTTGTTATTCGAGTCGGGCTGGCTTCGAGAGGCAGCTGGTGTGTTGTGACCAAGCAAACTGGGAGGGCCAAGATAGGCAGCAGACGGGCGCGGGAAAGGATCGTCGGTATACGGATAAGCGTAAGATGGAGCAGCTGAACTGCGATTGTCAGAAGACAGAACAGAGGCACGAAGGAGGTCGCCAGAGGGAGTGGGGGCCAAAGGAGTGTTGGGGGCGGGAAGCGTGAATTGGAAGGTGTGGATGGTAGACGGTGGTTGGAGAGTGGAGGCAATAACCTCAACCTCACGAGTGAACGAGAGCTTGATATGGCAGTCAGTCAGAGATGATGATAACGCGGACAAAACAAAATTACCTTGAGGGCTTTGGATAGCATTTTACCGACTTCGGCCTTGGACAGTGCGCCAGCACCTTTTGAGGTCTCCTCCTTGCCACGCCGTTTCTTCTTGATGCCCCCGCCAGCGCCAGGACTGACGGTGGAGCCTAATACCTCTGGCCGCCAAAATCTGTTTACTGCCGAGTCGGAGTGGGAAAGGCCAAGGACAGCGTCAGGGTCGGCCAGAGTCCAAGTGTGGGGGCTCTTGGGGAGGCCAGAGACGACATAGAGGGAAGTAAGGGGGGAAGTGGGGTTGAAAGGAGGGGCTGGCGCTGCAGGCCTGGCAGAACGAGTGGAGACAAGCGAGGTGCGAGAAGAGGCAGGAATGGGTTCCATGGACGCCTAATTCGAGTTAGTAAGGAACCGGCCTAGTAGTAAAAGGCAACCATACACGGTGAGCGACCCCTAATATACGAGACGCCTTGTCGCGCGGAATAGGAGGGTTGCCTGGGATAGCGTCGATGGTGACAAAGTCTAGTTCCTCCGCAAGAGAAGGGCGGCCCTACACTTGTCGTGAGCGGGAATGACTAGAAAGACAAACAAGGTTTTTTTGAATCCAAAAATACGTACCTTGATTGTGTCAGTGGATGGCCTTTCAGGAAGCGGAGCTTCCATTCGGGCCCTTGTCTTGCTCCTCGACTCCAGCGACGCGCTTGAATACCGAGACCTCAGCGCCTGCATCCTGCCAACACACAACAAACCGCGCGAAAAATTTGTCCCTCGCGAAGCGTCGCGTATTTATGGGTTCGCGTACGTTATCTCCTTTGGGCTCTGCCATCACGGCAAACAACATCTTCCCAACATAATTTCCGTCTACCCTGCGAGCCCAGCTCCAACGGTAAACTACAACCGCTCTACAATTCCAACCTGAGGAGCTTCGACAACTTGAACGGTGGACGTTATCTGTCATAGCGCCACCGACCAATAATTATATTTCACACTTTACAGGTACCACATCAGGAGTTACCACAAAGTACATTGTGCTTCAGTACACGACCAAGCCCAGGGAGATTGACCTAAAAGGACAATGGATGAGTTTCGCTGACAGCAGCGAAGAAGACTGACGCTAGGACAATCCAGACATTCACTAGGGCAGTCCCACGTCCAGCGTTAGTTTTTACGATTGTTCCGTTGTTCGCGTTGGCCGCGGCTGCAATGCCAGTGTTGGCGGACTTGGCAGAGGAAACCACCGACGTGATCATCTTGGCAAGTGACGTTGTTGGCGCAACGGGTTTGGTGCTCGTCGTAGGCCGAACTACAATTGGTGTCGAAGACGTGGTAGGCTGCGTGGCGGCCATAACAACATCCACACCTGAGCAAAAAGAGTAAAGTGTGATTAAAGACGCGCCAAGGGAGGACACTTACAGTAGTAGTAATTCTGCACATGGTTTCAGCGTTGAGTTTCAAGTAAAAGATATCAAGTTCAACCTACCTGGTCAAATTCGGGAGTCGCCCAAAACAGCTGAACCACACACTGTCCCGGGCGCTGACACTTGTCGCCAATGGTCGCCGCATCCGGGAGTGCGTACTGAAGATTTGTCTGGTCGGCAGGAGTTTGACCCGATGTGGGGCAAAAGTCGTCGAAAGTCTTCAAGAATGAGCCAATATACGCGCCAGATCCTCCAACAGTAGTGTCAATGAGAGAAACATTGGCTGGCCCTCCGTGGGGCACTGTACAGTCGACGTCCATTTGCATCCGTTGCAGGGCTAGAGACAATTTTTAAGGCGATATGTCAAGCAAGAAACGAAAAACCCTACGCTTGACTGTTAAAACATGGCTGCTTGGTTGATCTGCGAACAACTGTAGCAGTTATTAATATTAGCGAGGAAAGCAAATCGCAATGGCCATACCATTCCACGACATAGAGTGAGTTCGCAGCCTTGTTGAGGTACCGGTTCCTAAGCCGCCCATCACTCACTGGTAACGTCGTCAAACCAGAAAAGCACCCACCTGTTCTTCAATATGCCCATCAGGCCCGTTCTTAACAGCGTTAAACGATGTAACCCCGCAGGCCTTCTGGAAAGCGGGCCCAGGCTGTTATAACGGTGAGAAAGACTCCAACGCAGATATGCCTCACGCACGGTACGAATTGCCGGGGAAGTAATCAAAGCATGACCCCAGACCGCCGGCAGTTTTACGAGGGCCAAAAGAGGGACAAGAGTGACAAGGCAGAACATGCTTGCGGAGGACGGAGAGACTAGCTCGACAACGACACCAGGTCAGAGAAAAGAGGGAATGAGGCAAGCTCCAAAGACACCGAAGAGCCTTCCAGTTATTGATAGCTCGTTGCCGTGTATCAAATGATCTGTTTCCAACCCGTGAACGGATGAATGAGCATTTCTGTCTAGCAAGCATAGCTCAGAACCAAGAAGAGAGAGAGAGAGAACAAAGGCCAGGCCTTGGCAGACAAGATGTCTTTTTATACCAAGACCGTGATCGACTTTACCGTATTTTCGGTCTCGTCCTCACGTTTTTAGTCTCGGCTGATGGTTGGCACGTAGATTAGATTAGATTATATGACGACTATGTGTACTACGTCATCAATCAGTACAAAACAAAACCCAGGATTAGCCTAAGAGCACATGAGTTTTCGTCGAAACCGAAGAAAGAGACGACTCACGATAGCACGATCCACCCGTTCAGCACCGTTTCCCTCACTCCAGCATTGGCATACCGTCTTTCGAGTGCCGCTTCGTCAACCGTCGTTTCTTCGACATCCACAACTGGTTCTACTGTCGTTTCTTCAACATCGACCGCTGGCTCTTCTACATCAACCACTGGCTCCTCTACATCAACCACTGGCGCTTCCACGACGACCGCTGGGGGAGTTTGAACTGGCTTAGCGGCGACGCGAACCGAAGTGAGCTTTTTGGCCACCGCCGGAGCCTTCAAAGTTGGCGCAAGGACCGCGCGCGTGATGGTTGGAGCAGCGAGAGTAGCTTTTTTGCTCGCAACGACCTTTTTGGTGGCTGTAGCTTTCTTAGTGGCCGCAGTTATCTTTTTCGTCGCAGAAGCTCGCTTCGCAGCAGCCATGACAACGTCCACGCCTAGATAAAGTGAATCTCAGCCCCCCCCCGCAGAAATCAGACATGCATACAGTAGTAGTAGTTCTACGAAGCGAATCAGCAAGCAATTTCTGTTGCCCTTTCCGATTCAACATACCTGATCAAGCCCGGGGGTGGCCCAGAACAGTTGGACGACACATTCTCCAGGGCGGCGACACTTGGTACCAATAGTGGCCGCATCAGGAAGTGTGTACTGGAGGGTGGACTGATCTGCTGGAATCGCACCAGTTGTGGGGCAAAAGTCGTCAAATGTCTTGAGGAAAGAGCCAACAATCTCGCCAGCCCCGCCAACGGTCGTGTCTACGAGGGAAACATTAGCAGGCCCTCCGTGTGGAATGGTGCAGTCCACAGCCATTTGCATCTTCTGCAGTGCTGAAAACAGATTCAATGAGCCGCGTAACGGCCTTTAGAAGAAAAGGCTCACGCTTGACTTTGAGGACGTTGGTGCTGGGTTGATCTTCGAACAGCTATGATAAATTCAGGAATACTAGATGACCAGATAGCCTTTCAAATGTACCATTCCACGGCATAGAGTCAGCTCGCAGCCTGGTGTAACTGGTTCCTAAGAAGTAATACCATCAGCAGCGCCCAATACTGACTTGGACGACGCGAACCTGCTCTTCAATGTGGCCATCAGGAATATTTGTGACAGCGTTGAACGATGTGGTCCCGCAGGCTTCTTGGAAGGCAGGGCCAGGCTACGAAAAAAAAAGGTCAGCAGAATTCGACCCGCAAATATGCCTCACGCACAGCACGGATTGCGGGGCTAGTGACCAGGGCATGACCGAGAACGCCAGGTAACTGGGCAAGTGCCAAAAGAGGGACGAGAGCAAGGAGGGAAACCATGTTTTGAGAACTTAAGAGAGACTAGCTCGAGACACCAGGTCGAAGGAAGTGGTAAGAGGCAAAGCGCAAGGAAACGGAAAATCTCATTGGAGCTTGATGACTGGTTGCCAGAAATCAAATGATGTGTTTCACATGGTGGGGCTCAGGGGTTGCTCGTCCGACCATTCGAGTTCAACGTTCAACCGACAACACAGAGGGAAGAAGACAAAGACTAAGACTCGACCGTGCGAGAAGTGTGCTCTTTTTTTATCCAATGGTATTGCTGGCTAGTAGATTGATGGTTGACAGACAGATTAGATAATGTAAGCTATCGACGCCAAACAAATGTCCTCAGCCATCGCCATCTTGCCTTACTCCCCTGCTGCTCCTCATTTCTGCCCTCATTTGGAAGTAAAGGGGCTCTCTCCACGAGTGATTCCCGCGTACGAACATCACTTTCACTAACTGTCCGTCTCCGTCTCTCTCGACGTGCCTGTTCAACGATATCCGCGAAGCCATATTGCCCGCTGACCACCCTTCCTCGTTCCCCTCGTACTATTGAGAAGCCAGGGCTAACCGGTGACAAGCCTATCTGGAAGCCTCCCCCGAGAGTAGTCACTGGATTTGGCACAGGTGGAACCCCGCCAATAAACGTTGAAGTTTGGGCTCGCAAATGGTGGGAGCGTGTTCGTCGAGCTGACAAACCATCTGGCGCAGAGACAGTTGTTGGAATTGGTGGCTGTGATTCCGTAGGATGTGTTTGGTCCAAGCTTGATAAGCTTCTTGATACTGGTGGTCTTTCAAGTTGTCCCTCTTCATCAGCCAGTTGCACAGACCCAGCTTCAGATGCGCTGGACTCCTCGTCGCTCCAACCATCAGATACGGGAGTGGCGGACTGTATGCTGACGACCCAAACCCCACATAATAGCACGACAATGCCGAGGGTCACAAGGCCAAGATGCAGAGGCGGAATCAAGGAAAATTGGTTGAAGTATACCAGCCCGTTTACTATCGACGAAAGATTGTAGAAACAAAAGGCGGCTAAAATGCGTATCAGTCAATGTAACGCAACTCTAGTTTGGGCACTTACATGGGCACACTAGTATCGGGTCGGCAAATATAAGAGCTTTGTGGAGATACCACAATTGCAGCAGGGCAAACGCAACCAGTCCTAGGAGCAGCACCCAAGATTGCCAACGCCAGAACTGGTTGTCGCCACCGATAGTTAACAATAAGAGTTCGACGCCGCTTTTAGCAAACAACAGACACATTCCGCTGAGAATGCCTGAAAAGGACGCGTATGATATGGCGAGGACTAGACGCTTTCTCTGGATAGCTTGTGCTTCCTGCGTCCCCCCAGATGTTCGTAGTGATATTGATGATGCATTGGATTTGCGGTCTAGCAGTGGTGTTCTTTCGGTGGTGATGGCCTCAGAGATTGTAGTGGTGACTCCAGTGGTAAGAGTCGATGGATTCTCGGGTACTTGAACGGGCGGGGCGGAGGGAGAGGGCGAAAGGGAAACGGCGTCATGAGTACTCTGAGCCACACGACGGGAAAGGGAGTATTCGGCCCAGTGTGTCTGTGGATAGGTCAACGCCTAAGCTGGCCATCGATGGATTTTACGGACTATAAGGAGCGAAACCAGAACGACAGCTAGAAAATATGTTGAATGAGTGTGCTCGGTAGTAAGGCATAACTCACCTCCCAGCAATGAAAAGTACACCACAAACGCCGGACGACGGAACAGCGCGAGTAGGTCCTCCAGAGAGCGTGTTTGCTCTGGAACGATACCGAACACTGCAATGAGGATCGCACCTCCCGCTATAAGCTGGCAAATATCAACGAAAGCACAAAAGGCAGGCAAAGTCAAGTCACCAGGGTGCCAAGAACCATCCATGGCGACAGGACATCTCCCAACAAAATCCGCGCAAACAAGGCATTCCAGAGGAGGGAAACCGCACCAAGTGGGGCCAATATCACAACGGGAAGAGCAGCTATCTGGACAAGAGATCCTGCGAGGCATAAGTAACGCACAAGGAAGCATATTGGAATGCGCCGACCGATTATATTAGAGGAGATGAAGATGGCGAAGCCAAGTAACCATAATCTGCTTAATTTCAACGGTGTTATAGCGCGATTCGACAACTACGCACGGTCGCCTATGTTCAACCCGTTGCTGGGGAATAGGGAGTGCTTCATTGAGAACATGGCTCTTGCGTTGGATGGTAAGACCCAGAGACTGGATGCAGGATGCCACCAGACCTACAACAAGTCAGAGGGGAAGATAAACATAGAGCAGATTGCCTAACCAATCGTAATGCCCAGAACGATGTGGGTGCCTGCAGTGTGAACCATAGTCTAGATATGGACACTCGCTACAGCCCACAACAAGTTCCTCTTTGATTAAGTCTATGTCGATAGTGAATGTGTAGAATAATTGGTCGGTGTGGAGGATAGTGAGCACTTGGAGAGGATGTCGTGTGATGCAATGAGGCGCGTTCCAAGATATATGCACGTGATCAATTGCCTAGTATGTACAAGTTGCGAGTTCTACACTACATTTAGTCCATTTCTTCGATTTCAATGTCGTCGTCGTCGTCTCCAAAGTCCAAATCCATTGGCGCCACTCCTTCATGATTGGGCTCAACGACCAGCCTGTTTCGGGGCCCATCAAACCGCACTCGAACGACTTCACCGTCCCTGACACGGTCACCAAGAATTTGCATTGACAGTGGGTGGAGGAGCTCGGTTTGAAGGGCCCTATTCAAAGGACGAGCGCCGTACTGTGGACTATAGCCCGAACTGGCAAGATATGTTTTGGCCGCTAGATCGACATCAAGAGTTATCTTGCGTTCAGCGAGTCGTTCCTCGATTTCTTTGAGACGGATGTCCACGATCTTGAGGACATTCCTTCTCGAGAGAGGACGCTAGAAATGAAATGAGAAAATAAACATCGAGACAACAAACATTGGAGCTTACGAATATCACGACTTCGTCAATGCGGTTGATGAATTCAGGTGGGAAGTGGTGCTGGATGGCGCCAGTAACCAGCGAGCGCGTTTGAGGGTCGATGGCACCGCCGTCGCCCAGCTCATTCAAATATGTGGCACCCAGATTGGAGGTCATAATAATGACGACATTGCGGAAATCGACGATCCGACCCTGACCATCTGTCAGGCGGCCATCGTCCAGAACTTGCAGAAAGAGGGTGACGAATTCTGAGAGTGCAAGTCAAGGAACCATAATGAACAAGTCAGGAGGAACTTACCTCTGCAGGCCTTTTCGACTTCATCAATTAATACGATTGTGTAGGGTTTGCGTCGAACATATTCTGTGAGCTGGCCACCTTCATCGTGTCCTACATATCCAGGCGGCGAGCCAATAAGTCGCGATATGCTGTGTTCTTTTGACCCATTAGCTGGTGTTGCGGAACTAGACGAGAAATCTACCCACTTTCAGAATATTCAGAGGCGTCAATTCTGATCATAGCCTCGGGGGTGTCGAATAGAATTTGTGCCAGAGTTTTGGCTAACAGCGTTTTTCCTGTTCCGGATGGTCCTGCAAGCAAAAAGCTGGCAATGGGTCGTTGAGGATTTGTGAGCCCAGATCGCGATAGTCGAATAGCGTTTGCAACAGCTTTTACTGCATCCGTCTGACCGACAACACTCATCATTATGTCAGTAAAAGTGTTGAGCACTGGTGGTGATGATACTTACCTGCTCGCCAAAACTTTCTCCATCCGCAACAGTTTCTCCTTCTCTGTCGACATCAGTCTTGAAACCGGTATACCAGTCCAGCGTGCCACAACTTCAGCAATCTGGTCAGAGGTGACAACGTCGGATTGGTCCCCTCCTTCCGCATCTTCGGCCGCTTTCTTGGCTTCGAGTTCACGGAGTCGGTTGTTTAGATCAGGGAGCGCGTAATAGCGAATGTCGCTGGCGGTTTGCAAGTCATGCCTGATGAATTGAGTTAGCTGGAAAGCTCCCTAAAAGAGAACGATACACACCTTCTCTCTGCATCTTCTGCTTTCGCCCTCAGTTCCTCCATCTTCTTGCGGACAATGCTGATTTCGTCCCCTCGCTGTTTCTCGTTCTCGAATGCGGCTTTAAGCGGTTGAAGCTCATCGTCAACATTGGCGATCGCCTTGCGAGCAAGCTCCAACCGCTCTTTGCTTGCTTGGTCCTTTTCTCGCTCCAATGCGTGTATCTCCACCTCGAGTTCAAGTTTGCGACGTTGAAGCCTGTCGATTTCCTCAGGCTCAGTCTCCCGTGTAACTCGCAGGGCTGCAGCGGATTCGTCGACCAAGTCAATAGCAGCATCGGGAAGGCGACGAGAAGTGAGATAGCGGTGGGCCAGGGTTGCGGCAGCGATGAGTGCACCGTCGTGGATTCGGACTCCGTGGTGAACCTCGTACTTTTCGCGAATGCCTCGAAGTATCGATATGGTTTCCGGAACTGACGGCTCTTTAACGAGGACTTGAGCAAAACGTCTTTCCAAAGCAGCATCCTTCTCGATATGTTGGCGATACTCGGCCAAAGTGGTCGCACCGATACATCGCAGTTTGCCCCGAGCGAGAAGAGGCTTGAAGAGGTTTCCGGCATCCATCCCGCCTCCCTCAGAGCCGCGACCGGCCATGAGTAAGTCTAGAAAACAACCCTGTTAGTATATTGACTGTTTGGTATTAGTAAGCAACACTCACGCATCTCGTCCACGAAAAGTAACACTCCAGGACCACCATCATTTCCTGCTTGTTCTACTTCGTTCAGAACGGACTTGATGCGTTCTTCATATTCCCCTAGTAGAATAGAATGTTAGTTGTCAGTGGGATTAATCTTGGATTGCATACCTTTATATTTAGCGCCTGCCATAAGAGCGCCGACATCGAGGCTGAAGAGACGACAGAGAAGGCTTGCAGGGACATCGCGGTTTACTATCCTTTGCGCTAACCCTTCAGCAATTGTCGTCTTGCCAGTACCTGGCTCTCCGATTAAAACGGCATTATTCTTTGTTCGGCGGCAGAGAATTCGTATGACACGACGAATCTCGTTGTCACGGCCAATAACTTGCAGCAAGTTAGCCTTTGAGACAAAAAGAAGGCAGGATCATACTCACCAGGGTCAATCTTCCCTTCTTCGGCAAGAGCAGTGAGGTCTATCGCGTATTTCTGAAGAGCGTCGAAGCCTGAAAATTACTCAAAGGTTAGCCTACCATATTTTAAGGCACGACGAGGATCTTACCTTGCTCAGCGGTTCGAGACTCAACTCTTCGGTTGCCCCTAATTTGTTCGACAGCAGTTTTTATGGCAGCTTCCGTTAGGCCCGCCTCTTTGATGATTTCGGCGATCCCAGGATCGCGAAGAAGGGCAAGGACCAGAGTGTCTGATGCGATGTAGCTATCTCGTGTGGCTTTCTGGATGCTTTGTGCCTCTCGCAGAATTTTGAGCACTTGCGAGCTCATGGAAACATCTTCTGGAGGTGGGCTTTGTGTTGGAAGGCGCACAATTGCCTTTTGAACGGCGCGTTTCACAGCAGTCTGATGCCAACGGAGTAAGCAGACTTGGCGGAGGGTGAAAAAAAAAACATGGAACTCACAGCGTCCCCACCAGCGCGCGCGATAACGGAGGAAAACAGAGACTCTACGGGTCTTGAGGAGGAGCCAGAAGCGTCTCCTTCGTGAAGAAGTGCCCAGGCAACATGCACTGGGAAAACTTGAGCTTGTGCGTAGTCTTTGGCTACCTGGATAGCCGCAGCGACGGATTGTTGTGCTCGGTCAGTGAACTGGAAGTCCATAGTGGTGAGAAGTAAAGCTGATTAGGGGCGGAGCGAGCGAGCCCCATATATACTCTGGAGTCTGAGACCAGATGCATGGAGAAAGTTAAAGAAACAACTCGAAACCGTGACGCTCTAGATTTACGTCATAGGCCATCATGTGACCGCATCACCCGCTGACATAACTATCTCTCTCACCATGTTTCGACGCACAATCTTGTCGACGGTCCGCTCGTTGTCCACAGCGGCGAAGCTGCCCGCCGAAATACCCTCTGGCGCGCCTCTTTCCCCGCTGCAGGCTCCGAATTACCCCGAGACATGGTCCACTAGTCAGCAACCACGTTCCGCGGCGGTTTCTGGCCCTAGATTCGAACAGACTGCAATGGAGCTCCAGCCTTCGCCACTCAGTGCCATGGCCCTCATTAACGACGTTCCTGTGAAGATGGTTCATGGGCGCAAAGCCGTCTGTGATGGTGGAGATGGTCCTCTTGGCCATCCAAAAATATTCATCAACCTGGTAAGTGCACCGACTCCATTATTTGCTCATTTCTCAGTCTCTCTCGAAGGATCTTCCTGGCCCACGTCCCTGCGGGTAAGATTTCGCCTTGTTTTGGGCTCATTTTACTCATCTTTTATTCAGATACTGGTAATTCTGAAAATTCTGCCCTATTTTTACTAAATATTGCCCCCAAGTGGATTGCGTTTTGAGCAAGCGCCTCATCACCACTGATATACATACATCCGGGATATTATGGCTCGGGTACAAATACAAATTTATGGTCTACGTGATGCGACACTGGCTGGCCTGCAACTACACCAAATATTTACGATAGGGTGAGGAGAGAAGAGTGGATTAGCTGAATCGTCCTGAATCCGCAGGCAGCCAGGGTGATTAATGCCTTGTTCAAGTAGCGAGATGCGATGACTAATTGAGTGGGACCGATGCAACGAGTGTGGGGGAGTCGACATGCAGTTGACAGCAAAAAAAAGAGAGCAAAAGGAAGGCGTTGTCACCGAGCGTGTTATCCAGCTTCCGGCGCAAGCATATGTACAGCCGGAGCAAGGTATTCGTTACCTCCCGCAACGGCGTCAAGCTCAGAAAACGGGGGTAAGGAATCGCCTAACGGCGGTGGAGGTAGCGGGGGCTAAGCGAAAACGAGTTAGAGTCAAGTTATAATGGAGCAAGCCTCCGTTACTTACCACCTTGAACATCGGGTTTATGGCCGACTTGGGTGCTGCGTTAGGACTACCAAATGGGCTGGGAGATTGTCGGCTGAAATCGAAGGAGGAGCCGCCGTTCAGGGGTGAGGTGCGGGGTTGGAGAACATAGCGTCCGTCCGGCTGAGGATGTAGCCATGGAGAGGCAGAGGGTGACAGGGAAGGGGAAAGAGAAAGAGCTTGCATAGGTGGCGGTGAAATGCTACCAGTCAGCGGACTGCCATCGAAGGAGGCCTGTGTCCGAAAATCTTGAGCAAGTTGTCCTTCTAGCGAAAAGGAATTGGAAGAGCGGGCCGAAGAAGGGAAATCTGGCGAGAACTCGTCGAAGGATGTCTGCAATGACGAGGAAGAGGTCATTCTGCTCATACCGAGTAAGCTTGGTCGGTTTCGTATTCGAGCAGGCCCTGGGTCGCTATCCACTGTGGCGAAGGATATGGAGGACATACGACCAATACTGTGAACATCGGATGAAGACATTGAATGGTCGTCATCATAGTCGACGCGTCTTGCTTTTGACATTCGCTCTGTGTCGCGTCGCCAGTCAGATACTTCTGATGAAACAAATCGACCAGCAGCAGCATTAACCGTTGTCGAGGCAGAGGGGTCATCGGATCTATTCTGACGAACAGGTCCAGAGGCAGCTTGTTTGCCTTTCTCATCCCATTCCCGTCGTTGCTGAGCTCCTCCATCCCACTCGAATTGGCGAGCAGCATTCTGAGTGATTTGACTACGCTTCTGCATGACGGCGCGCGCTTGCTCCCTTTGCATTTTCTCGGCCAACGCCCGTCTTTGCTTCTCAGCTTCTCGTTGTATGCGCTCAGCTTCTTTCCTATTCTTCTTGGCATCCATGCGACGCGGAGCCTCGCGAATGGGTGAAGGTTCACGCAGTGATCTGCTATCACTACTTGACGATTGTGAACGCTTGAGAGATGGAGTTGACGTTGAAGCCACTGCAATCTCGTCCAGAGGAGCCAAGCCGTTGTGATGCGATTTGTCGCCACCAAACATGCCAAGTCCCCAACCACTGCGCTTCTTGCCGAATCCCAACGAGCCAAACTTTCCAGATTTGTTGGATTGAGGCTGGCTGACATCGTGAACCCCGGGTTCGTTGACCGGAGGACGATTGGGAAAGTCGGGTGCGAAATGAGGTGGCTGCACATCCATAGGACCGCCCAGATACTCGTTTGAGACATCTGGTGACACATCCATACTGTCTTCTGCATTTGCCTGGCCACGCTCTCCTTCCCAGATCGACGACGCCAAAGCAGGTTGCGTCCGTCTCTCCTCTTCTACAAGAGAAGGTCCGTTCGCTTGATGTTGATATAGTCGAACATCATGAACATATTCCGAGGCCTTGGTGGAGAATGACGACGAGTAGTTCGATACGGCGGGCAGGAAACTTCGGTTGCCATTGGACAAGGGTTCCGATTCATGTGAGCGAGAAGAAAATGAAGGGGCAATAGTGCGAGGAGGTGGGGGCAAGCCTGTTGACGGACGTAGACCTGGCGGAAGGGGAATGTTGTTGCGATGTGTTGTTTCGCGGAGATATGGGTGGTCAAGACATTGCCGACTTGTAAGCCGCGCGCCGGGTTCGTATTTGAGCAGATCTCGAATGCAGTGAACGAGCGATAATGGAACAGCCGGAAAATGGTGCTCGAGAGGGAAGAGCGAATAGATGTTCTTAGGCTGTGTCTATGGTTATTTACCATTAGCTAGTGGTAGATCAAGGGTGAACGATAGCGCGCACCTTTCGGAACTTAAATCCATTGCTGCTTGCCATTTGCAGCCCGCGTGGCCACGGTCCGCCGCCAACGGGATTGTTGTGAACATCAAAGCCGTAAGTGTCGCTAGGATCGCCTAAGACGTCACAAATTCTCCCTAATTGGTCTATAGTGTCGACACCAGGAAATAGCGGTCGCAAGTTGATGAGCTCTGCCATGATGGTCCCCAGAGCCCACATGTCGACTGGCGTCGAATAATCGTTGCTCATGAGGAGGACCTCAGGCGCACGATACCAGCGAGTTGAGACATATTCGGTATAGGGAGGCAGGCTACGGATTTCGCGAGCGAGACCAAAGTCAGCGAGTTTGATGATAGCTACAACATCCTTTTCGGAAGGGGCGTGGAGAGGAGCGTTGGGGGAGACAGAGGCGTAATCGTAGAGGCCGGTAGTGGTCACGAGGACGTTCTCCGGCTTCATGTCGCGATGGAAGTAACCAGCCGAATGAATATGCTCAAGCCCAGATACCATTTGGCGAAAAATGGAAGAAGTAAGACCGCCAGCGAATGGACGACCCTTGCGGGCTTTGACGAGGTGGTAGAGGTTACCCTCCATGGGTTCAAAAACAAAATAGAGCTCCTTAGAGTCAGGTTGGAGGAAAAAGTCGTACAAAGGAATGATGTTGGGATGGAATGGGATAGCACGCAGAGACTAGGAAGAGTAATGGGTGTTTGAAACATGGGAGTAAACACCAGACTCACCTCAAGCTCTTTGAGACGCTGACACTCCTCCCATCCGCCTTCCCACTTTTTACGCATCCGCTTCACTGCTACCAGTCGCTTTCCCGACCATTCTGGCTTTGCTCCAGCTCCACACTGCATGGGAGAAAGTGGCGTATTGGGGGGTAGGGTCCCATGCCAATCGCAAAGCCAGACAGTACCGAATGAACCATCTCCGAGACTTTTAAGCTCGGTATATGAGCGCGTCGAGTCTAAGGAAGTTTGAAAGGGAGACAAAGAGAATGGTGGTGAAGCGCACGAGATTGAGAAGAGCCGACAACGAGTTGGTTGTTCTCGATATGGACTGCTGGTATTCCAACGATGATTGTGGGGGCCTTTGGAGGCCGCAGAGGCTGTTGAATAGCCTGTTGCCTACGGTACGGCTGGTTTGGCGGTTGGGAGGCAGCGTACATCGGGGCATTCTCTCAGCAACGTCCAGAGAACATGGAGGCGAGTAATGGGCGAGAGTTCGAAGAAGCACCAAAGTGTGACATCGACTGATCAAAATGTTGTTATTGCGCTTCTTGGACTCCATTAGCATACATCGCTTCGCTACAGGACAAAACAAAACAAATACTACGTATTTCTATCCACGTCGTCCGTTTAGTATAGAAAGCAAACCAGAGTTGTCGCCGGGAGTAGGTAGGGTTCGAGGGGCGATCGGGTGAACAAATGGAGGTCGATAGGCTCCCATCGGGACTCGTTGGTTATTTGCGAGTGCTTGGATTTGAGCTTGCGACATGCTCATCGCTGGGCCACGGTGAAACGCCTGACTTGTCCACGGTCTCACTTGGAAAGGGTCATGGGGCGGCAGTTGCGGAGGAATAGGATAGCCAGACGAGTACAAGACCTGCATAGGGTCAAATACCGGTGGCGGAGGAACCGAAGCAGGAGGAATAGGATATTGACGAAGGAGTGGTGGTGATAAAATTGGTGGAGTCTGGCGTTGGAGTAATTTGGCTGATTCATCGGCAACAGATTCGAGTAAAGCCAGTTGTTGCATTCGTTTGGCAGTACTCGGCATTTGGGTAGATCGCGACAAATACGGAGATATGTCTGCCGTGCTAGCCGTTCGACGTGAGCCTAATGATCTGATAGAGGCTGTTGGCGACGACATTATTGCTTCGGAATCGGTTAGAGGGGGTTGATCGCTTGGCCTTGGGTTCAAAATGAGTGGTGAGGGTGATTGTATAGGCTGCAAAGATTGTGGATTGAGCGTGGGAACGAGTGACGATGCTTCCCCTTCCATACTAGTGGCGTCGTTCATAGCAGGTAAAGATCGTGAACCAGAAGAGGAAGCTGTGACTGGGACAGGTGTGGAAGCCTCTCGAACCGACTCCGTCGTTTTCACTGTCAGAACTTTCTCTCCTTCTTGCGGACCCGTTGCAGTAGCCGCAGACAAGCTTAACGAAGAAAGTAGTCGGGCAAAATGGGGGTCCATCTTGTCTGGGTCCAAATTCGACGATTGTTGTACGACTGTGGCTGTGGCAGTGGCGTATTGCGGAGAAGGGGTTTGAGGATCGCCATTATCCATCGAAGATGACTGAGAGCTGGATTCCTCAGGCAGTTGTGGCGATGGCTCTCTTGGTATATTATTGGTTGGTGGTGGTTTCTTGGGTTTCTGGCCTTTGCGTGGTGGGCTACGTGGCTTGCGCTCATTGATGAAAGCTTTCAGAGGACTGAGAGCGGGTAAGATGAAGGTGTGGATTCCGAATTGCAACAAATCCTACCCAATAAATGGAGTGATGAGATAAAATTTTCCAGGAGAAAGTTTGCTTCGTTTCCACGTCGGGAGGTCTGTCAATTTGAACCAGTCGATTTTCTGTCACTGAGGTTAAACCAGGGAAAAGACATGGAATGGACGTCCTTACACTGATCTCCTTCCGGGTCCTTGTCTTGAAGGGATAGTCTTCGGGTACATTGGGTACGATGTAGAGCGCTATTTTCTGCTCTTTAATGGACACCTCAATCACGTCCTCTTTGTTCAACTGGCCAGCCAAATTATAACCTGTTTCCTCCAGGACCTAACACATCCGTTAACAAGGGGGTTATTAGTTCACACGTGGAATTAACTCGCCTCACGGATAGCACAAGCATGAGGAGGTTCATCCTCATTGATTTTGCCCTTCGGAAAGCCCCAACCAGAAGATGGTTTCCAACCCTTGACGAGCACACACTAGCAGCAGTGTTTAAAAACCAACAGATCGCGGACAGCAACAATGCCACGCACTTTGTCCCATTTATCGTTCAGCATTATCGCTCCACAAACGGGGACTCGGGTTTTATATAGCATGAAATGGTTGAAAGCCTGCTCGTGGTCGTGGTTCCACTGATGCAGCATAGGACAGGCATTGAAAAGCATCGCGGAGAATTTCTTGAGATGGAGAGTGGGGAATTTGGGGTTTTGTTCACGAATGAAGTCTTCGTAAAACCAATGTCTGTCCAACTTCAGAATAAGACCCCACAAATAGATAAACAGTTGACTCACGCTTGTTCCACTTGAAAACATATACGCTCCAGCGATGCAAGCTCTTCTTCAGGAAGATTGAGAATAAATCGGCTATGAGCCGCACATGAGAGACCGTCAAGTGTTTGCCGGGAAATTGGTTACCTTGAAAGGTCTTCGAGAACCTCGTCATGGGTTGCATGGGTGTAGGAAAGCAGGTTTTCGGATGCTACGGCTGAGGCTGCTGGCATCTCCGGGGACGACGCAGACGAAGCCATAATGGAGTTGGTGTGACGGAGGAAGGGAGTGGACTTGTGATCACGTGATGAGATAGTGGGATTATACACAAAAAAAACAAAGTAAATAAACATCATGGTTTGTAGCCCATGCGGCGTACGTATTCCCTTTGTTCTTCTATAGTCAAACCGTCGGTACCTGTCCAATTTGCGGAGCTAGTTCGAGCACGGAAACGACCTGTGCGATTCCTGAAAAGCTCATCCATCTTCAGAGGCCTAATCGCCCCGAAAATGTCGTCCGGATTGATGGTACTTTGCATTTCCAAAGCTTGACGAAGGTCGGGGGATTGCGCCCATGATGGGGGGTTGAAACTACGAGGACGATCTTCATCATCAGAATCGGAATATTCACTGTTGATATCAGGTAGTTCAATGTTCTCACTAGCGACAACTGGCGTTGTTGGATTAGCGGCCTGAAGTTGAGCCTTGGCTCGAGCAGCCATTTGTGTTTGTAAAATTTGAGAAGGTTGGGCAATATCGTCGTCCATGGCAGTCGCCTTAACTGGCATTTTGCCCTTGGTCTGAGTTTTCGGCATCTCCAACGGCTTGCTTGTTGATGCAACAGGCGCGGCAGCTGGCAGTTTGCTGACATTCGATTTAACAGGAACCTTGGTGCTTGTCGACGCATTAAGATTCGGTTTTGACGCCACTTTCTTGAGCTCTGGCTTCTTCTCGCTTTCCACTGGGATCTGAAAAGGCTTAATAGCTGCGAACGACATCAAGGGTCCTACACACCTTTTTGACCACGACACTCTTGACAAGCGGCCTCTTATCAGTGAGTTCGTCGCGTTCTTTCTTCCGACGTTCGTTATCTTCTCTAAGTTTGCGTTCCTCTTCCAGCGCTTTTGCCTTTTCTTCGTCGGCCTTTCGCTGCAATGCGGCCTGACGTCGGTTTTCCATCTCTTTGAGCCTGTTGGCTTTCTTTTCCTTCTCCTCCTGTTGCTGTAACCGGGAATTAGAACCTAACGCACGATTATTGTGACGGACATATACCTTCTTGGCCGCCGCCGCAGCGAGTTGTAGACTCTTAACTTCAGGTTTGCCCTTCTTACTTGAGCCGAGCATGCTGCTCACAAGTTTGGTGGCATGTCCGAAGAATCCGCCTTGGTTGTGAGATTGAGAGGATGTTGTCGAATCCAAAGACATCTGACTCTGGCTTCTCGTCTCATTCTCTTGCAACTCTAAATCCAGTGCATTGGCATCCTCATCATCGTCAGAGACATCGATATCCATGTGGAACGAGCCAGGAATTGGTTGTTCTTCATGACGATCAGCGTCTTGGTCATTCAAGAAACCAATGTCAACATCGTCAGCGATTGATTCACCTAAAGGTTGTACGACCGATGCGCCTAGAGGTTCTGGGACCGGCTCGCTGAGAGGTTGCGCAATAGTCCCAGTGTCTCTTCTCACGCTGGAGGTAGGCAGGGTACTCCAGGTCAAACTATCATCCTTCGCGTTCCCCGTGTTTGCGAGCCAGGATGAAGTCGCTGCGAGACGCTCTTGGAGAGGCCAACTATCGTCATCATCAAGGTTGTTTGTCTGCCCACGAGGCGGAGAACATTGCGACTGCGAGCCGAAGCCAGAAGTGTACTCAGTCTCTTGTGTCGATGGCATCCATGCTGGAGTCTCTTGGCTGTCAAAAATTGTCTCGGATTTGATACTCTCGAGCGTGGATTGCGCAGAAAGTGGTGCAGTTGTGAGAGCATGGGGTGATGGAAGTCGTGTCCCAAGGCCGACTGACACAGGCGCCGGGCGAGAAAACGGATTGGTTGCTGGTAGCTTGAAGGCAGAGGTAGTCGAAGGTTTTGGAGGGGTAAACACGGGTTTGTTGAACACCGGACCGGCTGGGATGCGATGGAACAAGGGTGGAGAGGGTACCGAGGGGAGAGGTTTGTTCTGTGTTCGACTCGTGTTCTCTGAAGAAGTAACAAGGTCTGACACGCTCAGTCTTGAATGAGATGCGACATTGGTCACTTCTTCTTGACTTGAAACATCTAATGTTGGCTCGGCTTCTGGGATGGGATCAACAACTGGTTCTCCCATTGCCACTGTGAGTTCCTCTTCTTCGCGATTGTTTCTCTCTGCGATTCGAGCCTCTGCAGCAGCGCGCGCTTCCGCCAAAGCATTGGCAGCCGTTCCCCCAAGAGATTTTCCCATGCTCTTCCCCAATCGAGCGCCTAAACCATCAACAGTTTTTTTGAGTTGGGTTAGTAGACCGTCGTCGTCGGCATCGGGCTCGGCTCTTAGATCATCTGATGCTTTTGGCTGAGTGGCGGCGACATCGTCTTGACTGACTTTTGCGGCCTTGATGGGTCTCTCGGCCTCCTCCTCCTCTCCCTCTTGGGTATCTGCGGCAGGAGCCAAACCAAGCATATCGCCACTCTTCCTCTTTTGGGCCGGTGGGATGATGGCAGGAGGGGGGGAGAGTCGGTCGCTTTATCGACATCTTCACTTCGCGCGCTTTCATTAACCATGAAGTTCGTTTCAAGCCAGCTCCTGGGGTGACAGCGGTGGTTTGAGCATTGGAGGACTCCGCGACTGGTGCTTTGAATGATTTCCGGAATGGCATGGGGGCAGGTAGGGCAGGTAAGGATGGTTTATGAACACTCGTAATACTTGAAGTGCTATCTGTTGAAGCTTGCGTTGAATGCACTGGTTCAGGCTCTGGTGACACTGGTCGCATTTCAGTGTCGACAACATCTTGGGATGTGATCGGAGTGGCTGGACGAATACTCGAGTCGGTTGGAGGTAGTGGTGTGGGATCGATAGTTGGTGTACATTCAGGCTCCGCTGGGATTGGCTGGTGCGTCTCGGCCACAACGGTCATGATGGTGTCCTGTTGAACACCGAGAGACACACGACTCCTCTCGTTCTCATCGTCTTCGGTGATGACAAATAATTCACTCTGAACTGGTGGTGGGGGTTCGGTGACTGGAACAGGCTCAGTATCAGCCAGACTGGTTGGTATAGTTTCGTTTTGTGCTTGGATGAGCTTCTGGTGGAATGCATTCACTGGCGTCACATTTTCTTTGGAAGGCGAGTCGTCCTATCCCATTATTAGTAGTGTTGAGGCAATGGTAAGGTCTCACCTCGAGGGAGTATGTGACCGTTGTCTTTAATGCGGAACTAGAAACCAGTTTCTTTGCAGATGCCTTGTTGCGACCGGGTGTTTTGACGAGCTCAATGAGCGGGCTTCAAAAGCGTGAGCAAGGGGGTTCGAGCATAATAGAGAAACGCACTCTCGCCGCGGTCCAGCTAAAATGTTGTCGAGGTAGTCGTCAAGAAAAAGCAGGCCGTGGTTTTGAACTTGGTCGTGAAAAAGCTGACGGCCAGGATCGTTGGCCATGGAAAAACGGGTGGCATTGCACCATTCGAGCACTCCGCCCCCGTCCATGTTGTTGAGGTTGGAGACGCGTTGATCCAAGTCACGAGACTTTGTCACGCGTTCGTGCCTTCATGATGACTTCATCCTCTACGCCAATGCCTCATGCAACCCCACCACGACGAACCACTTTCTGAGCAAAAGCTTCGCGAATTATACGATGCAGATGAAATAAATCGATTTCTCTCTTTCTTTTCGGCTGTGAGCTCCTTCCAAGTTCAAGTTCCAGCCGTTGATGCGATTGAAAGCATGTCTCTGAAGTTCAAGTGCAAGACCAAGAACCTTCGCCCACATATCAACGCCATTTAGACGAATCCTCGTGCATATCCAACATAATTGCAACAGTGAGCTTTTAAACCAAATCTTTGCCTTCCCATCTACATGGAGCAGCGCTATGTGATTCCGCGACTCCCGAGTACAAGCCCTACTCCACCTCTCTTTACATTTGGACGCCTACGACTTACCACTGAGAGACTATATCTGTCTTTCTCCGCCTATCAGCCCTTCTTTGCCTCATTGCTAGCACTCGCGCGGTGGGATAATCGACAAACGAGTGCTGTTTTTTGCACAGTCCGTTCTGATCATGACAACCTTGTTTCAGCATCATTTGACTAATTCGTAAGTAGATGTATTGGGCGCTTTGGTATCATAACCTACTGCTGCCGTCAATCATCTTGCGCATTCTCTGGTCCCTACTCCGCCGCAGACTGCTCTCTTACCCAACGCTCTCGGAGCTCAATGCTCACCACGAAGAGATCAAGCGGTCGAGTGAATTTGGTCGTGAATTTGCCGCAAGGTTTTCCGCGACATCGTCCTTTGGTGCCCGAGAAATATGGCGCTTGTTCAGAGTCTTCAACAAACCAAAAGCGAAAACAGCACATACTTCAATCGATGAGCCGCCTGCCACTGTCTTGGACTCTGAAAGTTTGGAGGAGACTGATCGGGAAAACGATATGAAGCAAGCGTGCCTGAAGACTATGGCAGACATTGCAGACCTTCACGAGAGAGTTAAAAAGTATGACTGATTAACACCTTTTCTTTCGTTTTTACTTAGTGGAAACTGCAGCATCTTCATTTGGCGTCAGCCGACGTCCTCCATGTTCTATGGCATTGTCTGTGTTTCGTTCCGCTCCGTCGCGTGTTTGACACTGTTATAGACCTTATTTGTGCTCTTCCTTCTAACGCTTCTCGTTCCTGCCGAATACCTGGCAAAATTACTCTATCTGGTCGGCGGTATTCTGTATTGGCACATAGTGCCAGTAATTGCGGCGCTACCATCCCAAGAACGATCCAAGTACAGTCATATTCCATGCGCGTTGTTTGAAACCCAATGTCACCAGATTGCCTCCACCATTCGCTGATGCCCCCACTGATGCGGACTATGCAATGGAGCTAATCTCTCGTCGCGTTGCTGCTGGTTTGGATGTCAGCCCCGGGCCTCCCGTTGACGATGCTGACAAAGCCCATTCCACTTCAAGTTCAGACGGTCGGCGCTCCGAGTCGGCACGCAACGTGAACTGGAAGAAATGGGCTGAGATTGCTGCTCAAGGCCGAAATTTAGTCAACGAAAGAAGGCGGGTCACCCATGCGCTGGTTGGTATTTGTCTATCCCGGCACTGAATTCATCTAACCTGGTTCCAGCCTTCACGTTCGTCAGCTGGAGCAGCTCCGACCCACAGTTCGTATTGCCGTAGAAGCTTGATGAGTGCTGAACCATCGATCGTAGCATTTCCTGCTCAACACACTTCGGCGCCTGGCTTGATAACCTTGACTGTTGACAGACTATATTTCACCTCACTCGTCTCATCAAATGCCGCATTAGAGATACCGTTAGTCAGCCTACGTGCCGTGAAGAAGAGGAGGAGACATGGTCTCTTTGATTCCCTTTCCCTCACCTGGGTAGATACTGTAGGGGTTACGCACGTTGAAGAGTTTATGTGGATGGGAGCTCGAGACGAACTGTTTGCCCGTCTTGTGGGCGGAGTTGAAGGCAAACGACTAATCACGGCCTGAAATACTAGTTGGCACATCTTGTACATAATAAGCTAGCTTCGTTCACTTCCTGCTTGCCTCCCTCTTCCATCTGCTTTTCTTCCTCCCTAATGTGCTTAATCCTTCTCTAATTCTCAACAAAGCTCGAAACAACAATAATCTGGACTCTTTGCCCACTGCGCTCACTTCCCACTAACGGCAGTCTGCATCATCATGTTTTTCTCTTCCGAGCTTTTAGCGAAGCGCGATAGTGGCTTTGGACTCCTCTGGTACACCGTCAAGCGTATAAATCGCGTCTCGTTGATATTCGTCAATTAGGTTGGCCGCGACGCTTGGGTCCAAGTCAACTTTCAAGAAGTTACCCAAACGCTCAGTGCTCTCTGCAGACATCTCCCAGTTATGCGACCTGATTGCTGACCCTGAAGAGCCGCTGGCATTGAGGTCTTTGCCTTTCAGTCCCCTCGCGCAACTGCTCAGTGATGTTATAGGCTCTCGAGCAATTTGATGATTGGTGTCGCTCGGTAAGATTACGATTTGACTCAATAATTTGCTGAAAATTTGCCTCCAAGGGTATATAAAGGTGCGCTGAACATATATGGGCCACTGTGATGTACTGAGCAAGCACAGTGAAGCAAGAGATTTTCTTCAGCGATGTGACGAGTTGTGTCGCCTCCCTCAAGAAAGTCGTGCAAGAGATGAAGACGGCCTCGGCACTGGATCTACAAATGGCTCAGCCCACTGCACGGTGTGTCTAACCGCTCCTCGCCTTTTTGTCTGTTTTGACTCCCAAGTAAAGATTGTCCGCCTTGAATTTACCCAAAGATTCCACTGCCGGCTTCCTGATAGACTTTGACGCGTTGGTCCTTGTGAGCATCGGTCCGCGACGCGCAAAAAAACCTGCTTACTGTGTTCAGGATTGGGACGAATTCCTGAATATCTCAGGTGTGTTACTTGATAATTGAGCGCGAAAAAGACAAGTCTTTTCTGCTCCAAGGCAAGAACGATGTGACTCTTCAAGAAGACGACGCCGAAGATGAATTTAATCCCAACACGAAGTCGAAGAAACAATCACGGAAAGCCAAGGCCTCCCAGCCTGTGGAAGAACATCGAGGGCTAGACTTACATACGCTACGGGAGGATCATGAACATCTTCTTTCCAACTCTTTCGAGCTTTCGTTCATCAGCAATGCAGGCAAGGACCCATCTTCATCACAAGCAGGCGGTGGCTTTGCCATGGACGACATGTTTCTTTCTGCATCAGACCAACTTGGCATTGGTGAGGGCTTAGGCGATGATTTGATGAAGGAGTTGGGTGAAGGGTGGGGCGCTTTTCCAGACCCCATTAAGTCAGTTTGAAGGTATCCTCGAGAACCATTTTGACGCCTGTCAAAGCGATCCGCCCTTCGATGGTCTCGCCAACCAGGACGGTTTTGGTGCCATGGATGTTGATATGAATCAAGCTTTAGATTTCGAGGCCGGAAACCAAATGAGAAGCGAATCGATGCCGGCTACTACCCCTCGCAAGAGAAAGGTAATCGTTGTTTCGCATCATCAGACAATCTTACTTCAGCTTTTCAGGCCATTAATGGTCCAGACAAAGGTAGAGCACACCTATATCACCCATTACCCTTGCCTAACAGCATTTTGAGAAAACATTCCTCCGTCCAGTCTGCGCAAGCAATTGTCCGCATTGAGTCCAGCAACGTCCTTCTCACGTTTATTCCTTTCGCAAGACGAAGCTCCTCTCTTCGATGTTACGAACCAACCAACGAATGCTACGAAACCTGTCGCCAAGAAGGCAAAAAGAACCCGATTGCTTCTCGATGCCCGAACGGAGCTCACAGATGAGGAATTGAAAGTAATTCCTCCGTCGCCATATGAGGGATGTTTTATTGACCAGTCGCAGACGGCACGTGCCGAATACCTCAAATCGCAAGCGATCTTGAGACGTGGAATTGAACAAAAGCGAGCAGAGAAAGATGGCGGTTTGTTGCTTGAGAAGCTGGTGTGGGGTGCTCCGCGCGGATGTAAGACAACAAATCATGGCGGGGAGTAGTGGGCTGAAGGTTTGATAGTACAAGCGGAAACCCTGGTCGAGTTTTGGCAAGAGAACTTCAAGGTTCAGGTCGAGGCAAGAACTGGCATAGTTTCCATCCACGAAGAGGGTGAATTTTGTTCACGACATCCCATGTTTCGTTTGACATTAGCGCAGAAGAGCCTCCTTCCAAACGTCGCAAGATCTGGGATGCTGTGGAAGTAGAACCTCCTCAGCCCAACCCTTTTGAAGAAAACCAAATGTTCGAAATGCAAGACGGGATTCCCAATATGGAAGGTAGGGCATACTGATCTTTGCTTGGTACGTGCTAACTTGTCGAAGACAATCTGTATGGGCAAGTGCGGGAACCGACTCCACAAAGACGTTCTTCAGAGGTATGATATAGATTGCTCCCGGACAAACACTCACCTGTGGCAAAGGAACCAGGTCAAGCCCGTCACAATTCCCGTCCAGCATCCGTGCTCGATGGCCGATTTGAGATTGAGCCACAAATTCCTGCTTCTGGGTCACAACGCAGCTCTCTTTTCCCGTGGGACAATGCAGGCGGTGTATCGTCCAGTGCAGGAGGAGGGCCAATGGCCAGTGATCAAATCAGCATTGATCGAGCAGACATCAAATTGAGAGGTGGCTCCTTCAGCCGTAGAGAGAGCTCGCTTGTACCAAGTCAAGCCGGGAGTGTCGATGGCATGCACATTTCGATCAAGGACTCTCATACGGTCGGAGAAGATTATGCTTTTGACGGTTTGTTCCATTCACTTGTGTCGCACATGCTAACAGCGAAAGTAGTAGACGCCCAGATGCAAGAAGAGGTCAATCAAGAGTCGCAACGCTCGGAGATGAACTTGATCACGCTTGAAAGAAACTCGTATAACTTCCTCGAGTACGATGGTTTCGTCTGAGCGCGGTAACCGCTATTGACGGCTCTCCAGATATGTGAAAATGCAGTTACAAGGACTTCCGAACTCAATGGCAGGGCTTAGCTTTGATACGGTGGTCCCAATGTCGACGAGCACTCGGCACGTTGCTGCAGCAGCCTTTTATCATTGTCTTGGTCTGACAGTTTTCCGGTATTGTTTTGTTGGCCGACGCTGACTGACCGCTTTCTAGTTCTTGCTACGAAGGATCTGCTGAAGGTAGAACAGGAGAAACCCTACTCGGCGTTGAGGCTCGCAGTGGTGACATAGTAGAAGTTGAGGAGAAGAAGTGCACGTGGCCGTGAAGTGCTTTTATTGTAACTTACGATTTCTGAAATGAAATCGGATACCTCTTGTTCTAAACCCCGACGCCAAACCTGTTACTCTCTTATTATACTCGGTTCTTGCGCTCGTCGCGCCACTTACCCCGCTCCTCCCGACTAGTATCAATGTCTTCACCTGCAGTGCTGGCCGCAAAGGCTGCTCTTGCGAGCATCGATCTCTCCGCTTATGACCCCGAGCAATCGAGACTCATGGATGAACGCTGCATTCTTGTAGACGAGCAGGACAACGCTATTGGCGCGATGGACAAGAAAACTTGTATGCTCTCTCCAATTTTTTCACTTCCATTTGAGCTCACAGAGTCAGGTCACCTCATGGAGAACATAAACAAAGGCCTGCTACATCGAGCATTCTCTGCCTTTGTCTTCCGTCCATCGGACGGGAAGCTGCTTCTCCAGCAAAGGGCCTCTGAAAAGATCACGTTTCCGGATATGTGGACCAACACCTGTTGCTCGCACCCCCTCGACGACTTTGAAGAAGAAAAAATCGAACAGGCACAGCTCGGCGTTCGCTCTGCTGCCTCCCGCAAATTGGAGCATGAACTGGGCATTCCTCGCAGCCAGACCCCCATAGACAACTTCCAATATCTTACTCGCATCCATTACCTCGCTCCGTCAAACGGAATGTGGGGAGAACACGAAGGCGAGTAACTCGATTGCGGCCGCTCGAGACAAGCCCTCAACAATCTTCTAGTCGACTATATTCTGTTCATCACGGCCGATGTTTCAGTGGCCCCCAACCTAAACGAAATTCGGGACTACAAGTATGTTGACAAAGCAGAACTCCAGGCCATGTTTGATAGCCCTGGTTCGTCGTGTCTTCTCATTTCCTTCCGTATTTCGACCTGTTTTAGAAAATTCATTTACACCGTGGTTCAAGCTCATTGCTCGTGACTTTCTGTTTGGCTGGTGGGACCTTCTGCTTGAGCGGAAAGATGCCAACGGTCTAGTTTCCGCAAAAAGTCTGGCAGGCGTCGCAGACGGGAGCAAGGTCATCAAGATGGTATGATTACAGCTTAGTAAGTACATAGATATCGATACACTATTAGCCCTTTTATTCCCCGCTACTGCCCTTGAAAACTAGAAGCTCTCGTCGAGACCCCATTCCTAATGGCCCTCCACGTGCCATCGGTACTGTCGCCTTCAGTTCATAGCCAAAGTCCATTATGATTTTCATGATTTTCATCAGGAAAAAGGATGGCTTCACTGAGATGGGACGATCGTAAGAAAGAGCCATCTGAGCAAAAAAATGCTGCTTACCGCCTGTACCCCCGATCTCCCGCTTAATCTCCGAGATAACGAGGTCGGAGTCGTAGCTGACATCGACATGGTCAACACACGCCTGCAGTTTCGCTCCAAATCCGGACATAATATGGGCTGGAGGATTGATCAATGTCCTGTGGAGAAATTTGAGCAGACGCGAGACGAGTCGAAACGCCCTACGCTCTCCTCCCGTTACGCGACATGTACGCCAGAAAAAAATGCGCTTTATAGTCTATAGTGGTTGCTTGGAATATTAGACGCGGTTGCTGAGATGGCTAGTTCAGACACGGTGTTGTGATTCAGGGGGAAGTCACACACTGTGGTCGTGGTTTTTGTAGACGCAACAAAAGAAAATCCCTAGCAAGAACATGAAAAAGACGTAGGAGAAAAGGATAGACTCACTCGTCGAGCAAACAAAGTAAACAGTGAGACTACTAATCCCCAGGCGCTAAAGCCGAGGTCATATGAATGATAGGGCATGGTTTGGCGCGTACTCAGCGACATCAGGACCCGCCATGTTCCAGGGTCCGTTTTTGAACCGAATGGTCCAGTCAGAGGCGCGATATTGCGACGATTCGAGACCGTGTTTCCAGAGTCTAAGGACTTCTTCGATGTCTTTCCGTGCATTGTCCAGCGTGTTTTCAAGCAGAAGCTCGCTGTCGCCTTTGAAAGTAACAAACATATGATCTAAACGTGACATTCAGTAAACTATTATAGACATGAGGAAGCACAAACACGACACTGCCGCATCGGATGGGTCGATGGTCGTAGTGGCCGCCGCTGGTGGCGGAGCTCGAGTGGTTGCCTTTTCTTGCCGATGTTTGGAGTGCTTTCTGGGCCTGTCTCCGGTGGATTCTGAGAGTGGAATCGGCGCTGATGGAGCTGGAGTTGCGCCAGGTGGTTTCTTCAGGGCAGATTTAAGAGGAAGTGGTGTTGTGGCAGCACGATGACTGTGTTTGGGCCGATTTTTCGACTCTGGTTTGACTGGTTTTTCGGGTATGGGCTCTACGAATGAACTTGGGGGGATGAATGGAGTGGGGGCTGGGTGGGGAGTCGAGCTGTAGGCGGTTGGTGGATATATTGGGGTAGCGTTTGGCGCATAAATGGGATGATAACTGCTTGGGTGGGATAATGGGCCAGGCCCATAGAGTTGTTGCTGAGGCGCATAGTTGTAGTATGGAGTATAGGCCATACTCGTCAAAGGCAGAAAAGAACAACCATGAGGCGCCGAGGATAGGAATATTTTCGGCCCGTTCAAAGTCGAGTCACGCTGTCACTCCACTTCTGTAATGGCATCCACCTTCTTCACTTGGCTGCGTTCTCCAGCTGCTCGTGAATACTTCTTCAGTGGGTCCTTCTTCTCGACGCCATAATATTTTCTAACTTGCACTAGGTACACATTTCTGGGGTCCTGTTGGTTCACTTTGTTCGCCCCCAATGGAACAGCCCTAACCCCAACTATCATCTCAGGTCGCAAACTGGGGTCTTCCGCTAGCTGCTCTCGCCGACTTACAAAAGGATGAGGAGTTCATCTCCGGCACAATGACCACAGCTCTGCTGAGCTATTCGTGAGTTGAACGCGTCGGCTTTGCACGCGACTCTCATCCCGTTTAGTTTGGTCTTCATGCGATTTGGTGTGTCAAATCTATAGGAAGCTTCGGTCTCAAACCAAGTTCATAGCATGGCGTGTCCAACCCCGAAATTATCTGCTCTTTGCTTGCCATTTCACGAATGCTGCCGCCCAATCGGTTCAAGACGCACGGTTTGTCAATTACTGGCACTATGGCGGCAGAGAAAAGAAACTCGGCGTCACCATTGGAGATGTCGCAGACAAAGCCACAGGCAAAGTCACTGAAGCGGTCAAGGCTGCCCAGGATCTAAAAAAATAGACTAACTTGCTCCTACTACTAATATATGTATCACCTAAATGCTCACCAAAAGTCCCCGTCGTCGCCCCCCTTCTTTTTCCCTTTACTCTGCGCCAATGCCTGACTTTGATACATCTCTGCCACCTGTTCTGGTCCAGTGGCATCCTCGGCTGATTTATCATCTCGTATACGAACAAACCGAGGGAAACGCAACGAGATTCCCCGTTCTTCGACCTGACAAAGGTTACGGCGCAATGAAGCGAAAACTCTGGATCAGCTTACCACTCCCTGGGCCGCAGTGTAGACGGGGCTGAGACTCAGGTCCGCTGTCAATACTTCCCAAACAATCTGTGGCTCAAACCACACGTCGGGTTTGGCTCCGCCAGCTTTGATATCTCCTCGAACTTTGGTCAATTCGAGCGGCTTCAAAGTCTCGTAATGAGACTGTAAAGCCTCTTCGCTGAATCCAGTTCCAATCTTGCAAATGGTTTGATAGACTTCGTCGTCGCTGTCGTAGCAGGCAAGCAAGAAGGCACCATAAACATTAGTCCGCTTGCCCTTGCCATAGTATCCTCCGACAACGACAAGGTCGAGCGAGTCGCCAACACCGGCTAAATAGTCCTTTTTGAGCTAGAGAAAATGATTTCAATTTATTCTTGCGACAATTCACGACCATATCAAAAACGAACCTTGAGCCAATTCACGCTCCGTCGACTGGGCTCGTAGAAGCTCGCATCGCTCTCCATCATTTTGACCATCAAACCCTCACAACCGTCTTTGACGCTTTGCTCCAGGAACGTTTGGATGTCTTCTGTGCTTTCGCTGTCGGAAGATTTCGCAAAGTCAAATTCTCCAGGCACAGCTTGGAAATGTTCGCGCAGTAACTTGCGCCGTTCGGTCAGCGGAAGCTTCAAAAGTGGCTACAGGGGGCGATGTTCAACCATGATTACCACTGAAGATGCTAGGCATACCTCGCCGTTAAGATATAGGAGATCGAAGGCAAACAAACAAACGCGAACTTGAATGTCTTCGACTTTGACGTCCTTGCGTTTCCGGCGGCTTAATTCCTGGAAGGGCATGAGCTTGCCCGTTGTTCGGTCGATCGCAACAGCTTCAGCATCCAACACAAAGGACTTGGTGCTGTCCTTGATACACTGCGAAGGCTTCAGTCGTGCCAACAAGAAAAACATTGTTTCTTACGTTGGGGAGCTGTTCTACCAAGTCTGGATACTTCTTGCTCATATCTTCGGAGTTTCTACTGAAGACGCCAACAGTCCCGTCTTCCAGTTGATGAACCTGTGCACGTTCTCCGTCGTACTTGTACTCGCAAGTGAATCTCTTGTTTTCGAACCTATCCAGAACCTCGCCAATAGCTTTGGTTGGTTTGGCTAGCATGGGCTTCAGCGGGACCCCAGGGGTCAGCTTGCAATGGTCATGCAAATTCTCGATCCCATGCTCCAGGAGAGCGGGAATGACTTCGTCGTAAGAGGGAAGTTCGCTGGTATCCTTCAATGCACCAGTCGAACACGAAAACGCTTTGCCCACCTATACACTGACTTGATGATGTTTGCCCCCTCTTCAAGTTTGGTTTCCAGCTTCTCCTTAGTCCATTTCTTGCCCGCTGCGATGTTATGAGAACGGTGTGACCTGTGAACAGAGGGAAATTAAGCGTACCTTTGTCTTTCTCGACAAGGACAGCTGCATGTGCCAGCGCAACGACGACCGAACGCTCTGCGTTGCCTATCCGCAGTTTGCCTTCCAGACTCCGCACGATATACTTGGCCTCCGAATCTTGACAGGCGGCAAGTAGTTTCGTGATAATGGACACTTTCTTGTTTTGCGACTACAACGGGCATAAGCAAGAACAGGGTACGAATGAGTAGACGACACACTGAATGACCACTTGTGAGTGCAATTTCGCGGAGATTCGAGAAAACCACCGGCAGAGTTAATGGCTTCGGTTTGAATAGAGTCCTCTGACTGTTTTTCGAATTCTGATTGTGAGAAGTGAGAGCGGGTAGGAGAGCAGTGGCCTTAAACTAACCTTTGCAACGAGTCCAAGATCCCCGACTTCTTTAAGGTCGCTTTTGATCACAGCGATACTCCTCCCTGTTGATTCACCTATAGCTTTTATGAGCAGGCTCTCCCCTATCCCCAGCTCAACCCCGACATAATCTGGACTAAGCTATAACGCAGCGCATGAGAATTAGATGACCAGTAGAATTTGCGCCCTCACTCGATTTATGCACAGATAAACAGCTTGCAATAAGGACTTATGGTCGTTTTTGGCACTTCGTTGGATGACCAGATATAAGAAGGATGTTAAGAGCGCATTCTTCTCCAGACGCTTGGTGGTGCTCTCAATAAGGGAAAACGTTTTAGCAAGAGCGGCATATGGGACTCTGAAATATGCGTCGAAGATGAGTGGCAATACCAATGCAAACGTACGGGTCTCCAGCCTTCCAACCGCCCTTGATATCAACTTCCTCTATTCGTGAGAGCGCCGCTTCTGCACTAAGGGAAGGGAGTCAAGAAGTTCACTTGTCTGATGTTGGACGCACATCTTGGAAGCCCCGCCCCTGCCATCCATAATCTCGTTCTCTTCATCCGAGTCCATCTCATCCATGTCAGCTTCATCTTCCCCTTCATCTGCACTAGGAATTCCAGCCTCATTATCGTTGTCTTGACTTGGTTTACGGTTGATTAGTTTAGTCTTCTGTTTGCCCTGGGCTGCAGAAACCGACTGAGATGAGGATGGTAGAGCTGGGAGCTGGCTCAAAGGAGGTCACAAGCGAAGAGTAGACTCACCCGACGGAGACTCGTCATCCTCAGCATCCGAGTCAACGATTCTCCTCCGCTTGACACGGGGTCCACTGTCTTCCTCTACAAAACTAGTTAGCCCGTAACAGGGATAATATGTCTAGCTTCACTGGAGGTCGCGTCTTTGCGTTTGGAGGATTCGGCTGCTGAACGTCAGACATCTAAAGTCGTTCAGACTGCGGGATACATGCGTTGGTCAACCACCATTTGTGTCTCTTCCACTGAGTCTTTAAAGGACTTTGTTGACGCGATTAGAGGCGGGGGCGAAGAAATTGGTGGGCTAGGTTTGGTTTCCGGGGGCTTCGACGCGTCTTTTGTCGCGTCTTTTGTCTTCTTGGGTCCCCACATTTCTGCGAGGCTGGTTTGTTGTGGTGGGGCGGCTTTAGAGGACTTGGGCATTTCAAAGAATTTTCCTGTATATCCGTTAGAGAATTATCTGGAAGACGCGAGGACCTTACAAACCTAAAGTTTGCTGACGACCCATAAACAGACGAAGGGAGGGTGCGACAACGCGTAGCATACGGTCACGCTGATGCGCTGTCACGCGGCGATGACGGTTGAAGATTGACTCAATTTACTGTAAACGACTCGAGAGCTCCAAACTTCAGATATGTGTAGAGTCCATACCTCACAGCTCGCATGCATTGTATCTTTTGTACATTGTCCGATTAGTAATTGAGCCGCCCAAGAGCATCGTCTATGGAACAAGCCTCTGATTCAGATGATGCCTTTGGTTCCTAGCGAATAGCTGGATATTTATTAGTTTCCACCACCTTGCGAGCTACATCCGGCCTCGTAGACCCTTGTTCGGATTGTAATTGAATGGTACTGCGAATTTGTTTGTCCTCTGACTATTCTCTCCTGGTACTGCACAGCAGGTCACGCCATCACCCATCAATTCACCCTCAAGACCCCGACACCCACCATGGCTGAGCAGGCGAGTTTCCCTGCACCCAGTATGCACCAGTCTCATCGTCTTTCAGATCGAAAAAGCTTTCCAAAAACAGCCCATCTTTCACAACGCCAAAGCGCGCGGTTGGTCTGCTGTTTGTTTGGAGGCTCAAGTTTTTTACATGCGATAGGCGGAAAGAAGATCTCCACTAAGGAGAAGAGGTGGTACAAGGAGGTTGGGCTTGGTTTCAAGACGCCTTCAGAGGCCATTAATGGCACATACATTGGTGCGTAATGTCAGCCTTACAGCTCTCACTTGGCTGATTTGACATAGACAAAAAATGCCCCTTCACTGGCGACATTTCCATTCGTGGTCGCATCCTCACCGGAAAGGTCGTCTCGACAAAGATGACCCGCACGATTATCATCCGTCGGGACTACCTCCACTATATTCCGAAATATAGTACGTGGCTTCCATATTTATTTGGGCGTGCCTCATGCAGGCTATAGACCGTTACGAAAAGAGACACAAGAATCTTGCTGCCCATGTCTCTCCTGCTTTCCGTGTGGAGCTTGGCGACACTGTCACCGTCGGTTCGTTATGTTGAATTGGTTTTGCGGTTTCAGTTGTTTATAATCATGCTTAGGGCAATGCCGGCCACTGTCAAAGACGGTGCGGTTCAACGTTCTGCGTGTGTCGAAAAACAAGGCTGCAGCCAAGTCGTTTGGGAAGTTTTGAGGTGTAGCATGAGTAGTTTATGCCTCTGTATGCCGCGATAAATTCTACAAAATCCACCTATGGTCATGCCATCATCATTTTTGTGACGTTCGTCTCACCAACTTCATCGACACTGGCGCCAACGCTCCTCTCTGTATTCACATCGCGCCTGAAAGGACGGCCCTCGTCGCCTCAACCCATGGGCCAACAGCCCTCCAAGAAGGCGAAGAAAGGCGGCAAGGATTCTGTTGTTTCACCTGATGAACAACCAAACTTGGAAGAAGCAGACAGCTCCAGTTTGTCGCGAGCAACTGGCCAGTCTTTACAAGACAATGCACCAGCTATAAGTGTGTCTGACCCAGACGGAACACCAGTTGCTAGCTCCTCCCAACCTCCCGTTTCCACAACTCCCGATGCCTCACCAAAGCCAACTCCAACCCCCCTCGATATCCCAACCACACAAACAATCCTCTCCAACTCCGCAGTCAGCCCTGCCTCCGTTCAGCCCGGCTCTCCGCAGCCTGATACCACCAATGGTATAGTGAAGGACAAGCCAAAGCCTTTCGATGTTGACGACATGATTTCACGGCTTTTGGAGGTTGGATATACGGGCAAAGTCAGCAAGTCTCTGTGTTTGAAAAACAATGAGATAACTGCAATATGTCTTGCTGCGCGGGAAATCTTCCTCAACCAACCAACCCTCGTCGAACTGTCACCACCCGTCAAAATTGTTGGCGACGTACATGGGCAGTACTCGGACCTTATTCGACTCTTCGAAATGTGTGGCTTCCCTCCTGCCGCCAACTATCTATTCCTCGGTGACTACGTAGACCGAGGGAAGCAGAGTCTGGAGACCATCCTCTTATTGCTTTGCTTCAAGATTAAGTACCCCGAGAATTTTTTCTTGCTTCGAGGGAACCATGAATGTGCCAATGTTACGAGAGGTGCGTGCTCGGTATGTCTTGAGAGCAAGTTGTTGACTCTGAGTAGTATATGGATTCTATGACGAATGCAAACGACGGTGTAATCTGAAGACCTGGAAAACATTCATTGACGTTTTCAACTGCCTTCCTATCGCCGCCATCGTCGCGTCGAAAATATTCTGCGTTCACGGCGGACTGTCGCCGTCGCTTCACTCGATGGACGATATCAAGCGAATACAGCGACCGACAGACGTTCCAGATTATGGCCTGTTGAACGATCTATTGTGGTCTGATCCGTCTGACACAGCGTTGGACTGGGAAGACAACGAGAGGGGGGTCAGTTATTGCTTTGGCAAAGGCATTATAAACGACTTTTTGGTGCGATACGACATTGACCTCATATGTCGGGCCCATATGGTGGTGGAAGACGGATACGAATTTTGGAATGACCGAACACTAGTCACCGTATTCAGTGCTCCAAACTACTGTGGTGGTGAGTCCAGTTGCTCAACAGGGACCTGAGCTATCTCAACATACTCCCCCAGAATTTGACAACTACGGAGCTTGCATGAGGTTTGTGTACAACTTTCCCCCCTTTTTTCTAGATTGTTGAGATAATTTCCAGCGTTTCGGATGACCTCCTCTGCGCGTTTGAACTGCTGAAACCCTTGGATGGAGCCGCTTTGCGCAAGGAGATGTCTAAAGTCAAGCGAAAGAGGTGAATATCTTTCTTCTGGTGTCTCCATACGCTCACGTGTGCAATAGTCTCATGCCGCCTACTACTGCCTGATCAACGCACCCGCCGCCGCCGATTAGCTACCATATACGAGTATAATGCCGCGATTGCTCCCTTGTCTGACCTCGACGTTGAGAAGGCGGCAGTATGCCAGGTCCTCCTCGATTTTTCTCTTTAGTATTTGTCCGGGCTTGAGCCACAGACTGTAAATTACCCTCTTTCTCGTGTTGGGATCTTCGTTTGCATTATACGTCTTGCTATCAGAATGGAAATGGGATCGGTTCATCTAATGGGACGAGTCTTGTCTAGCATGTCAAAAACGAGTACCCCAAATGCCACTACGATCAACGCGCACCCACCAACTCCGCCAAAAGTAACTGCCTCTACGCCAGCTCCGAATAAGATATCAGAGACGAACACAAGCACGATGGTCAAGAGATTCCCGACCTAGATGAGTTTCCGTGAACAAGGTGACAGAGCGAGTACTGAATTTAGCTACCGAAGTGATAATCGGTCCCCAAACGCCGAGTAATACCTGGATCTGTGGTCAGCTAGCAGTATTCAATGCTTGAAAGAAGTCTAAGTAACCATGAACCCAGCATTGAAAATCACGCCGCTGAGGGAGATACCAAAAATAGTGAAAATGATAGGAAAGGTGTTCGGTAAGACAAATCGCTCGATGTCCAAGTAATGGAGAATCGGAATAAAGATCCAGAACACCGAGAATGTGCACACCCCAATAGCGGAGGTCAGCAGATTGGGATGTAGGCCAAACGGAGGAGGGTAGATGGCTTCGGCAGGATCGAGATTGACCGGGACTGGAACATCCTCGCTGGTGGGGAGATGCTCATAGGCCCTATCAGCCATAACTTCGGGGTCACTTGATAGTGCTGCGTACTTCTTGTAGAGAACCTGGTAGAGAGCATAGCCGACTGAGGCGACTAATGTCAGCAGATCTCCGACAAGTGGGGCTGAAGGTTTGGAAGAACGCTTCTCGGTCACGTCGACAGTGGATGTGCTGCCACCATAAACGACAACCAATACGCCAATGGTCGCAATTGAAACTGCAAAAAGTCTCCGAGGCTCCCATCGGCCCTTGAACGTCATCAGATAGGCAAAAAAGGCATTTGCATTCCATATCGCTGGGGTTAATTGAATATCTGGAGCGTAAACGAGGGAGAGGAATGTACCTGTGACATCGCTAACGCTTGCTAAGGAGATGGCCGCGAACCACAGCAAGCCTGGAAAACTTATGCCGCAAGTCAACAGTCCAATCATCAAGAGGAACCGCGATCTAGGAAAGCCGTGTGCTGTTCCAGGCGTAATATGATTCTTAAGTGCAAGAATTAGACCGTTCCATAACGCGTTAATAGTGTATTTCGTAGTCGCTTGCAGATAGAGTAGGTGTAGTGGGAAGATGATAGCGAATGCAGAGTGAACAAGGTAACTGCCAGAAATTGAGAATCGTAGTGAAGGCGCAATGTTTCGCTTCTCACAAAGTGAAGAAGGGTTGTCTATACTCTAGCGTTGTTTGAAGATGCTGGCAAGACATGTTCAGATGAAGGAGGGCGGTCTTGGAGGGAAAAAATTGAACGAACTTGAGTCAGCTCGCTTTCGACAACGAAAGCCAGGAGAGTGAAACCAAAGATAAGAAATGACCACCGAGAAGATACGCTCATCTCATGTAGTGGTGGTAAGAGTTAGAGGCGTACCACGTGCGTTCCATTGGCTTGTTATGTTACTCCGCGCACTAATAGCGTCAAGCAGACCCTTGCTATCTCGGTCGCGACTATTTCCTCAGACTTCGCGTCTAATACCGACCCCAACCCATGTCGCTCCGGATTTGGCCCGCGGGATGAAGGTTCGCGCGTCAATTAAAACTATGTGCGACGGGTGTAGCATCGTTCGGAGGAAGGGCAGACTCTATGTAATCTGCGGTAAAAACCCCAAACACAAGCAGGTGCGTCTACAGTCTTCTTTTTATCCATTTCACTAAAGGTTTCGTAGCGACAGGGTTAACCACTGCGGACCCACATCTGGTACTCATATTGGACGCCATTTTCCTCCTGAACACCCTCTGGCACTCCGAATCCAACCCATTCTTGTAGAGAATCATGTGCTGCCTTTGTCCAGCTCCCTTTATCGTCCTCTAGAAAGTCGGGCATGAATACATCACATTCAGCGAAAGAAGGCGACAGAATTCGTGTGAGCAGGATGCGGTTGACCAGCCGAAGAGAGAGACACTCTGAGTATAAAGAGACCCCGCCAATTATGAATACTCGATGGATTTCAGAGCTTTCGACTCTTCGAATGGCCGACTGCAAGCTGGACTCAATTGGTGTGGACTCTGAGTTGCTGCCAACTATTAAGCGGCTCCTGCATCGTGGACTAGAACATACGTGTTAAAGCTAGCATTGCGAGATATGACAACGTTGAGTCGATTTTTGAGTGGACGGAACCTAGTTGGAATGCTCTCCCAAGTGTTTCTCCCCATCACCACCGCATTCGATGTTCCGACTGGGGCGTTCGAAGTGACGCGCGCAAAATATGCCATTTCCTGTTGAAGGCGCCATGGAAGCTGGCCATTCTGGCCGATTCCATTGGTTTTGGTCGCAGCGACGATGAGGGTCAGACGAGACATTGCATTTGATAACAGGTACATCCAAGAAAAAACAATAGCAGCGATTCGATTTCAGTTCAGTTCAGTTCCACTTCTTCCACTCCGATCCTTGTGGCGGCTTGACCTCCACAGGCGCTCGTTTCACCTCGTCCCAGTTGGTGCTTAGAGTTGTCCCACCACTTTCCTGATAACTCTTCATCATAGCTCGCTTTGTGTCTTCATCCGCATCGCCATAGATCTTTTGGAAGAACGAGTTCAGTGTGCTGTCCCCACCAACATTTGGGTCCTCTTCGGTCGTCTTTTCTTTGTCAGAAGACAGGATGTTGGTAGTTATCCCATCCCAGTTTTTGCGAGGTTTCACAGAAGTAGTTGTGATGGACGGCGCAGCAGAGTTTGCAAGTGCTGGACCTATTAGACATGGCGTTCAGACAAAAAAGAGTGAAATACTTACGATCAGGACTGTCGCCGATTAAACCACCCCATCGGCCACCAGCAGCCTTTGTCAGGCGTACTTCAACCTTGACCTTGCCGACTGTGAAGTCGCATTGATCAGGGACAATCTGCCCCTTGAGTGGCTCCAATACAAGGGACTTGTCGCCATGGGTGTAGACCAACTGGAGAAGCGTTTGTTATTGAGTAGTTTAGTGTTGACCCAAGTTCCGACCTTTCTGGGACCGAATTCAAGAGAGACTTGGGCAGGGTCGGCTCCACGGTCGAAGATACTCAGAGTGAGACGCTCATCGGTCTCGTAAAATTCGTGTCGGATTGTTGCAGTAGCCATAGAAGGAGCGAGATATTGTAGGTGGACCTCGATGGTGGTGGCTGTTAAGTTGACTCGCAAAAGGTTCTACAACTTTCTATGTGGGCGGCGATCAGTTCTCGATCACTGCTGCTGTCAAACGCGACCCTCTGATCAATGACCTCAGCTAGTCTGACGTACTCTAGGTTGCCTCCACAGTACTCTCTCAACACCATGACCTCGCTACCCAAAGCCGTCCTGTACTATTCTGAGTCCAACTGCTGGTCCGATGCCACGATGATCGCGTTGGCAGAGAAAGGTTACACGTCAGACGAGTTAGACAAAAAGATCGTCGACATCTGTTTGTTGTTCATCCACTGAGCCTCGCACTCACAAACCAGTATCCCTAGCCAAAGGAGAAAACCTGATTCTACCTTACCTCCGAATCAACATCAAGGGCACCGTCCCTACCCTCGTTGTGCCATTTCAAGACTCTCTTTCTGGTGACGTTGAAAGCAGATACAAAGCTCTGTCCGATCCCAAAGTACATTTCCCCAAAATTCTTTCTTTTGAAGCCAAGTATACCTCTCATAGGCAATAATCGATTTTCTCGACGAAGCGCGTGGATCTGTTTCGCGGACCAGAACGACATCAACTGCTCCAGCGCCAGCTCTCCGGCCTGCGACAGGTACTCGTCTCTTCGAGCCTTCTGACAGATGACAAACGAGACCAGTTGCTTATTCCGCTGTAACAACCGCTCTCCGTGAGATCCTTCACTCTGAAGAAGTTTCGCCAGATAGGCTGGCTCTGCTCAATGCACGTGACGAAGAGTCCTTGAAGACCCTGGCAATAACCAAGGAGCCGATTCTTAAGGGGATACAACAGACCCTCGTACAATGCCTTGCGGATGCGGATGCGGGCACAATTCAGGCATCTGAAAAGGTGAAGTCATTCTGGCGGCAAAAACTTAGCGATACCGAAGAATTGCTTCAAGTGTTGCAAGCCGCCGATAAGGAAACAGAAAGCCTGAACGAAACCGCCCGGAAAGAAAGGGAAGAGTTCCTGCAAAAAGCGAAGACAATTTGGCAGGTGACGGTCAAGGAAACTTGTGTAAAGGTGAACCAAGATATCATTGGACCGTATGTGTTGGGTGAGTGGCGTATTCGTCGAATCGCTTTGGCGGGAGTTTGAGCATGCCGTTCAGGTGACCAATTCTCCGTTGCCGATATCTCGTTGGGTTCTTGGCTGCGGATGATGGTGCAACTCGCCGGTGCGACAGCCACTGACGACGATGGAGTCCAGAAATTGGAGGCCTACATTGGCGGTGGACTTAGTCTTGACAAGCTCACGGTGTTCTGGGCTCAAGTAAAGGAAAGGGCAAGCTGGAAGACGTTGTAAGAAAAATAAATAATATCTGTGTCACACGTGACATCGCGTTAAAGTGGTCTGGAGGCTGCGTCTACATCGTTTGGCCATCTTCCATGGCTGCCCACATTGAAGAGTACGACAGTTCGGATTCAACCGACACTGTCCGTACCTTCAAACCCTCCCGTTCCCCTCGAAATAACTTTTTGACGACCTCCTCTGGGCGGTCTTCGGCCAATGCAACCCCCCATCCTTCACGACCAACATCTCCAATGCCCCAGTTTCGCACATCTGCTACTTCCTCTTCTACTTCAGACACAGATAGTGAGACACCCTCTTCACCACTACTTCGACCAACTCGACGTTCTTCTTCGTCATCTTCTTGGTGGGGTGATGACCGACGGCAGTGGTGGAATATCTCTCGCAGAAGAAGGAAACGCCATGGAAAGTTTGTAACGTCGTTGAAAAAGTGGTCGAGGTGGCTTGTCCGACATCCTTTCTTTCCCCGCCAGCCCATCACCATTGTAAGCGTTGTCAACGTCTCACCGCAACAACTAACCTCCAAGTTAGATTCTGACGCTCATTCTGCTCTCTGCATTCACTATATTCGTTACCCTTCTACTAATGTACATCCTCAATCCGGACAAAGACCCGCTTCCCTGGCGTGCATATTGCTCCAAAACCGCTCCCTTCCCTCCCTCCCACCTGGATTCGCTTCCTCCTGCAGGCGTCTTTGTTGGTGTATTTTCTATCGACTCTGCATTCGAGCGCAGGTCGTTAGTCCGCACAACTTGGGCAAATCATGCACATAGCCGGAATGGCGCGGGTGCTGGGGATGGAGGGCATGGAACGTCAAGAACGGTGGTCCGCTTTGTCATGGGCGAGCCAAAGAAGGACTGGGAACGCCGTATTCGTCTGGAAATGGAAAGTAAGCCAAGTGAATTCTCCAACTTTGGACCCCTTGAGCTGATTGTCTTCTTCTAGCGTATAATGATATTATCATCCTTCCCATCGCAGAAAACATGAACAGCGGTAAAACTCATACCTTCTACTCATGGGCTGCTCTCAATGCATGGGTACCACCCGTTTATCCTGAAACTGGCACAAAACCACATATGTTTTCCTACTCAGCGCGAACACTCCCTCCTCCCGCATTAGCGCCTCACGACCCTCTTCTCGCCTGGAAAGACAAATCGACATCGGGAACGCCGATGCCTTGGGTCCGGCCTGATTTTGTGGTCAAGATGGATGACGACTCATTCGTTATGCTTGCGGAACTTGAAGCCCGTCTTCGAGTTGAGCTTCACTCTCAGACTAGCAAGTCCGGAGCAGCAGCACCGCACTCTTCAACTCATTTCTCGGATGCAACTTCCCGCGAGGAGCCAACCGCGTCAGTTGTTAACCCGCTTTCTGTGGAACGAGATGCGCGTTTGGCCGATCCATTGATCTACTGGGGTTATCTAGTAACGAACAGGTTGCATCGCTTCATGGCGGGTGAGCTGTATGCGCTGAGTTGGAGTCTTGTGGACTGGGTGTCGAAGGATCCGACCGTCAAGCTTCATATCAAGGGCAAAGAAGACAAACAGACGGCCAAATGGATGACATTACATCCCCGTGCTCCTCAAGTGCGATGGGTCAGCGAGCGCTGTTGGATCTATAACCATCCAAAGTCTGGCACCGTGTAAATATTTTCTCGTTTGTTTCCTCTTTTTATTCTGACATAAGCATCGCAGTTACACCCATGGATTCCTCTTCCCGTCAGAAGTGACGCGTGTGAAGAGTAATCTGGTACCCTTCCCCGACAAGGCCTTGCAGGATGCGCTCAACAGCAGTTTGACTGTTGCTGGGGCACCAACACCGTCTGACTGGGCGTTTTCCACTGTCTCGACATTCGGGGTCCGATACGTACTTCCAGTGCCAGACCTGACGATCCCGCAAAGCATTGAAGCTCTAGTTGAAGGGAGCGAAATGTCAACATTGCGCGAAGGCATGTTTCGTAATTAGTGCAGCACATTTCGGCTAATTTTGAAGCACAGGAAGTCCCAAGACTCCTGACTACGCGTGGAACAGACGCGAAGGACGTCGAACTCGATATCAAGGACAACGCGTGGGGGGCACAGTTGTCGTTCACTTCATCAAGAAGAACATGTGGTTTTTGGAGACGGCCTTGGCATTGTTGGAGGGCGATGAACTCAGTGGAAACGAAGATCTACCCCAGCAAAGCCTCCAACGAACCAATTTGGAGCCCTCAGCCAACATCTCCCCAAATCTCAATCTCATAGAAGCAACGGCTAGTGCATAGCGCGTCAAGTTGGATCATATATACCTGGTGTGAGTAGTTTAACAAGTAGTGTACTTTATTCAACTCGCATTATTTCTTTCCGTATCCTCCAAACTGAAAACTCGGGGCTGACGCTAATAGCCATCCAAAAGGCGTGCTTGAAGCGACGAGCCATCCTCCATTGTCGAATAAAGTGGTTGGGATGACTGGAAACGATTGACCACTGCCCTGGCTATAGTCCCTTGCCAGCGCCTGAACCACTCTGCGCTCACAAGTCAGTTTTGTCGCTCTTAGGCGTGAAAATACACACCTCCTTCCTTGGTTCCAACCAAGCGACTAGAAGTAGGCGTTAGACCTTGGTCATCAGCACTGGCAGATGAACGCCCGCTCTTAGAAATCGAAATATCTTGGGGTTCCTGCTCCGTCACCCAGGTCTTGAGAGCATATGCACCTCCACAGACAGCCCAAGTACCCCCACCGCGCGTATGGAATCTCTTGAAGAGCCAGATAACCAAAAAAGGCAAGATTAGGATGATGGTTAGGAATTTGAACCACTTGTTGGACAGGAGGCGGCTCAGTCGATTATCACTGAAATTCCATCAAGAAAGCAAACAGTTGTTGAGACGAAACGTACGGCCGAATATATATTTTGTTGGAGGTGGTGGTAAACTCAACCGTGACATTGCCGCTGTAAGGAGAGGCGACAATCATAGCGTGGATTGCATGCTCTAGTTGTCGGATATTCCAGCCATAGACCACTACCCTCACCAAGTTAGAATGAGGGGGGAGCACAATAAGCGAAATGACCTTTTTCATAAGTAAATTCTTTCAAATACTTGGGGCTGGCACAGTAAATGTCTGCCCACTGACGCAATGTCTTGGAAGACTTGAGAACAGGTGCGTTTGGTGCCATGCCCTGAGCATAAGCAGCACCGCTTGAAACCCATGGGGGTAGTCCACGAGCGGTGCGGTCTTCCACCCATGCTTTGAATTGCTTGTTTTCGGATCGTTTGGCCTTCCGCTTGCCTTCTGGGGAGTCAATTTCACGAACCATGGCCCCACGATATGTGGGGTCGGCATCGTCGACAGACCAATGAATTGGTCCGACCAGCTGGCTAGCGTCAATGGTGAAGTCAAAGTCCAGTACAGTTTCCGTGTAGCTCTCCGATCTAGTGTGTACTCGACCATCAGAGTGGCGATAGTTCACTTGACGGTAGCTCGTTTCGGTGTGGTCGCCTTTGCAGTGCAACTGGAAGACAGGCGGTGTCATAGATTGTGATAACAAGAATCGGCTGCATGTTGAGTTAATGCAAGCGAGGGAAGAAAGAAAGCGCTTACTACAGTGCTTCACCATCCGAGTTGAGATGGGCGTCATGCGAGATTGTGTTGCCTCCGCTTTGAAAACATTCTGCTTCGTATGGGGTAAAATCCGGTGGAGGTTCCTCTCCGCCTGTGAATATATCAGAAGGAACACGGAATCGGGGAGGATTGGCCGCACCTGGGATGCTGATAGTTTCTGAGTCGGTTAAGTCAACGAGAGTTCCAGTTGGAGTGTCTTGGAAAGGTGGTATTGAAGAGGGTCCGGCCTCAGCTTCGTCGGGAGTTGGTTTGTAGGGCGGTGGTTGATTCACAATCATCGTGGTCGCAGTCAGGTTCAAGCCTTGAACCGTGTGACGGTGACGTCTCGGCTCCTTCACAAACGACCGCCATGTATCTATGATTCCATGTTCACTGCATGGCTTCCAACTTCTCCTCGTTGTCCTCTGCTGTCTCGTGAGTTTTACTGCTCATCCGAAATGTTGTCTTATGAAGATCGGTAAAGCTCCCAATCAATAGCCTTCAGTAGCAGCCTCTCTTTTGCATCATCCATGGCCACTTCGCAAATTCAGAGCTCTTCATCTATTCAGAACTCAGCTTCCTCCCTGCCCCAATCCTCGTCTGCTAGTGGTGTCTCGTCCTCGGTTTCCATAAGCTCTTCCGTTCCACCGTCAAGCTCCAACCCTCCTCCACCGCCGTCTTCAAGTTCTGTCAGCGATTTTTCTCAGTCAGCTCAGTCTATCTCGAGCTCAATGCAAGTCACTTCTATTCTCTCTCTCTTCCCTACTGACCAGACTCCAGCCAATTTGATCCCAGCACCGTTTTTGTCACAACAACAGATAGCCAAGGACATACGACAGTCAGCGCGACGTCTACAATTGTCCTAACCAGCAATGCGGCAGCGATCACCATGACAGAAGTGAAAACTAATCCGACTTTGGGGACTGATGGACACCGTTCTTCCACCTCGTCGTAAGCCTTGCACGCTGTTTCATGAAGCCTGCTCAAACAACTCAGATTTTTCCACAACACTGGGGCTGTGGCTGGCGTTTTTGTTCTTGTTGGTGTGGCTCTCGCTGCCATTGTACTTTTCACCATATTTGGTCTCCGTCGCCGTCACCGAACCCGACAAATTGAGCACGAGACTGCTGTCTCTGCCACACTGGCTGCTGCTGGTTTCCGTCGCACACCTTTCGATGATGATGATGACCGAGGCAGGCCCCAGCAAATGAGAGTCCGTACAGGATCTGCTCTCGCCACAAGTTCACTCCCTAGCGCTGGCAGAGTGTCAGGCTATCTTGACTCTCCAGGCCTAGACGACACATTCAATCCATATAACGAATATGGTGCTCCTCCTGCGCCAAGTCACGGGTACATGCCTGCCAGAACGAACAGCCCCCCACCGCCTATAGAACGGGAGCCAAGTGGACCCGAGCACAATGTTTCACATTCAGCCTCACAAAGTGTCGGCAGTACAGAGCCTTTATTGGCTGCATTCAATCGAGCGTCCTCAGCCCCTCCCACTCCCCCGCCAAGGAATCCAAAACGAGCGATGCAATCGCAGCCCGAAACTGAAAACCGACATCGAAGCACCGCTTCTTCAGTCTACTCCTCTGAGAGTGTTGTCGATGAACGCACTAATCCTGCCTTACGACACAGCGACATCCAAGACGCGGAGGACTATTCGCGGCCATTGGGGGTCCGCAACATTCCTGATGGGGCGAGTCAATTTTCGGGTGAATCCTAGTTTTCGATGGACAGCACTTTCAAACACACGATGGACTATTTACTTTACTCATAGACACTTGACCCTTGTATCCTCGCACTGCATCTGTATACTATTCGGCATCATCACAACTAGAATTCCCACGAAGATAAACAAACTTGGTCGGAACGACGGCTACCCGCTATAAAATGCCCACAGATAGGATTTGCACACACCCAGGTCCATGCCCCCAACCCACGACACACCCATTCTAGGCATGGTCGCCCGTCCTCATGTTGAACAGCCCACGGAATACGGCTGCGAAGCGACGCCTCAAGGGTGGTGGACCGAATGGCCTTCTGGCCTCGTTGACGTCTCTCGCACAAGCCACATCGTAGAGTCTGACTCAGCAAGCCCGCCCCCTCTCACCTCGGAGCTGGTCGACATCCCTTGCGATGGCGAGCGCGTAGTCCGCGTCAAGCGTGCCGCCACCGCAATGGTCGTGATAGACATGCAAAAGTAATATAACAAGAATCCTGATCATTGCGTCGCAGCCAACCTAATCTGGACAGCTTTTTCCTGCATCCCGAATTGAGAGACCACCCAAAAGGACTAGCCTGCGTAGACCCCCTTCTCAAATGCCTCCCCGCCCTGCGCGCTGCAGGAATCAAGGTTCTATGGGTGTAAGCGTTTATTCGTTCGTCAGCATCAACTTGAAGTCAAAAACAACTGTCCAGAAATTGGGGGCTAACAGACGCAGAACTGCTCACGATTCCTCCGTCTTTGGTGCGCGGCTTCCAGAAAAACGGACGGGGCGGGTTTGGCTCCGAGCTTCCAGCTGGCTTTGGCCGTCTGCTCATGCGCGACGCCAAAAACTCGATGCTTCATGGGCCGTTGCAGGACGATTTTGAAGCGAATCGCTCAAAGGATGTCTGGATTCACAAGAATCGGTAGCCGCAAGTCATGTTCTCACATTCTCTAACTCTTTATCAGGATGAGCGGCTTGTGGGGGTATCAGAGCGCCCTCGATTTATACTTGCAAGAAAACGGGATCACGACTCTTCTTTTCTCTGGTGTCAATGCTGACCAATGCGTTGGTGGAACCCTCGTTGACGCCTACTATCGCGGCTACGATTGCATTCTGGTCAAAGACGCCACCGCGACAACCTCGCCGGAAGGCGGCTATGAGAACGTGGTCTATAACGCCGGTAACGTAGGTTCTGCCTTTGCTCCGATGGAGTTTTGCTTGACTTTGGGCTTAGAGTTATGGATTTGTTGTTGACAGCGCTCGTCTGGCCGCGTTGACATGAAACTCGTTGCTCGTATTTCGATGGTTGTACACAGTTTGTTAATACATACATATATGTGTGCTTTTCGCATTTATCGGCGTTGTCCTTCAGTGCTCGCTGGGCTCGTCGGCCGAACCTAAACAAAGGTCAGAAGAAAGTGATAAGGTAAAAAAAAACCCAACACACATCTAGCAGGGTTCGTCTTCCCATGATTTCGGTAAGCTGGACGGCTCCGTGTTGGAACGAAGTCGACTCGCTGTCGGTAGTAAACGGGTTAGCCGCATCCGAAACCGGGCTGTGGGAAGAGATGGAGGATGGGGGTGTGATAAGATGCCCCCTAGACGAATCTCGTAGGTGGGAACGGCGAGGTCTAGGTGGCGGCGACAGTATTGGGGGCGGAATAGGCTCCAACGTGTCTTCCTCATTGGTGGGAGGTAGAGTAGCCGGGTAGATTGAAGGACTCGATTGGGCGGAAGGTACTGGTGCGTCTTCAGTCGTGATAGCCAAACCCATTTGCGGCTTCTCTGGGGGGAAAGGACGGTTGTCTTCCTCCTGAGCATAATAGAGAACTGGGGGCTCGACGCGACGCGGCGGCGCCACCGTGTAATGACCTTGAGCGGACGAAACACGACCATCCCAAGGGCGATCAAAACTGCGCATATCCGGATTCACGAATGGGTCATTATCAGATAAGGGGCGTGGGCGATGCATGCTGACAAGCCATCTCCGATGTTGTTCTCGTCGACGCCGATGTTTCCGACAGAGAATGAACAAGCCAAAGACAACAAGCCCAGTTAGAATCGCTCCTGGACTAGTATGAGCAAAGGATATAATGCGCGCTAACATTCAGCTGAACTCACCAACGATGAGAAAAACCCCAGCCACAGCACCGGTATTATGGAAAAATCCTCTGTCGCATCAGTGAGCACGTTGTCAGCAAGACGATCCAAAAGCCACTTACGCAGGCTGCCCAATTGCCTGGCTTAGGCCACCCGTAGGATTAGCAACAATGTGGGTAAATGTGACAAGGGACCCATTAGGCTCGGTGGACGTCGATAGGATGGTGAAGAAGGCTGGTGCAGTGGACGACGTCTTCCCATTCGAGTCGGTGACCGAGATAAAGCTTGGCCTCGGAAGGGTTGAATCCGGTGTGTCGGTGATTGTACTTGTCGCCGCAAAAGACTTGACCGGGGATTCAGCGGGCGCTTTAGTAGTTGGTGCTGTCGGTCTGGGAGGCGGACTCGACGCAACTTTGACGGAAGATTTGATGCTGGTGGGGGTTGCGCTCGATTTCACAGAGCCATCTGCGGGCTTGGAGGGTGAAGGAGATGGTGAACCGGATTCACCGCCCGAAGAAGCTGCCGGTTTGGGTGAAGTAGGGGAAACGCTGCAACATGTTCAGTGTGACGAAACAAAAGGTAGCGAGAATACGGACGAGGTCATCGTGGTGGGAGCAGCGTTGTCTGGTGCAGTGACTGCAAGGTTTTTAGACGATTGTACGGACGGGCTCGGTGAAGAGCTGGGCATGAACGAGGTCGAGGATTGTTTGGGGGCGACTGAACTTTGAGCAGACTCAGACGATTGAGGTATCGCAACAGACGTCGAAGGAGGTAGAGGTAAGGTTGTTGTTAGTCCGCCCGAGACCTCAGTAGTGGAAGATATGTCTAGGCGGATTGTTAAGTATCCGACTAAAGGCCGGGCTGTTCGGTGAGCACTTACCTGAGGAAAACACCTCGCCCATCCATAGACGGTCTCTCTCTCCAGGGGGTCGGGGGAAGGAAACGAAGCAGGCAAGCTCAGGTTAGCTGCATTATAGGGCCGGCCGGACAACGCATGGAAAGTGTTCTTCTCAAGACACCTGGACGAATCGGAGTGTGGTTCTTGGTCAGTTGATAGCGCGACATGTCACAATCTGTTACAATCGGCGGCATCTCGGTTAGAGTTGGATGTGACCGAATCTGACAAGTCAAGCCAATGACGCGTTTGGGGGCATTGAAAAGCGCTGCGTCTTGTCGAGAATGTATGTGCTGCGTAGAGCGAAAGGTCTCCAAGTGAAACCGAATTTCCACGGCACATCGTCGTGGAAGTTATGGTAAAAGTGTGGCACGCGTTGTGGAGCGGTAAACGACACGGGGCCGATTGCCGTGAGATTTCCCACGATGCTTGGTAGCGTTGCCGAGGCAGCAGTCCTCGATATCACCATCGGAAGCAGGAGTAGATTCATGTTCGAGATGGGAAACGTACCTTGACTAGCCGCCGCGTTATCAGTAGGGAGATAGTACTCAGTCTGTTGCCTATTAATACATCTGGATTACATTGACTTAGTACGTTGCGATGGCCTCAATCTCGACATCGACCGAGTTGGGAAGGTGTCCAGCTTGGATGCAGGTTCTCGCGGGTTTTGGATTTGGAAGTAGCTAGAGAATGACGCGTCGATTCAAGGTTTTAGCCTGTTATAAAGACCACCATTACCTTTTCATAGACCTCGTTCATAGCCTTGAAGTTGTTCATATCATCTATTCTCGGGTCAATGGAGTGAGAGTGGGGACTCGTATGAGCCGTAGTTACCGAGGTAAACGTTAACCTTGACGACTTTTTCCCAGCTGGAGCCAGCAGCCTCTAATACCTTGCCCAGATTATGAATGCATTGGGCCTGACATGTCCGGATTATCATCAGAAATGAGCGCAGCAGGTATACACACGGTGTGCTCCTGAATTCCACCAGCAACAACAGTTCCAGTCTCATCGGTAGGTGTTTGCCCGCTCAGGAAAATGAGGCCAGGAACTAGTGGATTGACTATGAGTACGATTTTTCTAGGTCTTTGGATGGAGAATTTGCCTTTAACCGCATGAGAGAGGATGTGGCCAAAAGACTTGAGCGCTGGACTATCAAGTTTCTCCATAGTTCAAAGGATGAGTGCGAGAGGTTTGGGGTGATCGAGAGTCGGCGCCAGCGATCTTAAAAAGATGGGCTCCGATCAAAACGACAATCGATTCCGGCCCGGAGTCGGTGGTAGCTTATCGCATCCCATCACAGCCCGGACCGCTGAAAGCCGGGGCTCTGTTGTCGCGGTCACGATACCGGGCTTTTAATATGGTCTCGACACGCATTTCTCGTGTCTGAATATGCCTCTATAATGGCCGCTTGTGGGCGCAAACCTACCCACAACGTATCTGCGGAAATATTGTCTGTTGCCGTCACCAGAAACCGATTTGGAACTCTGGTCTGATAGACAAGCATCACGCGGCTTTGAATGGGTTGGATATAAAATGGATTCGTTTGCTCCGCTGGGCGCGTCTTATCGACTTGTCTCCCACCACCATGGAGTCAGTTTCAAAGTCTTTAGACATTGACGATCTCGAGCGCAAGGTTACAGTCTCGTCGCCTGACAGAGACTCAGAAATCATCGAGTTCACTCGCGAAGAAGAACTGCAACTTCTCCGAAAATTCGACTTTATGATTCTGCCGCCTCTCGCGTTCATGTCTGAAGTTTTGTCTCTACTGAACATCATTTCATTTACTTGTTCGACAGGTATCTCTGCAACGCACTTGACAAAGGTGTGTTGAACTCATGATCAACATTTTTGCTCATTGGCTTCAGGAAATGTTGGAAATGCAAAGACTGCTCACTGGGACAAGGACATTGGTTTAACAGGAGACCAGGTAGGTGATATGTGTTGTACGTGCTTCAATTTCAACCTGATCTAGTACTACATCCTTGTGATGGTGTTCTATGCACCGTTTTGTGTATTCGGTAGGATTAAACGCTCGAAGACCTCAAGGCGCTCATAGGCCACAGGCACACCTCTTAGCTTGTTCGCCAAACGATTCTCTGCTGCCAGGGTGCTTCCTATCGTCATGCTCGGATTTGTTGAGTCTTCGTGCAGTTGATACTGTTTTTCTGACCCTCCTCAAGGGTTCAATGTGCGTTCAGATTTGCGTTTGGTTATTCTGAAGCTTAGATGCTCTTGAACAGGGCGCTTTGTACTGCCGCAGCAAAGAATTTTTCTCGTATGCTTGGGGTTGCCAGTTTCCTTTGTTTTGAGGTTGACGTAGCCAATTCTTAGAGGTCTTCGCCATCCGATTTTTCCTTGGGATCTTTGAGAGTCCAATGCTGCCTGCAGTGGTTAGTTCTACGTCATATCGGTTGCTGTTGACTCAATCGAATCCAGGTGTACTATCTCAGCACATTCTACAAGCGCAACGAGTTGGCGTCTCGAGTTGCAACATTCTACGCTGCAGCGTCAATATCAGGTTATATGATCGGTGGCAAAAGTTTCTTGCACTCAACTTTCCCAAGGCGCTTTCTCTGGCTTGATTGCCTATGGTGTCTTCCACATAACTAACACGAAGTACCATAACTGGCAGGTAGGTCTGTTCTTGTCGATATTCAGTCGCTGATTGGTCTTCATCAGTATTTGTTCTGGATCGAAGGAGCCGCAACTCTCTGTTTCGCTGCGTTCGCTTGGTTCTGGCTGCCCCGCACGCCTGCAACTTGGCGTTTTTTGACTGATCGTCAGAAGGCGATTGCGAGGAGTCGGATTCTTTCAGATTCATCTGCGACTGTGGAGGAAGGAGTCGATGTCACTGGCGCCTTTTCGCCATTCAAGAGCCCATTGTACTGGGTTTGGATCTTGATCAGTGTGTTCTTTGCTCTCCTTGAAGCTGTTAAATGACATTGTCAAGGCATATCTCTCGGTTGGTAGCAGAAGAGGCATACATTCAAAGCTGACAATATTCGTTGCAGGGGTTCCTCTGGCTTCTGTGAACAATTTTCTGCCGCAGGTATCGGTTTTGTTGAATGGCTCCACGCATAGCCTAATCGTCCGACGAGATCATTTCGAGTTTCAAATATAGCACTGTCAAAACGAACTTGTACACTGTCGCGCCGAATGTTGCTGGGACCGTCGCTCTCCTTCTTTTGGCCTTCTCTTCCGATTACTTCAGGGAACGGACAATCCGTGAGTGATCAGTATTTCGGAGGCATCTAGCTCACCGTTTGTCAGACATGCGAGTCTCTTGTCCGAGTTGAAAGAATTCAGGCTCACATGGATCTGCAGATGCATTCCGCTGGTCACTGCTTTTGTAGGATTTATCATACTGGGCAGCATCGACACTCTCCAGCACCTCCACGTCGCCTATTTTGCTTGCTTCTTGTTGACCATGGGGTAAGCTATCTTAGTTGTCAGTGTCGAAATCTCAGTATCGTAGTGCTTTCGCACCTTCTATCCTTGTCGCAACATGGTATTCGTGAGTTATCAGACACTCTCCTACCGCGATGCCGATCGGGGTCAGAAACAACACGACCCATGAATCCAAACGAGCTGCTGTTGCCGCAGTAATGGGTATGCACTGATCTTCGTCAACGAGCGTCGACGTACTTACAATCACCTAGTCGGTTTCGCCAATAGCGCTGGTACTCTTCAAGTTCATCGTGTGGTATTGCCATTAACTCGAGATTAGGACTGATATCAACCAACGTATTCCGGGCTCAAGACGAACCCAAATATGTTCCTGCACTGGCAACTTCTGGTGAGCGGATTGGCTAAATTAACACCCAGAACTTGACCGCCTGATTGTAGCTGCTTTCGGAGGCTTCTGCTTGATATTGGTCGCAGGAACTGGCATCTGGATGAGACGCGAAAACGCCAGACGAAACCGAGAGCAAGGCGTGAATCTACAAGCCAAGGATGTAGACACCTCGAACCTTTCCCAGGGCACCAAATCTCCTCTTTGGCGTTATATGTATTGACGGACCTATCATGTAGTACCTAGCTCACAGAAAAGGAATGACTTTGCGTTGACCTAGAATTGAATTCAAGAGTGCATAACAACCATTTACTTCAAAAGTACGCATCCTCTGCCGCAACCTCCTGCTTGCGGTCGAACGATACCTGCACATAATGATTAAAAGCAAATAAGAAAAACTCGTCTTTTCCCTCGTCTGTTCACAAAAAAAAGGACAGCGAAAATGCTGCAACTACTGGTGGGCTTGCATGATGGCGTCGGAGATGAACGTCGCTGTGATCTGGTTTCCGCCAAACCAACGTCCATTAAGACCTTGGACGGCCTGTTTCGCGGCATCGACGGCGGCAAATTTGATGTAGACTTCTCCCTGGAAGCATATTCAGCGGGCAGACTAAGCAAAGTAATGAATCATACCTCAGAGTCCTTTTCTACCTTGATAGCATCGACTTTGCCGTATTTTTCTTGACATTCACTCTTGACGTCTTCAGCGAGGTCCTTGTCCCAATGAGGCTCAGTTTCCCTAAGGACAGTGAGCAAGCTCCTTAGACGGCTATTGAAACATACTGTTCTGGATTAAACATATTGCGAATGAGAATGGAACGAGAATCCATCGACTGAGGAATGTTGAGTCGCGAACTTTGGGAGTTTGAGTCGTCAGAAAGAAGGAAAACATTTCATGGCACGCACATAGGATCTGGTGCTTGAATTGGCTCAATTCTAGCAAGTTTTTGCATTAGTGCCTGACGAGATGCGGCATTCAAGTTACCGCCTGGCATTCAATCAGAAGGTTACACAAGACGATGAAAATGCAGACTGACCGCCCGTGTCATCGAGACTTTCTGATACGGTGTATCTCGCGGCCGTGCCTTTCTCGTGGACAGTGTTGACGCGGAGCTGGAGAAGAGAGGTGAGTTGAAATAAACCCAGGAAACCAACACTGACCGTACGACCAGCAAGTTCAAATCCGTCCATCTGTTCAAGAGCCATTTTCGCGTCTTCTGACCGGCGGTATTGGACAAAGGCATAGCCCTTGCTTCGACCAGTCATGGGGTCCTTGTGAAGATCTACAAATTCCAGTTCACCAAAAGGTTCGAAGACTTGTTTGATATCGGCTTCGGAAAGATTGAAGTGCAGCGAACCGACGTAGAGCCTGGCAGGATTAGATATGTTGAGATTGAAGCCATGAGACTTACTGCATTGTGCCGCTGTGAGAAGTAGTTACGCCGGGAGGAAGATGTAAGGTGCTTCACAAAGTGTGAGTAGTCAAGCGATAAAGTATGACTGAGAATATACCCATCACCCGCATGGAGACGGTTTCTTTCTGCTTCAGTATGCTGAATATGAATCGGACGACCCATGACGATAGTCCCAGTGAGATCTATAGCCTTGTCAACCAAATCGACGGTGCGGAATTCGACGTATGCGATGCTGTCAGAGTTGTTATTGCAAAGCGAAATGGAAAAGAGAATGACTTGCCCCTTGGAACGACGGGACATTCTATCTGTGACGATTCTGGAGTCCATCACACTTCCCTCACCCAGCTTTTCCTCGAAGAAGTAGCCTAGATCTCGAGCAGTGAGACGAGCGGCAAGTTGAGACACGAACACCGAGCGTGCTTCAGAGTCATCTGCGGTGGGCTCATCTGGGTTATATTCTTCCTCTGGGGGTGCTTCATAAGTTGGTGACGGACGCCTTCCGAAAGAAAAAAGAAAAGTCAGTGGAGCATGCGACTGTAGAGAGAATATGACCATACTTGAAAGGCGGTGGACTGCTTGGAGCACGTTGACGGCCAGGAGAGCGGTTGCTGAGTGGTGGAAGCGCACCAGGTGGAGGTTCATCAAAATCTGCTGAGCGTTTTCTTTTATGGTCTCTGCCTTCTTCATCTTCATCTGGCCTTTTTCGGCGCCGGTCATCGTCTCGATGGTGGTCGCGGTTGCGGTCACGGTCACGGTCTCTGTCTCGATGACGGTGACGAGAACCGTCTCTTCTTCTGTCTCTGTCTCTGTCTCTTTCCCTTTCTCTGTCCCTATAACGGTCTCGAGATCTGTCGCGGTGGCCTCTGTCACTGCCTCTATCCCGACTGCGACTTCGTCGTCTTTTTTCGTCGTCCCTCCTTCGACGTTCTCGGGAAGGGGATCGTTGTGATCTACGAGTCCGAAGAGTGTCAGTGGAGTGGTTGCGTGAGCTATACCGCTTATCAGTAGCTGTAATGTTGAATGGAGGAAAGACAAACTTTCGGTCTGGACTAGTCATGGTGGTCGACAGCAAAAGTTGCACGTGCTCAAACAACTCTTTTTTGGTGTCACGTCCACTTTACGTTCAAGTAAGGTGTCGGTGCTGCACTTTGGCCCAATGCAACGCGAAGAGCTCTTCTTCTTGATTGTAGGAAACAAGTACCCTTGATTTGACTGGGTGGAATGTACGAGAAACCTCGGTTGGATCCGGCCCGTTCAAGGTCACGCGTTCAAGTGGTCCACTTGCTCAACGGCAAGGTTATGTATTTACTCTGAGCTAATCTCCACTGCTTTCTCCTTACATTCAAGATGCTCGTTGACAACCAAATCGTCTGTATCACTGGCGCCTCTCGTGGTATAGGTCGTGGCTGGTGCGCTGACTTACCGATCTACACTCAAAGGAATGACCCTATCAAGTGCGCTCGAATTCGCCAAATATGGTGCATCGGGGTTTATCCTTCACTATCTTGGTGATGCAGACACCGAGCGTGAAATACTCGCCCTCAAGGAAGAGATCGAAGCTTTTCCTCACAAGCCCAAAGTCATTATCATTCCTGGCGACATCGCTGACCCTGCGACATCGACCAAGGTACTACTTTCAACAACTCTGTCATTCCCTGCTGGATAAACACCAGATCGTCGATGAAGGCGTTAAAGCTTTCCAGCGAATCGACACATTGATTTCCAATGCCGGGATCTGCCCCTTCGCTGAATTTTTGACGATGCCTCATTCGACTTGGGAGCGCACCCGTGCAGTCAACCTTGATGGCTCCTTCTATGTCGTCCAAGGTATGTTTTATATAGACAGCGGTCAGATCCCTAATGAAACGCAGCGGTCGCAAATCAAATGAAGTCGCAGACCCCACAAGGGGGCTCGATTGTCGGTATCTCATCAATCTCAGCACTCGTCGGAGGTGGACTTCAATGTCATTATACCCCTACCAAGGCGGGCATCTTGTCGTTGATGCAGAGTTGTGCGGTCGCCCTCGGAAAATATAATATTCGCGCCAATGCCGTCCTCCCTGGTACCATTGCCACCGATATCAATAAGGAGGACTTGTCTGACGTCAGCAAACGCCAGTACATGGAGCAAAGGACCTGCTTGGGTCGTCTGGGGGAGCCATCTGACATTGCTGGCCCAGCCGTGTTTCTAGCCAGCTCCCTGGCAAAATACGTGACTGGTGCTGCCTTGCTTTCAGATGGCGGTCTCTTTGTAAACCTACAATAAGTGAAACTGGGACTGGTAACTATATGATCTACGGTACCCTGTCTTTACTACTATCTTCGCGAACCTTTTCTTTGCATCACAAAGGAATGTGCTGAAGAAATGACCTAGTGGTCCAGTAAATGTAGGGTAATGTTAGGCGGCGGATAGCGGGAAATGCTTTATTAGTTTGTTGTTATAGCGTTTTTGACTGCCTAACATCTTTGCGCCCATCGTTGTTAGGATCTGATTGAAGTCTGATGCAGTTGTAAAGTCTATCTCGACCCCCCATTTCCTTCATAATCATTCGTGGCGCACGGTCTCCTGCGACTCCATGTAGGCTCTTCCATGACTGGAAAGGAAGACAATCAACTAACACTGTTTTGAAGGAGTCTCAAGGAGAGAATTGCGGCGATTCACCACCGGGAACAAACAGCGTCGCCAACACCACCTATCCATGGAACTACCCAAATCCCCAGCTCGTCGTCTGCTGGGACCCTCAAGGCAAAGATCGCTCAATTCGAAAGCCAGGGTGCTGTGCCTGTTCCACGCGGGTCGTATGTCGAAATGTTGGAGAGAGAGCAATAACTTTATTGACTATGTAACAGTTTTGGACTCGGTGCGCCACCCGAATCGAAGCCTCAGCAAAGAAGGGAGCTCTATGGAAACCGTATGCAACCTGCTCGTCTTCCCAGTGCAGCATTGGGACTTGCTCGACCAGCCGAGGCATTCGCTACTCCCGACCCCCGCGCCATAGCCCTCCCTCCAGATGACACCGGCCTGTCTTCAGAACCTACAAGTCCCCTTCCGCGCTCAGAATCCACTCGCATTCCGTCTTCTTCTTCGAGTAGTAATGGCAATGCCCCAAACCCGTTTGCATTTGAAGAGCTCATGAAGAAGGCTCGTGCCCCGCAGACAATCCCAACCACTGCCGCCGCCAAAGCCGTCCAGGAGAAACATAAACAACAAACAGTGACTAATCGTGGAACGGATTTCACCAAGGCTTTAGAGAAAGCACGGAAGGCAGAGGCAGAGGGGAAGGAACGACGACGGAGTGTTCTTCTTCTTCAACCCCAGTTCACTGGTGGTGCCTTAACGCCGCAACATACTGGAGGAAGCAGCGTTGGCTTGACACCGCAACATACGGGCGGTAGTCTGATCATTGCTCCCCAGACGACAGGCGGCTCAACGCGCCCTTTCTCACCACCCCCGCTATCTCCTCTGGCAGTTTATTCACCTCCAAGGTCGCCAATGTCCCCTCGCGAACATAGATTGTCGTTTGGAGCTTCATCACCGACCACTACTACTCGTCCGCTATCCTCTTTCTTTTCTCCAGACGAAAGGCCAATCATCGTCATGGAACCAGACGAAAGAGATGAGGTGTGTCGAATCCAATTTCTTTCCTATCATGAACTTCAATACGTCTCCAGAATGCTGAACCAGTGGGCGAACAGCCTTCAATATCCACTCCCGACTTCCGAATACAACCTCCCTTAGTGCCTGAATTTCCGAGTGAACCGTCTAATGAGGTAGACCCAGAACCAGAACTTGTGCTATCAGATTCAAGCGAAACCATGCCACAATCCGAGGAACTATCCCTTTCGGATCCGCAAACAGAGTTGACAGAGGAAGACCCACAACCTCCGCCTGAAAACTCGACCCCTCCTACGGAAAGCCCAAAGCTTCAAGTGGAGAACACGGATGTCCCTACTTCTCCCACCTCAGGCTCTGACTCTTTCCACGTTGGACACGGTACTGCGTCGCCCGACTCTTTTCATGCAGGACTGGATCTTGATGCTCACCTACGAACGCACGCTCTCACCGGCGAGAGTTTGCCTGTCTCTCAATCTTCTTTCGATGACCACGAAGAAGAAGAAGAGCCTGTCTATTCGCTGGGAGAAACTGAATATCTTGCTCCCCTTCCCAACAATCTGGCTTCGCATCGGTTCCGAGCGCATCTGAGCACTATTACGGAACGCAGTGTGGAACCAGGCAGTCCAGCCTGGGATACTTCCCGATTTAGCGTTGGCAGCTCGAGCTGGGGTGATAAGCGGGCAAGTCGGAGAGAGAGTGCTGGTTATGGTGCGGTTTTCGAGTATATTTACGAGGGCAGAGATATGGAAGAAGAGCATCTGGAGGACGAAGAAGACGTCGTCACGCCGGGAGTGGCAGGCATCGGCGCTGGCTCCAATGCCCTGGCTCACACGTCATTACCCTCGACAACAGCAACAGCCGGTCATGATTTCAAGGTCTTACACGCTAGCAGGAGAGACTCAGATGTGAGGGGCAGAGACGATGGTCCGCCCTCCCCTTCTCCATATCGTTTGAGCTACCTCACCGATCGGGGCTACACGCCGAGCTTGGGCAGTGAAGATGGGGATGACGAAGATCAACCACAGGCTGAGCTGGATATACGAACACCCACCGCATATCCTACTGACTTCGAATCACGGACGCCTACGGTAGGTCTTGGCCCCAAGACACCAGGAATGGACGGCGTTTTCGGCGCGGCTTCTAACGAGTCGGAAGAATCCGAGAAAGAATCAATAGCACCCCCTCGAAATTCTTTCCTCTCGACTCGAGACTCATTACCCCCAACACAACGTGATTCGTTGTTGTCGACCAATTCTCGCAACTCCACAGCATCTTCTGTCTCCTCATCCGCAATCCATGCTCAGGTCCTCACCTTGCGGCCATTGAGTACCATGACAATTGATAGCGCCAGTCCCAGTCACGTGACTCTTGCCCATCGAATCCCAGTCGTTGATGGCGTAAAAGGCGTCGAGCGTGCTGTCTATGTCCCCGGCAATCTTTCTGCTGAAGCGGAAGACGTTCCACCTGCCCGCCCAAGACCGAATCCGTCTTCGTTGCCGCGGCCAAGCACATCGTATGAGGTCAGCCCAACCTCAACTCCATCCCGGCGGACTGGCAACACAGCTGGTGCTACATCTAGGCCACACACAACTTATCTTCTCGACGACGAGGACGACGATGATCCGAAGGCAGAGTTTGGGACCATCTCTTTCGGGACTCAAAAGCCTCTCACCTTCTCAGCTGTCGTCCATGGCCGTGTGCGGGAGCCTGCACGTGGCCCTGTTCAGCATGGAGAAATCGAGAAGAAATTGCCTTTGCCGCCAACACCAATGAGCCCTGGTTATGCGTCCGGCGATCTCGCTGAGCTCTTAGCAGAGGCAGCAGCATTAGAGCAACGTCTGGAGCGCGGTGAACTCCCGGCAGAGGCGCTGCGGAGATTAAGCAGGCTAAGCGCGCGACCCCCACCTAAATTCTCAGCTCCCCCACCTCCCCTCGTTACACCATTACCTGTACATCAACAACAACAAAACGTCGCTCCTTTAAAGCCTCTTCGTTCTATTCGGAATCCACTGGGCCGCAGTCGGTCAGATCGCCGCCCAAGGGACGACCAGGATTCCAGGCCAATTGCCTCTGCTTCTATGGGAAACTTGTTGAGTGAAACCCCAGACCAAGTTGTCATCCTTCGGACGTCCACAAGCTCAGATATACCTCCCACGCCTCCGCCAAAAAGCCCCGGTGCCCGTTATTTCTCGAGCCTGCGTAGGCTAGCGAGCACATCCCGCTCTCTCAATGTCGCTACGACCAGAGGGAGCGTGTCGACTTCGACTGGGTCAGAGTTTTCCAGTGAAGACTCAATGGGGCTCCAGACTCCGCCAGATGACCATCAGGCAGCACTGTCGCCAACTCCAAGCACCAAAGGCATTGTCTGGCCTTCGCTCAAGTCCAAGAAGAGTGCTGGGAGCTTAGGCAAGAGCGCGGCTTCTCTTGCTGGCAAGATGTGGCCTCGTTCACGGTCAAAGTCGAGCACAAGCACTACGAGCTCCGTTGACAGTATGTCTTTGGTCGTGATTTTTTTTACTCTGACTAACGCATCCTTTCTAGCCGCTCCTTCTCCCCCACCCGTCCCAGTTCCTCCACTGCCATCACCTCCAGCTCTGAGGCTGGAGCCTCTCCCTCCCTCATTCGCACCACCACCCCACGATGCAGACGTTATTACGCCAGTATCTCACCCACCAAACACCTCCCTCCCTGTCCAGCGAATGCCCTCTGGTCGGCCACCAAATCTGATACTCCACACTGCCAACGGTTCAACGCATGATGCCTCTTCGGGCTTCCTGCCCGCGCCACAAACAGCTCCGGAAAGTAAACGGTCGTCATGGATGTCCGTTTCATCTGCTGGATCCTCGTCGATAGCCACATCGCCGTTGTTTGATCAGGCTATTTTCGACGCCTTCCCCTCAGTACCAGAAATGCCAGCCGGCCCACCACCACCACCAGCTCCTGTTTCGCGCCAACTGCCGAGTCCACCAAGGAGTAACTTCAGCCGCTCCAATTCGGTACAGTCATCTCTCAGTGGATCGTCTGTTCTCCCGCCATTGCCTACGCTGTCATATTCTGACGCCAGTGCTACTTCCACCCCAAGTCATTCAGAACAGTCGTTCAAGAGTGGTGGTGGGTCATATGCTCGCGACAACCTTCTTGCTCGTGTTGCGCAGACACAACGGAGTGTCGAGCCTCTATGACCAGACTATATTAATAAGCTAAGATCATCTAATGGAATGTGTATTTATATATCTGCTTTCATTGTTCAGTCGAGTAGCTTTCTATCAAAGAGACGCGGGTTTCCTCTTCTTCGCCTTGTCCCACCAATAATAGAGCAATTGAGCGAATGCAGCTAGAATAAGAACGTCCAAACAGAGAACAATCGCAAACATACTCTGTGCCTAGTCAGCAAGAGAAAGGTATTGGAAACACACTTACGTAGCGATGTCCGTTCAAAGCATTCCGTGGAATAGTCACATTAATCGAAAACACCCCCTGAATGGTCTGGATGCACAAGACGCCTATACTGACGCCAGTGAGATAGACAAGGGCCTTGTCGGTTCCGCCCTTCGAAGTTGCGGCAGCTGTCCTGACCTGGGAGATGTACAACGGATGAGACTGGCTGAGCATCCGCTCATAGTGGGCCAAGCTCGTCTCGAGGGTGATGATGTGGTCTGATGGTGGTGGAATAAGTGCCATTCAAAAGTGGGTTGGTGCAAGTCACCTTGCACGTCTCCAAAGTATATTGCAACTTCAATGCTCTCGCTGGTTGGGGAACCACCGTGCGGCGGAGTTAGAAGGCGCTTGCGCAGTTGTGCAACCACCTCGCCCTTGGCGGATAATAGGCGGGCCAACGAAGTGACCAGCCGACGAACTCTCGCCATACGGTGCAAAGTCGATGTGTTTGGCTTGATCCGACTCTTCGGAGGACGGGACCACCAGCGCCATCGAAGATTTGGAAATCGTAAATTCACCATCAAGGACGAACGATGAGGGTGAAGATGAATCCTCTCCAATCGAGCAAGCGATTTTTCATCCAATTCAACTAGCGGAGGATTCTTCTCCGAAACTTCGGACTTCTCGCTGTGCGATGGTTCAGAAGTAACCGCCGGGAAATCCGTAGCAGAGAATACGATGTTTTCTATGAGCATCACTTCTTTCTCGAGTCCGTTGGCGAGGAAAGGGAAAAACGAATCGACAACAGAGTCTAATATGCCATGGGCAATCCAATCTTGTGATGTTAGCACAATGATTGACTGGAGTGGAGGTAGCCCTCACCTGAAGTCATATTTGCAGCAGAGTCCAAGCGCAGGAGGCGGCTACGGACACGATCAGTGTGTTCTAAAAATAGTCAGTTATGTAACACAAGAGGCAGTGGATAAGAAAATACCTGAGACATCGGTAAAACTGAAGCAGCATACGCCCTCTTTGAAGACAACGAGGTAAATGTTGCTTTCGGCGACGGATCCTTGGCTATCCTCGTCTCCTTCCATCTCTCGGGCATCCCAGCTCTTGATGGCCTTGAACGACAAAAAATAGTAGCCCAATTTGTCAAAGTGTTCGACCTTCTCTCGGTCGTCCTTGACTAAAATGTCTTCTAGCGTGAGAGGGTGGAGGTGGAGGAGCTATGGGTATCTTCAGGCTAGGCTCAAGTTGAGGAACAACTGCCTCACCTTGCCAATCGCGCTTAAGTCGTCCCAAGTGGGCGAAGACACCTCCAAGAACCAAGCTTTAGGCATGGGGCGGTTTGCCTCTTTGTGTTTTCCCTTTGCTAGGCCGGTGAGATCGGTGAAAGAGGCGGCACGGCTGGGTGCTCCAAGTCTATTAGGGAGTTGGTCTGGAAGCATGTAGTCCAAACGTTGCCGACGCCGTGTGCTAGGCTTTTGCAGCATGGCATGTAGTTGAGTGAGGATGGAAGAGAGGTCGGTGGTACGGCAAATAGGCTCGCCATGGGCGAGAGAAGGGGGGAGGTATAGAGCAAAATGGCGGGGTATCTGACGGACATGTTCACGAGCGTGGAAGAGGGCAATGCGACTGGAGATTTCGAAGACCGACTTGGTTCTGCGTGAATGAGATGAAGAAGAAGAGCTGGATGAATCACTGGAGGATTCATTCTTTGCCCAACGACTGATTGCAAGCTCCACGACAGCAGCAATCGCACCTAAGCGACCAAAACGTGAGGCTGAAGATTGGCTGCTGGGAGTTGGCGAAGGCGACCGCTGAGGAGGTTCTCCTCTGAAGATGTCCGAGTCGTCCTCCCAACTAGCAGACATGGTGGTTATTCGGCTACATGAGTGTTGAGGTCAAAAATAAATTCGATCAATCTATTCCGTTCGACGTTTCTTCCTCACTGACCCCACTCCCTCGTCATTCCTCACTCGCTTTAGTCCCTTCCCGAATGGCCGCGATTTCTTTTCCTTTTGTCCAATTTTGCGCTGCTTCTTTTCTATCGCTTTTTTCACTGCCCGACTCCCTCCCTCAGACGCAAGTGCTTCGTATCGGGCTCGCATAATAACCTCTTTTTTCTCCGCTGCAGACCAATAAGCCCAATTAAGTCGACAATAGGTCCAAACCACCCACATGTTTTCATCCACCACGCCTTTTTACCATCCTTCTGCTTGGCCTTTTCCGTTTCCCGCAGCGCAGCTAATGCATCCCGGTCGATTTTTCCTTTGCGATCTTGATTGACAAGGCTTTCTGTACGCTTGACCGCTCTTTCAAGTCTTTGAACTTCGGCTTCCCGTTCTTCCCTTAGATCCCTTGGAGATGAGGCCACTCGCTTTCGTGCTAACTTGAGATTCTCCCGCAAGGTTTGGAGCTCAGTTTTGTGTGAGTCCGCAAGGAATCCATAATTATGTTGGAATTTTTCTGGGGCAAGTTGTCCCGCAAAAGATAGGAACCGAGGATCGCGCGGTTGCTGCTCGAGCCATTGGTTTAGGTTATACTCTTCATAGAAAGAGAAACGCACAATTTTATCACTTTCTACCACTATCCGTCGTCGAGTAACAGGTCGTTTTGACGTTACTTCTGTTGGTCTGGACCCTGCTCAGCGTACAAAAAAGAGTCGACGAGAAAACTTACGCATGCTTGCTGGTCCGTTTCGGAATGTCATGTCGGGGTTTGGTGCTCCATTCGGGCTTAAGCTCTTTTCCCTTCCCCTTCTGAGACGGCTCGAGATCAGGTTCCTCCTCATCACTTGAGCTCATTTCGTCTTCATCTTCGCTGACTTCCGCATGCTTGAGGGCGCGCTGTGCCTTGACAAGGGCACCCAGAGGGAGAGCAGACAGGTCTGGGTTCTGTTGAGTCGCAGCCAAATAGCCGCACAAACGATGGACTTGCCTTGCTCAAGTGAATTCTTTTGGAGTTATGAATAGAAAACCTAGATCAGCGAGCCGAGTCTTACTAGTGTTGGTGGAGCAGTATCCTCTTCATCCTCACTGGAAGTACCCTCAGCTTCGTCCTCCCATTGTACAACTCGCGGGGCATCTGCATCTTCTGCTTCACCATCTTCGGAAGCTTCGCTATGTTCGTCGCTCAACTCCGGCTCGTCTACAGGGAGTACTGGGCTCGAAGCTTTGGCTTTGGGTGCATTCCTAGATGCAGGGCGAGGGCGACGCGGCATGGTAAAATTCAGTGGTGGTGGTAAAAATACAAGTGTAGATGATGCAATCAATCAATCCATCAATTCAATGCAACATAGTGTCCATGGTCCAGGCGGACATCCAGGGCCAGGCCAGTGGACGGCGCTGACCGCCACACCGGCGTGAGGCCCAGCCATGCTCCCATTTTAGAGAGTAAGCGGCGATGCGCTGGCCCCGACGCCCTGTATTTGTCTTGGAGCATACCCTCCCACCGATATGCAGGCCGAGGGTGAATAGTGCTTGCATCGTAGTCGGTTCCGGGCCCAGTGCCAAGCGTTGATGATGCCGCCACAGTCTCTTCATCAATCTCGTTCATGGCCATTTCAGACGCATGACCTCCTAAATGGAACATAATGGCCTGTAGTCCTGCTTAGACCTGCACTGGTTATGGATTAATGGACCAAGACTTACCTGACTGGAACCAGCAAATACGATCTCATTTAGCCGCAGGTAGATCTTATTAAGAAAGCCGGAATGGATAGCGCTCTGCTTAGAATATAGTCCTCGTTGTTGAAGGAAGGCCTCCAGAGCGGGTCGAGGTATTGGTCGATACGCAATGGAAGTTGGGTAATATGGATTGAAGTCACGCGCATGCAGCGAAAGTCCACGGATTGTGTCACTGTTCCGTCTCCATAAATCATCCTACAAAAATTAGTAGGGATTCAGAGGGAAGAATCGAGCCTACCCAGAAAAGATACCACCAAGTGGTAACAGTTGAATGCGACACCGCTTCCCATCGTTTATATGCAGTGTCAAACACGATATCGTTGTCAGCCATAAGCTCTCGCACTCGCAAGTCTTGTTCTGAGTGGATGGAACTTTCCGTGACCCTGGCGGATGGCTTTGGGTGGTCGAAGACATGCGTTAGAAAGCGGTAGCTTAACACATGCAGCTTCCAACGGCCTTCTTTGCGGTGGTGGCGACGATAATTCTCCAGGGTTTCTTGGATATAATCCAGTCGGTGAGGGATGAGGTGTTGGTTGAGAGAGATGAATTGTGCCAAATTTGGTGTCAGCTCATACTCGTCATTGAGGCCAATCACATCGCCACCGACTTTGACGTTGCGTGCATAATTCAGTTCAACGCGGAAGCCGCTTCCCAATTGAAGTCCTTCCCACTCTAGATGGCCTCGCTGATGGATACGGAACACGCAAGATTGGAATGAAATCGAATCCTCAGCAGTATACCTCTGACAGCAGTCCCACATAGAATATGAACCGATGGGCTGGAAGCGTTCAGTGTTTCTTCACCTTGCAATGAAAAGCACCAACTGTGATATGCAAGTAGGGCCAAGCAACGATTTGTCCATGAAGAGCTCGCAAAGCCATACGAACTTCTCGTTTACGATGAACTCTTCTCGAAGAGTTCTGTTTGATGTAGGCTTCGAGATCAGCGATTTCTCGCAGTACCGCTAGTGGGCCATCATCGTAACGAATGACCTGCTCGGTTGTTAAGAGACTGAGGCAGGTGTGTAAGCAAGGTAAACCGACCAATGTGGGCGGAAATGGAATCCACCAGGCGTTGCCGAATGGACTGGTTACCCCATCGGGTAGTTTAGAGCCCCGCCAGTAACTGTCAGGCCCAATAAAATGTTGCTGAATTTCTGCTTCCAGATATCTGAACCATTCATAATCAGGACCGTTGGTGAGAGAAATTGCTCTGTGATAGTTGGTAGTTCCAATGTCTCTGAGAATCTACGAACCGTGAGAATTGACCATATCCTGGAAGGTAAAACATGCCTTGATATTCTCGACATGTCGCTCGGCAGGATAGCCACGGAATTGAAGAAGATATGGCGGGTACTCAGATTCCCGAGCCTGTGCAAATGCCATAGGCTGATTGGAGGGAATTCGACAATCCTGGTTGGTCAGGAACAGTGTTGTGATTGTTTCTTGCCAAATGCGACGCTTGCTATGCATGGAGTTGGAAGAGACATCGAGACTACAACGAGGAGGTGATTAAAATACGCATAAATATTCAGACAGGACGCACCGAGGTGAGAAAATATCGATGCCTGAGCGTTAATCGTGAAAAAAAAAGTGTAATCGAGGCAGTACACTCACTGAAGTCGATGCGTCGGGTGATCCCTAAAGCGAGGCTATTATAAGACCGCAATGGGGTGGGATAGAATGTGAACGTACGTTTGATAGCGTGTTGCATTAGGGAGGCATTGATTACGGTGAAGTCTAACGATCAATTAGCTTTGGAGCGAAAGCAGTGTCAAGTCGTACAAATGCCGAAGCCATAAGTTAGAACGAAGATACTAGTTAATTAGAGTCAGTAGAGCATCCATGCGTGTTCAAGGAGCACTTACAGATAAAGGATGTACGTGTCAAAGATTGATTTCCCTGGAACATCGAGAGCCACGATCAAGGCCAAGACGGCAGTGAGCACGTAGTTGAGTCGTGAGACCCATTCGCTGGCATTGTTGACTGGATCCAAAAACGGGGCGAGGACACATTGAGCGATAAAGAATCCAAGGGTGAACAGGACGAGGAACACTTGTCGGACAATAGGAATGCTAGTCCGTGAAAGATTGCGAAAAAGACAGTTGTCGCTATCGATAACGGCGATGGTCAGCAGGGTGACCAGTTTGGCAAACAGAGCGATTGGCTGATATGTGGCCCAATTCCGTCGAAAACCTAGATGAAACTTTCAATATTTGGCAAGGAACAGAAAAGAAAAAAATGACCATTATACAGGAAAGCAAATGGACTGCGGTCACGGGAGAGCAACCGATGATATTCGTTATCCAGTTCGCGATTATTACGGCGTCGTCCTAGTTCTGAATATTGGTCCACTTTTGGAACGGATTGTCGGATGATCTGGCGAAGAGTAATAGGAAACCAGACTGCGAGCTGTCCTAGGGTCAATTTACATGCGACTGAGAGTAGAGAGGGCTTACACTTCCGACGACAATGAGAGACAGCACCACCAAGGCTGGGGCAAAGTTGATCTCATTGCGTTTCATGGTAGTCGTCCAGCAGAAATCAAGGGGATCCTTAAACTCGCTGGGTGAACCGAGGGGAGGAACGACGGGTGGGAAAGATGTTGCGTTGATGTAGGGGTTTGGGATAGCCCAAAGATCAGAGGACCAGACGAGCACATGAACCGCCATTGTGCTCAGCGGCAAATATATGATTGTAAGCAAGAAGGTGATGGCAACTAGACCTCCTCGACTGCGAGGTGCGTCTGTTTGTTGAAGACCCTCAATGATCTTGTACCGATCGTAGTTCGAGGCGGCTCGACGGAAGAGGTAAAGCAACACCATAGCAAGGATCAGGAACAGAAGAAGAAACAGCAAAGCCTCGTTAGCAGTAGAGGCAAAGTTTAATGCGAGAACATTTGGTCTGTAAATAATGTCATTAGCAAGTGTTTGGAGGTCGCAGGAAGAATATTTACATTGTCCCGAAGAGGAGTTTGCGCCAGTTGGAAGATAGATTCTTGTCTACGGGAACTGCTACGAGTAAGTTAAGCAGGAGGACGGAAGACGGCAAAACTACCAATCGTGGTGAGTAGGAGGGCGAATATTTGGACAGTGTTTGTGAGCCCTTGGAGACTATAAAATGTGGCAACAGCGCTAGAACCCTATAAAATGTCAATAAAATGAAGTGGTGGGCTTGCAACGCACGGTGGTCCCAATAATTAGACTCATAAAGAAGCCAAGGAGGGTATTGCGGTTACGCCACCATGGCGCAGGGGTATAAGTTGAGCTCTAAATCCTCGATCGTGCTACCAGTCTTTGCCAGTTGTTCCATTGGAGGGAACATCGCAGCGTCAGAGGTTTGATTAGCCGCGAAATCCGGCGGCTTGAGCTGAGATAGATAATGGTCGAGCCTCGGTAATGAGAGCGGTGGGGCATTGCGTGCAAAAACCGCGGTAGCGGCAATCGGAACATGAGAATGTCGAATAGGTGATTGTGGTGGGTGCTTGTGGATTTCTGGCTCGTCTTCGTCGTCAGAGTGTCGTGAGAGGTCGTCAATAAGAGTAGAGGATGCTACAGAGGTCGCAAAATTAGAAGGCGTAGAACGGCGTGGAATAAATCGGGCAGGGGAGGGAGGAAGTGTAGAATCGACAACGTCGTACTTGGCGATGAGAGAGCGCACATTGCTCATCGCCGTCGAAGACGAGCCGGGGAGTCAGGTCGCTGACATCATTCAAATTCTCAGGCTGTTGGCACCCATGCCAGCCACGCCCAAGAAAGGCAAAAAACCGCGGGAAAATATTTTGTCCGAGATCTTGTTCCAAACGAACCTCTTCCTCCACACACTCATGCCTACCCGGAACGAGTACGAGTCCTGGGTCTTGGCTAATTTACAGTCCATCGCGACACTTGAGTCTTCGCTGAGGTCGCTAACCTGGTTTTTGCCAGGAAGATTCAAGGATGCAGAACTGGCGTCGGAAGCGCGTATGTGGGTTTCGATGTTCTAGTTTATTCACTCACCGGTGGGTCCTAGTTGCTGCCTCGCTCAATCTTGTGAGCATGTATCATGATACCCTCCTCGCAAAGGTTGCAAAGAGGAATCCTAATTACCGTCCACTCATTCCGTCTTCACTACACACGCGTTTTACTCGCGCCTGGTCGGACACCAACAACCAATATAAATGGGCGGCTCGTTCGCTTGAGCTCATCCGCTTCACCGAACTTGTTCTTGAGATGGGTCTTCGTCGCAAAGTCTCTCCTCGTGCGCGATGGCGCAGTGTCGTATTGCTCGAAATAATCAAGTACGTCTAAATATCATTCTTCCTTCCTTCACACAACCGAACACAACAGAGCAATTTTACGCTTGATACTTCTTCGTATCACTCGACGTCCATTGCTTTCCCCACCAATCCCCGAACGCGATTTCGATCCCGAGTCTGTCCCGCAAGAGAATGACGCGTCAGCCCAGTCTGTCGAGCGATCGTCAGGCTCATCTTCTCCACCAGCCACACCGGCTCACCTGAAAAACAACCGTGTTCCTTTGCCGCCCCACTCGCTTTTGACAACTCCGCCTCCACCTGCGACCGAATCATCGGTAGAGGAATATCTCCTTCCTAAAGCCCTGACTACATCTGCTGTCAAGCCTTCCCACACGTTGATGAAAACAATGGCTTCTCCGCGCGACTGGCTGGCGGAGATAGTTTACATCCTGCGCCCTCTCGTTTACGGTAAGTCGGCTATAAATTCACCGGTGAAGGCACATGATAAATCCTAATGATGCGTAGTTTCTTTGTTGGTGTCCAATGATAAAAAATCAACGCGGCCGTTAACCGCCGCATTAATCTTGGAGGTCCTGTCTAGGATCCTTCGTAGAAGCCCTCCACCACATGCGTCCCTAGAGCGTTCTGAATATGCTCGTCGAGACCGAGATATGGCGTGGTATCTACTCCGAGGCTCAATTTGGGAGTCATACACCAAGTTTGTCTTGCTCTTTACCTTCTATCTGACTCAGCTCATGCGTATATAGACCCAAGTTGGAATCTTTCGCTGCGGTCACTTCGTCGCGTCCGCTTCTCGGGCTGTTTGGAGCGCTGGTGCGAGATTGGATACCACTCATCGACGAATATTACTACTGTAAGTGTTGTGATGATTCAAATGTTTGCTGTGCCTCTGAACTAGTATCCAGATACTGCTCCCTAGTCCTACGTAAGCTGTACTTCAAACCGTGATTAAATTACAACATGTGAGGGAGGTAGCGCACGGGGTATGCAAAGCTGAATGGTATGAAGAAAGCCATACGACTGTGCTTGATGAAGCAAATAATAAAAGAGACAAATCCGAACATATATAGAGGAACAAAATGTCGCTTTATGCGCCATCATGCTCGTTTACCTGCAGTTCATCGACTCCTATCGATTTCCATAACGGGGAACCCGTCCAACAACGAGAACGCACAGCGCAATCAAGCCCTCTGACGCATCGTTCTCTCCGACGAAGTATCATTCTTGCCACAAGCTGAGTCAGATTTTCAAGTCCTCCCAGTCCTGCTTTATCAAGACAAACACTCTGACGTGGGTCATCCACAACTCGTTGTTTGCATGTCGAGCTCTCCGAATCAGGTAAAATGCCCAGCGCGAAACCCACAAGAGCATCGACCTCCTTTCCCAACTCTTTAGCCCTTTTACGCCGTCGACGAGGTTCGCCTGCATCACGCGGGACACTGCGGCGAAGCTCATGATCCAAAATTGTCGGCGAACATGACGCTGGCGGGGCAGCAGCACATTCGGCCAGCGTTGTCTGAGCACGTGCTCGAATCGACAACAGTCCGTCTAGCTCTTCTTGGGGTAGATGAGACGGCCGTCTCATCGCAAGCTCCTCACTTGAAAACGTGTCCAGAATCGATGGAGCTTTACTAGGCGGAGGAGAATCAACAGGAAGATCCAAGCAGAGTGCATTGGATTGGTCTGTTGTGTTCAATAACGGAGATATAGGCGGCGTAGGCAGGTCGATCGACTCCTGCGGTATCTCCGATAGAGATACACCATCAGTTTCGTCCAGTGAAGGAAGACACGTGACAGATCTGCGAGAGGGGGCTGGGGACATGCCAAATCCTAGTCCCAAATCCATGTCAAGATCGAGGACATCAAGTTCTGGCGAGGGCAATGACCCAAATGACAGAAGAGTGGGGGATCGGTGTAGCCATGATGGGCCATCCGAAGTAATTGAGTCTATTCCTTCGAGTTTCCGCAGTGACTGCGACGGAGAAGGAGGGAAATAATCGAGATGGGGTGAGAATAATGGAGACGGCGGGAAAGAGTCGACAGAAGAGGTTGCATCAGAAGACGTGGGAGAGTCCGGATAAAACTCTGGACATGATTCGTCCTCGTCAATGAAGCAGTTGACACCCGGTGGCTGATACATCGGGATGTTCAAGGGCGGGAAGGAGGTGGCCGCATCATCATCATCGTTCGAAGAAAAAGATAAGCTGTAAGCGTGGTCCGTAAAGTCGCGCGCAAAGGGCTGCGACATAAGGACACTGTCATATAACTGGACATCATCTTCATTTGATGACCATTCCGGTGAAATGGGCGACAACAGCTGTGGCTGAGTCTCGATTAGATGAGGTAATTCCAGTGGCAGCGTTGGTATCGTTGGAGGCGGTGACAGTGGTGGTTGTGGGTTCGCTTTGATGAGAACGATGGGGGAGTCAAGAAGGCCGCCAAACAGAGTCGGCAGGGGCACATTGTCTGTTGAGGGAGGAGAGGGATACAATGTGCAAGTGGTAGTACAAGTTCCGTGCGTGAAAGAAAAAATGAGATTCTGGTCGTCGCAAGACATGAGCAATGCTCCGTTATCCGAGGCGTCATTGGCGACCATTATACTATTATTTTTGTGAGTCAGGGCGACGAGTAAGATGTCAACCAACGCACCAAAGCCTAGATTCTGAAAAAAGAAATTTTTAGTGGCTAGTAAAACAGACGCTTGTTCCTCACAGAGGTATACGAGCTAGACTGGTATGATAGCGGGGGCCATGGAGGGACAATAGATGTACAGAGGCCGTCGTTGAGCCGGCACTATCGATGCAAGAAGCAGGCAGGCTCAGGGTAATCACCACGTGCAGTCACGGCTGTGACGGTTTGCGGCTGACCGCCATGGCGAGTTCAACACTTCCACGCGTCAGACGGATTGTTACAGGTCGGTTGTGGCGTCCTCTAGTCCGATCTTGCGAGTGAGATCTGTCTCAGGTCACGATTCCCGGACTGGCTTAGCGAATGTTGAATGGGATTCGATGCTCGCATTCGAAGTTGGCTAAGCAATGAGTATCTAACCGACTGATGCGCTACAAGGAAATTCCCGGGATGACTGGGGCAATGGCTGCACCTGTCTGGGTGAGCGAAGGGCTTCCGACGACCGATAACAACTCCGCGCAAGACGGCGGATTAAGGCTGGTTGACGGAATTGTGCATCCCACAGGAACTAATCTGAGAGCAACTGATCTCGCTCCCGGGACGGAGACACCGATGGTGACAAATTATTCACCATATGTGGCCGATTGGTTCTCACTGTAACAAGCATCGCACAACTTCGTTGGATTATAACATACTTCGTGCGTATACCTTGGGCGGTTGAGCAACTCCTGATCTCTTGGACTTAGTCGAAGGGGAAGTTATCTTGATTATGGAGGATGGGTCGCAAACCCACCTCAAGACACCAGGTGACACTGTGGTGATGCGAGGTGGAATGCACGCTTGGCGCAACCCTTCGACTTCATCATGGGCACGTTGGACTAGTGTTATCATTCCAGCGGAGCCTGCGGTAGTTGGAGGCCAGGTTTTGCAGGCTGAAATCAAGACATGATTTAAATACACATTACTGTCTAATAATCCAGTTTGTTGGTAACCTCGTGTAAGAGTCTTCCAAGCCAATTATTCTCATGGATCCGTTGTCCAGATTCGGTCGCAAGCCCAGTGTTCGTATGCGTCACAATGTGCTTGACATGTTGTTGGAGAGATGCGGTGTCGTCAGAGTTCGGAGGACCTAACGAAGCCCAATGCTTGCGAAGGGCATCTTCAAGGGGTAAAAGTGGAGGCTGAAGAGATTTTAGAGCAAGAAGAGAGGTGTATAAGCACTGACAACCAAATGGGAATGTGTGACGATGTCAACATCAACAACCTCGGAGAGCGTTCGTTGCTGCAGAACAGAGGCGTGAATGGTTTCATGGGTCACATTATTTGTTTGTGTGGGTATTTTGCGTTGTAACTTGTGTGAGAGGGCAAATATGCCTGTCCGCGGGCTATCAGTAGAAAATTAGCAGCCGGACGCGTCAATAGCGGACATGACTCAACTCGTGAGGCGGTTGCTCGCCATAAGGATAGGCCGGTTGCGGCAGAGACCCAAGATACTTGTAGTCCAGAGATAGATGGTCGCCGACGTTGGCCTGATTGTGTTGATTAGATGCACTGTAGACAAACAAGGCAACCTACTGCCATCCAGAAAAGGGTGATATCCGCCAAATCGTGATTCCTGTAGCCACCTCCTACGTCCGCGTGGCATCCAGAGAACCAGCATTGAGACAGGGTTTGCCCCCGCTGTGCAGCTAGAGATGTTTGTTCGAATTTACAACAATCCTAAATCATCAGGGACTTGAGGTAAGCGGAAGAAGAGGGCACCAACGAAGTCTGCACGAGGCTCGTTCAGAGCCAATGCTTGATATGCATATTGAATGTGCTCTCCCAGTAAGCGGTCGTTGAAACCAAAGACATTTTGGATACCCGGACGGTGAGTGAGTTCCTGGGGCAGCCCGAGGCTACCGACGGTTTCGAATACACCCACAAATCTAATCGTTGTCAACGACAAGAGTTTGAAAGAAGTGGTACATACTTCACTGAGAAGTTGTCATCAGGAGCCTTTGTCCGATTTTTTCCGGGAGAATTTTCGCCGGTCCAGGAATGAAGCTGAGTTTTCAGAGTGCGCTTTTCTGGTGATGGACACGAGTTAGACGTCAGACCCAAGTAAATGAGTCGCACCTGTATCATCCTTCGTTTTCCCGAGCTTCTGACATGCAAGGAAGATGCCAGCAAAGTGATCCATATCGGTGCGATCCAACACCCCAATGAGTCCCTGCGAGTGGTAAATCCAGACACAATAATATGACAACAGCACCCACAATAAACATAGCCACCATTCGGGCAGTATACGCTCCTCTAGAGAAGCCAAATAGGAATATCTAAAAAGATTCAAATCTTGCTTCAGAGCAATCGGGCAAGTTGTACCTCGTCACCAGGCATATAGTTACTGGAGAATAGATCAGAAAAAGTAGTCAGAGTGCTTAGTGATTCTTACTGTGCAATAAATGCATAAGCTTCTTCAACCTTGTCGCCAAGTGTGGCCCCGGTTGTACCAACGATATACTCTGAATACCAGCCTTTCTCTGAACCGATTCCCGACTGGTAGAATACCTACAACGAGGTTTAGCATAGCGTTGCAGAATAAAACAGACAAACAATCTGAGGAATTGGAGGGTTGTAGCGCGCATCTTCGTGGTTGATTGTGCGAGCAATCCTCTATGATTCTTTTGTATGAACAAACGAGAGCTCTAGAAGGTAGAGCACGACAAACCAAGATGTTAGTGTAGCTTTGACGGTTTCCTGTGGATACTCCTGGTTGTTCGTGAGCTGCTGACCCAGTACAAACGCGTAAAATGGACCATCTTGCCACGTTCTGAAGCGTTGATGTCAGCGTTGGAGACAAAGCCTCACAAAACGAGTATCTTACCCGTCACAACACACGATAATGCGTTTCCTCACTCGGGTTTGGGCTCTGGGCGTCGTTTCCGTCATCTTAGGGAACGGCAAGGTGTGAAAGACGCGTTAAATAGTAATACGACTTTCACTGCCCACTGTGATCTGATATCGGAATTCCCAACAAAATCAATACACTGCACACAGCCTACAGCCCCCCACTTTCTATCTTCCAAAACGCATCTCCGCTCCAGCAAATTCGTCCAGTGCGGCACGAAACTCTATTTCTGTCAATAGCCGGGGCTCATTTTTAGAACGTCGACCGAGGAAGCTTTTGATTCTGTCGATAGGTCGGACGTGCTGATTATAGCTGCTCGGAGGTCAGTCACAAAATTTCATGGCTCAAATTCCACCACTGACTATATTTCGGTCAATCGAATCTGCCAAGGAGGGAATCCATAGAGCTCCAAAGGAACGAGGCTGTGGTCGGCGTCCCGCAAAGGATGGAGAATGAGGAAATCAGGTGCAGTAACACAGTTGGGGCCTGTGAATCAACAAGTCAAGATCTCAACCGCAACACCCTGCATTAGACCGCACCTTCCAGCAACGCATTGAGTATTTCGACGGAAACAGATGGTTGGGAAGGATCTTTCATTCGTCTGCGCGCTAAAGAAGTGGCAGTCGCGGCCAAGGTGGATTTCCCTGCATTCCGAGACGCGATGCAAAGTTCCAAAGGTCGTTGTTGGCCTTGAGTGCATTAGTTAGCCTATTGCATACCGTAGCAGAGAGACTGGAACATACTGTCCCGAGCAGGACGCGTCTTCAAGCCATATCTACTTGCACGCTTGCGAATAGCTCTCGGAAGATGGATTGTAATGGTGGAAGATTCCCCAAAGACATGTTCTGGTGAGAGAGGACGGGATTCGGAGTAGTCGGACGAAGGTGGAGTAAGAGGGTACTCTATATCCGATTCTGAATCATCGCCAGCAGACTCAGAAATCGCGAAGACACGCCGAGAAAGTTGTTCTTCACAATCAACCAGAATACCTGATTCGATTCAGTTTGGTTTGCAGAAGCGGAGTAGGTGCATACCTTCACTGTCATAAACAGTCAGCTTTTGAACTCCAATGACGCGACACCAGCCCACAACGCGAGCAATGGTTTCCAGCATGCATTCTCGAGTAGATTTGGAGTCGACTTTGGGAACAAGAATAAGGGCAAGATGACCAGGTATCCGACGTCGCGTAGTTCGAAGCGGGGAAGGTGTTGAGTAGTTCCAGCAGGAAATTAGGAGAGAAATGAAGGAATAGACGAAGTGGACAATGCTCAGGATAGCATAGCGTACAAGCCGCATCGACGCGAAAAACAGGCTTAAAAGTGACGGTGACAAGGCGCGACGTGTCCTTCCTCTGATGTCCGAATATATAATTAACTACATTCAAGGCTTGTTCAAGGCCTCATTACATGATACCGGGGTCAGCTTCGCTCTCTTGTATTCCTCTCTTAATCTTGAGCAACATTCCCGTCTTCCAGTTATCGAGTTTTGTAACCTGGTCAAACTCGACAACTGCTGCGGTGAATGCTTCAGTGTCTCCTGCCTCCACTCCGTCGATGAGAGCTTGCGCAAACTTGGCCTCTCGAGTACTAGGGAAAGACGGGTCCTGGTTGGAGTATTTAGCATAACTTCGCTTTGCGGAAACAGTGTCCTGGCCGAGATCAGAGAAATAATGGAGAGGTCAGGGTTATCCTACATTCTTCATCGCGAGAGAGCAAAGTAGAGATCTCAGCCAGTATTCTTTGACGCTGTACTTTGTCAAGTTGGATGAAAGTGAGTGGTCGGCGACTTGTTCGTAACGTGAAATTGCCTGCGGGTATTCCTCTAGATCAGCATGAAGGTCCGCAGCATCCTTGTAGCAAGCATTAGCAGTCCTGTTGCGAATTTCAGTTGAGGTCAAGGACGATAGTGATAGTATTAACGCAGTTGCATCTTCTTGAGCATACCAATCCCCAGCTCGTTCATAGCTTTCGCATGCTTTTCGCAAGTCATTGTTCTCTTGAAGGTGTATTTGTCCGATCTCCTTTTCTCGATCGGCAGCCTGGCGGAAACGACCCGCACGACACAGATGGGTGATGGTTTGACTGAGGGCCTGGACAGCAACTGCGGACTTGAGCTGACGTATATTGTCAACGTGGATGACTTACGTTGAGGGAACCCTCTCTTGTATGCCTTTGAAGCGTTCCACCAAGCGTTGGCTGCTTCGTTTGGCTCCTTACTATTCTCCCGACACTCTGCTTCCCTTGCAAACGCATCCCCTGCTTCTTTAAACTGCTTCTCCATCTTGAAAGCATTGGCCGCTTGTTGATATAGATCGCCAGCTTCTTCCCATTTTGAAGATGAGGACGAGAACCAACCTAATAATTATCGGTGACATTCGGACAATCCATTAGATCGCGAACCCGAGGAGCCTGTTGCTTTCTTATCGGCCTTTTCCAGAAGACCCTGCAAATCTTTAAGAATATGCCCTGCGACATAGCAAGCGATTACCCACCTGCGCTGGAGATTTCGACATGTTGTGGTCGTTGGGAGAACAAGCTGATGTCACCGCATCGCCACTGAGACTGTCACACGCCGGCGTGACAGACGGTGACTCTCGCTTGGCTACATCGCGCTATGGCTCTTGACGCGTTCCCCAACCTCCCCGCTCTATGCAACAAGCACCCCAAACCTCCCCAGATCCGCTTCCAATATGGAACAGCCGGGTTTCGTACAATGTGGGATGCTTGACTATCCACCATATAACAACTTCTCATATTTTCTGCAGTGCAACTGTGCTTGACTCTGTTCTGTTTCGAGTCGGCGTGCTCGCGGCATTGAGAAGCAAGAGACTTGAAGGAAGGACTATCGGAGTTATGGTCACCGCCTCGCACAATCCTGAACAAGTATATACCACGCTGAATTGTTCAATAGAACTGATATATTCCAGGACAATGGGGTGAAACTAGTCGATCCACGCGGAGAAATGCTCGACGCATCTTGGGAGACTCATGCAACTGTCCTTTCAAACGCAGGAACTACGGATGAATTCGTTCTTGAGCTAGAGAAGCTAGTTGACCGAATGGGTATCGATTTGTCTAGACCCGCGCGCGTTGTCTACGGCCGCGACACACGCCCCTCAGGCCCATCTCTTGTCTCTGCGTTGGAAGATGGTCTAGCAGCACTTGGTGCCGAAGTCCGCGATGCTGGAATCACTACAACCCCCATTCTCCACTATCTTGTGCGTGCCATCAACACCCTCGGCACAGAAGAAAGCTACGGGGAGGATTCGGAGCAGGGTTACTATCAGAAGCTATCTGCCGCATATAACAAACTGGTGGTACGATTCCAATCCCTTCATATTACCCGAATGACAAGACTTACCTAGTCTCCACGACAAACTCCTCCTCCACTTTTGGTTGACTGTGCGAATGGCGTAGGCGCGATAATCGCCGAAAGATTTGCCGGGTATCTCGGCGATCGTCTGACTCTAGTGCTGGAAAATACAGCTATTGACACAGCCGGTGCGCTTAACAACGCATGTGGTGCTGACTTCGTCAAAACCTCTCAGAAACTTCCCCCGTCTCTCGTTGGGCGGCTTCAGCCAGGACAACGGGGATGCAGCTTTGACGGTGATGCCGATCGACTGATGTACTTTTACCTCGACGAGCGTAGTCAATTCCACATGCTCGATGGCGATAAAATCGCAGCACTCGTCGCAGCTTTCATAGTCGATCTCGTCAAAACAGCAGGTCTCGAAAGTCAAATCAAAGTTGGTGTGGTTCAGACTGCATATGCTAATGGGGCTTCAACCAAGTATCTCAGCGAGGTTATTCTGAACATCTTTCCCTTTTCTACTACTTATCCTCTCGTAGCGGCTCCCAGTCAGATGTGTTTCAACTGGTGTCAAGCATCTTCATCACGCTGCTGAAAACTTCAACGTTGGGGTTTACTTTGAGGCAAACGGTCACGGGACCGTCTTATTCTCGCCAGCTGCACAAGAGACCTTGGCAACATACGAACCTTCGACGCCAGCGCAATCGACAGCTCTAGAACACCTCAGAAACCTCAACTTGCTCATTAACCAAACGGTTGGAGATGCACTGTCTGATATGCTTCTCGTTGAAGTCGTGCTGGCCCACAAAACATATGATGGCTCTGATTGGGATTCCCTTTATATCGATCTACCGAACAGACTGGTGAAGGTTGTCGTACCTGACCGTAATCAGTTCAAGACCGAGGATGCTGAGCGCCAACTCGTCAGTCCTCCCGGGTTGCAGGCCAAGATTAACGATCTCGTTCGTCGATATGAGGGTGGTCGTTCTTTCGTGAGACCTAGTGGAACGGAAGATGTTGTTCGTGTCTATGCCGAAGCAGGCAACAAATCGAATGCGGATGGTGGGTGTTCATCATCCCTACCTATTTTCCTCATGAGGCAATAGAACTCGCATTTCGTGTTGCCGGCCTTGTGTACGACGTCGCAGGCGGAAACCCAGCAAATAGACCAAAGGAATTTATCTGAGCAAGAATAATGGAATTGGTTGTAGATCTAGATTCAAATTGTCCGAGATTGCATGCAAATGGTGTACTTTTACGTCAGTCGTGTCGAGTCAATGAACACAACTTGTCTCCCACCTTCATGTGTCGATTTGTGATCTACAAAGGTTTGAAGGCGTCCTGCTATTGCTATGGTTAGGGTTGAACAATCCAAGGAACCTCACCTGTGCAACTTTCGCATCTCTTGACAAGGCCATGTCATAGGTTCTCAATCCTCTCAACATAACTTGCTGGCTCTTAGCTTGCTCAGTATAATTAATCAAGCATTTGATTCACGTCTTCGACTTGACAGACGACGACCTATGAACGGAGATGGCTTTGGAGTGGGCTGGTATGATTCTGTTTACGACGAAGAGCTCGGCCCGCAGCCATGCATCTTCACGAGTGTCACGCCGGTGAGTTCGAATAGACCTCTGGGACATCGCCATGATGAGTCCAAAGGCATGGAATAATATCAACCTCCAAAGACTTGCCGAAAAAAATCAAGGTACTATTCTATGAGTAGTGGTAACCCCCTTTCCAACGATACCCAGTCTCCGCTCGTATTGTGAGCTCGGTCGTAATTCCATGCTCCGTAATAATCAAGATTTCAGTGGACACGTTCGCGCAACGACTGCAGGCTCCTTGAGTCTGGATAATTGCCATCCCTTCAAGTACGGGAAATTAATGGTACTTGATATTACTCTCAATTTCACTTCATCTGACAGTGATCAGTTCATGCACAATGGCGCCATAGCTGAATGGGAGTTGATAAAGCGTCGTCTCCAAAGAGACCTTCCTGACTTTGCGTACAATATGGCCCAAGGAAACACAGATTCCGAGTGGGCGTTTGCTGTTTTCTTATCCAAGGTTCTCTCTTCAAGTTCTCTGTTTAGCTATTGCTTAAACTTGAAGATCACCAGCTTCCGGATGCCAACGCGCGCACATTTAGCCATGATGTCTTACGCCGGGCAATGCTGGATACCATCGCCACATTAAACGGGTATGCTGAAGCTGCTGGTGTAACCGAAGTCCGAGACATTTCGTCCCATAAGCCTTCTTCTCACCTACAGACAGCCTAGCTTGATGAACTTCTGCTTGACTGATGGAGACACTGTTGTCGCCACACGTTATATTTCTTCCGACAAGGACGAAGCGGCTTCTCTCGTATTGATGTTTATTTTGCTCTCGTACCTGCACTGACTTTTTTTGAAGTGGTTCTCGTCTGGTACAACATTCAGCGAAGACACAGAAGGTGGCGGTGGACACTATCGCATGGCAAAAGCAGATAAGAGAGAGAATATAATCATGGTGGCTAGCGAGCCGTTAACCTTTGAGCGAGGTTTGTGACGTTTTCGTAAGTTATTGGCTCTGTGATTGAAAACTCTACTCTCAGCGGACTGGATGGAAATCAAGACAAACACTGTGAGCCTTTCGATGAGCGTATCTCATTGTCTTTACCTAACATGAGATTCCCAGATGGTCGTGATCACTCCTCGCTTCAATGTGCTTACGATACCGATCATCGACAAGTACTCAACAAGAGCAGTTAGGAGGACGGATTTTGCGCACGAAAAAGGATTTTTGAATCCTCGGGAGGCTTTGCCTAGTCTTATCGGTAAATCTAGTGCTTAGTCCATCAACCAGAGATAAGATAACATTCATGTCACATCGCGTGATTCGGAGTCACTATCCGCATGCCGCTGCTCAGGCTTTTGTGCACACCGTCATGACCATAACTGCCCTCCTTTACGTTTCCTCGCACTTTGCACAACTTTCCACGGCTGTTCAAATTCTTGTATTTCTTCCCTTGACCCTCGCCACCCTTTCCCAGCGCGTAAGACTCGCTCTTTTCTGCGTGTGTTTTGACCACGTTGGTGAAGGCCTTTTTGCTGCTGTCCTTACTACTATCAATACATTCTCTCATTCATGGGACTTGCATCCGTGCGTTTCTTTGAGTCCAATGACTTATTCATCCAATTGGCATCCTAGTGCTCTTGCCAGGCTCGCGATCGCTCTCATTCCTTCAAGTTCCCATGCATTCCTTTCTTTTACTAGGTGTGATGCAAAACCACGGCTTACTCTGATCTAATATTCACAGTGTGCTTCAATATCTTTTCCTCGCCGGTAAATTCGTGGGTGCTTTCAGTAGTAGATTGGTGGGGGTGGCTACTGGGCTTCTCTGGACCGCTTTTCGTCCTTCTGGAAGGAGTTTCGAGCCTCCTCGTTATCCAAAAAGCTTCCCAGATCGGAAAAGAACTTGTTTCACGCGAATCATACCAGCTTGCCTTGCTAGTCGCGACGGCAGCTACATATGTGGCGAGTTTCTGGTGGATTGTGGCGTCTTACAGCGCAGCAGCATCATCTCCATTAGCCTCCACCCTCGTTGGAGCTGCTCTTTGCGCTTGGCTGTTTCTATCATGCATCGGGTTCTCTCTCCGCAGGTAGGCAACCCAACTCTTCTCCCACCAACCAAACTCACAAAGTCAAAGAACTGATGTCATTGAATCGTCGGGGATGGCTCTATTTGTCGCTTACAACCTATGGATGTGTGGTCTCGGGTCTGATGACGCCAAGACAACTTTCGACGCTGCATTTGCTTAGTGCGTCCAGTCTCGTTTCGTTTGTGCCTGACAGAACAACCATAGTGCACCCCTTCTCCCCAATATCCTGCCCCACTTCGAGGCATTGTTCAATTTCATACGTCATACGTTGCCAAAGCCCGTTTCTTTTGCTCTAGTCTATCGACTTGCAGTCTTGCATTTGGCTTCGCGCATTCTACCACAGATCGGTGCAGACAGCTTTGACGACGATTATGGGGTGGATGTTACATGGGAAGACCGGCCGGCAAGTGCACTTGTCAGCCTTATTCAACACTCATCCTCCATAATAGACGTCAGCTCTGTCTCGTCTCCTCCTCACCTATCGACAGTCGATTTTCATCACTGTTTACTCCCATCTTCTACGTCCGTCCATTATGTTTCTTGTTCGTTCCTTGATACTCAGTCATATAGTCCTCGATGCATCTTCTCAAGTATGGTCAAGATTTTTCCTCATATTCTTGACGTTATTTTTGTGGGGAATCGAGATAGTTGTGACGGAGGACGACGGAATTGGGAAACGATTGGATTGAATTATCGGTTAGCCTTCCACTCTGCTCTATCGTCTGCTTCATTCTCATAGAACTCGCGCTTCCAAATCTGACACTTGGCTTTGACTTCTTCCAGGACACTCTCGCAAGCTGCAAATGCCTCTTTTCGGTGTGGGGCTGAGACTGCGATCACGATGCTCGCTTCTCCCACTGGAACTACACCAAGTCGGTGGTGAACAGCGAATTTGGCGATTGGTGCGGACGAGTCTGATGGAAAGGTGGCGCTATAGACCTCTTGTATCACATTAGCCATGGTCTTGATGGCCAGCTTGGTGTAGGCTGAAATCCTCAGCTCGTCAGCGTGAACAGTGGATACGAACAAATGACCTTGATATTCTAATCGCGCGACTATCTTGCCTACGGCATATAAGCTAGCTGATAACCATGAAAGAAGTACTGACCATCCAGGTTATCTTTCCTGGTCAATCCGATGAAAACAGCGATTGCTCCGTTCGCCCCATCATTTCCGACAGACGCGATAACAGACTGAGGATCCAAACTACATGATGAATCTCTCAGACTTGAATCAAGCAACAAAGCCCTCCGACCTGTAGGATAGCTCGCAGTAGCCGAGGGGCAAGTCAAGACGCGCTTCAAACGAGGCAGCCGAATCCATGAAATGCACGTGACCTGCTGACATGTTGCATCGAATTCGCCACACTGTTCCGAGACACTGTCCTCGAAGATATTTGTCGCAACTCAGCGCCGTGATAGCGCGTGGAGCACCAATCGACGTTCACGAAGAAGTCTGCCTTTCGCGTCATAACTTGCAGTTGTCCTAATATAAACAGGTCCAAGATGCACTCGCAACGGGGAAGCCAGTGTGAGTTTAAGGTATCACTAGTTGATTCAGAAGGCTCAGAGGAACTAGTGTCGCTTTAGAGACAGCTCTTACAACTCATGGTCTCCCGCCTCCAACAAATCTTGCGGTTACACGTGATCTGGAGACGGTTGTGCGCTCGACTGGATGCATTCCTGCAACCATCGGCATTGTGGGAGGTCGCGTCAAAATTGGGCTAGATAACAAGAATCTGGAGCGCCTGGCCGATGTCAATAGCCCTCCCCGTTCCGTGAAGGTTTCGCGCCGCGACATTGCGCCGGTCCTCGCTTTGAAAGGAGACGGGGGTACCACAATATGCGCGACATTGATCTTTGCAGCGCTGGCGGGTATTAAGGTAGTCTTTTCCTAAGCATGAGAAACGGTGATCCTAACAATAAGTTCCAGGTCTTTGCTACTGGCGGGTGCGTGTGCTACGAGCGCTTGAAAAAATAATAATTGGCCAAATTCTAGACTTGGCGGAGTTCACCGTGGGGGAGAGAACTGTGTGTTAAAGCCTTTGTGAACTTTGTTGATTCTTATTATCCACAGCGCTCGACATCTCTGCCGATCTACATGAATTAACACGCTGCTCTGTCGGCCTTGTTTCTGCCGGAATCAAAAGTATTCTGGACATCGGCAGGTATAGACATTTGTGTCTCAGTGTCCTTGTACGGTAACAGCCTTTCTAGGACGCTGGAGTATCTGGTTGGTCATCGTCGGTCATCTCTTGTCCAGTTTCTACAACAAAGCAGGAAACGCTTGGCGTGCCCGTCGTGGCTTACTCCAAAAGGAATGATTTCCCGGCTTTCTTCTCGCCCAAGAGTGGCTTCCAGGTGAGTATAACGCATCCCAGCACGGAGTAAATGCATTAGCTGCTCCTAGACACCTTGGAATACCGACAACCCTCGCGTGGCAGCGGAAATTCTTCGTAAATGATTAGATTATCTCTGCTCAATCATAGTCTAAATACATTCAGACACTCAACAGCAACTAGGGATGGAAAATGGCGCGCTTTTTGCAGTTCCGATTCCGGAAGAGTATGCTGAACGAGGTCGATTGATCCAAGAAGCGGTTGACCAAGCAGTCCGCGAATCTGAATCGAATGGGATGAGTAAACGGGGCAAGGACGGTGCGTACCCTTTGGTCATGCCAACTCAAGTTGAAAGTTTCCCATAGTAACGCCTTGGCTACTAGCGAGGGTTGCAGAGCTCACCAAACGCGACTCCATCGAAGCCAACATTGCTCTCCTAAAAAACTCGGCGTTGATAGGTATACTCTTCGATGGTTACCGTTCTCAATGTTGACCATCGCATAGGTGGTCAGATAGCATCCCAGTATCAGAACATTATTTCCAGTCCAGTAAGAAACCAATAAATATCACAAGTTTTCCGCATACCGTCATATAATGCCTATCCTTTAGAAGGATCCGAAACGAGCAACTTCCTTCGTGCCAACAGCCGTTGAATCATCCAGTCCATCGAAAGTCATGATTGTTGGGAGCTCAGCGGTGGATATAACTGCTCAAATCACTGGAAAAGACTCTGTGGGTTCAACATCTCCGGGTCAGGTCCGTTTTGGACTCGGCGGCGTAGCGAGGAATGTAGCTGAGGCGTGTCATCGACTCGGTCAACCACCCATCCTGGTATCACCACTCGGAGATGATGCATGGGGGGCACTATTACGTGACCAAACTAAGGCTATAGGGATGAGGACTGACGGGTTCATACAACAGTTGGAGCAAAGGACAGCCGTTTGCAATCTTCTTCTTGGAAAAAATGGCGATTTGATTGGAGGCGTTGCCGACATGGACGTGACGCAGAATTTGGACCCGACGCTGGTGGTCACAAAGATTCAAGAGCACAAGCCATCTTTGGTGGCTTTGGACGCAAATTTATCCTCAGAGGCGATCCAGGTACTCCTTGGTTCCTGTATTCAAAATGATATTCCAGGTAAAATTTAGCCCTTCTTTTCACGCCCATCACATTGAGTCGATTTCAGTGCTATTGTACGCAGTCTGGAGTGCTCATGGATCACCCCTGCAACTGACTCTACAGTGAACCCACTTCGGTCCCCAAATCAGCCCGGATTATACCCGCGATCGCCAATGTTTTCAGAAAATCGACGAAGCCGGCAGTGTCTTTTTTTACGCCCAATGTGGCCGAACTGAAACACGTCTACATGCAGGTATATCCAAATTCAGTATCTTGAACTCTGCTTTGAGTCTCTTAGGCTACCATCGACGATGGCCTGACTTCTTCTGATGTTTGGTGGTCCGCAATCGACCGACTTGCGCTCGGCACGAGCTTTCGAGCAGAACTAGAGCGCCTGGCCAAACGACCAAGACGCGATGATTCCAACATTAACTTCCTTGTTGACGAGGGGGTCGCGCAAATGGCAATTCATTTGACACCATTCTTCAGCAATATATTCGTCAAGTGCGGCAAACAAGGCGTGCTTTGCGTTCTGAAATTGGTTGGCACAGAGGCAGACAGTTGGGTGGACATCAGGAGCAATCCTGAAAGCGGTTTGCTGGTTGCTCATGCAGAATCTGGGTCGCAAGTGTTGATTGTCCAGCATTTCCCATCCCATCCCACCGAATTGGTTAACTCGACGGGAGCTGGCGATTCACTTGTTGGCGCTTTGCTGGCTGGCTTGAGCCAGGAAAATTCTCCTCTCAGCAACCCACTGTCTCTCGAACGGCTGATAGATAACTGCCAACAAGCTGCTTCGTTGACACTGCAAAGCCAATTAGCCGTCTCTCCTCAGTTGAATACGATAGTAGCACTAACGGAATAACTTTCTCTCCACACTATTTTTCAAGTGGACCGACCCTCACTGTCTCTCTGGCGCGTCGTGAAATCTCCTTCTCTTTCTTTACAGCCGCCTTCTTTCCCGCAGTGACTTTCTTGTCGAAACGCAACAATGCGCCATTCTTCATTCGAGTGATGATGGTGGCTGCCTCGCCTTTAGTGAGATTCGCAATCTTATCGTCAATTTTTTCTCTTGCGTCCTCTGAGTCTAACAAGCGCTTAGCCCAACGCTTGGCCACGAGATTTTTTTGTTGCTCTGATGCTGGTGCTTTGCGCCACCGTGCTGTCCGGAGAAGCCTAGTGATATATGTCGTCTCTAGTTCCTTGCGCGCGAGTAGGAAACATACCCAGCAGCCATTGGACCAAGAACGACCTTCTCTGCGACGTAGGTATCACACCCGTGGATGGCATCTTGTAACGTTTGCGCCGCTGTAGCCAAGTTGGAGTCAATGACGGCGGACGAGGAGTCTACGCACTGAGAATGGGACGGCTGCGTAGAAATCGACCAATCCCCAGTGTCGCCGCCGTGCTGTGATCCACTTCAGGGTTGTAGTGTGCTTTGAAATGCCTCCCTTCCTCGTCTACAAGGTCGTGAGTAGCCGGATGTGCACAATATTGACTTTTACCGTCCACGGCTTCTATTCTCACTGAGCCCTTGCCCAGACATTCGAGAATATGAACATCTCCACAGCTGACCCAAGCATTCCTGCTGAACCTGGAAATATGTTGGCCCCCTCCAGCAGCTTGCTCAAAATATGACAGTGGATCTTCATAGTCTTTGTATGTCACAGATTTCGGATCTGGAATGCTGCTGTCGACGCTATCAAGCGCGTTGGTTTCTGCCGCACGCTTCTCCAGGGTTTCGGGAGTCTCGTCTACACAGCAGTCGACATATCAGACAACGGGAATAGGCTGTCCACTTACCATCGTTCGAAATCGCGTCAGGGTCAAGTCCGAAGAGACTCGGAATAGTTACTAAGCCTTCCACTCGGCCAGCGCTGTCCACAAAATCGATGATGCGGCAGTCCGTCTTTCCAGTCGCAGGAGACAACCGCATTCCACGGCCGATCTGTAGTTTTGAGTATATATAATGGGCGGAATGATTTTGAGCTAACCATTTGGGCAAAGATGTTGCGAGAACGCGTCGGACGAGCCACCAGAACGCAGTCCACATTGGGGATGTCAGCGCCTTCCGTAAGTATTGCACAATTGATAAGAACTGGTATTTGACCAGCCTTGAAGGCTGTTACGAGTGCTTTGCGCTCCAGGGCCTATGCAAATTAGAGTTCTGCACGGGCCAAGTTAAAACTCGACTAACTGGGGTGCTGGAGACGAGATATCGCGCATCGATACCGTAACCGCGGAACGTTTGGGTTAATGACTCGCAATGGGCGATATTGACACAGAAGACGAGCGTCGATTTGCGCCCAGAGGCTGGAAAGACAGTTTCAACATTGATTCCGCTGCACAGTTCCAGTTGCTGACCTTTGTCAAGCCACGTCCTTACGACGAGGTTGTTAACTGTGTCAGTATTAACGACGTGAGCAAGCGACGTGGGATTGAAGTCTCCCGTCCGCGAGTTCACCGTCACATTGCTCAAGTTTAAGCTCGCGCGAACGGTGGTGAACCGAACATCGCAAAGCCTGCAAAGATATGAGAGGTCTCCGATAACAAAGTCTTGACGCGTACCATTGCTCTTTAATCATTTCCAGGAAATCTCTGTGATAGACAATACGCTCAAAGACCGAACCCAATGCAAGCCCGTCATGGCGGCTGAAGGTAGCAGAAAATCCGATGATGGGTATCTTGTGGGCGAGGATGGGTAGCTGGGCGTTGGGTTCCGGGCTTTTGATTTCAGTCGCAAAGTGGGAGAGAATACGTCGATATGACGGCGCTGCGGCATGGTGGGCTTCGTCAACAATCTCAAAACCCAGTCAATGTGTCTTCCTTGAAGTTCAAAACATAGCAACTTACAACAGCTTTCAGCATGGCTGGATTGAATTTCTTTATTCGTGAAGCTTGTAGTAATGTCTGGTATGTGGCCACCGTAACATCCGCTTCTCCAGACGCTCGATGCTTGGTCCCTTGCTCAATCTCGACATTCCAGCTGGGAAAGAGTTGTTGGGCTTGCTCTGCAGACTGTCGAGCCAGCTCTATACTGTTGACGACAATGAGAGCGCGCGAGACATTGCTGGTGGGCGGTTTAATTCGCGACAAGAGTGTCGTAAACACGACTGTCTTTCCTGCTCCCTACATTTGACTGCTTATAAGTCACTTTTGACGTGCTTCAGTTGACCCACCGTTGGAAGAGAGACACCAATTCGATGAACGCCAGAGTTTAACGCTTCTTCACATGCTCGCAAGGCCTGCTCTTGGTATGGACGAAGCACGGGAAAGACGCGCATAAGTCACGTCGTCACAAATGTTGGGACCAATATTCATTAATGTGATTAGCCCTCGGGGGATGAGAGAGAGAGAAGAAGTAAAGAAGTGTATCGTCTAATGAAGTCCCACTGCATCCTCTCAGAAATACGCTTAACCAGATCCACCAGAGTAGACTTTGCCGAATGCGAGCTACAAGCCATCAGAAGTGGATCAATCAAGGAGAAAAATGTCACCTCTTGGAACTTGTCATAGAGCGAAAGCACACCAGCACCAGCAACACCACGGAGAATGTTGGCACCAGCACCCTTGAAGAGCGATTTGGTACCCTCCTTGGCAATGATTTGCGAACCAGCATCGAACATAGACTTGTAGTTAACGCCACTGCCGGAGGTCATCATCATGCGACGACTGCCAACTATCAGGGTGCGTCATTGATGGAAGGAGAGAGAAACAGACCGAATGGTGTCAAGAGGGTATGAAGCCAAACCAGCGCCGGTAGTAACACCCCAACCAAGAGCAAACGAGGCGAGGAAAGATCCCTGGAGTGCGCCAACGAGGACAACAGGCTCTGCACAAGGGTTAGACCAGAGTTCTGGAAGAGTAAAAAAGACATACTGAGCGAGTCGTAAACACCAAAGTAGAGACCACGGTAGACGACGATGCCGACAACGGAAGGAACGAAACCACGGTAGAGACCGGCAATACCATCAGAAGCGAGTGTCTTGCGATAAACGTCGACGAGACCGTTGAATTGACGAGCCCCTCCAGCCTTGGAAGATTTGGCATCGTTAGCCAAACGTGTCCGGGCGTAATCGAGCGAGTAGACAAAGAGCAATGACATGGCACCAGCACCGGAACCGGAAGCAATGTTGCCAGCGAACCACTTCCAGTAGCCCTCGTTCTTTTTGAAACCGAACAAGGACTTGAAGTAGTCCTCTGCGAGCAGTGTTAGACATGAAAAAACAGCGAGGTTGACAACGCACTGAAGGCAAAGTTGAGAGCTTGCGTTGGGAAGTAACGGATGACATTGGCTGTGTTTCCTCGCCACAGCGAGACGAGGCCCTCATCACGGTATGTGCGGACAAAGGCGTCAGTGATGCCCTTGTAGGGAGTGGCCAGCCGCCCTTGCTTGATCTGTTCGTGACGTGTCAGTCGAGTCGGGCCAAACGATGGAGAAAAGCAAAGACCATCTCATCCTGGTTTTGCACGAGCAGCTTGATACGCTCGATAGGAGCCGCGCTGGTCTTTGCGACAGCCTAAAAGTGTCGCGTGAGCGGGTCTGAAAAAAAAAAGTGGAAGGATTTGACGGACAGCGGACACACCACCCATGAGGAAGTCGACTGCGTGGCTCGTAAGCAAGTAGGGAGCTGCAGCGAGATAGATACTAACGGGCGAATCCCTGAGGGGACTTTTTGTCGGCGGACATTTTGAGTGAGTGGGGGTGGTGGTAGAGGGAGAGGAAGAGACGACTTGATGGGAAGAAAAAATAATTCGGCACATGCTTTTTCAATCTCGCCGGACCTCCGGGTTGATCCTATGATAACGCCGCAAAAAAAAATGTTTCAACTACGACCAACGGTAACTATTTGTAGGTATCGTTCCTCGATTAATATTGAAGACTGAAGGTACGGATGTAAACCCAGCAGGGGGTGGAGGTAAAGTCCTCGAAGCAACAAGCGGGACAACACCAGCAGCGCGTGGAAAATCCGCTGGTGGTGATCGTATGGATTCCAGTCTTCCCTTTTTCCATATAGCTTCAGTAGGGGAGGCTGAAATTCCAGCTTCCGACGCGGTCCTTTTACTTTGAGGTTGTGGTAGCGGCGGTGGGGGTGATTCGTCGTCTGAGTCTATTGTAAGATCAATGACCTCTGGTTGTGAGCGGCTTGTGGATGTGCGAGGAATATTTTCAAATGAGCGGTTCCCAGATGATGAGCTGGCGAAAGAAGGCGAAAGTTCACGCTTGACCCGACCTTCATCTTCGTCATCAGAATCCAATATCACTATTTCCATAGCTTTGCGTTTGCCATTGGGATCCGGCTTTGAGGCGCTCTTCAGGAGAGGTTTAGGCGTAGATTGTTGTTTCGCAACGGGGGCATGGCTGGCTTTCCACACTTTCGACCCATACTTATTGTCTGAAGTATGCCATTCGCCGTCTGCCTCCACAACGACATCCTCGACACTATCAGGACTTGATTTGAGAATTTCGTCAAAATACCTGAACAAGTCAGTCTGTGTATTCATTCACATATAAGCGCCTACCCGTCGATGATCAGGTCTGTTGTTTCAAGGATTCGCTCACAAACCGGGCAAAGCCAAGTTGTTGTTTGTTCCATGACAGAAAACCATGATGTCGCGTCAAAACATTGGGAATGTGGACACTTCCTTGAGCGACAGGGAGTGTTCACCCGGATATAACTCAGCTAGAGCCCATGAATTCCATAGCAACAGCAGCCTTTTGGATCGCATACCGGGCATTTGAGAGACATCTTTTGCGATCCAGCGACGATGTCATCGTCTTCTGACATAGCGGCCACCACTGTAAGGGAGGTCTTAGAGCCTGTTTTTTTGTTCACCAGCAGCCAAGGCACATACTCTCGCTGCGAATCTCGTGGCTACTCTTGTACCCTTTCTGAATCAAATCTTGAACCAGAGTTTCGACAGCAACAACCTCAACAAGTTGCACTATCAGGTAGAATTTCTGCCTCGATCATGAGTGAAAACGCTGAGGACCAAGGGAAAGAATGCACCTTGTGGACTACTGGTTGTTGACTGTTGACGTAAATCATCTCGACCCGATTTGCAGCGGTACTGAGCTTTATATGCTTGCCCAGGTCTGGTGGGGGAGCAGTGCCAGGTTTCTTCTTGAGCCCTTTGAGGTTTGCAGTGATTTGCACACTGTTTACTCGGACTTCACATGTCGGAGGAAATTCCACGAGGCAAGGCGTTGCTCGAAAAGACGTTGTATTCGGCGAGTAAAAACTTGACGAAGTGCAGAAAAGCCGTACTTGGTACTTCGGGCTGGACGAGTGCTTAGTATGAGCATGATTCGAATAAATAGGAGAGAACCTATTGGATTTGAGTTTGGCGAGTTGCTCATTGGTCAGAGTAAAGTTAAACACCTGCGAACGACGATCTGTGGCGCTCGAGGATTCTGGGGGGAACGATGAGTGGGTAATTAGGGTCTAACCCTGAGGCTTACCTGGACATTCTATAATACTGGAAATCGTTTGGTTTACATGGTAGAAAGGTGATTCCTTGAAACGAACGACTAATTTGGGTGAGCTTAAGGAACATCAGCCTCACAAAGACCGCTTACCTGGTTTCGAGGTAGTTGCGGTGCTGGTAGAGGGTGTTGTGGGTACCGCAGGCTTGCGAGGGGGGGCGTAGGGATCATAGCGGCCAATCGAGGACGATGTTAGCCCAGCAGAGTTAAAGCTAGGGGCCTTGATGGTGGTGTTTGCGGAGGTGAAAGTTGGTGTCTGAAGGGCAGATAAAGTAACATTTGGGGATGAAGTAGACGTCAGATAGCTGGGAGATCTTTCATTTGAGGTTCGGCGAGGCTTATGAAGAATAGCGCATCGACGTACGGTCCAGCAAATCGAACACTTTGAACGATAGATCTCGCTTTAATCCATTTGTCCGTAGCCCTTGCCACTTTAAAGCTATCTAAAGTCGCTGTTATACGGTCTATTATGGCCTGTAGAAGCACGATTAAATTTGGCTGGCCGATCCAGATACTTGACTCACTTGTTTGTTTCCAGCCTTCGAGAGGTGTGTGGAACATGTCTCGTTTAGGCCAACCAAAATTTGCTTTAATCTGTCCACAGTATTGCGAGAGATACTATGTCTGACAGTCTGCGTGAAATGAGTTGAGTGCTGGCGGAGAAAGAGGCTTGATAGAACCCACATCGAAGTCGTTCCAAACCGGGTCACTAGTGGCCATTCGCCCGCCGCGAGGAGCACCGAATAGAGAGAGAGTAGATTTAATGTATTGTGCTACGTTGCTCGGAGGGGGTGAGGGCAACAAGCGTGTTGGCGGGGCGCGTTCCCGAAGCAGCAAGCGGCAGGCAGTTAAGCGATGCAAGCGTGACGTAACTGCGTGTAACTTTTGCGTGACACACTCTTCATGGACGACGATAACTACGATTCACTCTCGCCCGAAGACCGCAAAATCCGCGATGCACAAGATCGAGTGAGGGAGAATGAAGAGCAAGCATGTAGCTTTGCACTGTACCCTAAACGCCCCCCAGACTTATCACCCTTCGTCAGCTTTACCCTACAAATGGACGCAGGAACTTGGTGAAGTCGATGTCACAGTTCCCGTCCCGAAAGGAACGCGTGGAAAGGACCTCACGATTTCTATACAAAGGAAGAAACTTAGCGTGGGTCTCAAAGGGAAGGATAAAATTCTTGACGGCGAGCTCTGTCGCGAGATCAAGATCGAAGACAGCACCTGGACTCTCGGTTGGTTATAAAACGCGTATTTTCTAATGTTAATGCTATGCCAGAGGACAACCAGCTTGTTCTGATACATTTGGAGAAACTAAACAAACAACAGTGGTGGGAAAACGTCCTCACACACCACCCCAAAATCGACACACGCAAAATCGAGCCCGCGGACAGCAAACTAAGCGATCTTGACGGAGAAACTAGGTATTCATACTCTCATGACTTTACTTTACTTTCATTTTTACTCTGATCGCAGGGGCATGGTTGAAAAGATGATGGTAGGCCTTATGCATGTCTTGATCGCCTCATATAAACCGCAATGCAGTTCGACAACCAACAGAAGGTATTTGTGGTGGGCTAGGACGTGTTCAAAATCTCACCTCTCCCAGCAAATGGGCAAGCCCACTTCAGACGAAATCAAGAAGCAAGAGGTTCGCTTATAGTCTTTAGTTGGCTTGGACATGACACTCTCTCCACCAGGCTCTGGCCAAATTCATGGCAGCACATCCTGAAATGGACTTTTCAAATGCAAAGATTTCTTGAAGAAAAGCCGCCAAGATTTGAATGTATTCTAATTCGATGTAGCATATTTCCTATTGCATCTTGCGACGCTTTCCATTCGAACCCACACTCTTGGATTTGACACTCTCGACCAAGCTCTCCAGTGTTCGCCCACTAGGGTCGTTGGACCGCTTCTTTTCACCCATGTCTCTTTTTTGTTTTTGACGCTTGGCACGCTCGTCAAGAAGTGCTGCCATTCCCTCAGTCTTTCTGAAACTACGCAGGTGTGAGCGTTGAAACTTGGAATAAAACATAACCTTACTGTGGGTTACTGGGGTCGATTGCGAATGCATGGTCCTCGTGAAGGCCGGCAAACCGTGCGTCGTGAACGTCGATAGAAAAGTCCTCTTGCATCTCGTTCCCTTCAACATCATTCAATTTCCTCTTCTTTTTCCCTTTCCGTTTCGCTTCCTTCTCTGCTTTGACAATCGCCTTCATATCGAAATGCTTAGGTTCCGAGGCTGAATTTCCGGCTGTTATAAGCAGCGAAAGTTCCTCGGCAGTCGAGGCAGTTCGGGTTGGTTTATCCCCTTTCCCCGTTTCCTCGTCTTCAAAGAACTCGTCAGGCGTGTCTGGTTTAGCAGCACTATTTTCCGCCTTCTTCTGTTTCCGCTTCTCTTTCATCTTGCGTTGGTACTTTTCAAGAGTAGTCTCGTCACCAGTGCTTTTGATATCGGACAATCCAGGTGTGAAGGTGATTTCCATGTCAACGTCGCCCTTGTCCTCATCTCGATTCCAACCCTCCGGAAGCTCGTCTCCAGCTTTGTCGAGTAACAAGGAGCGCAATTTGTCGCGTGAGAGTCGCTGTTCACCTTCTGACTCGTCCTCTGAAGATGACGCTAGGAGGTTCTTATAGTCATTTTCCTCGATTTCTTTGCGCGTCAAAGTACGACGGGTAATGCGATTTCTTTCGGGGTCGTCATCGTCCCAAGTTAATTTGACTTTTGAATGCCGCAAAGCCTACGATATATTAGGACGAGGAAATAGTTGGTCAGATAGAAGCATACGTCTGTGACGAAATCAACACCTTTGTAGTCAGTACTAGCTTCTTCAGTAGCCTCATCTCTATGGATTGGTTAGGCTAGTGGGATGAAAAACGGGATGACGGACCTGAATTCCTGATCGAATGTCATTCCATCAGGCACAAAGCTGAGGTCGAAGGTATTTGCCGAGCGTTCAAGCTCGGTCCCTTCGAGCTCAGAGTAGATGTGAGCAGCTGCCTCAACAGTATCGCACGTAATGACTGCATAAAAATACCTGCAAAAACATCAGGCCATGGATGGTGCAGACTGTTGAACTCACCGCAGTCGTTCAAGTTGATATTTTCTGAGAGCATCGTCGTCATAGTCATTTCCATCGCCGACATTATAAATATTTCTCTCGTTGACGTCCTCCTCGTCTGCAGTCGTTTTTTTGAAGATCTCTGGCGGCGGTCCCTCCCGCTCCTCCCGAGCCATTCGTTCTTGACCAAACTCGCTGGGATATATTCGCACGCTAGTTACGGTCCCACGAGCTACACGAGAGCCCCCCTGAGCGGAAGCCTCAGACTTCTTCTTGAGTTTGAGTGGTGCAGCTGTTGGAGAAACAAGAGACGAGCATATTTTGAATAGATGTGCAGCACGGACATGGTCCCAGTCGAGGTTGACAGCTGCCAATCGATTCGTCTGGGCTGTTTCTGCGTCGCTTTTATCCGGATGTGCTTTTGAGTACTCGGCTGCTTGTGCATCCAGGTCGGCGAAATCAGTCTCGTCCAAGTCAACCTCCGTGTCATGTTGAGCAGTGAGGTTGATAGGGTCGGAGCGGTGGCTCCCCGTTTCCGACTCGGATTCATCGTCCTCGTCTGAAGATTCGAGCAAAGCCTCTCCACGGGCATAGTCAGGCAAAGTAGGCTCCTCTTCTTTCTCTAGACGGTAGAAACGTCGAAGATCCTCGTGATCTTGGGTAGCAGAAATCGGGCGCCCGTACTTGTCGACGCGTCCTGAATGATGTGTTTCAGTTTTTTTTTCCGAAAATAACTTTCAATACCTTTTGAGCTTTTTGGCTGGAAGACTGCTTTGAATCGTTGGTCGACGACAACCTTTGATTTCTCTTTTCTAGGGCGACGGAAGCGCGGGTCTGTCCGGAGACGGGCAAAGCGGGAGTCCATCGCTGTGTCGAAGCAAGTTCCAAAAACTCGGAGACGACAACCTTTTGACAACCTTTGTATCGTGATGTCACGGTGATGATCTGCCATCAGCACCGCTCGTGACATAGCGACGAGCCCTCTTTCCCTTCCACTCTCACTTTCTTCCCTTCAGGCCGCAGGACGCCCATTCCAAACTCTTCCTCTGTTGAACTCAGTACACATATCCTCTCTTTTGACATGTTCTCTCGATTCTTTGTCCTTGTCTCTTTGGCCGTCATGCTGGCAAGCCAGGCAACTGCTAGCCCAGTTCCCATCATGGTGGGTGATTATTCTACGTGGCTCGATTGTCACTGAACCAAACCAGAAGCGTGACTTGGTCGAGCGTAATGCCCAGCCTCTCGATACGATACCTGCCTACATCAGACGAAGCAACGTCCAAGAGCAAGATGCAGCAACTGCCCCCGATGGTGTGATCCGCAAATACGGGACCCGAAGCAATGTCCAAGAACAAGATGCCGCCACAGCTCCCGATGGCGTTATTCGTAAATATGGCACTCGCAGTAATGTTCAAGAGCAGGACGCTGCGACCGCTCCGGACGGTGTAAGCAATGCAGCTCTTTACTGGACGCCTTGCCTTACTCAGCCTCAGGTTATCCGCAAATATGGCACCCGAAGCAATGTTCAAGAGCAAGATGCCGCTACAGCTCCGGATGGTGTAAGCATAAGCACTTCCTCTTGCAAGAGACTTATATTGAGCGACAGGTCATCCGTAAATATGGCACCCGAAGCAATGTTCAGGAGCAAGACGCTGCCACAGCCCCAGACGGTGTAAGCGATGTGGTTTGAGAGAAAAGGCTCGTGATTGACGAAAATTCAGGTCATTCGTAAATACGGCACTCGCAGCAACGTCCAAGAACAAGATGCGGCTACGGCACCTGATGGTGTGATCCGTAAATACGGCACGCGAAGCAACGTTCAAGAGCAGGATGCGGCCACAGCTCCTGATGGTGTGATCCGCAAATACGGCACTCGCAGTAACGTCCAAGAACAAGATGCAGCAACTGCCCCCGACGGTGTCATTCGTAAATACGGCACTCGCAGTAGTGTGCAAGAGCAGGATGCTGCCACCGCTCCTGATGGCGTAATCCGCAAATATGGTACCCGTAGCAATGTTCAAGAGCAGGACGCTGCCACTGCTCCAGACGGCGTAAGCAGAACCCGAGGGAGCTGAGTCCAACTGAATATTTTATCAGGTTATCCGTAAATATGGCACTCGCAGTAATGTTCAAGAGCAAGACGCCGCGACTGCTCCTGATGGTGTGATCCGTAAATATGGCACACGAAGCAACGTCCAAGAGCAGGATGCTGCTACTGCCCCCGACGGTGTCATTCGCAAATACGGTACACGAAGCAATGTGCAAGAGCAAGATGCGGCGACTGCCCCCGACGGCGTCATCCGCAAATATGGGACTCGCAGTAATGTGCAAGAACAAGACGCTGCCACTGCTCCCGATGGTGTTATACGTAAATACGGTGCCTAGTGTGTTGTTCAATCATCTGTTGGTCATCCCAGTCTTATCAAGCCCCTTAGAATTACGCTTACAAGGACATTATCTTGAGATTTGTGCTACGAAAGTTTTCCAGCAAGTTGAGCGATGGTTTACCGCACGGACGCTTTCTCGGTCAGATATTATCGTAGAACGTTAGTATCTGTCTTTTCTTGGTGAAGGGAGGAATAGATTTGCATCTGCTGGAAGTTACTTGTCATGCACCCTCCTCATCCCCCATAAGTTGCCCCGACTATCTAACACTAAGATGTCTCCTGCATTGGTGACTGCAGCAGCTGAGAGTACTCGGTTTTTCCACAGTTTCTCAGCCCCAAGAATAGATATGTGAACTAATCCTTGGTCGGAAGCAGATGTGGCTGACGCAGCAGATTCGAGTCGTAGGCGTTTAATATCACGCGTCACTCCTTCTAACTCTTCGGGGACCTGTAATGTGACCATCTCAGTCAATTCGACAGTCCTAAGCGCAGGGTCTGGATATGCAAAGATTAGTCGGGGGTGATTTTGTTGGCCGAGGTTGGAGATCCATTCTTGCTGCTCGCCATGCCGAGGTGGGTTCGGTGGGTTCAAAACGAGACTCGATATTATAGTATACGAATCTTCGACTACGCTGAGAAGGGAAAACTGGAACATAAAAACGCTTACTGCTCTGTTGTGAGTCCTTAGAAAGCATATTAGATGGAAGGGAATCAAATGCAGACGAATCTCACCGTCGAGATTCCGCGAACGTGTTGAATCGCGTCGTTCGTCCAGCCGTCTGGGAAAAAGCGCTGTAGACCTAGCCAGCGAAAGACAACAATTCGAGCAGGTACAGTCTTTTCATAGTGCAACGGCGATTCTTCTTCTGAGTTGGGATCTTGCGACGCGCGAGAGTTGGGATTGTCGGGACTCGGTGCATAAGCCATTCCACAATGGATCATGAGCAAATCGTCAGATAGCCTGCGAAAAAGGTCAAGCCCAGTTTGTCGATACGACGAAGCGGCAGACCAAGCAATGGAAAATATGCGAGCCGCAGACAGCTTCGCGCTGAAAATCGGCTTGTCTTCACGAATCATGGATTGCCCCGGAACGCAGCGCCAAAACTTCACATATCGATCTGCCTAGACAAAACAATCAAGGACAGCCAAGGACGGCTGCTTTGAACTCACACCGCAAGTCGCGATCAGAGGTAGTCGGGGGTGAAAGGCCTGAAAATTGATGAGGAAGAGTAATGGCATTGGGGGTTCCTCTTACTGCGCCAAGAACGTCCCAGAGATGGCCTCCATAGATGCCCCCGGCGAGCAGAACAATACGGCGTCCGATTCCTGAGCCTTGGTCGGCGAGTGTGTCAAAACCCTGGGCGGCACTTGCCGCGGAGGGACCTGGCCAAGGCCTCCAACGGGGGTGCGGCGGGTAAGGGCTTTGAGGAAGGATATCTAAATTATATACTCTGAACCGCCCATTTGTCGTCGGTCAAATGCGCGTCGAATCGTCTTACCTCGTTGTGAAGTCAGCCGAGGTGGTAGCAAAAATATTGGGAGAGCAGGGATGGACAGCAATAGACGTGATGAGCTGTTGGCAAAGGTTAGGTGAGTCAATCAGGCTCTCTCCACGTACGCCTCCGTGGCCGCGAAGAAAGCCAATAAGCGATTGGCGGCCGACATCCCAGACGAATATGCACCGATTATGAGTAACGACCAGAAGAGGGTCGAGCGGATGGTTAGTTCTCAGTGCCCAAGCAACTTGGGTTTTCTCGATGATCTCTGAATTAATCTGCGGAAAAGAAAATGTTAGCCTGGGCTTGAGGGTCAGAGTCACGCACTGGAGAAATAAATGCTTTAGGAGTTTTTGAAGGCTCGTCTGGAAACACGATATTGGCGCGTTTGTCGCGTCCTACCGCGACTGCACCTCCGTATTCTGCAATGACTGTATCCCAGCTTTCTTTCTGTGCACGATGCTTTCCATCAAAGAGGTTTGATATGGATTCACAGGTCCAGGGAAACGCTTGTAAGACTCCTGGAGCAGTTTCTAGGTCTGAAGGTAGGACCAAACGGTGGACGAGTTGATAGGTCCGCATCAGCCGTGACAGTCACGACTTACTCTCCCCCACAACGATGACCGACTCGGACCTGGCTAGCCAGGTCAAAACACGCATTTCAGAGGTCCTAAAACGCAGACCTGAATCCTCTACTCACTCCTCCCATGGAACATATCACCCGTCGTCCGCGCTTGGCAACGCCTTCACTTTTGGTGGTCAGTCAGCAATCGTCGGAGTTGTCGCTGCTGGACTTCGCAACTCGCTTGCCGGTCGTAATGCTGGATTTGCGCTCCCAATCGGTGCTTTTGGTGTGTCCCAAACATCCTACAATAAAGAAACTCAGAATGACGATGTCTATAGCGGCTGTGGGAGCAACATATGCATTCACTGAGGCCGTCGTAGCCAACCAGCGGGAGGCTAGCGATACGACAAGCGTTGCTTCTGGAGCATGTGCTGCTGGATTTTTACTGGGGCTTGGAGGTGCGTCTAATGTCGGCGATTATTGTTTCTCACGCATCGCTCAACTTTCATTCCAGTTCGCTCGATTCCCGTTGCAGTGGGCACTTGCAGTCTAATGGCGGCAGCCGCTGGATTGCAAAAGTACACAAATGGCATGAACACTCGTCACTCCCAAGATACGGAGAAGTCTTTCTTCAAGCCTTCTGCTGTTGTAGAGTCGATAAGACGAGAATCATAATTGGAATTAAGCTAATTCTCGGTTGCAAGAAGAGCGCTATAAGCTTCCGAAACTCTGGCATGGTGGGTATTGTAGAATGTCTCCCAACTTTCCTCTGTTTTGCACGTGACCTATAGATAGAATTGGATGTTGCGTTCAGACAAGAGAAGAATCGACTATACCTTGCGAGTAAGCTGTGCCCAAATTCTGGCATCCTTTTCTGCCTCGGTTTCACCTTCACGGGTTTCTTCGCCATCTGCCCCATCAAAAAAGTATTTAGCGACAAGCTGGATTTCGCGTTCAAGATCGGCGCTTGTGGAAGCAGCTGGGGCTACCGGTGCCACTGGAGGGGGTTGGTTAGGCGCTTGATCGGAACGCGGACGCTTGTTAGTCGACTCTCCATTATTATCCTCACGATGTGCTTTTTTGCGATAGGCAATGAAAGCACGTTTCCTACACAATTCTTAGTCCTGTTGATCATAAGGGGAAAAGCTCACAACGGACTTGACATCCTCGATTGGAGTCTTGAGGTTCTGACCCAAACGAGTGTTCCACGCGTTCTCACTATGATGAGGCAACTACAGACCGTTTATTAATCTTTCTTTTGTTGGGCTCTTTCTCACCTTCTGACTGAGCTTCTTCGCCAGATAATTCATACTTGTCATTCTATCGCGTTCAAACAAAACTGCTGCATATCGAACCGCATATTCGTCCTCGACAGCGGGATAACGGTACTTGTTCGCACTATAGAGAACTCGTGTTGAAACTGGTGGGGGAGTGGGCGAACGAGGACGCTCTGGCGGTTCAGTTTGGGGGGTTGGTTGAGGGGTAATCACTGGGACAGTTTGTTGCTGGGGAGCCACCACAGCCTTGGATGCTCTCTCAGGCGGTTCAGTTTTGACACTAGATGACTTTGCTGTTGGTTTGGTTGATATGCTTCCAGACGTAGGTTTGTGGTTTGTGGAAAGCGGACGAGAAGAGGCGTCGATTTTCTTTTGCAACTTCTCTGGTACCTCAAACTTGTATTGAGTAAAGTCCTGTAGTTCGTCGGCTTCTATTGAATCGTAGATGAAAGCGGCTTTGACTGGGGTTCCGTTGAGGGCAAGTACGGATTCTAACGAAGCGGTCCAATCTTTGGCACGGAACGAAAGGACGGCGTAGTCGGCTGTTGCCAGGTGAGAAGAGATGACACCCCCATTTTTCTGCAAACAGTGAATTCTCTTTTTGAAAATATTTTTCTTACTTACCTTGATGCTTGAGATCAAGCTGCTGCGTTTCTGTACCTCCAATGCAACATAAAAAGACAATGGTGATCCCGTTGAGGAAGTGAAGATAGCCCCAGACTGCTGCCGTCCTTTGCCTTTCAAGTCGACAGAAGTAGATCGACTGGTAGATGAAGTTGTAGGAGGCGGAGGGTCTTGGGGTAGCAAGCCGGGAGGATTTCCTGGTGCGGCGAATGCATTTGCGTTGGATTGGAGGTAGGGAAGAACACCGTTTCGCTGGACGATATCAAAAAGGACCATGTTGTACACGCTGGTAGGATCGTTTGTTGGAAGTTGTGGCTGTTGGTTTACAAGATCGTTGGAGGGGAGGAAAACAGCCTGGTGTTGCTGCTGAGCAAGAAGTTGACCGGAGGGAGGTTGACCCATGGCCCAAGAAGGGGGAGCAGATGCAGACATCTCAACTGGTGTGATACGCGGGGTTGGGAGTGAAGAACTAAGATACGATTAGACATTTAAAGCAAAGCATTTGAATAATACGGACTGTTGTTGCTCGTCTGGGTCGTCATCTAGTGGAATGGTGGAGTTAATCTCTGCGCGACAACTTCCCCAGTTGTCCTGCATCGAGGTGTCAGTGGTTTACGAAAGCTGTGTGTGTGGCACCCACACTCTGCTGAAGAATTCTACCGGCTTCCGTGCATCGTTGGACCCACAAAGTCTGGAATTAATTACAAGATGACGAGAAGAGATGGACAACTGTGGGTGCCTACCTCCAGAACTGTCTTCTCGCCACCCCATTCCCGCAGAAATCGTTGTCCCGTTGGTGTCTCACCTTGAACGAGGATGATTGAACAGTCCTTGAAGGTTATTGACTTGAGTACGGCTTATAAACGAGACTGCTTTACCCTGGGATCCGAAACCAGATCAGCACCTGCCGCCTATTGTTATAGTTAGGTCCCCCATCGACTAGTTAGGCGCTGGACTGTAAAACCTTGAGCGCCCGAGCAATTTTGGGTCGTCCTGCACAGCCAGGGTCGAGGAAAATTCGGAGGTGTGAGAAGATAGCGTTTTGGCTCATGGGAGTTGCATGTAGAGTCGCGTCCAAAGTGTGATTATATATAATTAAGCTCACAGGGTCAAAGCGTAAAAGACATGGATTTTTTTTTCAAGTATTGTCTGCATGTTATCATAAAGCCTAGATACGACAATAGCAGTACACGAGCACCGTGGCTTAACGGTAACTGTTGCGAAGATTGAGCAAGTCCAATCGAGTAACAAGACGAAAACTGACCTCTTTTGCCTGCGAGCACGGGCACCTCCACCACCGAATTTCTTGGGCTCCATCCGTCTCGGGTCAGCGATGAGGAGAGTGCGGTCGTAGTCTACAAGACTTTTCTTGAGGGCCATGGCATGTGCAGCGTCGACATATTTGGCATGGTAAGCAACCAGCGCTTTCGCAACCGCCTGGCGAATCGCATAGATTTGGGAAGTGTGCCCTCCGCCCTTGACGCGGACACGGATGTCGATTCCAGCGAATTCGTCTTCTCCGACAACGAGTACTGGTTCATAGACCTTCAGACGGAGAATCTCGGGTTGGAGAATGTTTATCGGGGAGCCGTTGACACGGATAAGACCACGGCCTTCACGAGCATGAGCGACAGCAGTGGCAGTCTGGATGAGAAGATTGTGAATCAGCTATAGTACGAACTATGGGTGAACGCACCTTCTTTTTGCCAAAGGTTTGTACCGCCTTGGTGGATGCCATGATGAGGCGTTTTCTGAAGAGACTAAAGTGTTAATAAGAGACAAAACGCGCCGACACTGCGTACCCTAGAAAATGGGAGAGGGTGAGTGACTGTGATGGGACTGGCTAGTCACGCCTACTCTGTCACACTATGCTTCGACGACAACTCGTTCGACACGCTTCGACAAATGTAGTTGGACAGTCCCCAGTCCCAACCCCCCTCTGTCTTTCTCTCACCACCCCATTCAAATGCAGAAAGGGTGACCCTGATGCCGTCAAGGACGTTGTTGTCCTCGACCCTACTGTTTTCGGTCACCCCATTCGCCGAGACATCCTCCATCTTTGTGTCACGCACTACCGCGACTCTCTTCGTCAAGGCTCAGCGAACACCAAGACCCGCAGTGAGCGGAGTGGGACAGGAAGGAAGCCGTTCAACCAGAAGGGTGGAGGTGTTGCTCGTGCCGGAGATTTGCGGAGCCCTCTTCACCATGGTGGAGGTGTTGCATTCGGTCCCAAACCACGCGACTTTTCCACCGAACTGCCGCGAAAAGTGCTACAAATGGGCATGCGTGTTGCCCTCAGTCTCAAAGTCAAAGAAAGTCTACTGGGCGTCATGTCTTCGATGGATTGGCCCAATGGCAAAACAAAACATCTTGCGCAGAAGATTGACGCGTTGGGACTCCGTCGTACTCTCTTCGTGACTGGAGAGCAAGCACCTGTTGGTCTTGACAGAGCTATTCGGAACATCCCACTAACACAACTCACAACACTCGACCAACTCACCGTCTACGACATTCTAAAATGGCCGCGGGTAATATTGGATCTGAAAGCTGTAGATTTGATAGAGCAGACACTACGCAAGCAAGTTCCAATATCTCAGTCACACTCTTCGGATTTGTCTCCTTCATTAGAATTAACCTCGTAGTATGTCGAAATTCCCATTGGAGTAACTGGTCGCGAATCTCAGAAATTGTAATCCCAGTCGTCATCCTCCTCTTCGTACTCGTCTTCTTCTTCATTATAATCAACCTCGTACTCGAAATTGTCCTCGTAGTCGGAATCCCCCCCGTAGTAGTCCTCGAGTAACTCGTCACTGAATTGTGTATCATCGAGATCGTCCCATTTTCCCCGCGCAAAGAGTTCAGGATTAAGTAATCCACGGAGAGGATCATGAGCAACTTGGTTCTCTGCATTTTGATATCGCTCCGGAAGGATGAGTTGGACGTTCGGCCTATACACCAAAAGTGGAGATATTTTTGCCTTCTCAGGTGGAGGCTCATATACCACTGTTTCCAGCAAGGGCCAAGGTGTTCCCTCAAATAGAATCCCAACACCAGTGACATGATGCATCTCAAGGCGAGTTATCTTTCGGAATGACTGGTATATAGTGCAGTCTATGGATTCGAAGTTGATTTCGCGGAGGTGTAATGTTTTTAGGTGTGGGTAGTCCTTTCCTGAGAATTCGCCATAATCACGTCTGTCGCCTGTGATTTCAAGATACTCGAGGTTTGGCAAAAGAAGAGAACAAAGAAGAGGCTTAGGATGATGTCAACGGGGAATTGCTATTAGTGATGCTGTTGGCGTACCTTCTCGTGAGACGACACAAGATAATCGTTGACAAAGCTGACGGAAAGAGAACGTATTGAGGTGGCTTCGAATGGGGGATTACTCTTTTCAGGGTCGTCGTCAAAATCATCCATAATCTCCTGCAGTATCAAGGCCTTCAAATTGGGCAAGCCTGGCAGGATCAGCTGATCTAAGCACGACAAAAGCGAAACTGACATACCTTGGATTAACATCCGAAACTCGGGGTATTTGGCATGCAAGTGGTACAAGTGGAGAGTCGCAAGATCTTTTAGGGGAGGAATGCAAGCAATACATCCGTTGAAAGCTAGGAAACGTAGTCCATCGCAACGAAACAATGGTGTGTGGGTCACAGTCATATTGGCATCACGATGATACTCGTGCTCTGCAACGAGAATCTCAAAGCGAGTTAATTGAAGTGGAGGTACGCTGCGTAGAAAGTCGACAATATATGTGTCGGTGAAGGAACGCAGTGACAGAGTTTGCCATCGTGCGGGTGTAAGAATATGTTGTAATTTTGTATCAATGAACTCTTATGACCTAACTCAAAGTCAACCTTTCCACCAATAACTCGACAGACTGTTCGTCGTGAGCGAGGTCGATGCTTGTTGATTCGGAAGAGCTTGTCGCGTCAGTCCGGATCAACGGGAGATGTGCTTAAATCACACGAAAGATAGTAGCTTAGGCTAAGTAGATTGAAGTAGAAGATGTCCGCACAGTGGGGCAGGACTCCCTTAAATATACTACAAAGGGCCGCGCGGTCCGGACAGCGCGGCTGTGTGGCGACTGCGCACATCAGTGATTAGCGGGCCGCCGGCCCGATCGTGACCGGGAGAGAGCGCGTGGAGAGTTTCTGGGTTATTCCATCACAAGAGCCCCCCCACTCTACATGTGCGCGAACCATGGTTGCATAATTTTAAATAAATAAACAAGTGTACACTCTAAACAGAGAGAGCATTGAATGCCGCTTGCAGATAGGCAACGTCTGAGTCGATCTCAAAGCGTGGAGCGACCGGGGCACGGATGTCCATCCAGGCCTCCTCCTGAGTAGAGCCTTGGCGAGTCCGCATGACAACCTGGGCTCCAGGCACATCCGGTGCAAACAGTCGAGCAGCTGCCAAGTCGGCCTTGGCAGTCAGGGCGGCGTCGGACATGTACTGTGCCAACTCCGCCAGGATTCCAACCTGCAAGTTAGTGTGGGTACCAGCATACTCAAGGAATTCATCCCGCTCTAAGCCAACACCTGCCCCAAAGTTCCACAGGGTCCCTTCCCCCAACTCTCGCGAGCGGCGCATGGCGTCGGCGATCCAGAGCACGGCACGATGACAGATGGATCGCCAGATGTCGAGATAATCAAGAGCGTCGCTAAGGGTGTCAAAAACGACGTTTTCGGCGAGACGGCCACTCCAGCGGAATATGAGGAAAGTGGGAAGACTGAGCCCGAGTTGTGCAAAGCAGGCAGTGGGAAAGGTGGTCGGCATGCTGCGCATGGACTCAGTGGTGATGACGAAGTTGTTGGCGGCTGCCAAGATGAAGGCTACGCAGCCGCTGACGATAGCGCGGAACCCGCGTTGGATGAAATGATGGATGGTGTAGCCATCGAAGCCGCGAAGATTGATGTACACGGCTTCGTTCCCGCGCTCCGGCAGCAAGTGAGCGGCGGTGGAAAAGTACGCCTCGAAGAGCGCTACGAGCGTATGATGACCGCCTCGGGCCGCGTCCCAGGCATCTGAGAGACTCCCGTGGAAAGAACGAGGGTGTCGTGGACAACGCATCAACTGGGATGAGGCCTGGCATGTCTTCGTCCGTCAATTCGGAAGCTGGTGGAGAGGAGCCGCCGGTTGCGACATGAGAAGCTGCCCCAGTGTCAATACCAACACCGCGATCTGTCAAGACTGAAGCCGCGTAAGACCGATGAATGATCTCGTAGAAGTACGGGAAGCATGGTGAGTAAGGAATCGGCTCACTCTGCAGAGCGGGCGCCGTGGTAAGACCAAATGGGACTGGGACAAAGCGGTACAGCTCGTTGTTGTAGGTCTCCATTTTTGAGTGTTTTGAGAAGGTGAGAAGCAAAAGTGAAGGAGTGTTGGCGACGAGGAATGAATGAGTGTGTGTGTGAAGTGTTTCGATGGAGCGTGAGCGTCCGCGGAATGCATTTATTAAAGGAATTCAGGGTCTCGTGGCCCTCCACTGCTCCAAGATTTGTGGAGCGTTGCGGAGCGCGCGCGCTTTGAAAGCCATTCATCGTGATCGGCGCTAAAATTCTTCCACCTGACCTTGAATTGCTGCATTCGCCGGCCCCGTACTTTTCGCCATCGTTCTGCGATGATATGGTCGATCTCTTCTTCTGGTAATACATCGAAGTCATCGCGGTCGAGAGATTTTGTTACCCGCTGGCCGAATTCCTCAGGAGCTTTGTGGTAAGCCTCTAAGTGCGCTATGTTAATGACTGGATGGATGCCATATGATGCTGGCAAGCGAAGGCGGTATGTCACCGGACTTAATTTCTGCGAAATTTCAAACGGACCGTCATATTTGATCTCTAGCTTTTGCCCGCGGCCAGTGGATTTGCGCAGTAAATTCATGGAATGCGGATTCAGTAGCACTAGATCTCCCTCATCAAACTCGGTGAGCAGTCGTCCGTTATTATAGGCGCGCTTCTGAAATACTTGTGCCAGAAGCAAGGCCTCCTTGGCTTGGGTAAGATGAGCCTCAAATTCTTCGAGCATCTGCTGGGCTTTCTCATTGCGCACTATATCATTCTCACCCCCCCCAGAATTTGAAGGTCGTGTTATGGGAGTGGAGTCGGCAAGGATGGATCCTCGAGTGATTGGATCGAAGCCGTGGAGCAAGAAAGCAGGGGAGAATGTTGTGCTGGAGTGCGGTGATGTATTGTAGGAGAGTGCTAGTTGATCTAGGAACTCTGACCAGTCCTCTTTTGTCGCATAGGCGCGCAAACGAGATTTCCAGCAATTGATTTAGAGCCTCCGTTTGTCCATCCGCTTGCGGGTGGTATGAGGTGGTAAGTGCACGCTTCATCCCCATAAGTCGACAGATTTCCGACCAGAAAGAATTTCGCCAGCGAGTGTCTCGATCCGAGATCACCTGTCGCGGAATCCCGAAACGTGTAATGACATGCTTAAAAAACAACCGGGCTGCTTCGACCTCGTTAATGCTGGTAGTACACGGGATAAAGATACCATATTTAGTGAGTTTGTCCACAATTACCAGTATATTGTCGAAGCCTTTTGAGTTAGGCAGCTCCGGTATGAAGTCCATGGTCACGACTTCGAATGGCTGCGCCGGAATAGGAATTGGTTGAAGTAGTCCAATTGGCGCATGACGACGAGGTTTGATTTTCTGACAGATGTCACAGGTTGCGACAAAGCGCTTTAAATCTCGAGACATCTTTGGCCAGTAGTAAGTTGCAGCGAGTCGGTTGTAACAACGATGATATCCAGCATGCGCCGATTCAGTGACACCATCATGGACTTCAGCCATAACGGTCGGTCGCAGGCTAATCGGTACGCACACGCGGTTATTCCCTTCAGAATTTTCAAAATATAGAAGGCCATTGTCGCCATAATGGTATTGAGAATAGTGCGGGTTGGACCAGTTAGACTCTGATTTGAGGGTGTCGATGACGCGTGAAAAGTGGGGATCTGTTTGATATGCGCTAACCCATTCAGCAATTTCCGAATCGGATATTCCAACAAGAACGGAGTAAGTGCGTGACGTGCAATAGGGGCAGTCAAGAACACTCGAAAGGTCTGTTCGATCCGACGGGATGACGACTGCTTCCGGTGCCTGCACACCCAAACCTTCGCTGACATCATGGGTGTGCTTGGCGACCTTCAAGAGCTTCTCCTCGAATCGTGGCCCAAGATCGTCATACATATTACGCAGCGGGTCATCTGTCGTTAGCTCGATTGTCGGAATATCATCTGCCAAGGGAGAAATCTGTCCCGGCAGGCGGCGTCGAAGTCGCGAGATGGGGTCGACGTTAGAGTGTACGCGGCCGGCGCGGTGGACGATCTTGAGTCCAGGGTATGCCGAGAATACAGTTCCCCACGTTAGCAGTCGGCGGTTAACATTTTGATAAGTTCGGCTCCATGTTAGCGCAGCGTGGTCAGTGATTCCTGCTACAATCTCGCCTTCAAGAAAAGGCTGGAATTTAATCAGTGCTTCCTTCAAAGCCAGGGCTTCGCGCTCAGTGGGCGAATAGTTACGCTCAGCCGACTTGAGCACCCGAGACCAGTAAGAGACGACGCGCTCAATGTAAACCGTTGTTGCCTCAAACTCCTTCGCCCAGGTGGGGTTTGCGGGGACATCGTCAATTCCTTTAATAGCCGTTACAAGCGTAGGTATGGCCTCGCCCGCCGCATGAGCACGTTGAAGGCGTTCGTAGACACGCGTGCCGCGAAGGTCGCGTACCAGTACAGGCTGGACCTGCTGCAGGATCCCTGCCAGACCATAGTCGCAAGCGTCCAGTATAAACGCGATAAGGACGCCCAGGCATGGCATACCCGCGGACTGGCGCATTGGTCAGCGTCTGTTTGCAGAGCTCAAAAGCTTCCATATGTAGCTCGGTCCATTCCCACTTAACACCTTTCTTGAGTAAGTGAAAGAACGGTTCTGCAATCCAAGAGTAAAATGGTATATAAGAGGAGAAATGAGCCATAGTGGTAAGATTTAGGCTAAAACCAGTAGGTATGGCTAGGGAACCCTTTGCCTAGAGGATTAGCCCTACCTAGGCAGCCCTTTACTGGCCTCTGTTAGAGCCAAATGTGACGCTTTGTAACATGTGTGACATGTGTGACACTTATTCAAAAAAAATATCATTATTCCTTATCTGGTATCCTAGCACCTGTGGCAATGCACCTATCTAGATAATGATTTTATTGTGGAACCATTTTTGATTGCCATCAGTACTTTTGATGGCTATCTCATGATACATCATTTTGTCCTAATTAGGAAAGTTATTGATACAGGCCTTCCCAACTATATACCGGGTCATCGGCCTGAAGAAAAGGAGTTTAAAGTATTATATTACATAATTATTAACTTATATATATTATATAATAATTTATTCCATCATTGATATTATTGAATCAATAGCCTAAATCACTGGGTACAGCTAGCCCTAGGTGGAAATAACCGTGTAGGCAAGCACCTGTTTAGCTGTACATAGGGCTTTAGCCTAAAACTTACAGCTAAGGGTGGAGAAATATACCATCATCCCGAGGAACTGCTGAAGCTCATGCACGTTCCGTGGCTCCGCGAGCTGCACGATGGCATCGACCTTCTCTTTGTGGGTCGACAGTCCGAGGCGAGAGACTTTTTGCCCCAGCAGAAGCAGAGATTGATAAGCCAGATGACATTTTGGCGGCGACAAGGTGATATTTGCGTTCGCGATAGCTCCAAAGACTTGATCCAGATGTTTCAGGTGGTCATCGAAAGTAAGCGAAAAGACTACGATGTCGTCGATGTAAACAAGAGCGAAGATCCAGAGGAACGGCGCTAAGACGTTCTGCATGACTCGTTGAAAGACGCTGGGCCCATTTCGGTATCCGAAAGGCATTCGCCGAAACTGCCAGAGTCCCCGGTGGGTGCGGAATGCGAGCTTTTCGGCGGCAGCGTCAGTCATTGTCAGTTGCGTGAAGCCGGCAAGAGCATCCAGAGTCGTCAGCCATTGAGACCCCGAGAGCGCTTGCAGAATGTCGTCTTGACGCGGCAGCGGGAATTCATCAGGAACGACCATCTCGTTCAGTTTGCGCAAGTCGATGACCATCCGTGGTTTAGAATTGCGGTAGACGATAAATACTGGCGCCGCCCACGGGCTCTTCGACGGCTCAATAACGCCGAGCTGTATCCACGCGTCCATCTGCTTATCGATGACTTCGCGATTTGCAGGCGAAACGGGGAAAGGCGGAAGCGAGACGGGCTCCGCACCTGGCTTCATCGGTATGTCCACATGTGAGTCGTAGTTCCCGAGCCTCCCGTCGAGTCCGAAAGCCTTTGCGTTGCGCGTCAGGACGTCCTCCAGCTGCTTGCGCTGATCCGGAGTCACATTTGGCGAGATGTCGATTTCCTTCAGTAGCTGAGAGCTGTTCACGGTCTCCGGCGGAGCTTCTGCCGTTTTGGGGCCGCCTTCGATCGGCTCAGTTGCCAAAGGATCGTCCGGCTCGGTAGCGTTGCGCTGGGCCTTCGAGGAGATGTGGGTGCGAGAACGAGCGGTCGCCACGTCAGCTGGCATAGCCACGTCCGCCCGGCGTGATCGGGCGGTGCCGTGTCAGCGTGAGAGTCCGGTGACGTGGCTTCCTCCCTCATGTCCTCGCGCTCGTTCTCCTCCACCAAGGTGCGTAGGAGCTTAGCGTGAGCGTGAATTTGACTCTGCTGAGCTTTAGAATACTTAGATATTCGATCTAGCCATGCTCTCGGGTTTCGAGCCGTTCCCAGCACTTGCCCGACGCCAATGACGACGGGAGCTTTGGAGAAGTTGGCAACGTGGAGAACAGGTTTCTCCCGGGAGATAAGTGAGTCTGGGGCCCCATACAAGTCGTCTGCATTTCCGTTGGTTCTCAGCTGTCGCTCAACGAACAAACAGGCTTCATCCTTTGGAAAATACGCTTTAACCGGCACCATCACACTTGTCTCTGGCGGAATGACTATTCTCTCTGTCGCCCAAACCTCCTGCTTCGACTTCCTGGCGTTTTCTCGCTGTCTCTTCTTCTGGCTTCGACGATGTCGACTTGCGCTGGCTGTCTGGGCTTCCGGGGCTGCTCGAAAGACTTGTACTTTGAACGCGTGTCCGTCTTCATCAAGTAGGCTAGGAGAAGTCGAAGATTTGACTTCCAATTGTCTCCCAGAGTCCCCAAAACGAAGGTAACTACGTCCGTCGTGCCTCAGCACAGAAATCGAGTACTGATCCGCGAAATCGTTGCCCAGAATGAGCGGTGTCATCATACCAGTGACGATGTAGGCCTCAACGGTCATTCTAATCGGTCCGTCGTCCGTTTCGAAGAAGAGATCCAGTATGACATAGCCAGAAATTGAAGATTTACCCGTCACTTGGATCAGTTTAATGTCATGGCCAGTCTTGACCTTTGGCCGGATGGTAAGTGCTTCAAATGCTTTGCGCGATATCAAGGTAATGTCAGAACCAGAGTCAATGATCACAGTGAGCGGGTCAATATTCAAACCGCCCACCGTGGCCGTTGCTTGTGTTGCTGACGCACCGAGGAAGGCGCTTCCCTCCGGTCGAGACATATGTCGGCGCAGTTCAATGACCGATTTCTGGTCCTCGTAAGGTGTGTGCATGACTCGGTAATTCACAGCTTTAATTTCCCTCGCTAAGCGCCGTCTTGAGCGACGATTCAGTGATGAAACTGATGTGTAGGTCATGCATGTTGCATCTCGCGACTGGTTTGAATCTGCTTGAACAGAATCTTTCAATTCGTCCTCATCCGGGACCGATTCAACAGAGGCTTGTTGGCTGCCTTTGGACTCGAAGCATCCTCCCAGGGCTGAATGGCTCCCAAACTCGGCTGGCTTCGAGTTAACCAGGTGAGCAGTGGGTTCAGTAATCTGAGAGGCTAAGTCAAAATCCTGAACGTCTTCCGCCGCAGGTTCAAGGCTATAATACAAGTCGTCATAGTCTTCCTGAGCATCAAGTTCCTCCTCAGTTGCAGCCGCAAGGTGAGCGCGAACTGTCTTATTTCCGCGGAATGCATGTTTACACTCATTATCCCAGTGCTTTCCGCTACCACAATGTCTACAAGGTCGAGCACCTTTGGACTCGGGCGTAGCCTTTTTGGACACGTTTGCGTCGTCCTTGGGGAACGGCGCCGGGGGCAGATTCCTCGAAGCGCCTACCAAGTTTGTCCGCGCGGATTGTCGTGACCAATCGCGCGAGCGATCGCGATCCCGAGAATATGAACTATCTCGTGGTGGTAAGTCCAGTTTCATTGTCACGGATAAGACCCGGCCCGTCCGCTCCGGCGCTGGTGTCGGGCCATTGCGGGCCCGTAACACGCAGCACGTGACGACGGGGAACATGCGCCCCAGTAGGAGGAACGCACACGTGGGAAGCACGTGACCGAGAACGACGCGTCGAGCCGTCGCCGAGCCCAACTCGACACCAGGGGAATGGGGAGGAGTGCTAGGAGGTCAGGAGTAGCGCCTGGCCCGCAAGGGATGTGCGATCGTCCCCTCTGCGGCCAGGAACGGGAGTGAGGAGGAGGAGGAGGGGCCAGGGTGTCCGATCACCCCCTTTGCGGGCCCGCGTATATAATGCGCGATAGTGTACCCTGTACTCTATCGCTTAGATCGTCTGAAGAACTACCTTACTCCGTGCGAGGAGACGCTATCGACTCATCGGGCCCGACACGACCCGATTCGAACCTTCGACCACCGACTACGGCAAGGGACCGAGTTCACGGGCCCTTTCGGTTTCGATCTACCCCGCCCGCCATACTTGCGGGCCCGACTATTCGTCTGTTCTGTTCCGGGCGCGCGTTCTTAGGAGAGGTCCTTGCACGGCCCGACCCGCAGTCTGACATTCATCAATGCGTCTTCGTGGTATCTAATGGCAGCTTGGAATTGTACCACATCCTGGTACAGTTGCGTGTTGAGCACTGTATTCCAAGATGCAGGTGCGCCGTCCATGACTTCCAGTATGATACCTGACGCGTCGAGAGTGTAGACCATCCCCAAGAGTTCCGACTTGCGAATAAAGTATTCGCTTGGGGTTTCTTTCGGGTTCTCTGAGTCGCGATAGCGCGCACGCATAGCACGGCCGCGCTGGCGGTCTAACCACTTACGATTCAAATAGTAGTCATTGAATGCTGAGCGTAAGGTGTCCCAGTTGGCTTCAATCTGTTGACGGTATGTTATAGGTAATGACCAGTACCATACCTCTGCGGCGCCTTCGAGTCGCTGAGGCACAATCGTTCCCAACTGACGGTGAACCGTGTCTGATCGTCGTGCAAGGTTGTTGATCTTCAACATCCATCGCGCGACTGTGTCCACGTTGCCATCCCATTTAGGTACATTCTCTTGCTTCAGTTTGACATCAAAGTGTTCTTCCTTTGTATTCACAGACTGAGCTGGGTATCGAAGAGATTCGACGACTGGTGGCGGACCGTTACTCGACGGGCCGTTACCCGGCGGGCCGTTGGCTCGGTTACCACGCGGAGGCGGTACAGGTGGTCCACGGCGCGGGGGTCCCGCGTCATCTGAACTGTCGTCGTCATCATCATCAGGATCTCCGTGAGGTGGATTGGCAGTGCGGAGCGGATTTGCTCTTGCCGTCGGAGCTGGTGTAGACTGATAACCACGAGGTGCTTGCGTCGACGGGCGGGTCGGTCCGGGAAATCCAAAACCGAGATGCGGAGGCACGTCTTGCGGATAGGTGGAGCCGTGCCGCATTTGTCGAATCCGGTCGGTATCTTGCATAGGATTCCCATAATTCGGGCGGTGGTACTGACTCACTCTTTGGTCGAACAGGCTCAAACAACTCCGACGCCATTGTCGGGCGGTTTGTCCTCGCACCAAAGGCTGGTGGTACGTCGTTGAACCCGCGACTATCTTCGGGGTATAATGGATAGTAACTAGATTCGTGTGTAGCTCGTGAGGAGACACTGGATGGACGAGGTGTCTGTTTCGGGATACATGCCGGTGTAGCTTCACGAACTAGGGATGCCAGTAAGTCACGACACTCATCGTCCGGTGGCTGAGGCACGTTGTGTAGGAAGTCGTGATATCGATCCATGAATACAAGGAAGTTTTCGACTTCTGCGCGGAAACAAACACCGAGCATCTCAAAGTCATTCTCTGAGTAGAAGTCTTTGAGGTATTCTCCGGTGCCCCACGATGGTACAGGTGGTGGCGGCAGTCCAGCAAATTTGAAAGACTTCTCCGCAATGGCTGAATACTCCTGGAGTAACCGTGTAAGCACCCAATACTGTTTGTAATTGATACGGCATGCTGATTTATCCTCGAGAACGTATGGTACAACTTCAAAATTGTCGAGGAATGTTCGTAGGAGCTCCAAAGCTCGGGGGAAAGTGTGTTTATAGAGTCGGCGAGGTGCGATTTCCCCTTCCGCCAAGTAATCTTTGCCAAGGAGTGGAGCTGTCTTAGCAATGGCTTCGTCTCGGCGTTTTGTCAGGAACTCATTGTCAGCAATCTTCCGAAAGGGCCGCAAGGTGGGTAGGTCAATCCTCTCGTTGACAGGAGTCTTATCCGACTCCAGATCATGCTGTGGTATGGCTCCAATGTAGTCCTCGAGTGGCGGGAGGTTCTCAGGCTCGAAAGAAGCTTCGGGTGATGGTCCTGCCGTTGGAGTCCGAGGCGGTGGAGCGGGTGGAGTTGTAGATGATGGCGTCGTGGGACGCGAAGGTCGAGCAGTCTTGGAAGACGTGCCCGACATGGTAAATGGATGTGGTGGAGTGGATGATAGGTTTAACACGGGCTTGAGCTGGTATTATGCTCTAAGAGTTCCCAATGTGTCCACCAATGTAAGAATATGTTGTAATTTTGTATCAATGAACTCTTATGACCTAACTCAAAGTCAACCTTTCCACCAATAACTCGACAGACTGTTCGTCGTGAGCGAGGTCGATGCTTGTTGATTCGGAAGAGCTTGTCGCGTCAGTCCGGATCAACGGGAGATGTGCTTAAATCACACGAAAGATAGTAGCTTAGGCTAAGTAGATTGAAGTAGAAGATGTCCGCACAGTGGGGCAGGACTCCCTTAAATATACTACAAAGGGCCGCGCGGTCCGGACAGCGCGGCTGTGTGCGACTGCGCACATCAGTGATTAGCGGGCCGCCGGCCCGATCGTGACCGGGAGAGAGCGCGTGGAGAGTTTCTGGGTTATTCCATCACAGCGGGTGAGAATGACTCAATATGGGCCGCAACGTGGTCAAACAGCGGCGAAGATACGGTGATATGCAGACGGCAGTTTGCCGACCGCTCAAAGAAGAGTGGCGCCCAGTGTAGATCGCGGTCGTCGTCCAAGGAAATGGAGGACCAAAGAATGGGAGATTGCAAGATAAGCTGACGAAGGTCAGTGCAGAGGCTGCCGATTGTAAACGCTTGAGCTTTTGTGAGATTTCCCTTACGTAGAGAAAGTCACAATGGAATCTGGAGGTAAGAAACTGCAAATATTCAAGAGACAATCAGAGTGCAGTTGGGTGATCGAAGTCAGCTTCGAAGTCATGCTGTTTCTCGTCACACCGTGTCGCTGACTCAGCATCAACAACCTCTTCACGCGTTCATCTTGTCTCCCTGCCACCCTTTTCTTTTCTACGCGTCATAACATGTCTCAGGAGGGAGAACAAGAATTCGACGACCAAGCTCCCGCAGGTCCTATCCATGTTCAGAAACTCACAGAAGCCGGCATCCACGCCAATGACATCAAGAAGCTTATGGATGCAGGCCTTTATTCCGTTGAATCCGTCGCATATACGCCCCGGAAGGCACTCGTAGCAATCAAGGGTATATCTGAGCAGAAGGCCGACAAAATCATCGCTGAAGGTATGTGGGCAACTGCACGTTTTTCTATCTGACTCAGCAGCTGGCAGCTTCCAAAATCGTACCTCTTGGTTTCCAGTCCGCAACCGAGGTCCACGCACATCGCTCCGAATTGGTTCATATTACAACTGGATCCAAGCAGTTAGATGCGCTTTTGGGCGGTAAGCCGGTCTGGGTTACTCATATCAACGAAACATTCTTACGCTTTCCAGGCGGAATCGAGACTGGGGGTATCACCGAAATGTTTGGCGAATTCCGGACCGGGAAATCTCAGCTTTGCCACACTCTTGCTGTTACCTGCCAGCTTCCTGTCAGCATGGGCGGTGGTGAAGGCAAATGTCTCTATATCGACACTGAGGGCACATTCCGCCCCGTTCGTCTTTTGGCCGTGGCCGAACGGTATGGCCTGAACGGGGAGGAGGTTCTCGATAATGTTGCCTATGCCCGCGCCTATAATGCCGACCACCAGAATCAGCTTTTGACAACTGCTAGTGCTCTTATGGCTGAATCTAGGTTCGTTAAGATCACCGACCAGACATCAACACTGAATTTTGTTAGATTCTGTCTTCTGATTGTGGATTCATGCACTGCGCTCTATCGAACTGAGTTCAGTGGCCGTGGAGAGCTGTCCAGTCGTCAGAACCATCTTGGCAAATTCTTGCATACACTACAGCGTCTGGCAGACGAGGTTGGATATTGCTGCTCATCTTAGCTCTGCTTAACCAGCTCCCATAGTATGGCATTGCGGTCGTTGTGACCAATCAAGTTATGTCTACTCCCGATGCCGCACCGGGCGCGTATGGGAATGAGAAGAAACCAATCGGTGGCAACATTATGGCGCATGCATCTACAACTCGGTGAGTTTCCCCTCTCCACGATTACCTTTTCTTTTCATATCAAACTCCACATTCAGTCTCCAGCTCAAGAAAGGACGGGGTAATAATCGTACCTGCAAGATCTATGACTCGCCCTGTCTGCCGGAAATGGAAACGACATTCGCAATTCTGAGCAGTGGTATTGGCGACCCAGAGGAGGAGACGTAGTCTTTTTTTTAAAATCACGATTATGATAGGCACCGGACTGCTAACCCACTCCAATGTAATATACAAATGCACTTTTTTTTTCTATTCCAGTTGAATGGTCATGAATACACGAGGATCGTCCAGAACTGATATTTTGCTACAGTACTTACTTAAGCCAGGAATCGAGTCAAAATATTCGCGCTCGTGCCACTGATCAACTCGCGCAGCTGACTGATATCTTCAAGACTGACATCAGCGATGTCCGCCATGAGGTACGCGACGTCGCCTTTGGAGTCTGAGAATTGCTTTTCGACGTTATATGGCGAAAGGACTTCGTTGACCTGTCGGAGAACACCAGGTTGATTTTTGTGCACATGACAGACCCGGATATGGTTGCCTTGCTCAGCAGTGAGCGCACGAAGGTCGACCTCTGGGAAGTTGACTGCGCCAATCGTAGAGCCATAATCGAGGTAGCGACTCAGAGCTTGGGAAACCTCTTGCCCGATTAATCGTTGCGCCTCCTCCGTCGAGCCACCGATATGTGGGGTGAGAATAACATTTGGAAGTGTGCGAAGAACGCTGGCCCAAGTGTTGAGTTGGTCATCGAATGGCGCGCCATTAGCACCAGGCTCTGCTGGGAAAACATCGATAGCAGCACCAGCAAGATGTTTAGACTCGACAGCAGCGATCAAGGCAGGAATGTCGACCACCTTGCCACGCGAGTTGTTGATGAGATATGATCCCTGCTTCATCAGAGAGAGCTGGGGCTCAGAAATCATCTTGATCGTCTCTGGGAGTTCTGGGACATGCAGGGTGACAAAGTCGGCCTCGGAAAGAAGGGATTCGAGAGAATCAACCTGCCGAGCTGACCCAAGAGCCATGATGTTTAGCACATCATAGAAAATGACACGCATTCCAAAGGCTTCCGCCAGAACCGACAGCTGTGAGCCAATGTGCCCGTAACCAACAATACCCAGTGTTTTTCCGCGTACTTCCCAGCAGCCCTTGGACTGCTTATTCCAGACTCCTTGGCGAAGCTCGTAACTGCGTTCAAAGAGTTGTCTGGAGAGAGCAACCAGTTCTCCCATCACGAGTTCAGCAACCGAACGAGAATTGGAGAACGGAGAGTTGAACACAGGAATTCCGGCTTGCGCTGCAGCGGGGAGGTCGACTTGATTGGTGCCAATGCAGAAACATCCTATAACGAGCAACTAAACGCGAGATGAACGAACTTGTCAAAGGATGACGCGTAGATCTTACTCTGGTAGCAGCTTTGATGACGCGTGCAGTGATTTTGGTCTTGCTACGAATACCGATTGCATGGTAGGATGGTAAAATGTCGATGAGCTCTTCCTCAGTCATGGCCTTCGCGTGGTGGTCTACATGGAAGCCTTGAGAGCGAAATGCAGCGACGGCCTCCTGGCTGATGTTTTCGAGAAGCAGAAGACGGAGATCGACGCTTTCGACTGGATGAAGTGGCTTTACTCCCAGTTGTGGTGAAGAGAAGGATGGTGAGGCAGAAATGGCGACTGCCCGCTCATTAGGGCTGCCTGGAATGGGGATCGGGGAAGAAGGCATGAAGACACGAAGCAAAATGTTGGGAGGCCATTTTAAGATTGCTCAAACTTGCGTGACCGTCAAGTAATAAGTATCCTATCTCCGGTTTTCGCATTTCATCGGACAACTCGAAGAAAGTTCTATATTCTGACAGCAAGATGCTTTTCATCCTCGACTACGGCGCAGGAAATGTTGCCAGTCTCTCCAACTCAATCAAAGCGCTAGGATATTCTTTTCGCTGGATAGAGACACCGGAAGATTTCGACGTGGCCACTGTTGGTCTTGTCGTGTTTTCACGCCAACTAAGCTAATCGATTGCGCCAGAGCCTCATCTTTCCAGGTGTGGGTGCTTTTGAATCTGCCATCCTGCATCTATCCAGACGTGGCCTTCTTGAACCTCTTCGCCAATATATACTTTCTGGGCGGCCATACTTTGGCATCTGCATTGGAATGCAAATCCTCTTCGAGTCTTCTGAAGAAGCGACATCTGCTGGCCTTGGAATGATATCTTGTCCAATTCGGCGGTTCAGAGACGATGACAAAACAGTGCCTCACATTGGCTGGAACACGGCTGATTCGTTCGACGAATCGCCAGCCGCGTACTACTATTTCGTTCACTCATACTGCGCACCATATGACCCAGAAAAGTCACCCAATGCCGCGGAGTGGGCACACACCACGACTCTATATGGACAAGAAATATTCATCTCATCAGTCAAAAAGGACAATGTATTTGGAACCCAGTTCCATCCTGAGAAATCTGGCAAGTCAGGTCTCGCCTTACTCAATGCATGGCTAGGTGGTAAGCACGTTGGACAGCTCCCTTCTCCTGTTCATCGGCGGCGCAATGGACGAGGCCTGACCAAACGAATTGTTGCCTGCATGGATGTGCGAGCAAATGACCAGGGCGACTTGGTTGTCACCAAAGGTGATCAATACGATGTCCGAGAGAAGGTCGATCCCCTCGCCACAACAAGCGCTGGAGCAGTCAGGAATCTTGGGAAGCCTGTTGCATTAGCTGCCAAATACTACGATGCTGGGGCCGACGAGCTATGTCTGCTCAACATCACTTCCTTTCGGCATTCGCCATTGCAAGATCAACCGATGCTCGCAGTCGTTAAAGCGGCAGCTGAAAGGCTCTTCATTCCCCTCACAATTGGTGGGGGCATCAAAGACACGGTCGATCCTGATGGTACCCCTCGGAGCGCATTGGAAGTTGCTTCTGCTTATTTCAGAGCCGGGGCGGACAAAGTGAGCATCGGGTCAGAAGCTGTCTATGCGGTAGAACGCTGGCAAGATAACAACCGCATTTGTGATGGGACAAGTGCAATCGAGACAATAGCGCATGCATATGGTCGACAAGCCGTGGTTGTTTCCATTGATCCACGTCGCAAGTTGCTTGAAACAGAAGACAAGGTTGACGGGAATGAGGTATTCCCAGACGACGATGGCAATCTCTGGTGGTACCAATGTACCGTTTCTGGTGGGCGTGAAGCACGACCCTTGTCTGTTGTCCAGCTTGCGCGCGGAGCTGAAGCCCTAGGTGCAGGGGAACTTTTGGTCAATAGTATTGATCGCGATGGGACTGGGCTTGGCTTTGATCTTGAACTACTTTCGCTGGTGAAAAGGAGCGTGCGGATCCCTGTTGTTGCGAGTAGCGGTGCGGGGAATGCTGTCCACTTTGTCGAGGCGTTCCAGAAGACCAATGTTGAAGCCGCGCTTGCGGCAGGGATTTTTCATCGTGAAGAGGTCGGAATTCAAGAGGTCAAAGACGCATTACATAACGCAGACATTCATGTTCGAGACTAGAAATGGCACAGAAACTATCTCCATCCAAAAGAGAGTGATGTAGATACACAGGAGATTAGTTCAAAGGGAGGGAAGAAGGGAGGTTGTCCACAGGGTTACACAAACGACTGGTGAAAATGAAGGGAAGGGGAGATTAGAAAGAAGGAATGCATGTAGTACAGTACAATATATATCAGCCACTTTACCTCGTGCCTCGGACAACTCGTCCCACCTTCTTCATCAAGCTCGTCTTTCGACCAAGGCCATTGGAGGGAGGGCTTTCACCCTCGTCGAAGTAACCGTTTGGGCTTCCATGCTCTCCTGGGCTGGTGGCGGGGGCACTGCCAGGAGTAACAGGTAAATCTTTGGCACCTGGTCTAGGCTCGATGAAAACATAGGCTTCAGATGTTTCTGAAGTAGGAGAGACAGGATTGCCTCCACGCCCCTTCACGCGACCGAGAAATGAGCCTTGAGAGCGATGGGTTGGACGCTCGCCGCTTGTTTCTGCAGGAGGTTCTTCGTCGTTGACAGGGACATTGGGGGCATCACGCATTTTTCGGATGCGCTGCATGATTGATTTGTTCCGCTTCGGAACGTTGCCGTTGTTGCCGGGTGAGCCGGGACTGTCTGGAAGGGCTGAATTATCATCCGAAAGACTGTCTGGAACGAAGATGGGCATCGGGGGAGGCAGTTGGGAGCGTCGAGCATGAGCACGTGGTCTATCAGGAGTTTTGCGAGACGACTCCTTGCCGTTGTAGATTGAGCTGGCGGGAGTGTTACCAGTAGTTCCGCCGCCGCCGCCAGCAAAAAATTCTTCATAAGGCTCTGGCTCGTGAATACCCCAGGCCTCAGCGATAGCATCCACTTTCTTCCTGGATGGCTCGTAGTCAGTTAGGGCAGGTGGGGATGTGGGGTATGGTCCGTCATCTGCGTATTCTTTAGGCATGTCTTCGGGGCGACCACTCCAAGCCATCATTGGCGCACGATTCTTCTGGCGGTTACGGGACGGAGCACATGCATCAAAGGGGCCGTCGTGGTGGAACACTGCGAGTGGGGCAACATATTAGTGATCAGCTGACTCAACAACGATGAGCGCAACGCTACTCACTCGGTCCAACACCACTGTAGTCCAGTCTATCGATGACATCGGCATGCTTGGAGCCCTTCTTGCTTGACTTTTTCTTCTCTGTTGGTGCGGAATCATGAGAAACTGAGCGGGGAGCTACTTGTGGAGTAGTGCGACTAGAGGGTGCTGGACCATTCCTACATGGAGAAAACTGAGTATAAAGTCAATACCACAGTGAACAAATCATACGTTTGGCTCCGTCCCATTCGATTGGCAGAACCACGGACATGGACTGTGTCTCGTACTTCCTCGACGATATCTGGTTTGTCTCTGGATGATTTCTTGGGGGGAACGGGTGGAGAGTCTGCGTTAGGGTCGGCAAATGGATCCACATTGCGCGACCGCGCTGTTTCGACGAGAGTGCTCATGAAATCGTTGGGTTTAGGAAGAGTGGTGTAACGCGGTGACGAAGTGTGACGTCGCATCAATAACCACTTTGGGTAACTTCTTTCTGCCTCTGCGGTCCGAAAACCTGAAGCCTCGAGGCGATGGCTGCCAACACGTTGACCACACACCCTCTCATCCTGGTTTCTTTTCTCTTTCATGGCCACTGTAGCCTCATCGCAGCGTACACGCAAGCCCGCAGCAACTCCTGGTTCGTTTGCTTACTCTTGATTTACACGATTAGTCTTATTTAGACTGTTTCATCAGGCGCGATCCATCGAGAGATGTCTCCTTCTCCCAACAGCATCGCTCACGGCAAACCTAGAACTTTGAAAGCAAACTCGATGCCTGTAGTTCCCAGTGTCATGCAGATATTCGGAAGCTCGCCTCCTCGTCAACTTCCGTCTCCACCACAACAAGAGCGACTGACACCGCCTCATCATCCCCGGCCAGTCCCTCATCAGCCACTTCCTGAGTTTCTGACGACACTGGACGTCGAAAACTGGCAGATGACACCAGAACTCATGGCCGACATCGAACGCGCTGATCAGGCAGCCCACTACCAGCAACGCGAATCACCCCCCAAAGCTGATCCTGCGGTTGAAAGAGTTCGTGCTACCACTGAGCGAGTCAGCCCCAAAAATGACATTCAACGGCGGCCATCGCTTCGGGAAAGTCCCAAAACTCGTCCACCCATCTCTCCAACAACTTCTTCATTCGCATCCCGCCCGACGGAGGACTATCTCTCATATCAAACCCAGGAACACGGCTCTCCTTCTCAGATCCAGTCAGCGCGTCGCGCCATTTCCTCTGAAGCGCGTACACAGCTTCTTGCGGTTAATACACACGGACAAACACCCCCACTTCAAGCCATGACTGTCAGTTCACGCACTCCAGACCGGTCGTTACCCGTTCAGGAAGAGCAGGAAGATGATGTTGATGCATCACGCCACTACGAGGCCCGTCGTAGCCAAGAGTCATTGAGCTCACCCACTCCTTCTTCCGATCTCAATCCAGACGGTGTTCGAAATAACGAGTATGAACTCAGCCGCAGTGTTGCTCCCGAGGAAGAGGGCGGTCATACTCCGCGATCGCCTCAATCTGGTCTTCCACCAGACCATGCTATCGAGTCAGAGCGATATCCACGCTCACCTTACACCAACGCTACGATCAGAGCCCGAACGCGTAACGGATCGACGGATCAGTTAGGCCTACAGAGTCTTGACCCCGCCATGTTTGCGGACAATAATGACCGGCCGCCGCCCCAGTATGTCGAGCAACGACGGCAGGAATATCCTCCCGTTCAAAGAAACCTTGACTCACGTGGAAATGCCAGTTCTCAGCCCGTTTATATGCATCCAGAAGACTTGCAGCATTATTTGGACCACCCGTCTTACTTTAATTCGCCCCGTCCGAACGCACCTATACCCCCAACTCCCCATAGTCAAACCGCCGCACCTTCGCCGTCTCCCTTGAGACATTCAGCTACCTACGACGACCAACAAAAAGATTATCAGCCATATAGCCCGGTAGTTCCTGCTGGCTCACCATATCCATACCCCTTCAATCACGTTCGACGGAATCATTCTTATCCTTATTCTTCACGACAACAACCAGCATATGATGCGGTCAACATCCAAGAACAAATCCAAGAGCAATTGATGCGTCAATGGCAGGTTTATGCGCAAAACCTAGCTGGTGGTCATGTCTCTGATTCAACGGCATTCTCGCCAGCATCGACGCCGTTCCAAGGGTATAACCCTTGGGCCTTCCTTCATGCTAATCGTACTCTCGGAGGAGGTTTGGGAGCGAATTCCAACGGGGCGAGAGTCGCATCAGACCTGCGAAGTATGCAGTCCAGCCCAAGTCACGAACCGGTAGCATCACATATACCAGCCTCGATTGGATTGCGGAAGAAAGAGAAGAATGATGACATGGAGTACAGACCCGGTCTACCTCGCAGAACTTCGTTGCGAAAACCTCCACCTCGGGTAGAAAGTACTCAGCCCCGTTCCACACCAGAACCAGACCAAGATGAAGAGTCCTCTGGAGAGGAAACTGCTGGCGAGCCTGAAGATTCGGTGCAACAACATCAACGATTTTCCATTGCTGAGGAAGGTAGCTGGGTCGGTGTTCCCGTCTTTGACCCTGCTGCCGATTCAGATTGGGTCGATGAGGATGACGAAGGCGATGGAGAAGATCTTCTGGAGCTGGAATATCATCCTAGCTATGTGTCAAACATCGAGAAGCGGCGTAGACGGTGGGAGTCCAAATGGGAAGCTTTAGTTCATGCAGTAAGTTTGCCTAGCCCTTTGCGTTGCCCTACTAAACCTTCTGGTTTGTAGTTCAATGCTCTTGATCGGCAGACGGACGCAACACTCGTATTGCTGGCAAACCCGTCTCACACTACCCAATTACATTCCCTTACTTCTCGGTCCATCAAACGCAATCCGGCTGTTGGCCACTCGCCCGCAATGAGAGACTTACGTGTTGGGTTCAGGAATATAGCAGCACAACGGAGAGCGACGCGATCACACCAATCGTCACTCGCTGATCGGTTCATGACCTCGTCCAACGCATCCGGCGAGGGCTCAGATGCATCAATGCGTGAAGAAGACCTGAAGCGAGCCTTGGGAACTGCCTTGGGTAGTTTGAGTACGTTGAAAGGAATCTATGAGCAAAGAGAGGCTCGATGGGTAGAGGAAATGCGGAGAATTCGTGATGACAGAGAACGCGTCGAGTTGCTGGTCAAGCAGGTTCTTGGCGACGACGAAATCACCGGACGCGCTATGTAGACTCTAGTTTTATGTTTATGCAAGAGATATGACCAAGTGTTGAAAAGTCACGGCTGTGCGGTTGGCGGATCAAATAAAATATAGTGGGGAGCTGCGATCAAAGACGGCTTGAGCATGGCCACCTTGTGGACTCGGGAGCAAGTTGCAGCCAAAATATTGGCAGGCGACCATCTCGTTGTCTACCACGACTCGCTTCTCCGAATTCCTTCCAAATGGCTGGAAAAACACCCTGGGGGAGCTCTGTCGATTCTCCATTTTGTCGGCCGAGATGCCTCCGATGAAATCGACTCGTACCATCCTGACCAAGTGCTCGAGCTCATTCAACGTTACAAAATTGGGTCCGTGTCAGCGCCATGGGCTCCTTTGGTACCCCCCGTCGCCTCTGGGTGGGTCAGAACAGACAGCAATTCCTGGTTCAACGAAGCATCATCTCTGCGCAAAGGCCAAACCGAAATATTACTGGTTTCGAAACAACCTAATGCCCCGGACGCACCAACTCGCGCTATTTTGGAGCCACCACCCTCTACACTGTCTTTGGATGACCAATTGCGGCATTCACAAGCCTACAAAGAACTACATCGACGTGTTCGCGAGGCAGGTCTCTATGACACTCGCTATATTGCTGCTCATGGGCCTGACGTTATCCGCTACTCCATCCTTGCCGGTCTCTCAGCATACGCCTACTTCAATGGGTGGTTCCTCACCAGTGCTCTCTTTCTTGGTCTCTTCTGGCAGCAGTTGACCTTCATTGCCCACGACCTCGGACACGTTAGTGTCACGCACAACTGGGCCATAGACAGACTGTTGGGCATTGTGATTGCTGACTGGATCGGCGGTTTGAGTATTGGTTGGTGGGTCGATGTGAGTGGCTTCTTTTCTGCCGAGTATTTTCACCCATATTTTACAGAACCACAACGTACACCATCGTCAGTCTTTGTTTTCACGCTATGGCCAAATCGCTAACAGCCTTCAGTCGTGACGAACCACCCTACCCAGTAAGTAATACCAGATCCGCTTTCCACTACCATTGACCTGGTGTCCAGCGACCCAGACATTGGACACCTCCCGTTTATTGCCATCTCCCCCGTATTCTTCAACTCGCTGTGGTCTACGTATCGCAAGCGTATACTTGACTTCGATCGATTCTCCCAATTTTTTGTGCAGCTCCAACACCGCCTATTCTACATTCTTTTGGGCCTTGCTCGTTTCAACCTCTATGCCAACTCATACCCCTTCTTGATACGCAAGGCCTTCGATACGAGGCGCGCGCGAGGAGCCTACTGGGCGTGGGCTTTGGAGGTCGCTGGAATTGTCTGCTTCTGGTGCTGGTACGGGCGAGTTGTAATTAACTGCGACACCTGGAAGACTAGCATGGCCTATTTCTTAATCAGCCATATCGCTGCTTCGCCAGTTCATGTTCAAGTGAGTGTTCACCACTTGTCAAGAGATCGTTACTTAATGTCATAGATCGTGCTCTCTCACTTTTCCATGTCTACAGAGGACTTGGGACCTACAGAGAGTTTCCCCGACCGCCAGCTACGAACAACGACCGATGTCATCTGTCCTGATTGGCTGGGTTGGATTCACGGGGGCTTGCAACTCCAGGTTACCCATCATTTGTTTCCACGTCTCCCTCGCCATAATCTCAAAGCCGCAAGTGCTCTTGCTAAAGAGTTTGCCCAAGAACAGGGGCTGGTCTATGCCGAATTTGGATGGATTGAGGGTAACGGTGATGTGTTGGGTGTTCTTCGTGATGTCGCGGATCAAGTCAAGATTCTCGGACAAGTTGCTGATGCGGAAGTGAAGCAAGCAATAGACAGAAAAATGGCACAATAACAGGGCTTAGAGTTCAAAATACAGTATTCATGGGCCGCAATAGTATTCGCATAGAATTTTTGGCATAAACAACAAAGAAGCATAGTACACTGCTGATTACTAGAGAAAAAGTTAAGTCATCCCATCTAATATGTTTGGACGCACACACCTTCTTCTTGTTGGCCTCCTCCTCGTCTTTCTATAGTCAAGCGTTAAATGATAGTCGATTGGAAATGGTAATGAATCGCACCTTCGCCTGCCTGACTTTGCGAGCACCTTCGTATCTGGCATTGGCACGAGCAACACGCAGTGTGCGGAAAGGCCTTGAATTCGCGTTCTTCGGCAGTAATTTTGCGGGGGGCTTCCGCTGGGTAACCTTCGGGAATAGGGACAGCGGCGCGAGTGGTGGCTGCAGTAAGATCGGCGCCCTAAAGGACATGAGAATTAGCTGGGAGATAGAATCAAACAGAATACACGCACAGTGGAATCGCCTTTCTTCGGCTTGGAAGTGTTGCGGGGGAAGACGATAAGCTTGCTCTTGTAGGCAATCAGGCGGTCGACGTTGATTTTTTTGCCCTCCTCGCTCAGATTCCGTCGACGATGGTCAACAACAATCCCAACACCCCGGGCCTCCTTGCGTCCGATGCCAGCTGCTTTGAGCTCAGCCAAAGTGAAGCCACGGCCCTCACGAAGCTTGCGGTTGTAACGAACGGTTTGGCCACGAACAGCAGGGCGAAGTAATTCGATGGGACGAACACCAAGAGTAGCAGCCTTGGTTTTGCGGGCTGTACGACGACGAAGTTTCCGGCCAGGCTGGTCAAACCATGTCCGAACTCGGCGCTGCCAGTCTTTCCTGAAGTGATTTGCGTGGAGGACGTTGTTGTGCGCAAAACCCATGGCTGCTTGATATCAGCAAAGTGGAGAGAAATAAAGGATAATCTGCGCACCGCGAGTGTGTCTTGAGGGAGAGTAAAATCAGGAAAGCGTTACGACGGCTGGCTAGCTGTGATGTGACAGCCGTAACGGTGGCTTACATATGTTGGCATGAGATGCGGTGGCGTGATATCTAATTATGAGAACCGATCCAACCGCGCCTTACTTTCCTTTTACTACCATGTTGTCCGCAAAGGACGCTTCTAGTTTCCGTCACTTTCACTTAGAGTAAGTATGCATGGATTGGACCGGCACTACGGCAAGGGAGGCGTCCGGGAAAATTTAAAAAGGCTCAGCAAAGTCTCTCTGCGGGAGTATTATGGCCATGAAGCAACAATCCTCTTTTCGAGTCGACCATGTTGGCTCATTCATCCGCCCAGAACCTCTTTTAACCCTTCGCACCCTTATTGATCAAGGCAGAATCTGTTCTCGCGACCTACTCAAAGAAACTGAAGATGCTGCTGTGGCTCATGTCGTTCAACTCCAGCAGGAAGTCGGTCTTGCTACAATCACGGACGGTGAAATGCGACGGTACTAGGAAACACTTTTATACCGAATACCTTCTGCTGATGTCTCTACAGAGAAATATACTATGAGGCAGGCCGCCAGGGCTGACCCGCACGCATCATCTAAATCTTTAAAGGGTGTCTTCGACAAACTGGAGGGTATCACTAATCAGCCGCACCGTGAGTCGTTAAGGCATTATTCCGCGAGTCTAATTCGTACTACAGGCGCGATAACTGAGTTCAAAGTATCAATCTAGTCGTTGAGAAACGAGAAACGTCCATTGACTATGAAAAGAGCTATTGGCCTCACGTACAAATTCTTCGCGGAATGGGATTCACTGAGTATCCCTCCTGTTTCTGCTCGGTCAGCTCACAGCAAATATGGCTCGTCTGAGTCTCACCCTTCTGGTGGTAGGGCAAGATCAAACGCACGGTTCCTTTCTATGTCGACCAATTCAAAGCTCTAATGGATGTTGTTCCGCCAGAGGTAATTCGTTCTATATCGGTTTTTACTAAGATGATTGAAGTATAGTCCAAGGTTGTGAGGCGCTTGAAAGTCAACATGTGCCCTCCTACTTGGTTTCACCAGTTCCATGGATCGGACCTGACTTACGACAAGTCTATCTACAGCAACGACAGTGGGTCTACCCATATTCTGGATCGGCGGAAACCTCATAATCATGCAGATGAATACTTTGACGATCTAGCCGTCGCGTACCGAGCTGAAATCAGAGAGCTCTACGCGCTTGGGTGTCGTACGTGAATCCTTTACGCTGGGTGCCGTCAAAGTCCAGCTTATCAGACACTCTCAGGAAACATTCAATTTGACGACCCAACGTTCTGTTTCCTTTGCAATGAAGGTAGCTTTTGGTTTCTCCTATATTTGATCCTAAAAACGAGAGGAAGGCACTCTTAGAGATATGCAGCTGGTCGGAGATGATTCGCAAGCCCTATTAGACACGTACATTCGCGCCATCAATCTATGCACAAAAGGTCGCCCTCAAGATCTCACCATAGGCCTACACATGTGCCGTGGAAATTTTATGGTGAGCAATTGGTCGTTTCCTGTTCATTCTGACCTGCCAGGGTGGCGTTCATTTCACCGAAGTCCGTTCGTTCTTGTTCACGTCTGCCTATTAATATTGACCACCCTTGAACAGGGAAGCTACGAGCTGATCGCGAAGAAAGTCTTCCAACAACTGGATGTGGACACATTTTATGTGTGCTTCGACCTTTCAACATTCTCTGTCCTGAAAATTAGCCCAGCTGGAGTATGATGATGCCCGCTCAGGCAGCTTTCTGCCATTAAGATATGTTCCCATCAACCGAACCGTCGTTTTGGGAATCGTTACGACCAAACGTGCACAGGCCAGTTGCTTCGTTATTTGATTCTCATGCTACTGAGTTTACCGGAAATAGCTTGAGGACCCAGAGCTTCTCAAAGCGCGTGTCTACCAAGCCGCCCAAGTGCTGAGCAATGGCTTCCCTCGCCGAACGATGGAGGTGGCGCTAAATCAGTTAGTGTTTGGTTTGTGGTCCAGCTAACCTAATTGTTCGTCAGACTATGCATAAGGTTGATCAAATTTTATCTAAACTTGGCGGTTGGCTCTGAATTTTTCGTTAGCCCTCAATGTGGATTTGCTTCAGTTTGGCAGGGTAACCCTGTCACAGAAAAGGTGAGGTCTTGGGGAGCTGTGTTACTGGCGCTGAGAAGACATTTTGAAGGATATCAAGGCGAAGATAGGCGTTCTTCACCAGGTTGCTAGGGAAGTCTGGAGTTGAATGCATGTAGTAGTGACTAAGTATCAGTTCGGTGCATGTAGTGACATCTGTCGCAAAATCGAATCGTTGTTTTCCTCCTCCGCCTATGACCCTTTATTTACTATGGTTATTATTCCTTCGGTATACACTTTCTGGGCTCTAGTTCCCTCTTTATTAACGTTTCTTAGGCTCACAGCAGCATTCTCCTTCACGTCAACGACTCCATCCCAATGCGATGACCTTCACATAACTTGGACGGGTGCGGCTCCCTTTCTATCAGCTCAGAGATTTGGTTAACGTATTCCTTAGGCGGAAGCGGCTCGGGGTATAGACTTCACATCATTCCCGTCTTTGGTGTTCCGCTCAACCTATCTATTCCCGACGCTGCATATAATGCCGCTAATAAATCGGGTGCGTGCTTGTTAAGCCTTATGGGAAGCACAAACCAACACTGTACCTTTAGGATCCTTCACAACACAACTACAAGCCAACGCGAGCGATCGTATCGTACTGACGATGAGCGACAACACTGGATTTGGTGCTGGTGGTGCTTCGCAGTTATATTCAGTTGGCAAGTCCTTGGGAGGCAACTGTGACCTCAAAGAGCAGCCGCTGGGATTCGTATTCGGACTAGATCCCACTCCTACCCAATGCCAAACATCTACATTCAGCCGTTACTTGGAAAACCGCGCAGTCCCGCCTGTGCGAATATTTGGCGTAATTCCAAGCGGTACAAGCTTTCAGCTTGAGCCTGGCACCGCGTCAACATTCAAATGGAAAGCCAATGTGTTCAATTCGACCAGTCTAATATTTTTTATGGTCAGTTATGTTGTTTCTTGGACGCCTGTTTGAAGGCTAACTTGAAGTAAGGTTGATGCCAACCAGAACCAAGGGGGTTCAGAGCTGTTCAATATCGGTTTGTCCGGAGACACTTCTTGTATTACCAGCGATTCGCCTTCAACCACGACCCCCGATGCATCTCAGCAAACATCATCCCCCTCTCCAAGCCATGTAACACACACTGGCTCATCTCCCATTGGCGCAATCGCTGGCTCAGTATTAGGAGCACTTGTCTTTCTTGCCGTCCTGATCACTCTCGGTCTATTCTTCCTCCGGCAGTGGCAAGAAAAGAAGCGACCAGCAGGCGGTATGGAATTCCGTCGGTCATCTCGACCTATGGACTCCGACTTCGATTTAACAGCAGATTCTCGACTTGTCCCTCATTCACCTGCACCTTCCCCCTATACTACTTCCTCTCCACCAGCACACTACCAAGCGCACTCGCAATATTTTTCGCAGCCTACAACTGACGGTACCAACCCTTTTGGTGCCTCGTCAGTGTCATTGCATGCTGCTCCCCCGTCTGTTAACGTTGATCCATTCATGGACCAGTCGTCAGAGGGCTCGGCTCCCAATACCAGCCGCAAATCTGGCATGTCCAGCTACAAACCCTCGCGATATATAATGCACACCGATTCAGAGGACTACGAACCGCCTGCCAACGCAGATGGTGTAGTCGAGCTACCACCGTCCTATTCCGCGACGCGAGCACCAGCCAAAGGTTTACCGCCGTCCTGACCACATCTATATTCCTATCTTTTCGTGCTGTATTAACTTTTTATTCAACCAATCCTTTTTGGACATCCAGTCTAATAAACTACAAATAGCGGGTCCATACTGGAAAGCAACATGGTCTAAGAGGTACAAGGGTGGTTCATTACAATAGTGTGTGTGTGTGTGTGGTTTTAACTGGGAGGGCCTTCCTCCATTCCAACTCCAACTTCAATCGTTTGCTTGGAAAAGGCGTCGATCATGGCGTCCTGGTCTTTTCTTCGGCGGTGACGTCGGCGGCGGTCATCCTTGATAACCCGTTCAATCCGACGACGACCCTACAACATTCAACAACGAGATTCCTGTTCAGCATCTAGCCCGAACCTTGGAGTGCATACGTGGGTCAGCGAGTGCTTGTTTACATTTATAACACGCAAGTTCGATGCTGGCCATAAGTCGCAGGGTTTCTGAGTTATTGAGCGCCTGGAAATCGTCAGAGTAGTCTTGATTGCGCGGTGCCACCCACATTCAGCGACCAAGAGACGACAGCAGAACCCTGGACAACAGAGATCACGATGAAATTCCCTCGTTTCTCGGCTTCGAGGTCGGAGGTCTAGTGAATAATGCGTTAAACCGTCCTGAAAGTCATGAGACACGTACTTCGTTGAATACCGCGAGTGCTTTGCCAGTCGAGACTGAGCGGACAACTAAATAGGCCAAGTTAGCACGCGAGCATTGCCAAGATCTATACAGCCACGAACCGACGCGGGATGAATGTCCATTTACCACCTGCGAGACTACTCCGCGCCCCATGTACGTCCATGAATCTCGCTCTGGTTTACGGATGTGAACTTTGACTTGGATGTCTCTGAAGTTGTCGCGAGGAGGAGAAGTAGAAGTCGAGGGCACTACTGACGATTGGTGAGTTGGGTCGATAGGTCTGTGCGTGGCAAAATACATTGCGTGTTGACGATGTCGGAGTGAATAATTGGAACGGGTGGGTGGCTCGGAGTCGACTCAACGCCTCCCATGGCGTCATCTATCTCCATTTCGGACTATAAGAGTAGATGAGCGGGGGAGGAGACGTAGTGTGGACCGTAAGCCATATTACCATAATTTTGTCGATGTATGGCTCGCGCAAAAGGTTGACCCAGAAGTGTTCGTTTCGCTTGAAGCTACGTGGTCACGGGAGTCACACTTTGAACTAGCACAATTAGTTGACATGCAACTCGACAGACAACGCGTTTATACGCAGTTAACAGAAGGTACACCAAGTTTTAGCTAAATAGCTGCTATGGTCGATAGTTTCCAGATACTAAACACAGATTTCGTGGAGTAAATTGAATGTTGGTTATCGGTGTTCGCTTTGTGGGGAAAGTTGCTACCAAGTCAGTACTTGAGATGACAAGTCAGAACTGTGAGAATGCAACTATTGTAAACTCACGTTTCTGCATTCTCTTCATCACCATAGCTTTGTGGTATCGCCATCGAAGACTCTCCAGTCGCAAGGCCCATTGGCGTGAATGATGCCCCATTTGCTCTAGGTCGCGTGCCACCTGCACTTTTTACGTCCCAACAACGCACTGTCCAGTCTGCCCCTCCGCTGACAAGCATTGAAGACTCCGCGCTGAACGCCAGCGAATAGATCGACGCGGTATGTCCCGACATTCGTTTTATTCGTTTACCCGATCCTAAATCCCATAGGTTGATGGCAAGATCTTCACCTATAACAACGCTCGGAATCAAACCAGCTTGCTATAGGTCAAACTTACCGGCGCTGGCCAGGTAGCGTCCATCAGGACTGATTGCCAGTGTCGAGACCGCGCCTTGATGGCCAATAAACACACGAACACAGGAGCCAGTCTGGGCCTCCCATAGCCGGGCGGTCCAATCACTCGAGCCTGTCGCGAGGTACATCGAGTTGGGGTGGAATTGGATGCACTGTCCGAACAGTCATAAATCACAGGCAAGGATAGATGACATAGCCCTCACATCGACGTCGCTCAAATGACCAGCATAAACCCTCATGCAGTTGATTCTATCAGTAGACCACAGCCTAGCGGTTCTATCACGGCTGGCAGTCGCAAAGTAGATGCCCATTGGCGCCCACTTCACATCCCAGACGGGATTTTCGTGCCCTCGAAAACTCACAATGTTGGTCAGCGTGTCCATTGACCATAACCGAACAGTTGTGTCAGCAGATGCTGACAAGAGGTACTTGGGTGGGGCAGCTGATCCACTAAGCGGATCGAAAGCAACGGAGTAGACAGGTCCGCTGTGGCCGATGAGTTTTCTCGTTGTAGTGCCACCTTTTTCTCGTATCCGACGAAGGGAGTTATCTGGTTCAAGTGAAATTGATTGCCAAGAAAATAGAGGGAGAGGAAGCATACAATCTTTGATAGATGCAGAGCTGAAATCGCTCCGCAATCCACGTAATTTCTCTCCCTTCAGACTCCAGAGCCGAATATAGCTTTCGGAAAATCCAGCTGCCATGAGGGAGGTATCTTGGGAGAATGTACAACAAGGTGCACTGAGAGCTAATCAAGGTGATATATGCGGGTGGAGCAGATTTCTTACCCCTCAGGAACATCATGTAACGTATAAGCACAAATACTGGGAAGAGCGCGTGCCCGAAGCGACGCAGCTTGAGTTGAGTTGGGATCGGTATTGGCAAGTAGAGAGGGCTCTAATCGAATGCGCTTTCTTGCATCCCTTACGGCACCAGCCTCCCGTTCGACGTCGATAGTTCGGAATGTCGGTGGATGAGGTAGTAAATCAGCGGTTGTGGGTGCTACCACGCCAGGTACCACAAGTCTTGTAGCTTGGATGTCGTAGTTTCCAGTTGGCTCTCTGTCTACAAGAGCCTGTTCTCGTAGTGCACGCTGAGTCTCGTTGCGGAGATCTTCCATCATGGGAGGAGGCCCCAGCTTTAGTTCTTTCAGGCGATTGAACGCTTGTGGATTCGACAGACTCGTGGTGGCGCCATTAGCATTCGGGATAAGAGACGATATCAGACCCGTGGATTCTTCCCAGGAATTGGGTGAAACCGATGTTGCATTAGCCTGAGTAACTGTTAAGTTGGTGGGTTAGACTGACAACGCTAGAGTGTTAACTCTTACTATCGAATCGCAAATGGTTGTTGACCACTCGCATGACAGAAACTCGACCACGTTTGCCGATTTCTCCAGTAAACCCATCACCTGCACCAAACGCCTCGCCCCCCACACCCTCAGTGAGCCACCCCATTAACAATCCAAATCCTGAGCGACTCATTCTGACAGCATATTTCTCATCTCTGAAACGTTGAGCAACCTCGTCGTTCTGTACATGTGCGGGCAATAGGAGTGTTTTGATATGATGCAAAGTTTCGATGTGTGAAGGCGCCAAAGACGACGCAAAACTTGAGTAGAACTTGATGGCTGGGGAAGTTATTAACATGCCACATCAAGAAGGTACGACGCACCGGCATCCTTAAGGCCGCGTTGAATCAAGTCGAGGTAGAAATGAACGAAGATAGGAAATAGGATTGGCCTGAACTCAGGCTAAACACGCATGAGCAACTCCAGCACAGAATTTACAGCACTCACACGGTACATGTCCAAAGATCCGTCTACCCAGGCTTCAAGCTCGCGGTACCCTTCCTGCTTGTCTGTGGGATCTAGCGATAGGATGTCTTCAGCACCGACAGAGCCTATATTTCCGAGCAGGCTTTGGATGTTACTCGGGTTGCCCATGGCAGTTAACTCTTGTAGAACATTCGAAGATTCCTTGAACACATTCTCTCCAGGTCTGGACGGCTTTTGTGCGAATATTGCAAGCGCTTTGACGAAATCTTCAGCAGATAATGTTTCGGCGGTGGTGCCTTCGATTTCGTCGCGCAAAGCTTTCTCTGCCGCAGTATATCCGCGTTGATGTAGATACTCCAGCATAGATTTATCGTCTGGTGGAGCATTTTGCGTGGAATCGCGCGGGGATTGGGAAGTCGAAGGACTCGACATGGACACAAGGAAAGAAGCGATCACGTGACATGTCACAAACCAACTCACGACATGCCTCCAACCAAACAAACCACTCGCCAGGCTATTACGCTCAAGGGCTCGACCGCCCTAGTCACTGAATTCTTCAAGTACGCAGTCAATACGTGCGTGAGCAGCCCCTCGCGCCACTTGCTCCCAAACCGCTTCCAGCATCCTCTTTCAACGCGAAGTTTACCCCTCTGATGATTTTCATATGGTGAAGAAATATGGCCAGGTGGTGCTAGTTACACAGGATCTTGCCCTCGAGAACTACCTCGAAAAGCGCGTTTGCGTTTCCTTATTATCTCACTTGATGCTGACGCGCCCTTAGAATTCTCAAACAAGTACAAAGTGAGTCAAGCCTCATCAACAAACGCCTCCTTTAATGCACACAACGTAGAATGGATTTTAACGGGTTCGGTTACGCAATTGGTGCTAGTTATTCTCGCAAAAGAGACGCGGACGGCACTAGAACGCTGGGTGTTTGATATCAAGTTGGTAGAACCTGTTGGTGGCGAGCCGGGAGAATCGTACGTTGACCCATCTTCTCCTTCGTCAACATAGCTGGATTTTTCGTTAGGAGTAGCAAACCGGAGACCGAAATTCAATCGGAAATCAGAGCAATTCTAAAACAGATTGTTTCGATGGTGACTTTTTTGCCTGTGATGCAAGAGGAGAAAGTGTTCAATATCCTGGCGTACACTTCGGATTCGGCGGATGTCCCGGTGGGTGAATGGATTGACACTGATCCGTTGGCAATCGAAGCTGGGAAGAGTCAGCAAGTCAAGTTGAGGTATTTACTTGGCCACTCATCAGCTCAGGCGGATACTCACGCTTGGTTAGATCCTTCTCAACGGACATTCATCGTATCGAAGCAATGGTTGCATACCGCTATGAAGAGTAGAATACGTCCGCAATTCATAACTTTCCGCTACACCGTGTCCCCGACCGACGTTTCATCATCGGTTAACTGAATGTCGTTGATTGGCTGACGGGCAGGTCGGGGTTACTTACTTAGGACAAGAACTGCAGCAAGAAACCTTTTTTGTGGGAGATTTGCGATGCATCGATTAATTGATGACAACATAAAAATAGCGGTTGTCGACGAGAGGCAGCGTTGCTGACAACGCGGGACAGATGTGACCAATAAGATGGGACCAATCAGAAGACCCGAGGCAATGGCACTTGTTGCGAAACGATAGATCAAGGCATCGCACGTCAGTCAGGACGCTCTTTCTTTCGCCCCTCACCCATCCCCAACCACCTTTCTTTTCGCCGCACCTCCACCCTCCCTTCCCTCGTCTTTGTCTGGCCGGGCCACACAACACCCCTACAGTAGTATCCAGCAGTATTCATCGTTCACCATGGGTGACAGTTGGTTCAAAAGAGAATTCCTCACTGGCAGGAGACTCACTTTCAATGTGATTTTCTATGGCCTCCACTTCTTCTTCTTTGCCTATGGTTGGCACTCCCAGGTGTGTTTGGTTATTTGCTCTTTTGTGTCTGATATAAATACCCCAAACAGGAAACTAATACGAAGCTTGCGGCGCTCAATGGGCTCAAGTTCTCCGTCTGGACTTCACGTGGAGCTGGTCTTGTCCTTGCCTTCGATGGTGGACTCATTTTGATCCCAATGTTGCGAAATATCATCAAGCTTGTTCGTCCCAAATTAACCTGGCTCTTCCCCGCCGACGAAAACATCTGGTTCCACCGTCAAGTGGCTTATTCGATGGCGTTCTGGGCCATGGTTCATACGACAGGTTACTTTATTCTGTTCATGCTAAACAGTCTTCTAACCCGACTAAAGCCCATTATGTTAATTTCATCAACGTTGAGCGAACTCAAGTCAGAAAGCAGCTCGCACTCGATATCCACTACACTCAACCGGGTGGCATCACGGGTCACTTCATGCTACTCATCATGCTTCTCATGTACACCACCGCTCACCACAAAATCCGGAATCAATGCTTCGAGGCGTTTTGGTACACTCACCACCTGGCCTTCTTTTTCATGATTGGTTTGCAGTCTCTCTTTTTTGGTTACCTAGTTACTGATTCACCGCTAGGTCTTTACAGTTCGTTATGGTTTCCTTATCGTAGCCTTTGGTGTTGACTCGGAATTGCAGCCCATGCCACTGGATGCTTCGTGCGAGATATTACTGACCCGGATTACATTCCTGTACGTCGTCTCTGATTCACATCAAACGTATTCTCAGTCGTGACTAGACTTTCCCGTTTTACTCAACCAGTATGATGCATTTTCTGTTTTTGTGTGCTGATCTAACGGAACTTGACCAACAGAGCACTGTGCGTTAATATGTTCTAATATTTTCCGCAATCTTACCCTATTCAGGCCTCGGGTATCTCAGCTGGCGCTACACAATCTGGCCTGGGATTTTATATTTCGGAGAACGTGTTTTCAGAGAGTACCGTGCCCGGCGCTCGACCAGACTTTCCAAAGTTCTTGTCCACCCAAGTGGTCTGTACTTGTCGATTGTCTTGGCCGTTGGTCATTGACACATTTTTAGGCGCCATGGAACTGAGAATCATCAAGCCCAGCTTCAAGTATACCGCTGGTCAATGGCTCTTCATTCAAGTCCCCGAAATCTCGCACTTCCAGTGGCATCCAGTATGCTTCGATTTGTGTCTATCTATCTTGCTCATTATTGGCTAGTTCACCATCACGTCTGCCCCCAAAGATCCATATGTTTCGGTCCACATCAGACAGGTTGGCGATTGGACGCGCGGCCTCGGTGACCGTCTGGGTGTCGGCCCATCAGTCGTTGCTGCTATGACATCAGCTGCCATGAAAGGTTCAGAGAAGAACGAGAAATCTGCGTCTCGTGGTGACTTTGTGGAGATCGACTCAAACTCTGTCGGTCTTCCCGCTGTTCGCATTGATGGCCCGTTCGGTGCTCCCGCCGAGGATGTGTTCAACGTCGAGGTCGCTATGTTAGTTGGTGCTGGTATTGGTGTCACACCCTTCGCTTCGATTCTCAAAGATATCTGGTATCGTCAACGCTCTGGAAACTGTGGATCTCTTCGTAGGGTCGAGTTTTTCTGGATTTGCCGTGACGCGCCGTCTTTTGGTTGGTTCCAGTCGCTTCTCCAGGTGTGTTTGTTCAAAAAGAATCATTACCGTTTTATGACATCTCGTCAGGAAATTGAAGCTGCTCAAGCCGATCGTGCGTGACTCCCGACTTGAGTTGACTGTGCATTTAATTCTGTGTAGCCAACTTCCTCCGCATTAACATCTACCTCACCCAGAAGATCAGCGGTGGGTCTCTTTCTTGACTCTCATATATTTTGTGGGCTTAATCTAAAACAGAGGATATGTTATGGAATATTGCCGTCAATGACGCTGGTGCTGAATACGACCCTCTGACCCTTCTGCGAACGCGTACCCTATTTGGACGTCCCGATTGGATGACCATTTATGGCCAAATGCGGCAGGCAATCGAAAGCGGCCAATATCTCCCAGGTAGCACAGCTCAACTGAAGAACAAAGTTGGAGTAAGTTTCTCTGGTAGCATCTCACTGGCAAGGCGACTGATGTGAACAGACCTACTTCTGTGGACCGACCCCCATCGCAAAGGCTCTGAAGGAGGCATGCGACCATCACACATGTTCCACTGTCGAGTTCAGTTTCGCCAAGGCAAGAATCACTCCGTTGTTTGCAACCCTTCTAATAAAAACTATCCGTAGGAGCACTTCTGAGAGGATGACTACGAGGACGAAACATGGACATGCTTTTCATACCCATCTTACTGTAACCGCTACTGCCCCTTCAATTGAGTTTTTCGAAACCAACGTCCAGCTATGTCTAACTATCTATTACATTGTAGCGTCATTTAACTTATCAACTTGCTTTATTTCTAACCTCCTCCACTTGATGACCCCAGAGCCTCGTGGCTCTGCGATGCAGCCCTGGTTCCTGATTGAGCCGATTGATTTCTGCCGCTTGCATACGAATGCTCTTCGTCCTGCGTTGCCGGTCGGTCAGAGTATCGAGTGGTTGGTCCAGATCGACTTTGGGGAAGAATTCGTCCAAATGAGAATATACGTCTCCCATTTCGGGTCGTGGAGCCCAAGTAGTGTTTCGTTTAGTCTCAATGATGCTTTGGCGGCGGGCGTATTTCTGTGCCTTGCTGGGTGAAGTTTTGAGTGCTTCGGGTGGCTTCTTCCACATGCCATAGCTGTCACTGTCGCTGTCAGAATAATCGAGCTGCGAGCTGGTGGTCGAAGTTGTGGCAATGGGTGACGCGAGGTTCTGCATGGAGACAGCTGGAGCCAGCCGCCTTTCATCGCGCGATGATAATGGAATGGGGAGCGGCGGAGGTAAGGAAGGAGGCAATGGCGGAGGGGTAAACACGTATGGCGGACGAAACCGAACAGCCCGCCGATCTTCGGGAGTGGGGTCTGGATTGGCAACACGAAAGTTGCCCCGCTTGCGTGGTGGATAAGCAGAGACTGAACTCGGTGTGCTCCCAGAGGTCGTGGAAAAGCTGGAACTACGTGATGATATTCGTGGCGAGGGTGGCGGGGTGATAAATACGATGGCGGGTAGGTCAGCAGGTGGTTTCGAAGGCGGTGGATAGACAACAGCGGTGTCCATAGATGCTAATCGGGTGTGATCAGCTGGGCGAATAGTGGCCTCAGAGTTGGGTTTGGGAGGAAGAGGAGGGAGCAGGGTATCTGAAGTCGGCGCTCGGCGATGCCGCGAGGCAGGCGCGGAAGAGTTGCGGTGTTTGATGCTAGTGTTAGTCTTGCTCTTTTTGCGCGACTGTCTTGTGGACCTTTCCAAGTCAGAGAGAGAGAATGTCCAGTCTGGAGGTAGCGATAGGTAAGGATGTTGGCGCAATACGGTAGCATTTGGACGGTGTTGCGGGTTTCTGCACAATCGTTCAATGATACTAATAATGGCGTTAAGACACACGTACTGCGCAAAACACTCGTCATGAAAGTCTAAAGCAAGCTCTGAGAGCTCAGCCTTGACATCGGGAGGGAGCGGCGGGGGCAGCTTATCCTTATACAGCTTCAGCATGACAGAAATGACCTCTTCTCCAGCCCATGGTCTTTCCCCGCTCCACATTTCTAGAAGAACGCAACCAAGTGACCTGGATACTCAGAATCTTGTTAATAGTCTCAACGATTGGTCGCACCATATATCAACCTTGGAGTCGTATCCCCGTTTCCGGGCGTCAACTACCTCTGGTGCCCTTTGGGTGCATTGAGTCATATCAATTGCAGTATGATCAAGCATACTGACATCCAGAATACAGTGCCTCTCAATTCAGTGAATGCTTGGTTGTCTTGCGCCTCTGAAAATTTGGAAATACCAAAATCGGATATTTTGCAGATTCCGGATGTTTCGACCAGGATGTTGTCTCCTTTTAGATCGCGGTGTAATACCTTCTTTGAATGAAGGAATTCCAGGCCAGCGGCGATCTGTCGAGTAAAGTGTTTGCAGACATTCTGCTCAAAGCGACCGTGTCGACTGAGACATGAACTAATGGTTCCGCCGGGGATGTATTCCAGGAAACTGAATAAGATTGTCGCTTAGATTTGACGGCATAAGGAATGGACGAACATGTTGAGTGTGGCTGGCGTCTCCTCGAAACCAAGATACTGAACAATGTTTTCATGGTCACCCAGCAACTGAACGGCGGTTGGTCAGTACCAAACGCTATTTCCGTGATGAATCCCGACCTGTAGTGCCCTGCTCTCGAGTTTAAGCGCCTCGACGACCTCCAGTTGCCGCGGGTTCACTCGGTCACTAGCTGTCTGGGGTGTTTCCACTTGCTTTACAGCCATAAGCTCTCCACCAGTTGTGAGTCCCTACAAGTCGAATTGGTGAGGCAATACGTTGTTGCTGGGATCGGCACACCAAGAATACGCGTCCATATGACCCTTGGCCGATGAGTTCGCCCTTGACCCACTGGAATTTCTTAGATGAGGCTGTAACAACGAATTTGTGAGTAAATAGTAGTAAGAATGAGTTGGGTTTGCGCACTTGGTTGGGGAGGATTGGCGGCATAAAAGTTCCGCGATGATTGGTGAGTTACTGTACGGGTAGCACTGCTGCTGCCATTTATGTAGCTTGTTGAAGTTTTGTGGTGAAGGGAGCGAGTGGAAGAGGGGGTTGGGGCAATGGAGCGCACTTGAGTGCTCATCAGGGTAAGGATTGGGATCGTAGCGTTGTCGTTGCAACTTGTCCGTCACTCGGCATCAACTGCTAATTCTTTTCCAACTTCCATATCCAGATCATTGACATGGACCGTGCTCGCGCGGTTCTCAAGGTCGTCTGCTTCCATAATCATAAGCTTTGTTTCCTCTAATCTACACTCTAGGATGTCTTTGGCTTCCCTGATTTTAGGCTCGCCCAAGCAGCCGTCAGTGCCACTCTCTGGACTTGTCACTCCTCTCACCCTAACCTTAAGGCGATTCAAAATATCTTGGAAGGGAGAAATTCGGCCGTCATTCTACCAACAGGCGGAGGCAAGAGTCTTGTCTATCAGGCGAGCTATGTAGACACGTCGTTTTTTGCGCGTATTTAACGCGTTTTAGATCCCAGCCCTGTGCTTCGACCATGGCCTCACCCTCGTCGTCTCTCCCCTCCTCTCGCTCATGAAGGACCAGGTTTGTGTTTACTTTCAAATGATCGTGACGAAACGACGCGTCCTAGGTCGATGCATTGGTGAAACGAGGAGTCGCTGCTGCCAGAATGGACAGCACAGTCTCTATGGCAGACGCGTCTCAAATCAAAGCAGACATACTATCCGGCCATTTGAAGATCCTCTATGTTGCCCCAGAGCGTCTGAACAACGAATCCTTCGTGCATTTACTGGGCGAGGCGCGTCACCGTATACCACCGTCCGATTTCCCCTGGACAATGATACTCCCAGATTGTCGTCAACCTGCTTGCCGTTGACGAGGCGCATTGCATATCACAGTGGGGCATGTCGTATGTGATCCCTTATGGTTTAGTCGCTTTAGGCTAATCGACAGGTTCCGTCCTGAATACTTGAAAATTGCCCGCATGGTCCAAGAGAGCAACGTCGAACGTGTACTGTGTCTGACTGCCACGGCCACGCCACCCGTAGTGCAAGATATGTGCAAAGCTTTCCAGATCGACAAAGAGAGCGTTTTTCAGACGCCTGTCTTCCGTCCTAAGTATCCTGCTTTACCTTCAGAGATGGTCGTGCCCTGATCGCTTTACGAGTCTTTCCCTCCGTGTAGAGGTTGCCGAAACGCTCTATGAGAAGCTCGATATCCTAGTTCCATTTCTCAAGAGTCGGAATGGCCCATGCTTGATCTATGTGACACTGCAAAAGCACACTGATGATGTCGGCGATGCATTAATGGCCCGCGGAATCCCCAACGTTTTCAAATATCATGGTGGGCAACGTGCAGACACTCGTCGAAATATCCAAGTGAATATTTTTTTTGAATATTTTGCATTCACCAAACGGACCATACAAGGAAAGCTTCATGGAAGGGCACGATTCAATCTGCGTCTGCACTATTGCCTTTGGAATGGGAGTGGACAAAAGCAATATTCGTAGCGTAAGAAATGTCTTCAAGTTTCGACTCGCTTACCCATTCGGCCACAGGTCATTCACCTTTTCATGCCCAAGACACTCGAAAATTACTCCCAGGAAATTGGGCGTGCTGGACGTGACGGTTTGCCGTCCACTTGCATCATGTTCATCTCTTCGTAAGTGTTTCTCTGCCTTCACAAACCTCATTCTTATTTCAATAGCTTGGACATTCCAGCGCTGCAAGGATTTGCATGTGGCGATACTTGTTCAAAAAGAGACATGGAACAATGGTTGCATACGGTTGCGATCAAAGCTCCGTCGGAAGAAAGAGTGATCGACTTCAACTTGTTTGAACAAAGTCGCATGTGAGATTGGTTTCTGATTCTGCCAGTGAGCTTGACACTGAAGAGCTGACTAGCTACGACATACGGGTAAACCACTTGTGTTCCCCATGTCGTTACCCTACTGAACGTTCGTTAGAGCAATGTTCTCAATCTGCTTTATGCACAATTGGAACTCGAGTTCGGAATTATTCGGGCCATAACGCCATTTTATTCGATCTACAATATAACGCCCCGCGACGGCAATGGACTCAAAAAGATAATGAGCGACGATAGTTTTGATGCTGTTACCATTAGAGCGAACTGGAAGGCTACTAAAAACGGGTTTGAAGTGAGTGATCATAGTCTCACAAAATCCTCAAGTCCTTAACAGACAGGTCAATGTGGTCGATGCTGCTTTGCGCATGAAGGCGAGCCGAAACAGTCTAGCCAGAACAATCACCCTCTGGGAGCTCGATGGTAGGCTACGGCGGCTTCAGAAAGAGAATAAAATCTCACCCTTTCTCAGGCTACATCCAGACTACACCTTCGCAAGTTCGAGCGGTAAGTTTAGCATATCCCAGCTGACGTTCCCGTTGAAGTTGATTTTTGCAGCGATACGCACTCCTTAAACCCTTCCCTACCACATTAGCAGAGCTGAAAGCTATTGGAGATAAGTTATATGCAGATATGGAAAAGAGGGAAACTGATGGTAAGTTCATATCTTGGTTGCCTCCATTGCCCAACTCATACACTCAGGGTTGGCAAAACTGGAACAAGTACTACAACTGGTCACGGACGATGAGTGTACACTGCTGCTTGGGAGTCTAGATACATCAACTCATTATCGCAGGCCTGGCGCGTAGTCTGTCGACATATTTTGGTGGTGAAAACACAGTGCCTGAGGAAGGATGCGGCAATTGCACATTCTGTTTTCAAGGTCATGGCGTGGAGTTCACTCGCAAATCGGTGAATAATATGGATGCCACCAAGTTGAACGCTATTCTCCGAGCTTGCGGGGAAAGAGATGATCCGCGTTTACTTGCTCGAATGGCATTCGGAGTGTAAGCATATACATCCGCATCGCTGTTGTTGACTGATTTCTCTCAGTACCTCCCCCCGACTGACTATGCTCAAATGTTCAACCAGTCACCCTCTGTTCGGCAGCATGGCTGAGAGCGACTTTAGAGCCTTGGTATGTTCCCCAACTTTCTTGCCATCCACCCTAACAAATACATAGGTTGCTGCGTTCGATGTTGAGTGCGCCAAGGTGAACTATGAGAGCCAAGAAGTTGAGAAACCCAAGCCCACACCTAAGCCTAAAGCAGCCACCAAGCGCACATTTTCTCAGACTTCCAGCAGTCGCGGTAATGGTGGTTCAAGCAAAAGGGGTCGTCGGTAGCAATTTTCGAGGCTCCCTTGTAGGAGATCGAGTTAGCATAGTATATGTATATAATACCTAATCTTGTATAAGTATATCAAAGTCTTATGTGGGTCCACTTGGGCTGAAAGGACAAAGTGAGGGTGTGTTGGCTTGCACGTGACGAAAGGCTGTCACGCTTCACCACTTTTGACGCGTTCAACCCACCATCGGTTTTGAGGCGTTTTTCTGCCTCTTCCGTCTCGTAAACTGGAAGGCTTGCATTTGAGCAATGCAGACGGTGGACTTTACAGCATTAGAGAATGCCAGCAACATTCTCAATGCCAGCTTTGCAAAAGACGCTCAGGCAATCCCCGATCTAGGCGACACCCTCACCGCTCGTATGGAATCCCCCTTCAGGAAACATCTGAATTAACCCACCATACAGCCGGGGGTCAGGCGTCGGCTTCTTACAGCGTATTCCCTGATGATACTCGCGTTCCTTTTCAGAAACGGAAACTTGTTGGCATACCAGAAGCATTGTTTCAGTTTTATAATAGTGCGTCATCGTCGAATTTACCTTGTTTATCTAATGACGCGCTTCAAGGCACCAGTGTTAACTCGCACATGGGTTTAATGCCTGAAATCGAGCGCGCGTGGATCTCCATTGACCATAAACTATTCTTATGGGACTACGTTGAAGGGTGCGCTTTAAGTGCTGATCGCCCTCCGCTCACTTACCTCCTCCAGGCAGGAAATCAGCTCCTTTGTTGACCAACCCGATATCATTACTCATGTCGCACTTGTGAAGCCCAAACAAGGCTTGTTTATCGACGAAATCAACTCCATTCTAGTCATATGCACACCCGTCTCGGTCCTCCTCATTGCCCTCGCGGCATCTGCCGTTCCAGGCTCAAAACGAAAGGAAATCAAACTCTATGCTACGGACTTCACTGTGGCGACTGATGTTGAAATGGCTTCTGTTGCTGGCACGGGGGATGGTCGCATTTTCATGGCCGGGGCGCAAGACGGCAATTTATATGAACTGCATTACCAAGAAACAGAGTCGTGGTTTGGAAAACGCGTGCAACTAATCAACCACTCAGTCGGTGGGGTTTCCAGCCTGCTTCCTCGATTTGCCATGTCCACCACGGACGGTCAGTGCATTTATATCGCTCGGCAGATTTTTCAAACCCTTGCTCCAGATCGTATCATCGCGATTGTATCCGACCTTTCAAGGAATTGCTTCTACACTCTCAACGGCAAGAGTAATATCTCGATTTATCGACCCGACGGCGAAAAGTCTTTGCAGCACGTGCAAACCCTTACGAACATATCCAAGCTTGCGCAGGACAAGGCTCCTGGGTCACCCGCAATCACACCAGCAACCTTTACGATCGTTGGCTTGCACGTAGTCGATCCAGCAGAATCACGGTCAGGAATTCAACTACTCGCAATCACTAGTAATGGCGTACGATTATACTTCTCTCCATCTGGAGGCTACGGCTACTCTTATGGCGGCACCTCTGCCCTGGGCTCCCGCCAGCTTTCCCTTGTTCATGTTCGCCTGCCTCCTCCAAATCTCATCCATCCTGATGAGCATACTCAACAATATCGGCCTACGCTCACGTCATATGGAGCGGCACAACCACAACCTACCTCTCGACCATACTCGGTTTCTGCCTTAGAAAACTCGTGCTACGTGGACGGTCTTCTGGTTGCTGCCCAAGCAGGCGATACGGACGGCACTGACTATATTCTTTGCATGTCACCAGACCTCACACGGGTCGGCACTATTGGTCAACTCAACATCCAACAAGCGCCTGCTATCCATCAACCAATGCACTACGGTATCGCGCCTATGTCAACAAGACCGCCCTTGACAGAGCATGCCACCCTTCTCTCCATACCCGGAAGGACTTGGGCCATGGCTCCAGTCACTCGGCCCATAACGCCGAGCCCTCCATCTGGAACCCCATTGCCCACCGTTATCAATGAGCTGGCTACTCAATTCAGCTCACGTCCCCGTCAGTTCATGATCTTGACGAACGTTGGGTTGACTTTTCTCGTCAAAAGACGGGCATTGGACTATCTCAAAGCCGTCTTGGAAGAACTTCAATCGGAAGGTAATGCGCAGCCTATAATGGAATTTAGAGATAGGTTAGTCTTTTCTTGCGTCATGCAGTTCTTTGAATTTATCAACATTCTCTAGTTTTGGGCGTGATCAAACATGTGCGATCCTGCTGGGTCTGGCGAGTGGCAACACTTTCCTGGATTCAAGTGACGAGCCAAACTCTATTGGGACCATCAGCCCAGACATGGCGGCGGTTGCAAAGCAAGTTTTTTATGACTTTGGTGAGCGACCGACATGGACCGAGAGGGTAACCTATGGGACAAGTGAGTATCTTGCCTCTCAACGATTTACCTCCCACCTGATTCCTATGCCAGCGGATAATCACGGGACTGCAGCATTCAGTGGTCGTCGAGAAGGTCTCGCGCTATATCTAGCTCGATTGGTTTGGCCTTTATGGAAAACGAAGCTAACTACCGTTGGGTACGTGTTGGGCCATCGGAAGATAACCTCCGCCTGACCTTCTGAATAGGCCCTCAGGGATCCACCGATCCACCATCGCTGACACGACCTTGGTGTCAATCCAGAAAAATGTCTTTGCTCTGAAGGATTTTTTGGACAAGAATCCCCATCTCTTCCAGTCATCACCTGCTGATACTGGTAACGCGCGTGCTGCTGCCAGTGAACAAGAAGCGTGGAAGGTTCGCACATTATTTTCTGCCTATAATGCCTAATATGCCTCTCAGGCAGAACAAGCTTCGGTTTCGGAATTGTTGACTCTTGCGACTAGGATCATCGAAGCGCTCTCCTTCGTTCTCCTTCTCAACGACTACAAATTGGGAGATCTTGTTGCCAAGTTCGTTCTCGGAACCCTCAATCAATACTGTTTAACGATTCTCTAGATGCGACCCAGAGACGCAGAAGATGATTTCCACCCTGACGTATCAGGACTTGATAACCACACAAAACGGAATGACTATTTCGAGAGGCCTCGTCAATGTCATCATTGACCAACAGATTGGCCAGCAGATTAGTGTGGGACAAATGGCTTGGTGATTCTTAAAATCTGACATACCGGCAGGTCGACACCATTAGTGAGGTGCTGCAACATCGATGTGGGTCGTTCTGTAGTACGGATGATGTCATGTTGTACAAGGTACGCCCTTGTTGGCTGCTCAGTTTTTCCTGCTCTTTTTTACTGAGAAAACAAATAGGCCAAAGAAAACGTTCGCAAGGCGGCAGAAACGCGGAGTCCTCCTGAGCGTCAAAAATGGCTAGCCGAATCGTTACGGTTTGTGCAACCCTCTCTGTGTTCATGCACTTGTTTGATCTTTCCAGCCTGTTCATCAAGGGAGCGCGCATCTTGGAGTTCGAAAAGCTGCGAGAAATCTGTGGCGACTATCAGCAATTAAATTACGCCAAGGGTCAGTAGTAGTAATTTCTTTCAAGCGCCGCAATTCTAATTATTACAGGTGCTGTGGAACTCCCTTTAACGTGTGCCAGTGTCGTTGATGCAGATAATATCGGGCTTCAATGTTGGGCTAACAATCAACCCCCGAACGAACTCTGCGAGTATCGTTCAAGGTGCTACGCGCTTGTGTTGGATTCTTTGTCAGTGTTTGAGGAGCGGGCTATGGCAGGTGGCTCCAATGATGACTCGGAAGTTGTTCGCAGCCATGCCTACGAACTTGCATTCGCTGTTGAGGATGAGATGTTCCACTCAACCTTATATGACTGGCTTATAGGTCGTCAACTAGCGGATGAGCTACTCGAAGTCGGTGTCTCTGATCGGGACTTCCCCCAAACTGGCTGACCAGTTTGCAGATGCGACCACCGTACCTTGAAGCACATCTTCGACGGGAGCCTGTGACCGTACAAAATTTTGAATTGCTTTGGCAATTCTACGTCAAAAATGGCCAGCCATTACGAGCTGCTGAGGTTCTCGCAGCTTTGGCAGAATCTACCCAGTACGTGTTGAATCATAGCCATCAATTTATGATCGATAATCATCCTAGATTTGATGTATCGTTGGATTCACGCATCGAATACCTTACTTTGGCTGTTGCAAACGCGAAAGCGCATCCAATTTCTATGGGGGGTCAGCACGAAACCGCGATCGCGTTCTTGACCGACCTCGAGGAGAAATTAGAAGTGGCGCAGGTTCAAGTGGAGGCCTACAACACGCTTGCTCCGCATATCACCGACTCGGACGTTGTTGGCGAGAGAATAAAAGTACTGAAAACGCGTCTATTCACAATATCTGAGGTTTGTGTCATTCTTAGTCATAATGCGCACTCGTTTAACCCCGGCCAAAAAAGATTTACCAGCAGTATGCTGAACCATTCGACCTTCTTCAACTCAAACTGGTCTGTCTCCACGTTTCAGAGCACCGCGATGATAATATCGTTCGCCCGATATGGAATAAAATCTTCCAAGAGAGTGCGTTTTTGGTCACTAACCACGTCTTTTTTACTGAATTTACTAGTCCTTGAAGTCGGAGATGACCCTATGGTCACTGCGGACGAGCTGTCGAGTAAAATTATACCTTTAGGGCAGCGCTTCTATCCCTCAGAGAGCGCCTTCCCACTGCGTAAGCTGAATGTCTTGCCAAAGCCCTCTGATTTGTTGAATATGGTCCAAGGGCACATCGCTACGCTTTTGGTGCGTTTCTCGCTAGCAAATGCTGGTGTACTGCCATTGGGATGGGCCCCACGAGCCTTAGTGCAGTGTCGGGTGCCCTACCCTGAGGTTTGGGATGTCCTCGGAGAGATGTATGAATCCCACGTGAGTTGAAGTCGTTCTTCATTCCTTTGCCTTGCTCAGTTTGTTTCAGGTGCCTCCATTCAATGACCAGAAGAATGTACAAGCAGTCTCTTCTGATATTGCAGTGCTTCTGTTAGACTGGGTGGAAGACGCGAAACGACCACACTCTTCGTCAGGCCGCAGAGTGGACGATTTCCCTGTTGGTCGGATACACGCTCAGGTCGAACAATACATGGCAGAATTGGATCAAAGTCGGACAGAGACGAGAAAAACATTCGAGCATGTTATTCGTGAGTTGAGGAGGCATTGGTAGTCGGTTGGATGTGCTTTTTTTTCCTGCTTATTAATTTACACGTATAATACAGACCCAATGGTCTAAACCTCGAGGATGGCGTCTTCTGCTCGGAGAAGAACCCGTTTGGTCACTGATTCTGTGAAAGAATAGACTTTGATCAGAGCCCTGACCGGTTTGTTGAGACAATACAAATAAAAGCGATTGAACGATTGTACCTTGCGGCCCCGACTAGAATCAGGCCAACAATAATAAGGGTCGCAATGTCTCGAGAACCTTCGCGGCGTCGATTGCTTGAGCGCCATCTTGCCAAGCCATGCACGGGAGTGATCCAAGGCAATGAAAGCAGCATTTGGACCACACTGGATTCTGAAAGTAAGCGTCAAGTGGATGAGTGATGGAGAATCTTGCCTGCTTGCGCCAATGATAGGAAGCCCAAGGAAGAAACGGCGTATCAACGACTGGATTATGCCACGTTCCGGCTCCTCAGTTGGCTCAGCGGTTGAAGTATGATGATGACTAGTGCCAGCGATGTCTTCGTCCTGGATGATCCTCACAGCAGCACGAATAAGGTCCTGAACTATTTCCAAGGGGGAAACGTAGAAGAATCCGGAGAAGAATCCGCCTGGGCCCGAGCGGTAGTAGTAACTTGAATACGACGGCTCCTCAAACCAGGACATGAAAAAGGTCGTAATGAACGAGGAAAGAATGACCAGCACGGTGAAGAGGAATGCTGAAAGGGTGCCTACGATGACTATAACGCGATGAATATCGACACAAGTGGCAAGAAAACTTGCAACACACCTGGATTCGTTGCAAGCCCCAATACTGGAATGGTTTCAGAGAGCGAGTCAGTCAAGAGATAGCACCACTACCTTTTGTCCTGGTGAACCGATATTTATATCCGCATTGAGGGCAGCTAAAGAAACGCGCCGAGTTTGCTGGGCTCGAAGAACTGTTGCGCCAGCGCTGGAGGCACTTCACGTGAACAAATTTGATTGACCCAGTACACAAGCAAGGTTTAATCTGAAAGAATGAGAGTCCGTTAGCCATATAGTGGACCTAGCTATACCATTCGACCGAGTTCTGCCTCTTCTTCTGGCCCCGCAAGACCTGTTCAAACGTTTATGTGTTCCAGAAATGCCTTTCAAGTTTGCGTACATATTCTACATTGACGTTCGTCGCTCATGTGTGGCTAAGGTAAGAATGAGGGAGAGAGCAAGAAGAGTGTTGGGAACCACGTTCCGCGTCACACGTAAGCATCATGAATAATCATTAAATATCCATCGACATTTGCCTCCCAACCGTCCAGCCCACCTTAGCAATCCACAAGTCCCGCAGCGGCCGCATCATGTCTCCAAATTCCCCTTGACTCGACGCGAACTGGTCTAACCCTCTCTCCCAAGTCCGGAGCGAATCCGCCGTGAACATACCACCTTCTTGATTGAGAGTTACATCCACTTTGTTGACCCATGCTTTCCATTCATCGTTCAAACGTGTGATCAATTTCGAGGCAAGTTGAGATTGGGCAAGTGGGGGTAATGCCAGCGCATGCTGCATTAGTGCCGACAGAAAAGAATAAACTTCGGATGGATGGATTGCGCCTTTTGCAACAGGCTCATTGGAAGAAGGGAGATATGAGAAGTAGGGGAGGTAAGACAGCGATGCGGAGACAAATTCGTCGATATGAGGCTCTAAACGAGACGAAACATAGGAGTCTCTCATAGCTGGGGGTTGGGTCGATGGTCGAGGAAATCCAAACGTCGGACGAGCGGCACCGAATCCGATATTTGGCGTCACGTTGGTGTAAGGGTACGCGTCACGCAACTTGCGTGCTGAAATCGTGAGTGCTTGTAGGGCGCTATCAAGCGTCGGCCTGGGTATTAACGACAGTACGACTTTCTTGAGCGAGGGTTGTGTTGAAAGAAGGGATGTGAGGAGTGGCAAGAGGGATTGCGGTGGTAAACTCGCTGGGAGGGTTGAGTAAATGAATGAATGGAGAAAAGGGCTTGAAACTTACCGAGGAGAACTCCCACATCCACCTCTGTCTCTTCAGCAGGACTAGGCGCTTTGTTTTCCTTCCCATCTCTATCATCCTTAGAGCCTGGCTCTGGTGCCACCCTTGCCCGCTTTGGTGCAGCACGTTTAGGTCGCTCTGGTGTTGGGCTCCGGTCCATTGTATAGTCTGAGGGTGGGATGTCGTCGTCATCAAGTTTGCGCTTTAGTTTGCCTGGCGACTGGGAGAAGGTATTGGAAGGTTGATAGAAAGTTGGCGTTGGATTCGAAAGCCAGGGAGTCGGTCCGGCTGATGGTCCCAGGCCGAATCCAAATCCAAATTGCGAGGGAGCATGACCGACGGGTCGGGGGAGGAAGTCGAAGGAGGAGGCCATGAATGTCACTTTTGTGACTCTACCCTTTAGGCAATATCATATCAATCGACGCGTTACACCCGTAACGCGTCTTTTTTTTTCTCTTTCCAACCGCCACCAGCCAACGTGTAGGGCCGAGAAAACCCAGACCGCCTTATTCTCGGTTGTAAGTCCTCGTTTCTTTCCTCGCGTCCTTTTGCGATGAGAATTACGAATCGCTACTTCGAGGTGCTGGGCTATTGCCTTTTACCGATGCTCCCAAATCATATACCCAAATTTCTGAATCCTTCCATTTTTTTAACGTATGGTGCATCGATCTGACGCTTGCCTACACAGGTCCCTGGTACTCTTGGTGTTAAAGTCATGTCCACTTGGATGTGTTGTTTGGTGAGTTTCCTTTCAACTTGTTTCCGAGGATGCCACATAGAAGTCAAGCACTGAAACCATCGTGCTGAAACAACCAAATATTTCATGCTAATTCTGACCTCACCTCTTACATCTTGGATGCCTTTTTTACTGATAATTTTTTCACAGAATCTGTAAGTGGGGTCGGGCTGTTGAGGTTGCATTTACTAAGAGCCTTGTTGCAAACTTGTTGGCTCGTCGAGCATGAATACATATAAGTATTCCCTCTGTAGTTAACTTTCCATCACGTGCTGTGCCAGTACTTCTCGTCACGGTGATCCGAGCGGCAATCTTTCGTCTCTCGACGATGAACTTGCCTGAATCTGGTGAAGTTGAACTCAACAAAGACGGTTCTGTTAGCAAGATGCGTGCTCATAAAGGAAACATGCCCGTCAGCTTGCCTCAGGACAAACTATGTCCATACTGTAGCGCCAGGTTCACGAGAACAACTCACCTCACGCGACATATCAAGACACACGCGACTCAACGCGATTACCAGTGTCCGGTATCACTTTGGCTCGACAAGTGAGAGCACTGCGCTGATTAAAACTTGTAGACCTGTCCAGCTTCGTTTACCAGAAGCGATCTTCTTGCTCGACATCGCAAGATATGTCAAGACCCAAACCGTCCCGGCAGACTCCGTTCGTGTAACCTCTGCATCGAACAGAAAGTTAAATGTGACCGTAAAATCCCATCCTGCTCAAGGTGTCAAGCCCGTGGCAAGCCTTGTGTCTTCGCTACTGGGCCACGGAAGAAAAGCAGACATGTCGAGGTTGCAACCATGTCAAATGTATCCCAAAACGCCGCGTCTTCATCGAGTACTCTCCCGCAATCACCACATGAATCAGTAACGCCAGCGGAGCCACCATTAGATCTAGAATCTCTCAACAAAGAGCTTGACGCTGCTTCCGCCGAGTCGAATATTGCTGCATCGCTGCCGCTTCCTGTGGACAGTCACCTGTCGCCGCACTACGATAACGATGCTTTCCAGCCCCTTTTCGCGGACGTGTTCGATCCTGGAACAGAAAACGCTATTTCACCCCCCAAAGAGGCATTTCCATTGCCTTTCCCGGTCCTCGAGGAGATCCCTCGCCATAGCACCAGCTTGAACCAGCCCTGGTTCCAAGAACTGATAGCCTATGAACAACGTCCATTACTGGAAGAAATGGCGCGTCAGAAGCTTGTTGAAGACTTCTTCACGCAACAGCTACAGTCCGCTGATCCCAAACATTATCGTGAGCAAACCTGCTTTGCCTTCGAACCATCATCGCTTAAACTACATCTCAGTCTACCTCTTCTTCAACGCTTGGACTCTCCAGTTGTGAGTTCATCCACCTAGTTGTCTGGCCTTTCTGATCTACCTTCTCCAGACCTGTCGTACATAGTGCAACGTTCAAATTGGAAGGTAAAGCTCCTGTTCATAGTTGACGCTCTATGAATCTTGCTATAGACAAACCACTTTTCCTCACGAAGTGTATGAAAGCTTGTGGTGCCGTCTTTGTACGAACTCGGAAGGCGTCCAACTATATCAAAGAGGCACTAGGCATTGCTCGGGAGGGTTTGACTATGGCGTTTGTACGGATCTTCGAATTGTCTAAATGTCCTCTTACTTTTACTCTAGGCACAAACTTCGATAGAGCCGTCGACTCAGGTCTATCTAATCATTGCAGTCGTACTCCTGCAAACTCTGGGTCTCTTTAACGAAAAAGCAGAAGAACGTATTGCGTCCCAGATGTACCACTCTCTAATTGTCGCCATGATTCGCCGGACACAGTTAATATCCAGGACCCGCGACTGGCGACCCGATCCTCTTTCAGAAAGTCCCTGGCAGGATTGGGCTTTCTACGAGATGACCAAGAGGTATGGGTGTCGACATACTTGCTTTCACGTCTCAGCGTTTCCTCAGGGCATTGTTGCTCTCGTACTTGCATGATTGTTGCCAGAGCATCTACTTTGGGCTACCCCCATCTTATTTACCTCAAGAAGTCTCACTTCGCCTGCCTTGCGACGAACGCTTGTGGCAAGCTCAAAATGCTGAGGAGTGGCGATCTGTTCTCGTTACGCTCAACACATCAAATCCTTCCCAGATCCCCCATGAATGCCTAGCAGGTCATCCGCTCAACTCCGCGTTCTCAAACATGGTACAGCTGCGGTCAGACTACCTTCCCGTCCCAAATCTGAGCCCATTCGCGCATTTTATCCTTATCCATGCCCTCCTTCGGGACCTCTTCGCTGCCTGTTTGGAAAGGGTCGAGCCGAAATCCTTTTATGAGCCGGGTGACAAGAACGCACCACACCAAACCATTCTGACGACGCAGTATGCGATGCATAACTGGTTGCAAAGCTGGATCGCCAGCTCTGCCCCGATTCGCACCCCCTTTGACGAGCTCCCACTTGCGGAGAACCCACTTCCGTTTTATTGGCTGGCCCAAATTGGCATCTTGGCCCATCAAGAAGGTTTGCCGCCGTTTGACTCCGCCGCGAATGCGACGGGCGAGGTCAGGTTCAAGATCATGAAGCGATGGTTGCGACGAATTCGGACTTTTCTCGTGGAGGGGGACAACCAAACGACTGTTTTCTGGGACGAGCTCATGAAGTTACGGTTACAGAACTGGCAGGCTGAGTTTGAGCTAGATGGAGGGGGAGACGATGATGGCTTGTTGGGTTTCTTTCCATCACTAGCGTGATTAATAATGTAATTGACATATCTATACAATGTCCATGCTAATGCTAAGTCCATGGTCTGCTTCACGGAGAGGAGGACGTCATAGTCAATCCTGTTCCTCTGCAGCGGTTGTTCGAGGCAGTCGGGAAGCATGACAAATATCGACACCCTTCACAGGCTTGAGTGAGAGGTCAGTACTGTGTTTGTCATCATCAACTAACACCCACCAGCATAGGGATCGGACGTGTAAAAGTTTCTCGTTAACACCTGACCAGGGTGAGCTCAGACTCGCCATTTTCGTCAGAGAGAGACACGCACGACGAAGAGAATTATGGCGACGGGAATAGCGAGCACTCTGAAGGTGGTCATAATGATCTTATGCCTTCTGGAAACGCTGATAACGGGATAAAAGATCGTGCCAACAAAGAGGGCCATAACGAAGCCACCTGGTAAAAGAAACAAGTCAACACAAAAGGAAAAATGAAGACGACCCACGCACCCAAGTGAGCGAAGTTGTCGACGAATCTGCATTGAGATTAGTTTTGGAAGGACTCCAGAACATGGTTAGCATACGGAATAAAGCCAACGGCCACACCAATAATTAGTTCCACAGTCATGAACGCGAGCTGTGTGTCCTCAGATAGGGAATGCCCGGATAACAGACTGCCTCACCTTCCTTCCCGGCCTGAAGTGGTATTTCCAATGTGCAAAGAGATCTACCCATGCAACCGCGACTGTGCCGAAGATAGCTCCACTAGCGCCAAGAGAGGGCCGACCAACGAGGGCGAAATTGGCACCGAGGACATTTCCAAAGATGCCTGCCGCAAAATAGACGATGAAGAACCCGGCGGAGCCCATTTCACGCTCGACTTGGGCCGAAACGCTTAACTGAGCCAGCATATTTAGAAGGAGATGGATGATGCCAGCGTGGAGGAAAATGGGCGTAATGAAGCTGCAAACACTTATTCGAGCTCTACACACAGCACAGGGAAATCGGCATACCGGAACCACTGGTCGGGGTCTTTGCCGTGGAACCCACCGAAACCGCAAATGTCCTCGATGGTGCATATTTCGGTTGCTGGATTGGCCGTGTTATTCAAACAGGCGATTGGCATTGTGGGGGGAACGTCGTCAATGCGTTTCATACACGGAGGGAATCGTGCGCCAATATTGATCAACGTTGTGCTAGACGGGCCTAGACAACTGAGCGGGAAAATACTGGCAGAAGAAACATGCTATTTACCTAGCATGTAGTTGACCACAGGCTTGAAGGAGAGAACGCTGCCTTGTGCCTTTGTACCCGTCAATAACCTTCAAGAACGGAAAAGTGGTGTCCGCCTACATTTTTGTTGGCGATCAGCTCGTAGATAAAGACGGCGCACATAGCCGCTGTTAACAGCCATACTAAGACAAAGCTCAGTCTACATTCAAGGCGAAGATTACGGTAGAACGAACCGAGATAGGGATATCGTTGCCGCCCCACACCACGCCTCTTCATGTCAATTCGTTGTTGGAGACTGCTCTGGCCCCCACCAAGGAATCGGGCAAACGGAGACGCCTTCTCTGCCGGTGGTGGCGGTTGTGGAGGCTCCGCATAGTCTAACAGCCCGTTAGCAACGTGCAAGCTTGTCAAACAGTTTTCGTCACCCATATCCTGGTAGTTGCTGCGCCCGACCTTGGCTGCATTCTCTACTAGCGATGAATCATCCGCGGACTTTGTATAGCTCGGTTCTCCATAGTGGTCGTAGCCTCGCTCGTCGTCTGAATATGGGTTGTGATGTTGCTCGTGAGCTTTCGACTTTTCGGGAATATGGATCGGGTCGAAAGTCTCGTCTTGAGGAAGGTCGTTTGTCCTGACAGGCATGTATTGAGAGGCCATGCAATAGTCGTGGTGGTGGTTGGGAGAAGTGAAGAATGTCGTCAACGAATGGATTATGCAGTGTAGACTGCGGCTTTGTGACGTCGCGCGCGCCAAGAAATCTATGACAGCCTAGATTCAAGTTTTCAACAAAATTTTTGGTTGACCTTTCGGTGGTAAAGTAAATAAATCCAAGCATCCGACCCTTTCCAAAGCTCTCCTCTTTAACTGGAAGCTACCATATATTTGGTATTCCGAACCATACAAAAAAATAACGGGCTCTTGTGCCCGGCAATGCAGTGCGATGTTATTCTACAGGTGTTGTCTCCGCATCTCCAGCTTGGCTGAGTCTACCTTTACTTCTCCCAGAAGGTTTCCTCGTCAATGGTGTTATGTGAGTATTGATCTTGAGCGACTCAGGTTCCAGCCCGTCTTCAACTTCTTCAGTCTGCAGCTCTTCTTCGTCAATTGGTTGAGTTAGTCGAGTCCATCGCGCTGCAGATCGAACGCCATCTACCCATAACAGTGTGCCAACATTGACTTCCCTCAGAGTCTTATCTCGTGACCTCCATTGCATGCTCCCTGCCCCGCTCGTTTGGCTCGAACTTCGAGAATCGGGCGTTAATAATAGATTGGAGGGTGTGTCGTCCACCAGAACAGGAAGGGCCGAAAGCATCCTTGGATCTGACGGGAAGGCAAGCGGGAGCATATGTCGCGAGTCAAGTAACTCTCCTAATACTTGAGGCGGCTTCACGGGCTCCCAGGCTGCTTTTTCCTGAGTCTTCTCAAACAACAGATCAATCGCGTGTTGTCCCATTGAGCTTTCGGATGACGCGATTGAAGGGGTCGAAGCAACACCAGAAATACTGTGCGACTCGGTTGCATAGGAGGAGATACTGTCGCGATCCGTGTCCCGCTGACAGTGGTACTTAGTCAACTGGCAGATGGTCAATAGATGGGTGGCAAACCTCTTTACGAAGGGCTTCAACACCAAGCTTGACACGGTGTCGCTCCCAATCTTTTTGGAGCTGAGTGAGATATTGAACGCACTCCTCAGTCATCCGTCCTTCATTGACTTCGTATTTATATTCCCGAACCGCACGCCGCATCTACGTCAATACGTGATCAACAGTGGGCGGGAGAGGTATTATGGACTGACCTGGAGCGGGTTGATGTGTTGGAGGGTTTGAATTGTCGCCACCAGATTAGAAAAGTCAGTGATAGAAGAGAGGCACTGGCAAATTGAGTAGACGACAAGTACGAAAGGGAACAACAAACCTGTAACCAATTCAAAAGATCTCGAACAGGATTGAAATGGGACTGGACACCACGCGGAAGGCCCATTTGTTCTGCCCATTCCTCGAGCGCGAGTAGGTTCATGCTTATTTGTAATGCTCTTGATCTGTTCAAACATGAGACAAAATTAAAAAGGGTTGTCCGAGACGACGAACCGACATAGATATTTTTTCCGTGTCAGAATTCGATTGAACATCTCGCCTGAACAGCGTCAGAATGGAGTATGGGCAGCACCCGAGTCATTACATGAAGTCCAATACATGACTTGCGACCACAACTGTGTCGTCAGTGCGGGATTAACGTCGGACAGGGTGAGCAGAGTATGCAGGGCGGTCATGAAGGAAGTGATATCGGCAATTGAAGTCTGAGGAGGCCCGTCGGAGAATAATGCTTGAATTGGAGTTGTTTGAGAGCCTGCACGAGCCCGAGCGAAACTCTGTCGTAGCGAAGAAAAACTTCGCGAAGTGGATGCAGATATACTACCTGAAGGAGATGCCGGTCGGTTGGGACTTGGTGGGGTTGGAGGTACGGTAGGCCGCAAGGGAGGTGGAGGGGCGGCCGATGTTGTTTTCTTTTTACCGGTCAAAGACCGCAAAAAAGACCATTCAGACTCGAATTGGACTGAGTCCATCTCTGCCGGAAGCGGCGAAAAATCGAGCAAGGCCGCATCAAGAAGCTGATCTATACGGCGCTCTGCATAGCGAATAATGAAAACTAGTGAATAAACGGATTAGAGTTATAAGTCGGACCAGGCTTCAACACACCGAAGACAGAGTTGATGACTTCCTCTATTAGCTCGAAGGATCCAAGCATCTCGCATGCTTCATTTATGGAGTTGTCGCAGCTAGCAACAGTCTCTTAGTTAGACAGAAAAGCCGGGCAAGAGTCACAAACCGAAGTAAGTGGAGCCAGATGGTGGTGTTTCTTAGCCAAAAAACCAAGCAAGTAATATCGTCTGCTCTTTCCTGCTCTTTGCGTTGACGATTTGATCCGAGGTGAAACAAAAACCCACAAAGAAAGTTTCTTCTATGGCATCTGCCGCTCCGATAATGAGATCTTCTAGCCACGTATGGTCGCATGTTAAGCATGCGAATCTAGCCAGCATGTAAAGTGAGTTTGCGGGTTGTGAATCGCGAAACGAGGGTCGGAAGTTAGTGATAAGTGATTCAAAAATTTGCGGGAGAGCTGGTGGGGAGAAGACGAGCATGGAGGAATAATCAGGCGGCGGTGTCTAGAAGAGGCCATGAAAACGAGGTGAAACTCAGAAGCAGGACTAACATAAATGTCTTCAGTGGCATCCTCGTCCTCTGAATCGGAGTCCGACCAGGAGTAATCGATGTCGCCCCACCATCGCGCATCGAGGCCGAGTACCTTTTCAACGCCATCTCGGATCGCTCTTTGTTTTGAAAGTCGCTTGCGTTTGTCGTCTAATAACCGTCGCTTATCGTCTAGCTTTCCACCCGTCCAGCCTTCGCCCCGCATTGCTTCCTGGAGTAACAATGCCACATCTTCCCTGCCAGGAAGCACAGAATGGGCGGTCACAATATCGAGAGGAGTGAGATTTCGGCGTGTAAGGGCGAACACAGAGCAGCCATGGGTCATCAGGTAAGATATCAGTGTTGGCGGAGACAGCAACGCCGCGTGGTGTAGAGGTGTCCATCCGGCTAGCAGGGTTCAAGTTAATATAGAGTAAGGCCCACAAAATGAGCTTTACCTTGGTCAGCATTGAGGTCCGCGCCTTGAGAGATCAAGAGTCGGACACACTCCTCGCGTTCAACGTCTCTGTCGGATTCGGAGCCAAAGCCATGAATGGCCAGTGTAACGAGGCCAATTCCATCATCGTCACGTACTCCAAGATCGACATAAGGTTGGGCCTGTTGGTCTGCAAGAAGAAATTGAAGAACATTCAGTTCGGCGAAGACACAGGCACGAGTAAGGCAATGGGAAACGAGCTCCGCTCGTTGGTCGGGAGTGAGTCCTGAATCAGAAGACAGGAGTCCTGCGATGTATACGGTGTTGGGATATATTGGTCGCAGGTCGGGAAGGAGGTCGAAGAGGGTAGATGACGATGCCATCCCAGGCAACGCGTCGTGAACAGTGAACTGTCGTGAAAGCTTTGGTCACTTGTGTGACTGAAATACTATGTCTCCACCACCACCTCTCAAACGGCAAAGACTTTCGGAGGACGAATCCGACGACTCCGATGGCTCGGGCAACTTTTCGGACGATTCGGAGGGCAGCTCTGACCATATTGGCGACATGAAACCACAAAAGTCACGCCAAACGAAGAAACGAAAAATTCGTGCAACTCGCGCGACGGCCTTTGGAGAAACTCTTCAATCGTTGCTTGGCACCGACGCCCCCTCTGCGCTACCGCTTTCCCTCAAACCCTCAGTGGGCAGGAAACGCAACGATGAGAAATTGGAACTCAAAGCGAAGAGGGTGTTGCAAGTAGAACGGAAGGAGAAGGAAGATAAGGGTCGTATCAAGGATGTTATTGGGGGCTGGGGTGGAGAAAGTGAAAGAGCTCTCCGAAAGGTGGCTCAGCGCGGAGGTATGTTATTGGGATTTATCAGGAGTGGTGTTGAGGCGCCACAGTGGTCAAACTTTTCAATGTCATACAACAGTCGCAAGCCTCGGCTGCCGCAGTGGTTGAAGAGAATAAGGCATCGCGGGGAACCGGGAAGGCGACGTTAGCAGCGCCTGTTGAAAAGCCTGTAAATAAGTCGGACTTCCTCGATTTTATTCGGGCGGGCGCGGTTGTGTCTAAACGATGATATCTTATATGCTACTCTTTACCCACGAATCAGTTGTTTGAGCTTTCGTGCTCGACATTGCGCTGGGTACTGGACGAACGACTATGGCAGTCGGAAAGTACTACACCAACTCGTCCAAAAAGAAAAAATTCTGGTAGGTGATCCAATCATTGAGAAACGGTCACGCTGTCACGTTTCTGTTTAAAAACTTCGTCCGTTTTTCGTTCATGGTTTGTTTTGCCCCCACCATCCCTCCCAACCTGACACTCATTAGGCAACCGCTCCTTCCTCCTCGAAACCACAGAAAATCTCTATTCGTGCTGAAGAATGGGACCGTCGTCTCCATGAAGTCCAGATAACCAAACAGTGAGTTTGTCGTCTATCTCCTTCACCGGATGACACACAATTGGGAATCTCTCTGAACTCTTTGATGAGCTCAAAAATTGCATGTATTATCTGATCCTTCTTTCTTTTCCGTTTCTCGTGATGTTTCGCTTTGTTGACATCCATTTCTCTAGTGACCTGAACCGTCTCATCATGGACTACCTTGTTGTGGAGGGCTACAAGGCAGCTGCAGAAGAGTTTTCCCAAGAGGCCAACCTCTCTCCTGATGTCGACTTAGATAGCATCGAAAGCCGCATGAATATCCGTGACGCTTTGCATCGTGGAGACATAGAAGACGCTATTGCCCGCGTCAATGACTTGAATCCAGAGGTATGTCTTCATCTGTAACCTCTTCAAACACGTCACAAGGATTAAAACAATTCATGCACCACTCTCAGACCTCTGGGTCGGTGATGAGCTTGTTAACCATACTATAGATATGAACCGACGTGCCATGCGATTCTCTTTGAGGAAACTAACTACGAATACAGATCCTGGACACCAACCCGGCCCTTTACTTCCACCTCCAACAACAACGGCTCATCGAATACATACGCGAAGGACGCATTGCAGAGGCTCTGCAATTTGCGCAAGCTGAACTAGCTCCGCGTGGAGAAGAAAGTCCCGAGTTTTTGTCGGAGCTGGAGAAGACGATGGCCTTGCTAGCCTTCGATGTTATGCCTTCTGCGCCGCCTGGGATCTCTGAACTACTTTCTCATGCTCAGAGGATGAAGACGGCTGGCGAAGTGAATGCAGCGATTTTGGAGAGCTTAGGTCAACCGAAGGATGTGAAGCTTGATGGTCTCTTGAAGTTATTGGAGTGGGGAGAGAAAGAGTTATCAGATCGCGCAGAGTATCCTCGTTTACACTTGTAAATCTACCTTGTTGTACACTATGTAGCACTAGAATTTATTGGGTATGAACAACTTCATGCGCTGATGTAAGATCTACGTGAATTGCTATTGCGCTCCTTCAAATAATAGTTTTCGGCGTGAGGGTCCATGTTCATGGCTGTCGCGGTATGAGGAACGAGTGAACGGACCGTTTCCGTGTCAGAAATGACGGGAGCGGTGACCCAATCGTAGGCAGCTTCACCCATATCAGCCTCGTCGATGCCGACCATTTCTGCAGCCTCCGAGACACGAAGACGAAGTCCAGGGATATAATGCATAATCCAAAGAATGAGGGTCTGATCGCTCGTTTCAGGACTTTGCACAGGATGATAACAGAGAACACGAACAGTCACGACGAAAGAGTAGGCCAAACCGGCAGCAGAATCTGCGACATGCCAAGCAAGCTGTTATGAACGAATGAGATAATATATAAAGAAATGTGGTTGAGCATACTTGGATCCAATGATGGTCGAGCCAGCCACCAGGGATAACAGTGAAACCGTCTTTGTGTAGGCAGTCAGCGAACATTTCCATTTTGGGGGGAGGAGGATTACCGTATGCAGCAATTTTGCGTTGCGCAAAGATCGCAGTGAGGAGATTGCCCACAATCCCTCCAACAGCGTGCGAGGCAAAAACGTCGAGCGAGTCGTCGTAGCCAGCGAAGAATTTGATCTGTGTAGCGAAGTTGCAGACAGTGCCAGCCATGAATCCGAACAACACAGAGGCAGCTTTTTTGAATTCAAATCTGTGGCAAGGATTATACCAAATTACTCACGAGAGCCGACGAATCCTGAGCCTGGAGTGATAGCTACGAGTCCCGCAATGGAGCCCGAGCAAAATCCAACTGCAGACCATTTTCTTTCAATCCGATAGTCCTGTAATCGATGAGATTCACAAATAGAGCGGGGACGAGGCATTTACCCAAGCCATCCAGGTTAAGCCACCGACACAGGCGGCTAGGTTGGTAACAATGAATGCGCTAGCCGCTCGCAAGTTGGCGCTGAGGGCTGTAATCGCGTCACGTGATGATAGTGATTGAGATTCAAAGAAACAAACCAGAACCCGGATTGAAGCCAAACCAACCGAACCAGAGGAATATGGTTCCGATAACGACGTAGCTTGTGTTGTGAGGCTTGTATGCTAGTGCTTCGGTACCGTATCCGCGTCGCTTGCCCAGATAAATAGATATGGCAAGAGCAGCTGCCCCCGAAGAAATGTGGACGGGAGTACCGCCGGCAAAGTCGTACGAGCCGTTTACAAAGGACCATCCATGGGGGTTCCACGTCCAGCAAGCGATAGGATCATAAACTGCCGTTGACCAGATGAAAACGAAGACAAGGACAGGACCTAGATGAGCGCGTTCTGCAAAGCCTCCAAGTGCAAGCATAGGTCTATTGAAAATCCCGTTATAGGCATATACGGAGAATAGTTGGATGCACAAACGTGATTGCAGCGAACATCAACTGGTAGACACAAAACACGATGCTGGGGATCTAATTCAAAAAAGTTAGCACATGAATATTCTGGTCTCATTAGTCTCCCTACCCTGCTGCTACCGACGGAGGGCTTCTCGAGGACATCCCGCAAAGCAAAATGTTCTGTTACAAGGTCAGAGACCACAGCGAGAATAATTACATCGGTACCCACTCAGATCACCGATAAAGAGGCCTACAAATCATGAACGTTCTATCATTGAGAAGAAGCAATCAACGGACCAGCGCCTTCAGAGAAGGTGAGAGAAAACCCCCAGAACCACCATTGGAATGATACGACAGCAATGGTACCTGGGACGAGTTAGTTGCGAACAAGTCTCTGACTCGGAGCCGAACCCATCGAAAGAAATATCATAGAGAGAGCATTTTTACGCCTATAACACGTTAGAGGGGCAACGAGAGGCGATTTGATACAACCTTAAGAGACCCGAATAGAAAAACCCGACCCCTTTATCGCATGTTTAGCTAGACTCTCTTGCGTCGTCCTGGGTGGACTGACCTGGTATCATGATCCAAACTAGTGCAGTACATGCCAGGACCCAAGAAATATCGCCAGAGTTGTAGACAAAGCTGGTCTGATCATCTTGTTTGTAGACCAGGTTACCAGCTGGAAAGAGTGGGGATTAGCTGAAGGAAGGCCATAGACTGAGTCCTACAAGCATCGTAAGAGATTCCGGACATGGTGTCGAGAGGAGAAAAGGAGAGGAGGGGATTGTCTTCTTCGGATGCTCTTTAGCATTGGCAGTTAGATTGATCTGGACCAAATGTAATCCAGGGCTACGCTGTCATGCTGAATGGCTGTTAAGGTTGTTTTTAGCACTGTCGGACGGTGGCTTGATGTCCTTGAAGCAGAGTATAGTAATGTTATCAGACGTTGTCTGTGAACGATTGCTGAACGGTGTCGAAGTTCGAATTTGATCGGTCAAGCATGGCTCCGTATTCAATTGAAATAGACTGCTAGCGCTAATCCACCAGATTCGGATGGATGACGGGATGGTTTCACCCTAAAACGGTGCATTTTCTTGCGTTGGAACTGGAGCGAGGTTCGTCGATGTTGAGGAAGAATGTGACAGGTCCCACCAAAATGTGACGCATTCGGATGCGTGACCAGTCAAGTCATGTTTAATGACCGCGTCGACGCGTTGAGTGCGCATCAATAACTATTAGAGGATGACATCCATGAGTGTTCTGACTGATACGTTCTCTCATACATTCTTGCCATGTTCTCCGCGCGCGAGCAGTGGCCGAAGTCAAGCTTCTCTGATCCCAGTTGATGGCTAGGTGTGGTTATCAGCTTCATCCCAAAGGTGGGAAGGGCCCTCTATACTCGGACACTAACTCTAACAACCCACATCTACCATGTCTAGCCGAATCGCCACTCGTCGCACAAAATACCAACCTACTCTTCCAGTTCCTCCTGTGCCCCCAGTGCCCCCAATGCCGTCGCGCTCTCCAGCCCCCTCCTCATCGTCATCACAAGACCAAAGCTTGTCTTCACCACACAGGAAAGAGAAGTCGTTACCTCTACGGACTGTCAACTCTCCCGCACCGTCCTACTATGAAGATGACCCACGTCCATTGCCTCCATATCCTATATCGAATTCGCCACCATCTTCGACTGGATGGGTTGCTTCATCCGATACCAAAGCTACTACAGTTCTTGGCGCTCCTCCACAATACCCTGAACCACATAGGTCAGGCTACTATCACACGCCGGCCCTTTCTCCTTCTGTCTCCCGAGCCAGCATGTCCCGCTCAATATCAACCGCGTCTTCATCTATGACCAGTCTCCCATCCATAACTGACTCGCTTCCGCTTCATCCTCCCCCCGAATTATTTCGAATGCGGTCAGGTTCGGACGCGAGTTCCCATCCGCCATATTACGCTCCTCCGTCTAGGCTTAGACTACCAATATCACCTGGCGCACCCATTTCGACTCAGCAGTATCAAACTAGACCTTACCAAGCTACGCCTTCCACTCGTTCAATTTCACCGCAAGCCGATGCGATTTCGGTGGTTCCACGAACGGTCCCTCTCTCACTAAATGTTAATCGACAATTGGCCACACCAATAACACCATCTAGTACTTCTCCGCCATCGGCTCCGGCTGCCTTCGTGTACCCGTCTGCCCGTACGAGAGCGCGACCTAGCGGAACTCCAAGCTCCGGATTCAAATTTCGCGGGAAAAGGAAAACCAAGGCAACGCCAGAACAGCAGTCTGAACAGCTCCCCACTCCAACTGAAAGCGCATTTCCCGTCGCTACCACCAATGCTCCCAAACCTCGGCCCTCAGTGTCTGGTGCCTCCATCGTCTCTGGTGCTTCCATCGCGTCTAGTGATAGTGGAAGCAACACCTCCTCGATCCTTCCTTCACGCCCAGCTGCTGAGCCATTTTACTTTCCTTCAGCACGAACCAGAGCACATCCCAAGAACCCAGGGATCAACTTCGGCAAAGGCAAGAAGAAGGAGAGCAGCGGGGGCACCAAATTGCCGACTGGTTTTTTGAGAATGGGATTGGGAAAGAAATCGACTCCATCTGGCGTCAGCGTCAATCCAAGAGTATCGGGAGAAAGTGCTGGCGCTTCACTTGCTCCACCACCGCAGTCCCTTTCTCGAGGGAATACGCCGACCCCGCCCCGAGTTTACCGAGAAAGTATCCCGGAAGAAGACGAGTACTCTTATCTACCACATATAGAGACCAAAGTCGGTGTTTATCCACTTGACTCGTACGATCCGATACTGATGGAAGCGTACGTCTCCGTCTTTCATCTCCTTTCCCAAGGTTTTAAGGCATTTTTAGCGATCGCCAAACTTGGGAGTTGTTGCGGAAAATAAATCGGATACAGGGCAATCCAAGTTTCCACAACTACGGTGGAAGACCGCCTCGTGCCGTTTTGGATCTAGGTTGTGGGTCAGGGACATGGATGTTGGATGCTGCGATGGCGTGGCGGGCAGCTGGAACGCAGATCGTTGGCTTGGATATGATGGACACTCTCCGTGGAATGTGGCCCATTGCGCAAAGGCAGGGTGTCGCTGAAAATATCAAATTTATTCGGGGAAACTTGTGGGTTTTTTTTTTCGTTTGAAGCACAACCACTGACGCCTTCCAGTGTCAAAGACTCCCTGCCCTTTCCAGACGGGTCCTTCGATCTAGTCCGAATTGCGAACTTGGCTCTGTGCATCCCTCAGTCTCGATGGGAATTTGTACTTGCTCAAGTTAAACGGGTTCTGGTGGTAGGTGGTCGACTCGAGTTCATTGAAGACCATTTGCTCTTTCCCTACGGCAAACCTTCCGCTGCAACAGAACTTAGCTCTCCACAACTCGACACTCCCATTCCTTCCACCGGCTTCTCACGGATGAGTTTAGCAGACGTTGTCAATGCTCGGCCTGCGGAAACTGAGTTCAACGACACGGATAGCGAGGTTTATAACCTGTACCACGTGGAAGAAGAAAATGAGGACAACGAGTCCTTCATTGACGGCGGTATGCTTGCGCCTGCGACGCCCACACCATATGGTCAATATCCTTCTTCTCCCATGGCACCATCAATTGCAGGTGGTTCCTCGATTTCCACAACGACATCAATGGGAACAACAGAAGCTTGGCATGAACAGGCACAGGCCGCCCGAGAGCTTGAAGCGCTTTTCGAGCATATGTTGACCATGAAATATGGTATCCACCCTCGTCCAGCCGAATTCTTGTTTGAAATTCTTTCGGGAGTATTTGGGAGTGTTAAGGAAATTGCAGCGATGCATTTGACATTGGCACCTCCCGAACCAGCTGGACAACGCCAACATGGTCTTATAGAGACCGACGCACTCACACAGAGCCCAGGAGTCATGCTTTGGCCTTCAACTTTTATCCCATTACAACCGACAGAGTTGGAAGCCGTCGTTTCCAAGCACCAACGCGTGTTGCTTTCGTGCAAATCAGCACTAGTCGAGTATGCAAAGGAAGTTGCTATGGAGGGGGAAAGTGAGTCGCAGGGAGCGGCTGCAATGGAGGCACTTTGGGACTACCAGAAGTAAGTCGACTGAAATTGATTAGGAGAAGAGACTGGTCTGACGCCCACATAGTTTTCTCCGTGAGCGATTCAATCCTCCACCAGAAGTGATCCGTCGACAAGCGGATGATACCGACAGTTTGCGGGAGTCGGTGTCGGTGGGCTCGATCAGCTCAGAGGCCCTAAATGACATGGAGGAATACCAAAGCGAACTGCAATCCCGATACGAGAGACCGGAAGGCGGGTCTAGACCCCGCCAAAAGATTGACCCTACAACTGGAGAGACCATGATAAGGGTAAGGAAACGGGGAAGTCGAAGTAGTCGACGAAGAGCGGCAAATTTGTTGTCCACAACAACGAATGGTGGGTCACGGAACGAGTTGACCCATGTTCGAAGTTGCTTTGTTTACGAGGCGGTTAAAGTAGCTGAGTTGCCTGCACCGTTGGGAGGGTTTCCAAGTTTTGTACGATAAATAGAGGGAAAAATAAACTTGAAGACAACGGACAAATATTATGTAACCTGTCAATTTGATGGAAGCGTGACTGCAGACCCTTCCTCGACTGTCTCGAGTCGGATGGCGTTCTCGGAAGCGGGACGCAGGGCTGGCCAGCGCCGTATGCAGCTGGTAGTCGTGAACCGAGGCTCTGACTCGAGTGACGATGAACCGCAAAGGACAAGATATCATTATAGTCCACCACCGCTGCCAAATCCACCACCTCCAAAGATCGCGACAAGGCAACGACTTCCTCCCCAACCTTCCTCCCACCCATCCTCGCTCTCCTCCCCGTCTAGCAGTGCTGCTGACGAATCAACACCACCTCCGTCCACTCCAGGCCTCTGTCTTGATGAGACAGAGCAGACCGTTCTCAAACCACCACCCCTTCCCCGTATTCCCACTGCACGGTCTTTCCAATCACCAACAGAAACATATTCCCCCCATCCTGTTGCAGACCGTGTTCTAATTCTCGTCACCGGCGACTCAGAGCATTTTGTCAATGTCGACATCAGCGGCGCTCCAAATCCCGCCTTCATCCGCGAGCGCGTGTTCACAAAGGTGTGTATCAAACATTCTACACTTTTTCCACTAGGCTGATACCTTTTAGCTTGCTATATTCGACGAATATGACCAAGCCAACTTGTCGATTTATCGCACCGAGATTGGCAGTTTCGCCATCGGCGATGCTCTCTCCGACGACAAGCTGTTTGATCTTTGTCGCGAGCAAGGTGATGAAAAGGGCTCCCTCAAGCTCCTCGTATGTGCCTCGGCAGCAAATGTCCATGAAGTCCATACCACTGGCACACTCGTTCCCCCATTAATCCCACCTCTGCAGCCCAGACGGCGGACTCGTTCACCAAATGGAAGTGTCTCTTCGACCAGCGAAAACCTGCCACCCGAGTCTTCTGCCGGATACGAGGCCGATCTGGAGAAAGAGCGACGGAATCTTCTCGCTCCAAACAGCCAAGCTCCGCAGTATGTTGCCTCTCCTCTACCCTCCCGGTCAAGTTCTCCCCTACCACCTCCTCCATTATATGACAAACATGGAAATATAATAGCGCCGCCACCCCCACCACCCCCGCTTTCACCGAATCACCCAACATCAGTCGACGACAACATCACTCCCCCAGGCACTATCTTGCACGCACGGGTTGCATCCGATGCTGATCAAACCATTCCTGAACCACAAGATCTTCGCAGAAATAGGCCGCAACATAGTGGGCGAACCGCATCACAAGGCCGCGACAGGCGAGCGCGTCACAAAAACTCATTTAATCAGAGCGACACGGAGGATAGTCCCGGTCAATTGGAGTCATGGGTGATGGTCAATAATGCCTCACGCTCTGACGATGACCATCCTCCAACTCCCATTGATGTCCGTAATTCTCCTTCGTCTGCTGCTCGTGCCACGGCCCGTCAACAGTTATCTCCTTCACGCTACAAGGCCTCTTCTCCCTACGGCGGTCGGACTTTGGCAATACCAGCTCCTCCACGAAATGCTCCCCCACCCATACCTGCGAATGCGCCTGATCCTCGTATTCCACCGCCACGTGCCGCTGGCCAGCCCGTCCCAAGCAAATGGATGGTGACTTGGAAAGGCTCTGATCGCGGAGAGCAAAAATCTCTCCCGACTCAAACATCAACTTGGAACAGGTTCAAGACTGCCAAAAGCATGGACAATCTCCGTGGATCAGCATTAAATTCGCATCCAGCTAATTTGCAACCAGGCGGCGGCAGACGGGCCCACCCGCTGCCGGTTTCTCGCTCAAGTGCCAGTGGGATCCGTGACACATTACTTTCCGCTGCAACTCCAACTGCGCTCGGAACACCCAAGTCTTTTGATGGAGGCCGCTCTTATGAGACCCGACAAATTCGACCCCTGCCAATACAAGGCTCCTCGCATACGACCATTCACGAACTAGGCCCCGCCCCCACAAACCAATATGGCACACGAACTCCTGGGTCCATATTAATGTCTCCTAGTAATGAACCATACCCACGACCACAGTCGGCGGTTGGAGAGGCTATCAACTCTCCGCAACAACGATATAACCGACACCTTCCCCCAACAGGTTTTGGCACATCGCTTGAAGGCGAATATGGTCGTTCTCCGCGTGCACCATCGCCCACCCACCCTTTTCCTACTTCTTCTCCTTCAACTGCCCTCCCATTCAGGTCGAGTCGGCCCAGCGACGTTTTGCAAAGTCCTGGAAGCCCTCGTAGTCCACGCTTTGTATCACGGGATCGCAGACCTAGTTCTGCTGGTAATGAAGCACGCCCGGAGATAACTACAACATCCGCCAATGGAGATGTTGGCGCATCTCAATGGGCTGCCCAACTATTCCCAAGCGCAGATTCCACTCTCGTTCCAGAGTCGATGACTCTGATGCCGCCACCGAATGGCACTATGATCAGCACCCGATCTTACGATTCTGATAGCGACGACAATGACACAGGTACTTGGAAGAAGGCACCGTCTTCTGAGCGACCCAAATCTATTCTACGCGGACCAGCATTGACGGTACAAATCGAAGACTCTAACACTCTTCGGCCTAATGGACAACAACATCCTACTTTTGCCACTCCTACCCTCCGACCCTCGTCCCCCTCGCCCGCTGCTGCTATTGCTAAATCAAAACGAGATAGACACGGAAGTACCTTCACCGCTCGTCAGGAAGATACTTGGGCACCCCGACCTCCGCCTGAAGACGTTTACGAACGTCTAGAAGACTTCTTCCCTCAGCATGATTTGGACAAACCGGTGATCGAGGCAGCGTCTGGCGGAACCTCGCCAACAAGCACTGATCAAATATCCATACCCACGCCATTGACACCCGCGGTCCCTGACAAAGGACGCATACGAGGGAAAAAAAGTATTCGTATCGTTGCCCAAGAACGCAAAAGGCATATGGACCGTGCTTCCCGCGCCGACGGTATGACATCGATTCAGCGCAAGCGAAGCACAAAACTCTGGGGTAGTCGGGTGGAAGAAGTTGATACATCGAGCCTTCCTGAGTCGCCGTCAAGTGATGTTTCCAGCACAAGTAAGCCCGCAATTCCCATGTTAGTCTAATCTGACGTCTTTTTTTTCTTATTTTAGCGACATTCAAATGGGTTCGCGGCGAGTTGATTGGTCGCGGTACATATGGACGAGTGTATCTCGCACTCAATGCCACAACTGGAGAAATGATCGCCGTCAAGCAAGTCGAAACCCCACGCACGGCCAGCGACAAGAACGACACCCGACAAATATCTGTTGTTCAGGCGCTCAAGATGGAGAGTGAGACCCTCAAAGTGCTTGATCATCCGAATATTGTCCAGTATCTTGGTTTCGAAGAGACTCCAACAAACCTGAGCATGCAAGTTATTTTCTTCTTGTCCTTCTCATCTTCTAATCACTCCCGTAGCTTTCTTGAGTATGTTCCTGGTGGCTCGATTGGCAGTTGCCTCCTCAAGCACGGCAAATTCGAGGAGGACGTCACCAAGTCGTTTACCTCACAAATCCTGGCTGGATTGGAATACCTGCATTCCAAAGGCATCATCCATCGGGTTTGTTCCACTGTGCTTGTTTTGTCATGTCTCATTGGCTCTAGGACTTGAAATCAGATAACATTCTTGTTGAAATGTCTGGTGTCTGTAAGATTTCCGATTTTGGTATCTCCAAAAGGACGGACGACCATAACGACGCCCACACGGCCATGCAAGGCACTGTGTTCTGGATGGCTCCAGAAGTTATCAACACTCAGAAAAAGGGCTATAACAATAAGATCGACATCTGGAGTATTGGATGTGTCGTCCTGGAAATGTGGGCTGGTACTCGACCCTGGACTGGGGACGAGATGGTAGCTGTCATGTTCAAGGTCACTTTCTCGTGTTTAGCCTTGCCCCTCTTTAACATATATGCCTTAGCTGTTCCAATCCAAGCTTCCGCCACCTATTCCAGATGGCCTTGTATTGACACAACCCGCAGACGACTTCCGACGCAGTTGTTTTGCCATGTCAGTGTTATTGCTTCGTTGGTTCAAGTTTATTGACTTTAGTCTAGAAACCCGGAAGAGCGCCCGACTGCGGCTGAACTAAGAAGGCATCCATACCTGATAGTCACTCCTGGTTGGGTATTCGACGGGTTCGAAGCCCAGTAGGAAGTACACTGACCTCTCTCTCTCTGTTATGTTCATCGCATCTAACCGCACATTTGTTGTTCACATAAGCCATACTTTGTAGCATTTTTAATGTCATAATACCCACCCACGCATGTACTCATTAAATTCGTAGTCACCGATAAGGAAATACATTTGCTATATCGGCCTTTTACAACGCAACCCCTGGCCCCTTGTGCTTCAAGAAACTTGTCGCTCGTTTCAGTCCTGTCAGTGAATCTAAATTTAGGAACCAGAACGTATGACATCATCGCTTAATGTTGCCTTCTGACCACGATCGAGAACAGGCGGCTCGACGAATACAGCGCGCTTGGAGAGCCAAGCATGATACCAACGCATTTCTGACGACCTCAGTCCGACTCAATGATTTCAAACTACACGCATCCCTCACCGCGGCACGTGAATCCGCAGCTGTTGGCGACAATTCGCCCAAAGCTCGCTGGCAACGAGCGATTCGCTTTACTTCGCGACTCCAGGATGCTAATCCAATGCTTACGGATAATGGGGTTCAAGATGACTCGGCTCCGCAGAAAATCTTGGAGACACAGCATTGGTTAGAGCTTGTGGATGGGTGTGTGCTTATCGACTTTGTTCGTCGAGATCGACTGAGCTCTCCGGGGAAGGAAACATCGTTACGGCTCGAACTGTTGAGTACACAGTTTCTGCGGTGCTTTTCCTCATAGAAGATCACTAGTGAAGTGGTACCACAAAGTTTGGAGGGAAGCGGACACCACAGAGAACTTTTTTCAATGGTGGGCTTCGCATCACCACATCGCTTTGGATGAAACTTACTCATAGGCTGGACCACGGCGAGGGGAAATCACTGTCGTTGGAAGACTGTTCTCGGGAACAATTGGAAAGCGAGGTCACATTTCTTTTTGAATTTGGTCAACATTATGTCTGAGGACATCCTCTAGAAAATTGTGTCTGTGGTTTCAACCCTCTACTCTTATTCCTCTGACCGAAATAAGATATCTTTCGACAGAACAGCGTATGGCTGTTTTTTCCGACTGAAGATCTCATCATCTCTGTTGTTTAGGCTTGAACTATCTCGTCGAGATTGATTCTATAGGTCGATTTCGCTGGGCAAGAAACCACGAACTTGTAGACACTACCCCAGGGAGATGGAAGGATTCTGGCAACGGACAGGGTATTGTCCCTGATACTGGGTCAATTCGTGGAGCATTATTTCGAGGCGAAAGTCTTGGTTCAACAGACTCTGCTGCGCGGGAAGCAGCAGCCACCCACTATGCAGGCGCTCGTGGCAGATATAAACTGACGCGCGAGTTTCGCAAGCGCTTCACGCTTCACGGAATCGTCAATCGGCTACTTAGGAAAACAGTGAAAAAGAACGTCTGGATATATACCTCGGATAAGCATTTCAACATATTCGTAGGCATAAAGCAGACAGGCACTTTTCAGCACTCTTCGCTCTTGGCCGGGGGCGTAGTGACCAGTGCTGGTCTCATTTCCGTTAAAATGGGAGTGGTCCACACACTTTCGCCATTGTCAGGACATTATCGAACTTCAGTCGATGTATGTGTCCTTTTTCGGCTGGAACCTTTATCTGAACGACTCGATGGACAGCATTTTCACAAGTTTACTGACGTACTTGGAGAACGTGGAGTGGATATGAGCAAGGTTTGGTCCATTTGTTGACTGGAGCGACTTACAACTATCCCAAGGCTCGGATTAGTAAAGCAGAGATTGCCCTCTGGGGGTTAGTCGTTTATTTCTGAAACTGCTTATCACAGTCTCGAATCGGCGTTAGGATTGAACATATCAAGAAGGCACAGAAATCCAAACAGCAAATGGTCGACAAGGGTAAGCAAGGTTTGAGGGACACCTTGAACAAAGTGGCCACATTAGATGTCTCTTGGAAGAGGGAAGTACTTGAAGGGCGTGAAGCAAAGATACCCGAGCAAAAGGACTCATAAATGATTGTATTAGGACACGCTGTTACTGCGATAATCTTTCCTTCATTTTCGCGCATGTTGCCGCCAGTTCCTCATTTGTAGACTTTGCCTGAGGTCTCTCCTCCAAGTGTAAGACTAACCCATCCGTTTCTGTGCTTTTTGGAATGACGTGGAAATGCGCATGCGGTACTTGCTGTAGAATTAGCGGATCAGCGGTGGTCGAATACGCAATGGTTCACTGCTTGCCTGGTAAGCAAGCTTTCCATTATTCTAGGCATGACCGTCAACTCGATTGAAGATTCAACTTTCTACCACAAACCTGCACAATATTATACTGTGTTGTCCCAGCGGCTTTAGCAACTCTCTTGAGAAGTGGTCCGATGTCTCTTAGGTATTCGTCGGGTAAAGTATCGAGGGTCTCTGCGTGATCTATGATAGATTTTATGACCAAGAAAGGTAACGTGACGTAGGTACATACACTTCGGAATAACCAGGGTATGTCCTTCGGAAAATGGCATGATATCGAGGAATGCCAGACTGCGATAGAATATTCCAATCAAGAAGCGAACACTTGACGAGTGGCTACCTGTAGTCTGTCTCGGTCACTTTGTGGCTAGGAATGATTCCTGTGGTACCCGTCAGCAGCCAAGAAACAAGTCACTTCGAGTGTCTGCCTTTGAGGATGCCACAAAACAAGCAGCTGGATCTATCTTTGAGGTGGGTTCAGGGCCATGGCATTGCTTACGCACGACGAATCTTCGTTAGCAGCCATGAGAGTAGAGACCAAGAGATGTTGATAACGGATCAGCGATGCTTGTCGATCAGGCAAAGAATTGGCAAGATAATGTTACAACAGAATTTTGTGTGAACACTAGGCTCTCGTCCACTGGCTTTCGAACGAGGATACACCAACTGGAAGGGCAGCCTGATTCAATGGTGAAGAGGTAAACAAGGACCGGATAATTATCACCTTCTCATCGTAGTCGGTCCACTCTCCTTCGTCAAGATCGACTTCGGAAAACACAGTCCCTTTCATGCCTTGACACTTCCAAATACCCTAGCGAAAATGAGTCCCCAATACTTGTTCTGGTAATGGACTTGCCCGAGGATCGAAGCTTATGAATTCTAATCCTGCAGAAATCATAAAATGTTGCTCATCATTACCCATCCAACTCACCTCTGCATTCGATCTGAAGTAGAGGCCCAAACTGTTCGTTTTCTGCCGAATAAGCACGAACTGCATACGCGTCTTCGAACTTTGCTGAGCTTTCACGCTTGCCTGGTCGCAATCAGAGAGCTGGAGGACGCGGCAGAAAAACGAGAGACAGTTTCCACAGCGCCAAACAAAGTTGGCGGTGCCGCCTTTACCTCCAGAGAGATCGAAGGATTCCTACGACTCATGTGAAAGAGGCGAAAGGCATCGAATTAGTCTCAAGCTACACGTCGATTGAGAGTGACTGGTTTTGGATGAGTTTCATGACAACTGGTGCATTTAACCTGCAGTTGGATCGGAATCAAGGTAAATACAAACGGCGATCTTTTCGCAAACCTCGAAGAAGAAGTCAAAATCTGCGTCTCTAGGCTCTAGATTGGTGACGTTTTCGAGTTCAGCCTTTATGGAGAGCAGTAATTTGACCATGTTGTCAATGACGTTCGAACGAAACGGGTCACGCTGTGACGCTATTCACAAATTTGTTTCTGCTCGCTCCATGAACATACTGCTTCGCAATGCGGCACGTTCTATTAGACGGCCTGCAGGTCTCCCATTGCGACGTGGCGTCATCAACTTAGCTGGTGTAGACGAAGAATGGGATGAAGACCATTACCTCGACATGCTCCAGACACCATATGAAGACGACGACACTGTCGCAGCCGGCCATCTCATGCTGCAGCATCAACGACAAGTTTTATATTATCTTCGACTAATAGAGCACGAGATGCCCAAACTCGTAGGTCGGTATTTAATTTGTTGTCTCATTGCACTACTGACCCCGTTTTGGTAGCTTATCGCAAGCCGTTTGACCCTCCAGCAGACAGAGATGCCCCACTAGTAGTGCGCTCAATTGACTATGGCGGAGAAGAGCATCCTGCAACCGCAAAACGCGTTATTGTTACTGCTGTCGACTCCCTGCCGCTGAAGAATGCCGACGCGATTCATAGAATTAAACTGCTTGCTGGTCCACGTTGGACTCCACATCCGCCTGCGGATGGCGGCATGAATGGGTTAGACGAGTGGAAAAACGGCTACATCAAGATTTCATGCGAGGACTTCCCTGAACCTGCCATGAACCTCAAATGGGCGAGTGACGCGATGGATCGGCTTGTAACTCAGGCAAATGTGAGATTTATTTCTATTTCAAACCGTTCATTCGCTCAACACGCGCAGAATTCCAAGCCCGACTTGAAGAATATACCTGTCGATTTACGACACGTCCACGCCAAGGCTCGCAAGGCGAAGAAGGGAGAACACACTCGTGCTCGAGTTTATGGACGGCCCTCCGTTCATGATTTCCCTCTAGAATGGATACGACCGGAACGTAGGAAGTATGCTTTGGAATAAAAAAAGAAGTTGTTTCTGAGGGTCAGATGATTTCTCACTCCTTGACTTGTGTCTACCACGATGCGTGTCTCAGTCGTTCAGACATGTACTCAGGCCTACGACCTCACCGCTACTCTGAACAAGCTTGAAGAAATGACAAAGATGGCTCGGGACCGCGACGACTCAGAGCTTGCGGTGTTCCCAGAGGCGTTGTGGGTCCTTGTACAATAGTTCTGTGTTTTTCATTCATCGATCGAAGCATTGGAGGCTATCCAAAATATTCAACTTTTGGAGCTGTGGTTGGCGAGCGCTCTCTTGAAGGTCGCGACGAGTATGTTCAATACCACACTGGTGCTATTAAAGTTCCATCTGCTGCTACTGCTCGCGTGGAGGAGATTTCTCGGGAAACTGGGGTCTTCTTGGTGGTATTTGCCTTTATTCTTGATTACCACGCACTATATTCGAACTAGGTCGGAGTGATTGAACGTGAAGGGGGTTCACTTTATTGCACTGTGATATTTGTGTCTCCCTCTCAAGGGCTGTTGGGAAAGCACCGCAAAATAATGCCAACCGCCGCAGAACGCTTGATATGGGCTCAAGGCGATGGGTCTACGCTTCCAGTGTTCGAAGCTCAGTTCTCAGATTCCAAATCTGCAAAAATTTCAGCAACGATCTGCTGGGAAAACTACATGCCCCTATGTTTGCTCTTGCTTGACTTGTCAACTGGACGCTCACCTAACTCTATCTAGTGCGTTACCACTATTACTCGTTGGGCACTCAGTTATACTGCGCGTTAGTGGGCATGGTTCATATTCTGGACACACTAACAAATCGCGTAGGCCAACGGTAGATGCACGCGAAACTTGGCAATCGACTATGATGCATATTGCATTGGAGGGTCGCTGCTTCGTTCTGGCAGCTTCACAGTTTGCGCAAGAAAAAGACTATCCTGCTGACCACCCAGTAGCCAGTGATACACGCAGCCCCGAAAACATAATGATAGCGGGTGGAAGCGTCATTATTAGCCCCCTTGGTAAAATTTTGGCGGGCCCTTTGAGGGATGAAGAGGGTGTATTGACCGCAGAAATCGATTTAGACGACGTTGTAAGAGGTAAATTCGACTTGGATGTTTGTGGTAGGTTGCCCAAAATCCCATGCTGTCTTGTTGACCTGATGATGGCGCTAGGAAACTACGCCAGACCAGATAGTCCGTCGCTCCTCAATTTTTTTTTCTCTGAAAAAAATATTCTGACCCTCCTGTAGTTTTCCGTCTCACTGTAAACACAAATTAGAACCAGTACTAGTAGTTATTGAGTAGGCCTCGGAAATGAATCCGTGTCACACAAAATCACGCCAACGTTCTTGCTCTGAACCTCGTCCGTTCGTTGTTGTACTCCCTTTCAGTCTTCTCACCACGCCATAGCTACCGAGCCATCGTCTTCAATGTCTGACTCGTATTCGAATGGAGTGGCGAATGCCTCGACACCCTCTCTTCCCAATACTCTCCCCTCCATCATACGCAAAAAGCTCATGGGCTACGTCGGGTTTGCCAACCTGCCCAACCAAGTCCACAGGAAGAGCGTAAGGAAGGGCTTCCAGTTCACTGCCATGGTCGTCGGTAAGCTGCTGTTCATCGCACCATTTTAACTTCCCCTTCTTATCCCCCTCCCTCCAGGCGAGTCGGGGCTCGGTAAATCCACCCTCATCAACACTCTCTTCAACACAACCCTTTATCCTCCCAAGGAGCCGCTCCCTCCATCTGCTGAGCGCCCTACAACGGTGTCCATTGAAAGCATTGGTGCTGGTAAGTATAGGTCAAATTCCACCTTTTCTTCTCTGACTGACTCTCACAGACATTGAGGAAAACGGTGTGCGCCTCCACTTGACTGTCGTCGACACCCCTGGCTTTGGTGACTTTGTCAACAACGACGAAAGGTTTTTTTTTCTACCCCTTTGTCCCTAAAACTAGTCTGACGGCCTTCTAGCTGGAAGCCCATTCTGGAAAATATCGAGTCGCGCTTCGACTCCTTCCTTGAACAGGAAAACCGCGTCAACCGAACCAAGGTCGTCGACAACCGTGTTCACGCATGTCTGTATTTTATACAAGCCACTGGTCACTCGTTCGTGGGCACCTTTTTACCTGTCCCATTCTGATTGCATGCAAAACAGTTTAAAAGAGATTGACATCGAGTTCATGCGGAGACTGCACAACAAAGTGAACCTGATACCTGTCATTGCCAAAGCAGACACCATGACTGACGAGGAAGTCGCCGAATTCAAAGAGCGGGTTTGTATCTTTGGTTTCCACCCAACACCTATTCATTGACCCAACACCGTCCAGGTTCTTTCGGACATCGCCCACCACAACATCCATATCTTCCAAGCGCCAACCTACGACAACGAGGATGAAGAGACCATTGCGGAGGCCGAGGAGATTGCCAGCAAAATTCCGTTTGCTGTCGTTGGGTCAGATAAAATTGTCACCACTCCGGACGGTCGGCAAGTACGTGGACGAGCATACCCCTGGGGTGTTGTCGAGGTAGACAACGAGGAGCACTGCGACTTTGTCAAACTTCGCCAAATGCTCATTCGAACATACATGGAGGAGCTCAGGGAATATACCAACGATGTTCTTTACGAAAACTGGCGAACGGAGAAACTACTTGGAATGGGCGTTGCTCAAGACTCCTCAGTGTTCAAGGAGATCAAGTATGTTGTGCAACCCCACAGGACTCTTCATCTAAACTTTTTTTTAGCCCTGCCGCCAGAATGCAAGAGGAGCGAGTTCTGCACGAGGCCAAGTTGGCCAAAATGGAGGCTGAGATGAAGATGGTTTTCCAACAGAAGGTCCAAGAAAAGGAGTCCAAGCTCAAACAGTCCGAGGAGGAGCTTTACGCGCGTCACAAGGAGATGAAAGATGCATTGGAGAAACAGCGAACTGATCTCGAAGAGAAGAAGCGGAAAATCGAGAGCGGGCGCCCAATCACCCCCCGAGAAAAACACTGTCCGTCTCTTTTCTCGGCGGTAGAACGCTCTGACCTGTCTGTAGACTGGGAGACGAAAGGGTTTCTTGCGCACCTAAACAGCTTACCATATCCATTGACATTTTTTTCCCTACGGCGTGCTTTTCCAAAGTTTGGCTGTACATATCATATTCCCCTCGTACTCACTCGTTCTTGACTCCCTACGAATACCTACCACACTCTTTTACGGATCTATCTTTTGTCTCTAAAGTATGCGGAGAAGAATCTTTGATACCACCACCACGACACGTGACTTGTACCCTCTTTCTCCATGACGGCCTCTGCGGATGTGCAGGCTGTTCTGGCTGCCATCGATGTGTTTAGTCGCGCGCCGGACAAAGTTTCGCTCGATCAGGCCAACAACTGGCTTCAAGATTTCCAGCACTCAGTAACTATAATCCTCGCCAAACCGCCTCATCGTTTCCAACCCGCTGTGCCAGCCTGATGCTTGGGCGACATGCAATGTCCTCCTGCGTACCCCAGAAATACCCGCCGCAGCAAAACTATTTGCCGCTCAGACTTTTCGCGCCAAAGTCAGTCTTTCTTTCTCAATCTCAACGCGCCACTTTGACCATCTCCAGGTAACTTATGATCTCAGTCAAGTCGATCCAGCGAATTTGCCTGGTTTCAGAGATAGCCTGGTGACCGCACTCGAGCAGCATCACACTGGACCACGCACCATCATCGTCCAGCTTTGTCTGGCGATTGCCGGGCTGGCGCTCCAGTTCCCCGCCTGGTCGCCAGACGCCGTCTCTTTTATGATCACTCACTTTGGGAGAAATCCTGCCAGTGTGCCAGTATTGCTGCAGTTCCTCGCGCTGCTTCCTGAAGAAATCAACAACAACCACAGAATACCAATAACCGTAAGTCTGTGTGGGTCCCCCCCGTTCCTCAATCTCACAACGTCCAGGACGATGAATATATGGAGAGAGTGAACCAACTTCTCACTTACAATGCGGAGCAAGTGTTGGATCTGCTTGTCATGTATTTGCAGGCGCCAGGTGTGTGATATGACTCTCCGCTGAGCGGCGGATTCTGATATCATCGCTAGGAGTCACGGTGACGGTCCAAGAGCAAGTTTTCCGCTGCCTTCGGAACTGGCTCGTCGCTGGAGAAGTCAAAATCGCAAACTTGTCCAGTTCGCCCTTGTTTGCGTTCACATTCGAGGCCCTGGCCTCGGAACAGCTTTTCGATTCGGCGGTGGATGTCATTTGCGAGCTGATCCACGAGACACAAGAAATCGACGACAACATGGCTGCCATTGAGCTCATCGTGACGCGCCTGATTGCGCTCAAGCCTCAGCTTACTCAGCAACGAGAAGATCCCGACAAAATCAGAGGTTATGCACGTATTTTCAGCGAGGCTGGTGACGCATATCGGAGTTTGATTATCCAGCATCCCGAGACTTTCTTTCCCATTGTGGACGCGATTGGAGAATGCTCTGCATACCCAGATCTCGACATCGTTCCTATCACCTTCCCATTCTGGATGCGTTTTGCACAGGTTATTGGAAAGCGGTCCTCCGTATCCCCACTCTTCCTCGACGCGTATCGCGCTCTGATGGCGGTTATTATCAACCATCTCCACTTCCCGCCGGATAGTGCTCCGTTGGCTGGCCAGGAAGCGGAGGACTTCCGCTCGTTCAGGCATATCATGGGCGACACGCTCAAAGACTGTTGTTTGGTTCTCAAAACCAACTCGTGTCTGCTTACAGCGTACCAAATGATTACTGCCGCTCTGTCGCGCAGCCCAGAGGCGGTCTCCTGGCAGGACATTGAAGCGCCGCTTTTCGCCATGCGGTCTATGGGCGCGGAAATCGATGTCATGGACGACGAGGCGGTCCCCAAAATTATCAACCTGATCCCCTCCCTCCCCAATCACCCGCGGGTTCGTTATGCTGCCCTTCTCATCATTGCGCGCTACACCGAATGGATCAATCGGCATCCAGAGTATATTAGTGTTCAGCTGCAGTACGTCTCTGCAGGCTTTGAAGACGCCGACTCCGTGGTGGCTGGTGCCGCAGGGCAGGCGTTGAAATATCTCTGTCAGGATTGTAAAGAGGTGAAAAGTTTTCATAAAATGGTTTTGTGGCTGATTACTGGATATAGCACCTCGTCGATTTCCTGCCCCAGCTGCACACGTTCCTCAGCTCGACGGGCTCTAAACTTTTGCAAGACGATAGACAGCAGGTGTATGAGGCGATTGCTCATGTCATCTCCGCGATGCCGATGACGAGAGCCGCCGAATCTCTGCGGACGTTCTCTGTCGATATACTGGCTCAAATCCACGCCGTAACACTCAAACCGACGCCGGCAACAAAAGAAGAGCTCCAAAGCACGAGTGGTACTTGGATTTTCCAGCTTTTTTTACAGCACTAATTGGGAATAGATGCACTGGAAAATCTGGAAGTGATGCTGCGGATTATCCAAGGGTTTGGCGAGGACCTGCCTGCAACGTGCCAGACGAGCTGCAAAGAGGCGTGGACGGTTTTGGACGCGTTCTTGGCCAAATACGGCAACGACTACGAGTCGTCGGAGCGGACGACCCGCGTGATCCGCCACGGGATTACGCTGTTTGGGGACACTGCGCTGCCGATTGTGTCGTCTGTGATCGCGAGGATGTCGTTCTCGTTTGAGGCGACGGGGTACCCTAGCTACCTGTGGATTGCGGGCAAGATGATTGACAGATACGGGAACGAGGAGAATGCGGACCTTCGGGGGTCGATCCGGGAGGTGTACGAGCGGTCGACCAACACGGTTGTGTCGCTTTTGCAGGCAAAGTCGGCGAATGACATTCCGGATGTGATGGAAGACTACCTCCGGATGCTGAATGCTCTGGTTCCAGTTGCGCCAGACATCTTCTTCGAGTCTTCAGCATTTCCCCTGGTGTTCAAGGCCGCGATGGAGGCCCTTACGCTTGTCCACAGCGACATCATCTTTGCCGCGCTGGACTTGTTCGTGCTTATCCTGACACACGACTGTCTGAACCCGACTGTGTCGTCTCCGAAATTCGCGGTCTACGCGGCGGCTGTGCAGGGCGTGATCGCGAAGGACGGGCTGGGGTTCCTGACGTATCTGGTGTCGGGGCTGGTGGGGGAGTTCCCGGGGGACTCGCTGTCGCTGGTGGTGTCGATCCTGCGGGCGGTGGCGGTGCTATGGGGGCAGCAGCTGGTGGCGTGGTTGCCGGCGGTGGTGCAGCAGCTTCCCACGGCGGCGGCACCGCAGACGGCCAAGGCGCAGTTCATTGTGGATGTGAACAAGTGGGTTTTAAGAAACTCTTGCTTTTAACTGCTCACGTGTTTTAGAGCTATCAGTGACAAAGAGCCGGACAAGGTGAAGTATGCGCTGCTGGGGCTGCACCGGGCGTCGAAAAAGGCGCGGGAGCGGAGACGGGGCGGGGCGCTGGAGCAGTAGGAATACATTTAGACATCTAAGTACAGTATACAGTATAGTAGGTAAGGAAATATCATGTGATGTAAGCTTGCTTTTTTTCTGTCGACGATGTTTGTTCGTGCTGGGCAGTCGCTGTACAGCGGTGAGTGGCCAGGCCCAGTCGCTTGGGGGCTTACTCACACAGTCAGCCGGACGCCGGGGGTTCTCACAGTCTGCCGCGCGCAGGAGTTACGAGGACACGATTCAGAACTTGCTCATTCACAAGGACACCAAGGTTCTCTGTCAAGGGTTCACTGGGAAGACTGTGAGTACTTGTTAACTCCGCTTTTCCCTGCTAACAAAAAGGCAGGGCACGTTCCACGTGAAAGAGGCGCTGGCGTATGGGACGCGGATGGTGGGCGGGGTGTCGCCGAAGAAGGCGGGGCAGACGCACCTCGGGCTGCCCGTCTTTGGCAGCGTCAAGGAGGTGCGTGTCCCTTTTCCTTTTGTGAAATAAAAAGTTGCTGACGCAAGCAGGCGGTGAGGGAGACGCAGCCGGACGCGACGGTGCTGTATGTCCCGCCCCCGACGGCCGCGGACGCGATCATCGAGGCGATAGAGAACGAGATCGGGCTCATTGTGTGCATCACGGAGGGCATCCCGCAGGCGGACGAGATTCGGGTGGGTGTTGCGCTGGCAGTTTTTTTTTTTTTAATTTTTAAAGGTCATGAATGCACTCAAGAGCCAGTCGCGCTCGCGTCTCGTGGGGCCGAACTGTCCTGGGGGTATGCTCCCCCCTTTTTTCCTCTCTTCAAGCTCTAATATTTTTTGCAGTCATCAACCCCCTCGGGTGTAAAATGGGCATCCAGCCAGGGCACATCCACACGCCGGGCAAGATCGGGATCGTGTCGCGGTCGGGCACGCTTACGTACGAGGCGGTCGCGCAGACGACGGCGGTCGGGCTCGGGCAGTCGTTGTGCGTGGGGATAGGCGGTGACCCGTTCCCCGGGACGCAGCACGTGGACGTCGTCAAAGTGTTCCTGGACGACCCGCGCACTGCCGGCATCGTGCTCATTGGCGAGATCGGCGGGTCCATGGAGGAGGAGGCCGCGGAATATTTGGAAAAGTACAACAAGACGCGGGCCAACCCTAAGCCGGTTGTCGGGTTCATCGCCGGGCGGACGGCGCCTCCGGGCCGGCGCATGGGCCACGCCGGCGCCATCATCGCCGGCGGAAAGGGCGCCGCGCAGGACAAAGTGGCTGCCCTCGAGAAGGCGGGCGTCGTCGTCACGGACAGCCCCGCGAAGATCGGAGTGGAGATGCTCCGCGCGATGCAGGCCAGTGGATTGGCGTAGAGAGAAAAAAAAAAGACTTTTATTAGCTACATAATCAGTTGTTATTTATATGTCTTCTTCTTCTTTCGACCAGGCGGCCAAGTACCTCGCGCAGTCGCCTGCCCTCGCCAAGGTGGCGTCGACGACGAAACTGGAGCTGTATGGGCTGTTCAAGTACGTCAAAGAGGGCCCACGGCCGACCTCGGCGCGGCCATCGCTGTTCGACATGACGGGCAGGGCAAAGTGGGACGCGTGGGCAAACACGGGCGGGGCGGTCACGAGCCGGGCAGAGGCGGAGGCGCGGTATATAGCGATCGCGGAGGGTCTGGGCTGGAAGGGACCTTTTGGTGAAGACGACAACTGGGACAACGAAGACAAGGGAGGCGGGGGCAGCGCGATGGGCACGGCGGTGAGCGCGATGGCGCGTCCTGAGGCTGTGCAGGACAACAGTCTGCATGGGCTGGCGGTGGCGAATCGGGCGGACGAGCTTGCGCTGCTGGATGGGTCAGGCGTCGACTGGGACGCGCGCGATGAATTCGTGTGTTTTTTTATTAATTTTATTTGTGTGTTTGCTTACGAAGACAGGGCTACACAGCGCTGCACCTCGCGGCGGACCGGGGACACACGCTGGTGGTCCAGCTGCTGCTGCAGCGCGGCGCGGACCGCAGTATCCAGGTGCATTATATTATTTTTCATTTTTTTATTTCTAAATTCTAATCGTGGCAGGACGAGGACGGGCTGACGGCGGCAGAGCTCGCAGAGGCGGCGGGGCACGACGGAATTGTACGCATGTTGGCTTCGTAGTAGTATATTTTATAGCTGGTTAGCGAGCTTTTCGCGGATGTCCGCTAGTGTCTGTGGGGGCTGCAACTTTTGCTTTTGCGACTTTTGCTTCTGGCCCTCGCGCGGGTGGTACACCGACCCCGGCTTCAAAATATTTCCCTGTTTCAAGTCAGCACTAATAAATAAATAAAAGCAGCACACACCAGCTCCAACAATCTGACCACCGCCCCGCTCGGCACCGCACCCACATGCAGCCAATACCTTATCCTATCCACGCTCCACTGGACGGTCTTGTTTTTCTGGCCCGGCTCGACATGCGGGTTGTACACGCCCAGCAGCTCCGCGGGCCGTGCGTCCCGCCGCGCCCGCCCGTCCACCGCGACCAGGTGGAACACCTTCGCGTGTGCCCGCCCGTGCAGCGCCAGCCGCAGCCGCATTGGCATTGTAGTGGTGGTGGTGGTTAAGAGTAAAGAAGAGGTGGTTACATAATATTGGACAAAATCAACTACTCGCGTCGGGCCCGTCGCTCCCGGGGATCAGCTGGCGGGGCATAAGGGCAATGTAAGAGGGAGAAGAAAGGTGCCCACCATGCAGATATTGTTCCCGTTCAGCAGCGTCTGCGCGAGGCTCTTTTTCGTGCGCCCCTCCGCCGTCGTTTCGCTTGCCCCAGTTCAGATACCACAAAGTCAGTCGGCGGGCCACGCACTACTCAGTCACGTCCTCCAGCACCATGTCTGTCCATGTTAACGAGTCCGTAAGACCAGCCCGATCCCGCACTCACTCACGAAATCGTCAAACCCAAGCAGCGTCCCCGTGAACTCCCGGTCGTTCTTCATCACCACCCAGATCCGCGACCCGATGCACTTGTCAATGAGCTCTGTTATACCCTTCCAGCGTTGCTGCTTATAACAGAATGCGCGTACCCAGCGGCAGGATTTGCGACGCCATCAACGTCAAAAGCAACTCAAGATGTCACATTAGATAACACACAAACTACTACGACTAATTCCGGCCAAAACTGAATCCTCCCTGCGGCACACTCGCGTCCGTGAACTGCCCCACGAATCAGCTTTAGTAACAAGTAAAAAAAAAACCACACACCTGGAAAGCCCCAGCCGCGTCAACCGTCGGCGCGCTAAACGCCGCGTCGAGGTCCTCTTCCTCGGGGAAGTACTTGTCCATGATATTAAACGCCTTCTTGTAAACATCCAGATTCTCGTGCTGCTGCAGGTTGTGGATCGTGATCATGCCGCCCGCCTCCTCGACATAGTGCGCAATCTGGTTCACCCCGCTCGGCCCCGCCGCCGCCTTGTCCGACTCGCCGATCTTGAGGATGTTGTCCAGCCCGTCCAGCGCGACCTGGATGATCTTGTTGTCCATCATAGTCAGGCGCTGGCGTCTGCAGTCGAGGATACGCGGTTGGGGACCGCTGCCGTACCAAGTCCACGCGGTCACGTGCCACGTGTTTAATTTCGGGACTTGCGCGATTTTATGAATTTGGCAATAGTTTTGGCTGTAGAAGTTATGAGATGTACCCAAAAACGCGTCAATTAGGGAATTCCGACGCGTGCAATGGATATAGAACACCATTCTGCACTTTCTGCAATTCTGGGCCAGGGTCTCCCCTCCCGAAGGTAAGGGTATGCAGGGCAACAAAAAAAAAGTGAAGCACTCACTGGAGGGAGGAGTAGAGGAAAAGTCAAAGCAGTCTCTAGAGTGAATAAGTACAAGCATGGCCTGGGTAGAAGGTACTCACCACTGCGCTGACTGACTCAGAGAGCCCGGGCTGGCAGACAGATACAGTAAGAGAGCCTAGCTCATCATCAGACACTAGCTTCTGCAATAGAGCACTCAGACTCACCACCAGCATAACGACAAGACGATGGGGGGAAAGAGGAAGAGAGTATTTTTGTGTGACCACTTGGCGTCACCTATTCACGGAATATTTGATCGGACCTTGCGCTATTAATATTATGTTACCGTGTTTCATCTGGTCTTGAGTTCAACTCCCGATGTTGTGCAATTTAATTCTAACATTTGTGTAGTTCTAGACTCAGGATTTACTTGTTGTTGTTCTTCCTCCCAAGAAAGCTACTGGACTCGCCGGTCAATCACAGGCAACAGTAATATCAATTACTTTGCAACTTCCAATGTCAAGTGGGTAAAAATCAAACATTTTAAATGTGGGGTCTGAGTCAAAGTCTGCTGTTTGGGGTAGTTCACCAGTAAAATCAAATGAAAACTTTTATTAGTGGGAATTATGACATGTATTTATGTGGAACCTTATACTTCCTAAAATGGCAATTCGGTCCTGATTTAGCCCCCTAGAATGGTAATTCATAGAAAATAAAAAGTGGGTAAAAATGAATTCAGAGCAATCTTGATGGAAGTCATGACAAATGTCAGTGAAAACTAAAACCAGACTTGTCCCAACAAAAAGTAGGTAAAAATCAATTTTTGTAGTCTGACTGAACTGAGGGCCAGTGTTAGTTTGGAAACAGTCTTAGCTGTGCCGGAATACCGAACATGCATTCAGTCCCGTCCAGTTTGAACTGAAACCCTGAACCAGACCTGGCTATCACTAGAATCTTACATGAGTACTATCAGCATCAGGCTCGGGCCGTATCAGGTCGTCGGGTGGTCCGACTGCGAGTAGGTCTAAGGAGCACGAAAGTGGGGTTTAAGCCCAGAGAATAGACAATATTAGCCTAGCGACTACATCCTGTAAGTATGGTTTTTATATGCTAAAAGATTAGGGATGGATCGGATGGGCGCTAGGTCCCAGGGCGGATCGGATGGGCGCTGTGTAGGGCCTGCAGGGGTGAAGGGAAGGGGTTAGAAGAATGGGGGGGAGCGTTGAGGAGTGTGGACGTGCGGGCCCGATCGGCCCCGAATGGCCCCGTGGCCCGGCGGCCTGACCCGAATAGTCATTTATGAAAAATAAAAAGTGGGTAAAAATGAATTCTGAGCTTTTCTTGATGGAAATCATGACAAATCTGCATGTGGCTAACTTGTCCCAATAAAAAGTGGGTAAAAATCAATTTTCATAGTAGGAATCTAGCAGACTTTGGATCTAAACCAAAGTTCCATGTTTGTATCAGCCAGCAAAACTGGACTTGAAATTGATTGAATATGCAGTACTTAGCACTTTACGAGAATGGTAATTCCTTGACATTTTGACCTAATTAACAGAGATTCAACTGGAATTACTTCCTGGAATAGTATTTACCCAAACAAATTTCTCAATAAAAAGTGGGTAAAAATCAAATAAAAATATATAGGTATGACATACAAATTCAAGAGTTGACACTTCCCGAAATGGCAATTTCTTGATATTTTTGGATCTGATTTTGGCTTAGATCACTTCTTAAAATGGTAATTTCTTAAATAAAAGAAATACATAAAAGTGGGTAAAAATAGAATTAAATGTTAAGTTTGATGTTTGTTCAGGCTGTCACATCTGGCTTGATGTGCCTGCCAAAAGAGGATTTTTTTCTTGACCAAAGCTTGGTGCTTAGACCTCAAAAGTCTGGATTTATATGTCAATCAAAACCAACTCAATAAAAAGCTCACAACCATTTGGGACAGTATGCAGTGCCAAAACTAGACTTGATCAGAATAAGCCCAATAAAAAGTGCATAAAAATCAAATAAAAATATATATATCAATCAAAGCTTAGAGTTAAAAGTGGGTAAAAATCAAACAACAACAGTGGTTTAAAACCATCAGTAATGGCTTAATAACCTGATTCAACCCTGCACCAATGATAATACCTCTCAACTTGACTTTAACCTGCTCACCTTGCTTGCAGGCCTGATGACTTATCTGTTTTGTTCCGGGCATGTGTTTCCAAGGAGAACCTTGCATGACCCAACCTGAAGCCTGACGATATATAAGATCTCAAGAAAGATTGGTGTTCAGAGCAAAGCAGATCAAGATCAGACATCTTCTTGAAAAGGCAATTCTGAAAAATTGATGATTATATCATTTACATCAATCGGAATTGATTTCTGAAGTTCTATTAGCTTATCTTCAACAAGAAATTGTATAGAATGATATTTGGTTGGAAGGTAAGACTTGATAACAAAAGTAAGTAAAAATGTAAAAAAAAACCCCATATGATCATTCAATTCTGAATACAGATTTAATTTACAGATAAAACTATAATATACAGGGTAGATATAAATAAAGTCTGTTGGTTGAGCTTAGTGATAGCCAGGTTTGGTCCGGATTTTCAGTTCAAACCTAAACTAAGATTTAGTGCTTGCGTTTGGCCAAACTCCCTTCCAAACCAAACCGGTTCAGCCAGGTTCAGCCTTAAAAAGACCGGTTCGGGACTGGTTTGAACTGGGGTTTGGTGTTCAGGTTCGCCAAATCCAGGTTTAAAACCAAACCAGTGGTCTGGTGTTCAGTCAAATTGGACCAAACTGGACTTGGCCATCACTAGTTGAGCTAAATAATGCAGTATGCAAATGCTGACTAAGCAAGACAAGGCAGATACAATACAAGTGTAATTTCAGGATACTTGTTAAGACTAAGTTCTAATATGTTTTAATTTTGAGAGTTCTAGTACTATATTATGAATAGTTATAATTCTGACAGGCTGACAACAAAAAGTAGGTAAAAGACTATAAGGGTCATCCTCAAGGCTAAAATTTATCAGCTAGAGTACCTGGAATCTGTCATGTGATCTACTTGATGTGGCCATTCCCAATTGAAGCACTTCAGAAATCAAAGTAGGCACACGGCAGTCTTGGGCCATGACAGTTAGGCAGCTGTCAAAAAGTTTCATAAGGCAAACGGGTTTTGTCGGGCTCCGCCAGCCGGTCACGTGACCTTATCGCGGGCAAACGCCTGCGGCCAAAAACGGAAATTCTCATTCCAACTGCTATTCTATAGCGAGAAATGCTCTGATTTCGCTCAAATTTCAGGAGGACGTGCTTACGTAATCACTCCGTCGACTCAGGCTTTCGTTGGTAGGGAAATCAGCCCCGAAATATATGATTTTCCGAAGGTGTGTT